TTTTGGTCAGCAAAATCCGCAGGCATTGCAGGGGCGCATTGATGATGGAAGCATGGATAGGCCCAGGATGGAGCAGAGAAGCATTGCATATCACGGAGCATGGAGCATGGAAAACGGTTGTCAGTCACACAAGGCAGTGGAAGGAGTGTAGAGACACTCTTTTCCTTTGTTCTCAATCGGCGTCAAGGCCAGCATCAGTAACGTATAGAATTCCTCATTCACTTTGTACCGTGCCAGACAATCTCAATGTCGAGCGCGAGCTGTATATTGCCGACGCGTGATATTCTCTGGCAGAAGTCTCTCAAGTATGATCGAAGCAGCTTTTGGAAAAGACACAAGATCAGATATGTCCTCGTATCACTAAGATAGTTGGTGTCATCATCTAGCAAGTCGTGTTCTCTGGATTTGATCTGTTACTCATCCTTTTCCCCCATATTCTAGCTTTGATGTTGGATAGAACGGCATGCAGCCGTCCATACATAGATTCGCAATAGCTTGGAGTACTCAGCGACATCATATTATATCTTGGTTGTTTCTATGTCGAAGAAGCATTACGCGATGAGTAGAAGAAGAACAACAAGCATCGGAAGCATGAGAACAGTGTCGGTGCTGTGACGGTCACAACATTACTGGACAGACACCTTAGCAGAATCCTTGTTATCTCGCCTGGTGTTGATACGCTGACTGAGGGACAGATTTATTACATGGATCCTACGAATGCCACCACCCTACTCTACCAAGCCCCACATTCGTCCTGTCATCAGTCTATACCGATGCAGCGAATACATTGTAGCTTACTTAAGAGGGAATTTGTTAGGAGCTCGTAGCCACCACCATGTATCTTGGTGACAGCAGATGGGAAGTCACTGATCACGTCTGTGAACCTCATGATCTCTCCAGTCTCTTGAAGTAGTATGCTATACAAGAAGCCTAGGTTCGTAAAGAGGGACGCCAACAGTCCCTTGCAGTAGCAGTGACCTTAGCACTCTACTATGAGAAAAGAGAGAGGCAGGCTCATCCTAGGAAGCAACAGATGAAATATTCTCAACCACGGAGCGAGAGATGAAAGGTTCTCGTCCAGATGGGCATGGGTGTCGAAGGAATGTACCTTATCGCGACAAAGGAAACAGGCTTATCTGAAGAATCAGTAAACGAAAGGGACAAGCAACCGGAGGGGAGTCATTACAGAGCTAAGATGATGTGTAAATGCATACCTTTAGTGTCATATAGAGCATAGTCCCTATCGATATCCAAAAGCCAGAGGTTAACAGATCTAAGCTTTACTTCTAAAAGCGACATGAACCAATTGTTTTGACAGCCTAGGATGGTAACAGATAGGTGCAAAGTGCTAGATTGTTAACTTGTCATCTACCTATGAGATTAGAAGTTTAGAGAGACCGGACTAAGTAGACAGCAAGGGTGAAAAACGTAGACGCCGGTCGACACACTAGAAGCTCTTAATCTAATGTGCCCTGAATTAGGGTCTAAATGCTTGTCAGACGAGCATAGACTGTTCTATGTGTCAAATCAAGAAACCGAGCCGGGTTATGAGTATGGAACCAGCTAAGGTATCTAGAGAGACTGCAGACTTGAGCAAGATGCAAAGCAGAGAACACCTCTGTTTGAGCATCTCCATGTGCATCGAGAAGCTTTACGACCAACCTTCTGTTGATCATCATAGCTTAGTTCTTTTGGGCAGTGATGTCATGGTAGATCGTGGTTCGAAGGTGTTTCGACGCGAGTTCGTGTTTTCTTGTTATTGTGGTCACTCAGCTTGCGCTCTCACACATCTTCTCCTGATCACACCTGTAAGGGGACCAACAAACCGGACTTTCCTCAACAACTCCGTACACGCCTCGCGTCTTTGAGCAAAAAACGTCTTAGGATTGTAAGTCGGCTCATCCTCTGTGTCTCTCGAGCGCATCCCTTAACTAAGCACCCATCTAAAGTATACAGCCCACATCTCAGATATCAACCACAGCGTCTGCAAGCCACTCTGAACCCCCTCTCCAGAAGAGACACTCCCCTGATGCAACCCATACTCAGATTTACACATGTCGTGTGAGGGAAATATAGACTGATCCTTTGCAGTCACCGACCAGGGTGAGACTCATGGACAGACTCAAAATACCGAACACACCGTCCTTGAGAAGTCCGCCGCGGACGCTCTGCTGTTTCTCAGCAAGAATGCCGTTGTCTTACCGGCTGTCAAGGAGCGCGGCAATGGCAAGGACTAGAAGTAGCCCAACAAACCACACAACCTCACTCGGCGTTCGACCGTTCATCATCACTGAGACCCTTGTGGCGGCTGTCTGCCCAGATGATAATGACATTGATTGATGTCTTCTCCAGGCGGCTTTCGCTTCTACTCATTTCTGTACAACCGAGCAAGGCTTTTATACATCTCTGTCGTTGAGGACAGATGGGAAAAGAGGTTTGTTTTCCATAAGTAGAATCGGATGAAGCATACGATTGCTGTAAATCCTTTTTCCCGCTTGGTTGTCAAGTGTAGGTGATACAATGCTCATGAGAGTTGAGAGTTGACATCGACAAGCTAGCCATCCAATCATGTCGATACTGTGACGTGCTGACATTGTCTCGGAGTTACATCACTTACGATTTGTGACTATGGCGTACTGGCTTGAGGACAGTTGTGGAAGGCACGCATCAAGCTGTTGTCACGCATGTAGGCCAGTCGTCCCTTCCCAACCCTTTCCTTCCGTGACGTGGACAACAACCACGGCTTCAGCTCCGTTCGCCGAATCTGCGACCTTGAACATCACGACCAAGTTTGATTTTTTTGTCGCATCATCCCTTCACCGGAGATTATATTCGTCTCTATTGCTACATTAATCCCCTTCACTATCGGCAAGATGAGCCCTCCCAAACGAGACGAGAATGCCGCCCTGCCCATTCGTAACTCATCCGCTCAGCAACCGTTCAACCCTGTGGCTTCCAACTTCCACTTGTCTACAGATCCCAATCGCCCGCCATCTCCGTAGGGCGAGAATGAGCAGCCATACGATATCCACAAGGAAGCTGCTCGATCTCGAGACATTTCCATGAACAACGAGCCGCCATCTCAGTAGACCAAAGATGAGCAGCAACGAAACATCGACAGAATTGTTTCCCACTCCCAAGAAGTCTCTCCAAGCACCAGGATTCCTTCGTCTGAGCAGTCCGAAGATGAGCAGCCAGACGATATCGACGAGATAATTGCGCGTACTCGAGAGGTTTTCGATCTTTCCGATATCAGTGAGCTATCTTTGTACTGTCAAGACAGTCAAACTAAGTCTGGCTGACCAACTCATGACAGCAAACCAGAGTCCCAAAGCACTTGTCGACGCTCCTATGCAGACACCTGTCAAAGCTCGATCGTCCTCTTCCAAAGTCTCAACTATCCCACGTATTCCACCCGGACTGAGTCAACCCGTTTTGTCCACACCATCTCTGCGTCCTTCGCCGAAAAAGCTGGCACCCAGGTCGTCGCCTCCTCTGCCCAACACCCGACACCTTCTGCCCGAGAGACGCATGCCACCCGAAGATTCAACCCAGCTTACCATCACAAGCAAGACCGTCTTCTGGCCCGGGCTTCGATCAGAGGCTCTATCCTTCGGGGAGGAGTTTGAGCTCAGTAAACCTCGTCTCCTTAGCAATCTTGTTCCCCGAAATCGAGAACTAAAGCAATTCGATCCGGTGCCTTATACCGCCGTCGGAGGAGTCGACTTCAGCAGAGAGGAGCAAGTCAGCGAACTCGACGCTTGGAGGACTCGGCAGATCATAAAGTCTTACAAAGCAATGGGAATATATCAGAGTGACGTGGACTATCAGTGGAGGGATTACAAGCCAGACCGGAAGTCGGGTTTCTGGCGTGATTGAGAAAGAAGGCGATCCTGTGAGTAGGGCGAAGCCGCTCTTTGGTTGAGGCTGGCGTGAGAGAGTCGGTTGTGCTACCGTTATGTCTGTCGCTCGCGGTATTCGTACTTACAATCATTAACTCGTGATTACTACACCTTGTTCTTGAGCGTGCTATGTCACGGTGTTCCAGACATCATGACTCTCATATTGCCAGTCGAGAGATGGGTAGTTGTCAAAACAGCCCGTCTGATCTCCGATCTTCTTCCTCATCTCCAACATCCCCGTGATCAGTCTCTCGTCTCACCACCTTCAACCAACCTCTTTTTGTAAGCGTGCCTCGAGAACAACCTAGACATTCTGTTCCTGTAATCCCTTTGATTATCTTGCTCTAGATCCGGGTTCCTTTTCTCTGCACCAATCCTCAGTGCAGCGCATAAGTCTCGGAGCCCCAGACAGTCGGTCAAAAGCCCCTATAGCAATCTGACAGCCCACCATACAAGCCAGTCGCCGTTATAGTCACCCTTGGAGACGTCCCAGATTCCTGCGCGGTATTCAATGTCAATATGAACATGGGCCTTCCCCAACAACTTGCCTTTGAGCTCTAGGACTTGGCCACTTTGTGCACCGCTTTACATAACACAGGACTTGGAAACCCCGCCCAGTAGACTTTAGCGACATGTTGGAGGGTGTTGGTTTACTCATCGCCAGAATCATCAACCACAACTCTGCTGGTTCAACATGGGGCAACGAGCTCGTCGAGTTCTGACGCGATTTTTCTTTCTTTCTCGATCTTACCAAAGACGAACTGGACAGACCGACATCCAAGTCACCATCTCGAATGGCAATCGACTGCCATCTCCGGCTTCCGAGCGATGGGGTTCAAAAATGTTGAAAGAAGTCATGAAGGAAGGTGGGAAGTGTAAAGAGAGATGAGACAACAAAGGAAAACTGCCGGATGCGTCGAACTCGACCTCTTATTGTGTTTCTCCCCAGTGACTACTCAAAAGCCATATCTCCACGCCTTGAACATTCACACAGCCAAACCACAGCATACCAAGAATCAACCACTACACGCAACTCACCAACCTACCAACCTCGCCATAGTGAAATTACCAAGTCCCACGCCACCACTTGATTACAGTATGGCCCCCGCCTCTGCCCACCCCATCATTGTGCCCCGCCGACCTGGCAAGGAGTACCCACCCGTGACTGCCGGCGCGCACAAGAAGGCCTTTGGAGACAACCGTGTCTCGTTACTGAATGTTCTGAAGAAAGTTAAACCACATAGTCCTACCACGCAAGCTCTCGAGGAGAAAGCTGAACGAGAGGGGCCAGCAGATGTGGATGGTACCCTTTTGCAAGATACAGGGAAGCGAGAGGGAACTGACGAACAGCAGNATGACACACCAATGCAGAAATTCACAGAGGAAGATTGGGTACGCATACAAGATGAAGCTATACCCCTTGCGTCCAAAGCTCCCGAGAGAAAAAGGAAAGCAGAAGTGAAGCAATGGGATCAACGCGCCGCTCGTCGCAGAGGAAAGCAACCTGTTGGAGCACCTGCAACACGTCGCTCAGGTAGACGCACTGAAGAGGTCTCGTACGCGGAATCTGATTCTGGAAGCGAGTATGATGAACCCACTTCTTCGAGCTCGTCTATTTCCTCGAAGCTGTTTGTGAGTCCTGACAGCGAGGAAATCTCGCCGCGACCTCGTGGGGTCAAGAGGAAGCGAGTTGTTGAGGATAAGGCAACAGCAGCTGCAGCGAGAAGGCCAAGTCGCTCGATCACTCCCGCGCCTGCCATCAAGAAACACAGCACCAGGCGCACTACACTTGCTGATAGCAACGATGAGATGAGTGGCCTGTCCAGTCGGTCTCGCTTTATTACCTCGGCACCTCCGATCAAGAAACACAGCACAAGGCGCACTACACTTGCAGACAGCGATGACGAGATGAGTGAAGCAAGTCGTAGCCGATCCGTTACTCCAGTGCCTCCGATCAAGAAGCGCAAGGTTGCAGGCAGGCTCAGTACTGTACTTGAGGATAGCGATGATGAGATGGCTGAGCCGTCTCCTAGTCGTTCTCGCTCTGTTACGCCGGCTCCACCTATTAAGAAGCGTGTAGGCAAGCAGAGTACTGTACTCGAGGACAGCGATGACGAGATGGAGTAAGGAATGCTTTGGGGTAGCAGTTGGGGACCTTGTCTTCGAGCGTTTGGAGCAACAACCACCTGGCCGTATCGGCTAAGGAGCAGTTTGACATGGGGCGAGCCTGGAGATAGTTCTTGACGCTGCGTCTTAGACTTGGGCGGGAGCAGTGATGTGACAGAAATGGTGAGAAGTATGCTGCTTATATGGCGAGCAACTGGAGTTGAGTAAGGCAGGCTCTCTCAAGACTGAGCGAGCTTTGTCTCCGTGCGTCTCTCTTCATCATGAATGTTACTTTCCAGCATCTGCTCCTCCTGCACCGGCGGTGATATGAGGGTCGGTCTCCGCCACATCGAGACACATAGCTCTGCCTCCAGATTCTTCGGTACGGGCCCCGCAGTCTTGGTCTTCGCTTGCTCTTCTCTTTCTGAGGTTCTGAGAGGTACAATTGGAGATTTGTACATTTCGAGTGCTTTGCATGTAGAAAACAACTGGTTTTTGTGTTCGAGAGATAGAGGAAGAGATGGAAAATACGAAAAAGAAAAAGAAAAACGAAGCCTACAATTGTTTCTTTGTCTCGCTGGTTTCGGTCGTGTGAATTTCCTTACCGAAACAAGAGTCCTACCTGAAGTTTGATAGACAGCCAAAGTGGTGTAAGCCTATATGTTGGGACTTGAATGTAATGAACATTTGAGAAAACGAAATGTTCGAGGTAGGTGAAGATGTGAAGTCGAGGTCAAGGCTTCACCGCCCGGCATCGGTGCCTCGGCTCATGTTTGCACCGACTCGACCATGCACCAAACATGCGAGGGGCTACATCATCACCAAGTCCATCCCTTCTTTCGACACAACTATCGACGCCTTTCGCGTCGCCATACCTTCAAGATGAAGTCGCAAATACAATGCGCATTGCTGCTGCTCGTACTATGCATGTGCGTATGCTCAGCAACCCACACATCCAACTGGGCCGTCCTCGTATCTACCTCACGTTTCTGGTTTAACTACCGCCATCTCGCAAACACCCTCTCCCTTTACCGCACCGTCAAACGTCTCGGCATCCCCGACTCGCAAATCATCCTTATGCTGCCTGACGATATGGCCTGCAACCCGCGCAACTCGTTTCCTGGATCTGTCTTCAATGACAAGTCCCGCGACTTGGACCTGTACGATGCCATGGGAAGTGGTATTGAAGTCGACTACAGAGGCTATGAAGTCACAGTGGAGAACTTCATCCGGCTGTTGACAGATAGATGGCCAGAGAGTTGGCCGAGGAGCAAGAGGTTGATGACGGATGATAGGAGTAATATCTTGATCTACATGACTGGACACGGAGGAAACGAGTTTTTGAAGTTTCAGGATGCAGAGGAGATCAGTTCGCACGATTTGGCCGATGCCTTTGAGCAGATGTGGGAGAAGAAGAGGTAACCATTTGCACTTCCATGCACCTCTTGGACGACAGAAACTGACTCATGACNNAGATACAACGAGCTGCTCTTCATGATCGACACCTGCCAGGCCAACACCATGTACGGCCAGTTCTACACTCCCAACATCATCGCCACTGGCTCTTCAGCCCTGCACCAATCCTCATATTCTCACCACGCCGATCAAGATGTCGGAGTCGCAGTCATAGACCGCTGGACCTACTACAATCTCGAGTTTCTGGAAGAGCAGATCGGCTCCACAAGTAGCAACGTTACTCTTGGTCAACTCTTCGACTCTTACGATCCCGTCAAAGTGCATTCTGATGCTGGTATCCGCTACGATCTGTTCTCTGGCGGAGAGCACGAGGCGAGAAACAGAAAAGTGGTTGATTTCTTTGGCAATGTGCAAGGTGTCGAGGTTGACGATACGAAGAGTGGTGAAGATTCGTTGGCTGAATGGAAAGCCGATCTCCTTGCTTTGAAAGCGTTGATGGACAAGTCAAGAGATATGATGAAGGACTTGAACAACATCACTGCCGATGTGGATTATGCCGAGGCCACTGTCTCGCCATCGCAAGCTGAGGAACATGCTTTTGGCACCGCAAAACTGCTTGACCAAGCATCTACTTGGAGCAAGCAAGCCATTGGTGGTGCAGCTCTGCTCGCCCTCGGCGCCCTCTGGACTCTTAGCTCGGTTCTTGATTGAGCCTCTTGCCTGACACATACAAGAACCATTAGAAGAAGCTCCTGGACCCGGCAAATCATCCATTGAAGACATCTTCCCACCATCAATCGTTTGGAAACCCTCCACATATGCAGCCACAATAATGCATGATCCTCCAGAACCACTCCAAGGCTCGCTTCTCGCCACCGCTTCCTCCATCACTCTCTTTGGACCCAAAAGTCTGCATAGCCCCATCCACACCACTCATCCACCTAGCAGCCCTCTGCAATCCCACCGGCAAAACACCCAACCACTCCACCAACTGCGCATACACAGGCATACAAACCACCCCATCCCTGCCCTCCCCAATCTTCTCCACAACCGCCATAGCCAAATCCTTTGCCTGGACTACCGGCCCGAAAAACTCAGACGGCGACTTGAGACTCGAAAACATAGTCGTCGAAAGCTGGCCAGGTTTCACCAAAATCATTTTTGTGGTGCTGGCGCCGGGGTATTGCTGCTGTCCTTTCGTTTGAGCGATTTCTGCGCCGAGGGAGGTGTGGAAGGCGAGGAGGGCGGCTTTTGAGGCTGTGTAGTCTGTTAGGTGGGAGGCGCCGAGGTGGCCCAGCACAGAAGACACAGTGACGATTGTGCCGCCTTGGGGTACAGAAAGAAAGCCTGGGAGAAAAGTGCGACAGGTGTGGAAATGGGAGAGGGTGTTTATTTGGAAGCAGCGGGAGATGGCTACGGCGGAAAGGGAGAGCAGTGGTTGTCCATTTACTATGCCTGCGTTGTTGATCAGGAGGGTGGGTGTGCCGAGCTGTGTCTCATTAGCATAGGCACAAGCAACTTGAATTCGATCATGAAGCAGAGTATCCTTGTCTCGAAAAATGATGAGGTGGAATTGTGACATGAAAAGAAACAAGAAAACAGGACTACGTACATCTTCCTTGACTCTCGCATAAGCATTTTCCACTTGTTCTGCTTGCCCAACATCGACTTTATACCACTTTACACCTTCCTCTGCATCTTCGGAGTATCCTTGTGGAGGCTTGATATCCCAAACCACCACTGTTGCGCCTTTTCGCTCTAAGATTTGAGCGATTAGCCAGCCTAGTCCTCCTGCACCTCCCGTGATTACGGCTGTTTGCTCGCTCCAAGTGATTTTTCTGCGTGGACCGTGCCCGAAGCGAGTATTTAGGGCGGAAAGAGTGTAGAGAAGGCTATAGCAAACGCCCACGAGGATTGGTGCGAGTGGAATGGTGGAATGGAGAGTAAGGATACAGAGTATATAGCCGAGACAGAGGGAGTATACTTGTGCCAGAGGAGGGAACAGGATACAGCAGAGATGAAGAAGGTAATCGAGACTAAATGAAGGAGAAGAAGGGAGAGGAGAGAGAGTTAGAGTGTAGAGAAGGGATAGAGGGATGAGGGTGAGGAAGCTAGGGTATAGGTATTCTGTTGATATGGGGAGACTAAGGATGGAGGATGTGGTGGTGGGTATGTCCATTGTGAGATTTGGTCCAAAGGCGTGGCTGTTTCTTGTTGATGGCGGTGGGTTTGTGGTGAGCAGAATATGCTGACCGAAGATATGCTTGTCACTGGCGGACGTGCGATTGATGATGTGGTCGATACGGGTTTCGAGGTTGGCGCGTGTGAGAGAAAGCGTGATTGGTGGTTGTGGCTGACTAAGCATGGATGGAGATTATTCCTGCCTCTTGAGTTCCGGATGGAACTCTTCTCAAGCTCTTGCTGAAACAGCACCAAATCGGTTGAATCGTTCACGGGTAGTGCAGCTAAGATCACTCTCTGGGATGGCTCTTTACAACAACCGAGCAGTCTCCAAGGTCTACTCAAGGTCGAAAACCTGGCGATCGCCAATGAGCGACGATATAAGACAGAAATAGCTCAGAACAACACGGGAACTACCAGAAATACTCAAGACCATCATATTAAATTCCTGAGACATCTGAAAACTACCTGTTCCCTTCGATTGCGGTTTCAGCGTCTTGAGTATTGTAAGAAATCAATGTCATCTCTACCACCCTGACCACGGTGTTGAGGCTTCGCCGCATTCGGGCACGCCAAGCAGTCTTTGTATCGCGCCCTCGGTGCTCAACAAGGATGAGAGGGGTATGAGGGGTTGGAGACGAGCTTATTGTTCTTGTAGAAGAAGCAGGTGATGATACGAGGGGCATGTGGTGGAGTTGTTCGCTGTCGGGAGTGTTCAGGAGGCGTCCTCGGTGGGCATGGCGGCGGATCTCAAGGCGATTGGCCCGAGCCTCATCCCACATGTCATTGTCCGACCCTCCATGCCGGCACCATCTCTTGTATACATCTCCCACTACCTCGTCTACCACGTCTACTCGTTCGAACGCTCATCTTGCAGCTATACAGCTATTCTCATCAGAAAGTACAACACTTGCAACTACCACACTCGTCAGCGCATCCAGCCCGGAACAGCAGTCGCCACTCGCAGCTTCGCTCAAGTCGTTTCCCGCACGCATACAAACTCGCCTTCGCCGCTGTCGCACGAAACAAAGACTTCGCTTGATCGACAAGAACCGTCCACCGGTTCTCTCCTTCCCCTCTCTCCCCAGTCGGCACTGCCCATACACCTTTAAACACGCCTTGATCCCCGAGATCATCGCGAGGTGTCGCAGAGCCAGACCTTTCAATCCCGGCACATGAGCAGCCATCTGTGGAAGTACTACCTTCAGGATGATGTCGACCGGTTTCGGCATTTACTCGAGACGGCCTCGTACAATGTCCGTCCACACCAACACAGGGCTCAGTCCATGCAAACGCCCGCCGCCGTGAGCTCGAGTCCCGGTACCTTGAGTACTTCGCCCACACTCACCGCAAAGGCACGCAAGCCTTCGAACTTTTCGCCACATGCAGGAAACATGCCTCCACTCACCAGAACCGACATCAACTGGCGTGATTCGAATGGCATGACCCTACTTCACCACGCCGCCTCCTCAACATCCGAGAATGCCCTTGAATTCGCCCAAGCACTTGTCGAGCATCCCTTGATCGACTTGTATCTTCAGGATGCTGAGAACTCGTGGACGGCTTTACATCGCGCCTTTTACTTCGGAAATATCACCATCGCTCGCGCAATTCTGGAGAGGGACACCTCGGATGCTCTTGGTAGAGGAATAGGAGGAGGATTGGTCAAGATCAAGGATCGCGAAGGCCTCGGTCCGTTGGATTTGTATGCTGCGACAATCAAGGACCGCACTCTGCGACCAGAAGGACAACGACGACCAAGAGCCGGTTCTGATGCTAGTGAAGAGGAAATGCCAATGGACGACGAACAGGAGGTCAGGACAAAAGTTATTGAGTTTGCGACAAACATCTCTGGTGATGAGGTCTACACCTTCGGAAGCAACAAGAACATCACTCTAGGCTTTGGAGATGAGGATGACCGACAATACCCGGAGCGCATCACACTGAAACGTCCGGATCACTTGCTGCAGCGATTCTACCGCGAGTACGTCCGAGAGTATGAGAAGACGTGGACCACATTCGATCCTGTCATCACACAGACAGGCCGTTCTGCTCTGCCACGCTCACTTCCCGTCGAATCCATGCCTTGGGCTGTCAAGAACCGCCCTTTGATCATTCAAGATGTCTTCATGTCTAAATTGTCAACAGCAGTCTTGACTACCGACCCAGAGTCAAACCTGTACATGTGTGGTCATGGACCTGGAGGCCGTCTGGGTGTCGGAGACGAACAATCACGTTTCAGGTTTGTCTGCATCGAGGGAGGTGCTCTGTCGCGCAAGAAGATTGCCACTGTCGCTCTCGGTCAGAACCATACACTGGCTGTTGATGACCGTGGTGAAGTCTTTTCCTGGGGTAGCAATGGTTACGGCCAGCTTGGATACACACTACCAAAGACCGGAATCATGGATGAGGATCCTGTTAGTTGCGTACCAGCACAGATCTTCGGCCCTCTCAAGCGTGAAATTGTCATCGGTGTCGCTGCTTCTCGCATTCACTCGGTCGCATACACTTCCACATCTCTCTACACCTTTGGCAAGAATGAAGGTCAGCTTGGCATTGTCGATTCTGATGCTCGTTCTCTAGAGTATCAAGTCACTCCTCGAAAGATTGCCGCTTCTCGTTTTGCTGCTCCAATCGTCTCAGTCGCTGCCATCGACCGCGCTACTGTCTGTCTTCTGGAAAATCATGATGTCTGGGTCTTTGCAAACTATGGTTATGCGAAGATCCAGTTCCCTCTCGATGGCTCAAGCAGTTTCCTGAAGGACAGCTTTCGTGTTACTCGATACGATGATACCATCAACCATATCAGCAAAATTGCTGCAGGCGGTGACACCATTTGTGCCATGTCCAGCAGTGGTGAGGTCTATACACTTTCTGTCAGTCAACGCCAGGACCAGGCCAATGCTTCCACGACCAATCCCACAAAGATCAGAGGGGCACTTTCTGCGCCACAAGAAATTTGGTCTTTGAAGAAGAACAACATGGCGGCCCGTGATGTTGGTGTAGATGCTGATGGCTCCATTATCCTGACCACCGAGGAAGGAAGTGTCTGGAAACGATCAAGAAGAACAAAGATCAAGGACGGAAAATCTCTGGACGCTGTGCAGTACAAGCCCAAAGATTACAAGTTCTCTCGTATCGCTGGTCTTTCTCGCGTCACAGCAGTCAGATCTTCAGCATATGGCGCCTACGCTGCTGTCCGCAGAGATTGTGATGTTACCAAGACTCAGACATTGATTGAGGATCAGACCATTTGGAAAGATTCGTTCCCTCTTCTCTGTTTCCACGATCTTACTATCCATGAGGATGTCGCTGATAGCGAGAGTGAGGAGCCGCAGCCTCGTTTCTGGCAAGGTCGCAAGAAGCCTGACGAGGTACAGCTGCTTCGTAAGCATTTGCTCGAGTCAAAGGATATTGAAAAGGATCTCGAAGAGCACTTGCGCCAAGCGGCGGATGGCAACTTCAGCGAGTTTGATGCCATCATCGCATCCAATGTGTCTGAGCTACGCTTCCCTGCTCACCAATTCATTCTCGCAGGACGAAGCAGAGTGCTTCGGGCAGGCTTCCAGGCGTTTAGAGAGGGCGGTGACTTCAGTGTCCCTGAGCTCCTCATCTGCGAGCGCGACTCTACTGGTCGACCTGTCTTGATCTTCCAAGGACTAGATGCTCTCACACTGGTAGATCTCCTTCTTTACTGCTATACTGATACCATCGTCGACTTCTGGCACCATACTCGACGTTCACCTATGGCCTTTCGATACCGTCAAGTTCGTACTGAGTTGATGAAGGTTGCTGCCAAACTTGAACTTCTCAAGCTGGAGCCCGCAGTTCGGCAGATGATCGAGCCTGAGCGATGCTTGCACATGGACCTCGAGATTGCCGCCAGGGATCAAAACTACTTTGCCAATGGCGATATCCGTGTTCAGCTGAGCGATGGTGAAATCCTGATTCATGGTGCCATGGTCTGCCAAAGATGTCCCTTCTTCGAAGGTATGTTCATGGGACGCGCTGGTGGTCGTTGGCTCGAAGAAAGACGTGGTCTCTTGCAAAATGCCTCTGATGCTATCGATGTTGACCTTCAACACATTGAGACCAATATCTTCCAAATGGTTCTCCGCCACATCTATGCAGATACTGGTGAGGAGCTGTTCGACGATATCGTCAGTGCTGATCTTGACGAGTTCCTCGATGTCGTCATGGAAGTCATGGCTGTTGCGAACGAACTCATGCTGGATCGTCTGTCACAAGTCTGTCAGAGAGTTGTCGGTCAATATGTCACAACTCGTAACGTTTGTGGTCTGCTCAATGCTATTGCGCCTAGCTCTGTCACGGAATTCAAGGATGCAAGTCTTGAGTATCTGTGTCTGAGTTTGGAAGCGATGCTGCAAGGTGGACTGCTGGATGAGCTTGACGAAGATCTACTTTTGGAGCTGGACGACATTGTCCGTGCCAACCAGCTTGCTTTGATGCCATTCGCTAAGAGTGGTCGCGCTGAGGCTTTGCTCCTCGAGCGACACCCAGAACTCGCTGCTTTGATTGATCGCGATCGCCGCATCAAGCTTGACTCGATCATGCTACATGCCAAGCACCAAGATCTTGATGGGTGGGGTCCCAATTCTTTCAGAGGTGGCAGCTTGGATGACAGTGCACATGCAAAACAAAAGGCACGAAGGAAGTCCAAGGACGCTCAGTCGTCTGCTGTTGACTCCACTCTAAGAGTCAAATCCGCTGTGCCGTCATTGGGCACAAGTATCGAAGAGAGCTCACCACTGGATCTACAAAATCTACGACCAAGTGGTGCAGAGTCCGAATTCGAGAGGACTTTACGTAGAGATACAGCTGTTGGTACTCCTACTGATTCCTGGCTCGATCCTCGAGGAAAGCCAACCACACCCCATGCTGGTACACCAAAGCAAGGCGGCCTAGTCACAGGCATGACACCCGCAACTCCTGCGAGCTCTTCAAGTGTACCCTGGGCAGCAACTCCTTCGCCAGGCGCCAAGCTGGAGATGAAGGATATCATGGCGCAAGCATCTTCAAGTCGTGTGTCCAACCTTTCATTGGGCATTGCGGCTAGCAGAGAGAAGGCTTTTGAAGATGCTTCGGCAGCAAGATCTGCTGCAAAGATGTCACAGAAAGAGCGCAAGAGAATGCAGCAGGCACAGCAATCAGCAGTCACCGAAATTGAAGAGAAGATCGCAGCAAAGGTGGCCTCGCCATGGCAGGTCGTTTCTGGCCAGAAGATACCTTCGTTGAAGGACGTCATTGGCGAGAAGCCACCTTCGCCTGGTCCGTCCAACAGACCTCAGCCTGCAACTCGTACAAGTACCACTCCTCAATTGACCATGCGGCAGACGATTGCCAATCCCAAGCCTTCGCCTAAACCGCCTGCCGCTGCTGTTGCTGCTTCTCCCAAGAACTTGGGCCCAGGTTCACCCGTCACATCTGGCTATCCATCTCCCAGACTTGGTCCACAGCGCACACCTTCTACTCAGACAGGAGCCAAGTCTCCAGCTCCAGCATCACCACGTATCCTACCACAAGCAGGCCCGGCCCGACCTACACCCACACCCCGTCAATCTCAGCCACAACCTCAACGCAAACCCTCGGCGCAAACCGCAGCGTCGACTCTCGCCCCTCCGCCTCCTCCAGACCTCTCCTCCCAATCTTTCCCTTCCATCCAATCCATTGTGCACTCTCCCCGCACTGCAGAACCTGCTCTCCAGCTTTCTCTACAAGAAATCCTCGAACAGCAGCAATACGAAAAAGATATTATCAAAGAAGCCGCAGCGGCAAGAAGTCTGCAGGAAATCCAAGCCGAGCAGGAATTCCAGGAGTGGTGGGACAACGAGGCAAGACGAATGAAAGAGGATGAAGAGTTTGCGAGACTGATTGCTGAGGGTAAAGACCCTCAAGCTGGGGCAAAGAAGAAGGGTGGGAGAAGTGGAAGAGGTGGAAAGCAAGGAGCAAAGGATGCAAAGGAACATGATAAGAAGAAAGATGGCAATATTTCTGCTTCTGCTACACCGCAAGGGCAACCGCCTAAGAACAGAGGAGGTAGAGGTAGAGGAGGTGGTAGAGGTGGTGCTGCTGTTGCTGCTCCTGCTCATGCTGGAGGGAGTAAAGCTTAGGTCTTGATCATCGCTTCCTCCATAAGGAGTACGCATACTTTTTGTACATATAATACATATACCTTTTACACTTGCATACAAGATTTTTGCAGTTCCAGACTCAAAGTTACTCTTTCCTTGCACAACTACGCAACAATGCCACGGCTCTCACGGAATAGCCAGTTTCTCCCCTTTTGCCATCTTCTACCACACATTTCATTGCTTTCCACGCCTCCCAAAGAACCCACTTCGACTCTTTTTCGACAAGCTCTTTTTCCCGCAATCCATGACTATTCCAGAGTGCGCTTTATTCTCGAAAAGAGACTGCCAAAGAAGACTAACGTTCTACTGATCGAAAAGCCCTACAGTAGCATTATTGTGCAGATAGACCTACGAAATCCTTAGAGGCCAAGGAGGTTTTGCAGCATTTGAGTAGGAGTGTCAAGGCTCCATCCATGCTCACGGTGAAATGTCAAAGTGATACAAGCAAAGCAAAGAAGTTTCTGATAGCTCTTGCTATGATACGTAGAACCGAAGAGGAGAAGAGGGAAGAAGATGCTGTTAGGATTGAAGGTTGAAATGGTCTCGAGGATTAAACAGAGCCACGATAAACAAGAGGAAAGGGATGTGCTACTGGTAATAACAGCGCTGGGAGTTGCGAAAAGCATGGCAGTGGGCTCGAACTATGGTAAAGACACAAAACCCATTTGGAAGAAGGATACAGAACGCAGAGGAGGCGCTGCAAGGGTTTGCCATGTCATGCGCATTCATAGAGTATGGACTAGTGTGAATTCACTCATGAACAGAGAAGAGATGGCAAACACAAAGAGCTGTGGAGTATTAATGGCGCTGCGATCGAACCTGATAACTCAGTCTGCCTCCTCTTCACCCATCTCCGCAATCTCCTTGTCCCTCCTCCAGTCACTGAGGAACTTTAGTCTGGCCATTGCACTGCCTTTTCCGTGTTTCACTTCCAATCTCCTGATTGCTCTGGCATCACTGCCCTCTACGATTATATCTTCCTCCTCTGTCCATACACCCGCTACATCTGCCTCTTCTTCTCCGGCCTCAAGCACCATCACAGCTAACTTGGGATTGAAAGACGTTTTGCGCAGAGCAGCAATGACAGCATCTTCAGTATATCCAGCAGATATTTGTGCATCGATCCAAGGCCACATTTCGCCAGCAGACAGAATTTGAGAGTCTGTGTTTGCAACAGCATAGTGTTGAGTCTGTACTCCAAGGTCCAAAGGTGGGAGTGGGATTTCAGCATCGAAGGATTGGGTTTCGGCTTCGTAGATTGCTTGGGTGGAAAGACGTTGGTTTCTTTGCTGTGATGCAGAGAGCGCGGAGGAGACTTCCCAAGGCTGGGTCTGCGGGGCGTCGAGGTGAATACTTGGGTTGTTGGCACGGTATTCGGCGGAGGAGTTGTAAGAGGGGTTATCGAGGTTTGGGTCGATTTCTAGGAGGGCGGGGTCGTATTCGCGCTGGTCTTGTTGGTTGTTGTGCATGACAGTATCTTCGTCGTCCTCGTCAATCTCATCATCTTGATTTAGTTGATGATCGTGTGTCTCACTGGTTTGTAGAATCTTGTCTTTCATGCCTTGCGGCAACATGCTTGCAAGGTAGTCTGCAAATCCGGGTTGGTCGTCGTTCTCATTATCTTGCTCTATATCCACTGCTTTCTTCTCGGCCAAGCCCGTTTCTGCTTGGATACGTGCAAGATTTGCTCTAGTCAGCTGATGGCGAATATCCCTATTCTCTACCATCTCACGTCGCAATTGTTCAGCGGCTTGATCCTCAGGGACTTCTTCCTCTTCGTCAGAGTGGTGACTTAATGGAGGCGCAACTTTGCTGGAAATGCTGACCACATCATCAGCATTGGGCCTCGGGACAGTCTGGACAGGAGTGGGGCTTTTGTGCGGCGCGGTAGGCGGTGTTGCCGTGCGTCGACGTTTGGGCGCGGGTTCTTCTTTCACAGAACTTTCGCGAGCCTGTTGTTTCCGTTTGGCAGATACCGTTGCCGTGGTTCTCTCCACTTTGATGAAAGGGTCTGCCACATCATCCACCTCTTCGTTTTGTTTTGCGGATTCTGTTCTCGAGACGCGAGGTGTCGACTCCTCTGCAGCCTCAGCAGATCTTGCAGGAGCTGGTTGTCTTTCAGGAACGCCGTCTTGTTTAAGATGTGGCAAGGTCGTGACAGGTTGACCTTGGTTTCTCCAGAACTCGGCCCAAGCTCCACCACCATGAGTTTCAAGGAGTTCAAAATCATCCTCTTCTTGTAACACAACTGGCAACACACGTCGTTCATAGAACGATCTCCACTCAACAGCAGTGTGACTTTTCTTGAAATCGGCCCAAGAGATCCATGATTCCTGGTAGCGCCCGACTCGAACATTTTGTATGTCGAGGGCGGCGTCCAGGAGATTATCATAATCTTCTTGTGTGAAAGTCGAGTCGTCATGGAACTGAGGTTCGAGATCTGCTTGTACAGCTCTGTGACGGAGAATCTCACGAGAGCCTTGAGCCTCGACTTGTGTTGATGGTTGGGTGTGGAGTGAATGGGGCTGGGCTGAAGTTTGTTGCGACATGACAGGCGAGCTCACATTTCGGGTTCTAGCCATCGGAGTGTTGGCCTGGTTCTTAGATGTCGCAGCTGGGCGCGAGGTAGTCGGGTAAGAGATAGTGGGTCGAGAAGCGGTTGTGAGAGGCTCAGGATCTGCAACAGGCTCTTTTTGACTTGCAGCACGGTCTCGTATAGAGGCTTGAGGTGTGCTTTTCGATGCTTTTTCTTTCAGAGCCACAATCGGACGGGTGACTCCCGATCGAGGAGTAGTATTCTTCGAATTCTCTACAGATGCCGAGGCTCCTGGAGGAATTCTGAAGCTTGAACGCTTCAAGGGCGGCTTGCTGATCGGTGATTCTGGCGAAGGGTCTAGGCGAGCAGAGATATGATTTTCCCCGTCGGGAATGGCATTGTCTTCGAACGGGCCATCGTCCTCTTCCTCATCCAGAGGCTCTCGAAGCGATAGATGCCTGATCCAGCGGTCTCTCCAAGAGTGATAGGAATGACGTGGGTTTCTCGCTTCCAGCTCTTTGTATATAGCATTGCCACTGAGTGAAGCACCCTTTCTTGCCTGCATGGCTACGAAAGCTTCCAACACTTCGTCATCTTCTTGGGTGAAGGGTATGTATACGCGGGGCTTGGAGGGCGACCTGGTCACTGATCTTCTGACAGCGGTAGAGCGAGGAAGAGCGGTTGAGGGTAGGTCGGCGATGGGCGTGTCAATAGTGGGTAGATTCTCGTCGGGGTAAGTCTTCCATCCCGTCGGAGGTCTTGTGGAAAGAACCTTGACGTAACGATCACGCCATGAATGATAAGTGTGTCTTGGGTTGTGCTCGGCGAGGACTTTATAGAGGGTGTTGCCCTGTATAGCGAGACCTTCCTGATCGGCCTTGTTGACCCACTTGTACAGCAGCTTGTCATCGTCGTCGGTGAATGGAGTTCTTGTCGACTTCTTGGAAGGGCCGGCAGCGGTGGTGACGGGGTTTGCGGATTTACGGCGGCCAGCGAGAAAGGGAGAGTCGTCTTCGGGTATTTGCCCTTGCTTGATGGCTTCTTCGAGGAACTTGTAGCTTAGAGAACCAGCGGGCGCATCGTGTCGCATGTGATCGGCGATCAGGTAGTCAGCCTGGGCCTCGAGTTTGACCACTCGGCCGCCATTGCTCTCGACCAGCGAGATGTAGTGTGAGCGTTGCGGCACGCGCTGCACAATGAAAAACTTATTGCCGCCAAACACGCAGCCTTGCACATCAACCGAGTCGGCCATATCTGAGTAAACGATGGCCAGCGGCATGTTGCGCAGTTGTTAGTGTAGGTGTTTGCTGCCCTCGGCCAGAAACATCGAGGCAGACGCGACGGCACGCGTCCAGCCGAAGCTTCTTTCCACTTTCGGCAGAATGACGTGCCAACCGTGCCTTCCTTCTTTCCCACCTGCATCTCTTTACGTGTCGGCAGCAAGACACCACAGCATTAGGATGAGAGACAGCCGCAGCATACCATGATCGCCTTTCGCAACACCATCATTTTGGTGGTCGTCATTTCTCTCTTCACCTTCATAGCCCTTTTCGGTCGGCTTCCAGCTCTACGCAAGACTCCCATCGGCTTCAGTCACAGGCTGCTCTGCATATACATTCCCAATGGCTTCCGTCAAGTCGACTCACGCTATACCGGTGGTCGCATGAACGCTAACATCGCACAATTGAGCAACTACCTCTTCCACCAAAAGAACCCTCTCGTATTACTCCTGTTTCTGGTCCTCTTGACAGGCAGTGCAACTCTCTTCCTCCGGGCTGCGCTTCCTCACCTGAGCACCTCCTTGATTTTACCCATACCTTTCGTTGTGCTGGCTCCCTATACCTTTACCTACCTCTGCGTCACCAGAAAGACCGACTACATCACTCATGCGAACCATGCACCCGCGATGCGACAATACCCCTACGACCACATACTCTTCCGTCCCGACAACCTCTGCCGTACCTGCAACTTTACGAAGCCTGCAAGAAGCAAACACTGCTCGTTGTGTGGCGTCTGTGTTGCAAGATGTGATCACCACTGCGCTTGGATAAACAACTGTGTTGGGAGACACAATTACCGCTATTTCCTGCTCTTGCTCCTCAGCATCGGTATTGTAGAACTCTACGGCGCATATCTATCCTGGTCAGTCCTGTCACCACACCTACATCTTGGTCACTCCAAGTACGGTTGGTTGGAAAAACAATACTGGGCAGAGTTGGGCAACGCCTTTGTCTTTGCAATGAGCATCGGTGGAATCAGTGTTGCTGGTGTTGGTCTCCTTGCCATCACTACTATGCCGCTACCATTTGCACTCTTCGCATATCATCTCTATCTTATCTGGGCTGGCATGACTACTAATGAGAGTGCAAAGTGGGCAGACTGGCGAGACGACATGACCGACGGTATGGCATGGATAGGGAAGCGTAGTGTTATTGAAGCTCACAACAAGGAGCGGAAAGCACGCCATCTGCGGAATCGCAACAGAATGAGTGGACTGGCTGGTCCAGTACCAGACTCCGACGAAGACGAAGAGGAATACGTTCCTTGGCCAAAGCACAGCGACCAGACCCTTGTTAGCACTACAGACGGAAAGGCCCCCACAGGACAGGAACAGCTCTGGGAGAGATGCATGAGTCTGGACATGGTGGAAAACATCTATGACCTGGGCTTCTGGCGTAACTTTGTTGCTGTCATGACCGGTAGGTAGAAGTGACTACATTGATCATCCTATTCTTCGTTCTCACTCTGAACCATAACTCTGTGCCCAGCATGTCTTATGAATCATCCCCTCGCAATAAGAAAGTCATTGGAGGTGTATCTGTGAGAGACGACGAAGAATGAGCATCCCAGGACTTGAAATTTATAGCCTCGCTCTCGACGCCCAGGAGAATGTCTGCGAGCAACAACAATGCATTGTGTTGTCGAAGACAAAGAACAGATTTGGAAGGTTGGTAAACTGGCATTTGCAACTTCGAGGTCGTCGCTTCCTCGATAACTTTTGTGTGGCCAAGCGCCTCGCTGCCTCACGCTCGAAATCAAGGTCGCTTCTCTGAAAGATCTTTCCCTGGCACCAACTCTTCTCTTCTGCTTCACATTGACCTTCACAAGAAGTCTTGTCTCATCAAATCTTGAGGGTCAACTACCACGATCCTTTGCGCGCTGCTATCCAAGCATCATCTCTGATTCCCACACTCCGCGCTTCACTTCCAATCTCGTTTCCACCGCGTCACGACTGCACTCGGGTTACCTTTCCTACGCTTTCCATCCACCTTGACTGTTCTGCTGCACCAGCGCGCTTAGGCTTTCGTCTGCCAAGATATCAGTTCCAACCAACGCAGTCTGTTGATCTCTTGTCAGCGCCTTTTGAAGATCGTTCGTTGGTCAATTTCCTCTCACTGCGTAGCTGCTTCACTTTCTGGCGCCCACACCTGCTTCGAGAAAGTTTCGGTTCGTGTTCACACCAATCCACATCCATTGATTTGCTCAGCCTGCTCACATCTTGTCAGCACTATGTCGGGACAACTCATCTCGGACCGCATTCCAAGGCGCCTCATCGAAGATCGTTCCAAGCTGGAACTCAAGCACTCGCTGAAACCGCGCCAGTTAAATCTGCTACTCCCACTGACACCGAAGCTCACCCCTCGAAGGATTTCGAGTCAGCTGGATGTATCGAACAGAAGAAGCAGCTTGATGAAAAGTGCAAATTTCTGCGGCAGCCATGCGATCATCTTCAGTCTGAGATCAAAATGGAGACAGAGGAACAAGCAAAGGTTCAACAAGAATTGGAGCAGCTCCAGCAGTCTCTCAAGGAGCTTGAAGACAAGCTTGCATCACGGGCTCAGTTGCCCACACCTCCTCCAAGTTCGCCACCACGCCCTGTCACCACAAGAGCAGAGCTGATCGCTACAGATTACCATAGATCTAATGCTTTCGAGGCTTCTGAGCTTACTGATCACCCTAGCGAAGATGATGCGAACACCACTGCCAATAAGGATGATGCAAGCATTGCTCCGGATAAGAAATCTCTCGTCTCCATCACTGAGACTACTCATGAGCTGCCTGATTCACCTGAAATGATCGCTCTTTGGCGTGGGGTGTCACGTTATGGATGTCTGGATGAGTGAGTAGGACAACTGACAAGACTTTGGAGACTATATGCTGATCTCGATGACAGAATGCTGGATGCAATTTCTGACATGAACAGACAGTGCCCTCATAACAATCAACGAATCGAAGAAGCTGTCAAGTTCTTTGGCGCTCCACAACCCAACTTCCTAGATATGCTAAGATCCATGGACATTACCAGATTCCCAAAGCAATTCGCACATGTACTTCAGAATCTGTACGAGGCATCGCCCACCAAGAGACCATCGCTTGTTATCGAAGCACTTGGTTCTGGGAGATCGCTCTCGTTAGCAGTACAGCTTGCAAGAGTGGCACACAACCATATCAAGGAAGGCAAGCACGAAATTGCAGCCATTGGGCTGTTTTCGAAGCAGAGTTGTGCTACACACGCAGTACAGCTCCTTACTTTCCTGACGTGGAATACTGCCATTGAGGTCGTTCACGTGAAAGACGATATGGATTTGCAGGGGCTCCTAGCACAATTCGACTCGGATTACCCCACATCTTACTTGGCCATCCTCGTAAGATGCGCGAGCTCTTGTCAAACATTCCTAAAGTATGCACCGACGATGCTGCATTGCTCGCAATCGAAGACTTCGATTTGCGAAGATTCTTCAAGTTCAGACACGATGTCAACACGATCAGAGACTGACTTTCTGCAGCAAAGACAGAGGTTTTCGCTTTTGTTCACTCTGGCGTCCAGATGCTTACGGGTCAGGAGCCGGAAATCATTGACTACTCTGCTCTTTGCAAGGAGTCAAACTGATTGGCTCGATGAGGTCTGGTACGATAGTTCTCTTTGGTGTTCAGATTGTTTGTGGTTGCGGAACTTTGATCGCTGCATTCAATGGGGATGTGGTATAGCTTTGAGTTGCTCCAGTACGTACGTAACATTTCAAGCTCTTCTATGTTCTGTGCATCGTGTTTTCGTCATACAATGATTGACATTGAACATCCTGCGGCAAAATGTCGGCAGCGAAGCATGAGCAGTGGGGCTGTGTGACTGCAGTCGGCCAGGTCGTAAGTTGCGATAGCATCGCGCATTGATGATTTACGCGCCAGGTCGACAGCGATGTGCGCGTGTTTAGGTAGATTGACGAATCATGCATGTGCAGCTGCGGCGACCACGCTCGGGGGACAAGTAGTGTAAAGAGAATCCTCCGAGTCGTGCTTATCTTTTCCTTGCAATAGCTTCCATTCAGACACCCTCGACAGTCGACATCGTTGCACAGCCATGGCCAGAACGAAAGCCCAAGCGATAGAACAGGCTGGCGCGCCGCCTTCGTGGGACACACAGACTCTTGCGCGCACTCTTGACGACCATGGCTCGGCTCCAATCAAGATCGCTTGGTCACGCACAAATGGCGACTCCTCGCCCCTTCCACCTTTTCCATTTCATGTCTATCTGACCCGTGGAGCAGACTCGTTGACCGCCGATGAAGTCTTGGGCTATCAGCTTCTATATCGTCTACACACACAGGAGCTTGCCGACCCGTGCTGGCATCTCGAGCTGTTCACGGTCGTTCAGGATAACGTCTTCGCCTGCGTAGAGCATTACGAGCAAGAGAAGGCCTTCAGGAAGTTTGGATTCCATGCACCTTACATGCCAGACAAGAATTGTTTCCTAGTCATCGACTCGGACAAGTGGAGAGATGAGGGGCTGCTATCGGTTCGATACACAAAGGAGAGAGCTCACCTGCCTTACAATGTGACGGCTGAGAGATATAAGAGTTGGAATCACTTAGCAACTCGTCTCAGAGGGGAGTGGTCTGAACAGGGAATGACAAACATCGAGGAGCTGCTCGACGGGGAGAATCTTGCTCGTGGTTGGCCAATCAATCTCAATCTTTATCCTGAGGGTGGTCCCGATCAGACCGTCAATGGAATGACGCTCGCTACGTATGAACAACCGAATTCGTCCTCGGATCAGCCTGCCGATGAGGCGCCAGATTTCGAGGACATCAGCGTACACATGAATGGCACCGTCGCTGAGAAGCGCCAAGATTCTGAAGGTTTCCCTTATACAGCACTACGGTACGACGCGAGCCAGGCTCCTCGCTTTGTCTATTACCTCTTTGTACTCGGTCGCGATATATCATCCGAGGACATCTTGAAAGTCTTTACGCGGCTCAATACAGGCTTGCTGGCTGACGTATCATGGACTTTGCACTTATACCCGGACGCCACCATGTCTTCCGCCTCCTCAATCTTTGCACGAGCCATGAATTCAAGAGGCCAATCGGACACGTCAACACACATCCCTTCCAGCTATGCCGGGCCTCCACTACAGATGTATCGAGATGTATACATGTGTCTCGACGCTTCAAAGCCCCAGCCCGACGCGCCCAGTTTCTGTCTTGCTCGTCCAGGTCCAAACACTTTCCCGCGATTGGATTCTGATGTGGACGACCTCGACCGCGTTCCAAACCATCAAGACAAGTATGCTGGCGAGCCGGACAGTCTTGATCTTTACACATTCAATCCTGGGTCATGGGAGCTTGCGGGAGATATGCTTCACACCTATTTCACCCTCTGCTCACACACTCAGGCCGTAACTAGGTCGCTTTCCTCCTCCCCTAGTCCCAGTATCTCCCTAAGTATTTCAGTCAACTCAGAACTCAGCTCCATTGCAGCGATTGCTTCGCCGATAGAGCTGTTCATCACTTCTCATGCCTCGTGCCCACTCACGCTGAATGTCACGGGCACGATCTTCGACACATCAGACTGGCACTCGTATCTACGCATTGTTCAAATCGACACCTCCGTTGAGTTACATATCGACCCTGTCAACAAAAGACCAACTCGCGTGTCTTCCCTTGGGGAACGCCTGCTCGACTACGGCTTCACAAAGCGCGTTTCAGACACCGGCGACGATCGACCCCCACATCTCATAACTCTTTATCCCAACACTCCGCTACAGCTACCCGTGCAGCGCCCGTTACCCGCCGAATCTCTTGCCAACTTGCGCCCTGACGAGAATGCAGACGACAAACGGTTCCTTGACAACCACAAAGTCGAAGGTCAAGCACATTTCAATGCACCTGACATTTTCCAGAAGAGTTTGTATGAGAGGTATCAAGGCAGTTGGAAGGTCGGGAAACGTCATACCATTGAGCTGCGTGATGACACTACGATTCCGAGATGGACTTGGGGTACTGCTGCGGAGCTCCAGGGACCTTATGGGTTGCCAGCGCTTGCTATCTATGTGGAAGAGGGAGGGAGTCGGGAATTTGTGCTTATAGATTGAGGACTGAGCGATGTAGCTTCTCGAAAATCCCAGGGGTTCGGAATCATTGATCACATTGCTTACTGTAAGGAGTTGAGCTCCTCTTCTTTGAACGAGGTCTGGCATGGTAGTTTGCCTTGATTTAGAGCTTGTTTGTGGTTGCGGAATTCTTGATTGCCACAAAGCATGGGGAAATGGTAAGGCTTTGAGATGCTCCTGTAAACGAAAAACGATGGTTTCGCTTGCTTCTTATCGGTTTGTGGTGTCAAGCTGCAAAAGCTTCGATCAATGACAAGATATTCCGGACTGTTGCCTGCCTTGATGCGCAAGCCCTTCTGCGGAGGGAGAGTCATTGTGCAGCCTCTCTTTTGCTTGCTTGTTTGACACGTCTTGTAACCGTCCAGCATCGGTCATGTATAGAAATGTAGCAATGCTTCGAGAGCCATGAATTTGGCCACAGAGAGCCACTGCATGAAGGTTCGGAATACAGTAGAAGAGAGTTCACTAAGTCAAGGATGTCATCATCTGCTAGAGTTGTTTCGATGCCACTCACATCACTCTGATATCGCAGCGATTGCGCAGCAAAACAAAGACATCGAGTCTACGCAAGATCAAGGCATCTAAGCACCCAAAGAAGGCTTCCCATCACCATTGAGCCCACCTCGCTGCTTTATATACAAAGCTCATCACGAAACACCAATTTGAGATCTTGGCTGCAAACGCAAACAAATCATCGACCTATCCTCCATTATGAGTTGCTCTATATATTCAATCAATATGGTCACTGGCCCTGTATGACATGAACATGGCAAAGGATTTCCTCGTCCAGTCTGAGGAAGAGCTCGAGGTCTCAAGTGCCCCTGGAATGGAAAACACCCCCACCCGAGGACGAAGCCTCCAAGCAGTAAGCCTTGCGGTCGACACGATATGATACATCTTATACTCAGCCATCAAGACCAACAACAACAACAAGATCAAGCAAGAAGTGTTAAACCACCTAAGAGCCCTGGTGTCGCTATGGGCACGAACACCTCACCCCCATCGGTGCCAACTATCCGGTGTCCGACCACAGAATCTCCAGCACACCCTGTACCCGGGTTCCTCGTTGTCAAAGAGAGGCTCTGCAACATTAACAAGCAGGTCTGGGTCTGAGTCATACTTCTGACACCTCTACATCAACCCCTGGATGTCTCTGCCCAAAGATCTACTCTCTTCCATCACTATGAGCCTTTGCGGTGTCTTCATGTTCCACACCTGCTGTGGCAAGCAATATGAATACTACATTCCTGACACCAACACTATTGTCTGATGAGTTATATGCACAAGAGAAGCCATGGAAGACACCATGGTTCATGGAATGCGCTCTACAGAGCAGGCTTTGATCATGCTGTATGCTGCCTATTCATCCATTGCTACACGATCATCATTCCCAGAGATCCCAGGTTCTTATCTCTTCTTCCTGATCCCACATGAGATCAAAGACCAAATCAACGACAGTCACTCCAATAAGCTCGTCCCCTCCAGCCGCTACCGCATCTGTCCTCTGCCTTGAAAGTGCAAGAAGGGCAAGCAGGGCAATAAGGGCAAGAATTAACGCCGTCGTATTGGCATCCCTTATCTTGGATACCGAGGACTTTGTGGATCTCGAGGGAGACCTCGAGCAGCTGTTACGCACTACCGTACCCTGTCTGAAGGCAGAGAGGACTACCACCCTTCTTGCAGAGACGAAGTGCACATGAACATTCCCCTCGACCCAGCAAGAAAGCCTAGAGCTTGGTTTATCTTATGCGCTTCCTCATTGTCTGTGATGAGCTATATATAATCTATGAGAGCATGGGCGAACTCTCCAGAAAGCGCTGCAAGACTCAGCCCACCCTGCTGAGCAGCAGGGATTTCGAGGCCCACAAGAACAAGAAGAAATACGGCTTCCGCCGCTAGGTACAACACCCTCGTTGCTGCTTCTTGCTATGAGGCTATGATCTTGATGTGGGCCTCCGGGACAGGCATGAAGAGTATGTCCTTCCGCCACAAGAACAACTCATACTCATTCCACCAGCAACAGCGACACAGAGGCCGATCTGGATGAGGACGAGCCTGTGGAGCTTGACATGTACCGTCACCACATCCACGAGTGTTAGCTCTTAGTCTTTATCTGTCGTGCCTTGATATCACAGAGCTTATCTTTGGGATCAATGTACAAGTCCGCAAAAGGCAAATTATGACTGCCTTCTTCAATATATCTTTTGCATTTCGTCCTAATCGTGGATTGGGACCACGATTACACAAGAAATTGCAGGTATATAGACAAAAGTACCGTTATCACTAACGTTTCCTTGAGGATCCTGTCTCTGAGCGGGCTCAATCAATTACCACTGCTCCTCGCCCCACCATGGAGGACGACGTCGGTCACGAAATGGGTCTTGCCGACTGGCAGAGTGCTGTCAAAGACGAGGAGGATCTTACCTAGCTCAAGCATACCCTCAAGGACGCTCCCGCCGAGAACATCGGTGACGTCGAGAAGTGGGCTGTCCGCAAGAAGCAGGAAAAGGAGGCCAAGGAGGTTGATGTGGTCCATTGCGCCGCCAACAAGAGGGAGCGGAACGAGGCAAAAAAAACCTGAGGGTCACATGGCCGCCATCTCTACTACCCCTGGAGAGGTCAAGAAAGAATCTGGAATGGGCTTTTGGTCGTCTGGCCATCCACCGTGATCAATATCGATGTCACAGAAGATATGCTTTAGAAGACAGACTGTGTTTGCGCACAGGCGCATCAGATTCTAGCCTTGCCTCCTTCTAACACTCTGTCGTACGTTAATGACCAACAATCATGGAGTTGGATTGTATAAAGAGTGTATTGGGTCGAGGACGGTAATATCGAGGCTCATCAATGGACCAAGAACGGGGAGGGTGGGGCAGAACCACAGCAACCACATGATATAGTCGTCGATTGCGCAGAGTTCACTGAATGCATTCAGGAGACTATCAGGACACTCTCTGAGGAAAAAGGATCTTCTTCCAAGCAGTTTTGACGCCCATTCGTCGCCCTGAGAAGCTCCTTCAATCACTCCTGTCTCAAAAGATTGCTTTGACCGGGATATGCTAAGAGGCTGCTAGGACCGTTACCTCCTGTGTGTTTACGCCAGCCTCTCGGAGTTCCCAGGGAGTAATGAAGCCTGAGGTCCTTGTGTTGAAGGTAGTAGGATGTGACGCGAGCAGACAACCCATTCGCAAATCGATCGAATTACTTTTCCATCTATGACCATGTTTCCCTTATAGGCGAAAATATCTCTGTAGTGATCAATCTCCACGATTGAGGTTACTAGACCGAGCGAAGAATTTCAAAGCAGACCCTAGAACGTAAATCCTGTCTCCAGCCTCAGTCGCTCTTAATGCTTTTTCCGTTACAATTCTATTGAAGTTGCGTTTGCTAATCAGCAAGGCGGGCTGTGAAAGCAAAGACTATCAATCACGATAGACATTATTACGTTCCGCGGCTCGCTCAGCATCATCATGAATGCTACGGTGCCCCATCCCATCCAACACAAGCTGGTTGACAGAGGCCTCGAAAGTAGCACGAAGAGTCGGGAGACCCAAGACCTCGTTTCCTATCTCCACGCAGACAAGCACTATAGTGTCATCTCATGTTGATCATTATCTCTTATCCATAACCATGGAACAACTGGTGATGATTTCCGACTCAGTATATCTGTGAAGCTTCAAAAGCATTTTGTGACACTCTTGGACAGTTTCGCCGATGGAAGGCGACTCCGGATTGCTATCAGATTTCATTGGTGCTGCTGATGCTTCGTCGCANGTATGATCAATGCTGTCCACAAACATACAAGCACACCATGCCTCGTCGACGCCACTTTCTTGTATGAAGCGACCCATGACCCGGTAGCTCCGCTAGTATGATGAATATACAGAAACAGAGTAGGAACAAATGCTTACCTCTTTGCGAAGCCGAGCCGCACAGACTATGGGAGATAACAGAGGCAACATGTTGAAAACTTAGTGATAGGGAAGATACAATGAAGACCTGGGTAAGGAAGAATAAGGATATCGTCAACAGTATAGTTTGTAGCTAATTATGTGAAAAGCTCCTGAGCAATTAGAAAATGTAAATCAGAGCAGGAGAAAAAGTCACCCTTTTATCATGGTAATGGCAAAAACATTTTGTTGCACGACTGAGCTGTCGCCGAACTCAGAGTGTAATATGAAGCACTTTGTCGCGACAGTTGTGCCGTTCAGTCGCTCTTGCTTTGAAGAAGTCTCCTTGTTCAGACCGTTGCATGCGACGAGACCTTTTGGTCAGGCCGGAGGTAAGCAGCGGGCACTCGCGAGACAAAAGTGTTGGCCAACAAAGCATATCGTCAGAGATTTTTTCCCTTTAGCAAAAGATCAAGCACTCCTTTGCATCAACTTGACTCTGTGAGAAGGCATGTCTGGCACAATGCCTGAGCAAGACCTGTGTCAACTCCAGCATTGTCTGCACAATCTTGTAAAGGATTGTTGGTCGTCTCGCCCGACATCGAAGCCCCAATCAACTCCAGGCTTCGTTTGAGCCTCACTCGACTGTCTAATCCTCTTCATGTGGCAGCCTTGCTGTTCAATTATGCAGGAGAGATTTGAGCTAACTGCTTGTCGCCCGATTGTGCGGTGTCTGATCATTAGGGACTGGAAAGTCCCTCAATGCAGTGGGTTGTTTTTGCAAGTCTGACAATTTATGATGCAGCTATATATATTTACCCAATTCGAATTTCCTCAAATCCGAAGGCCCTATGGTCTAGTGGTACGATGTACGTTTATCCCGACATGTGACTTCCCGATTCTTAACTAATCAGAGTTTAGACTTGCTTCGGGTAAAACCGCCATCTCAGATGGTCTGACTGTGAGTGGTCCCGGGTTCGAATCCCGGTGGGGCCCATTCGATTCTTTTTGCACTTCTCGAGAAGGTTGTATCTAGCAGTTGTGATTGTCCTGGGAACGAGAGACGTCGGTTGCCGTTCAATATTTGGGTTTTGAAGCCTAGGAAAGGCTTGAAATCCTGGCCCAACACCTTCGTCTTCTCTCTCAAAGCCAGCTGGAAGTTGTCAATGTGTATGATAATGTTCAGGGTAAAGAATTGTGCCAGCAGACAGCGAAGTGTATTCAAAGGAGATCTTTCTAATTCTTGTAAACAGAACGTCTGTGAACTCACAATTATATGATCCATTTCGTTGTCCGAAATTCGAGCCCAACACTCACTCGATGTGTCCATGAACACACGCCTCTGTGTTCGGACCAGGATCACATTCGAACACCCAGCAAGACCGTCACTCTCAGTGGATACCGAAGTGCAGATGACACTATTATGCACTTTGATAACCCACACGTAGTTCTGACACTGTTATGGGATGGGAAGAACGCATGGATATTCGAGTACCCGCACTCACCCTGGCTTCCCCGCCCTGCCGATCTCGAACATCATCTTCATCCCTGCTTGCTACATCTCCCTGCCAAAAGATTATCATTCTAACACGATCACGATGATGTCTACATCAGAAGCTCTAGAGTACCTCGGCGCAGCCACAGCTCTCCTACTCACCTACAAAGCCGTCTCCTTCATCAGCGTCTACCTCAAACCCTCCCGATTACACCTCTACAACCCTTCCGGCAACTCCTGGGCTCTAGTCACTGGCAGTACAAACGGCATAGGCGAAGGATTTGCCCACGCCCTCTGCGCCAAAAACTTCAATGTGCTTCTCCACGGTCGCAATCAGCAAAAACTGTCTACCCTAAAATCGACATTGGAAAAACAATACCCAGGAGTGCAAATCAAGACTGCAATTGCAGATGCATTCAACATCGACGCCGACATCTCTTCTATCGCAGAAACCTGCAAAACTTTACCTGGACCGCTTACTCTGCTCATCAACAATGTAGGCGGCGCGCCATTAAGTCCTTCCTTCGGAACTCTGGCAGAAGTAGACGCGACATACGTGGACAAGATGATAAACCTCAATTCCCGCTTTCCGACGCAGTTGACCCGTGCTTTACTCCCTCTACTCTCCGAGTCCTCCGCATCACTGATCATGAGCACTTGCTCCATAACCGGTTTCCGCGGCTTACCCTACCTCTCCGTGTACTCGTCCACAAAAGCCTTCAATTACGCATTACATCAATCCCTTTCCTCTGAGCTTGCTGCCGAGAGTTCTGGAGTGCAAGCATTGGCGATCGTGATAGCGAATGTGGTTAGTGGGGGTAACAAGACTACAGAAGGCATGTTTACTTGTACGGGACTGCAGATGGCAGAGTTTTCGTTGCAGAGGGTGGGGTGTGGGCAGATTGCAGTGTTTGGGTGGTGGAGACATGCGGTGCAGTGGTGGTGTATGAGTTTGTTGCCTGAGTGGGTGACTGAGAAGGTGTTGATTCATGTTATGAAGGAGAGGAGGTTGGAGGAGCAAAAGGGAGAGTGATATTGATTTGTCTGGTTGGAAGAAACTAACTCCTAGATGTGTGTTCGCGCTTGAAAAAGAATGATTTACAACTCACTCACCATCAACAAGATATCGCAGCGAGTGAGACTCGAATTCGCACTTCCTCAAGTCCAGATGAAGTATACGGTGTTATTTATGCCCTGTGCTCCTACCATACACACGCAACATCTCTTCCTCTACGATGAAATCCTTGCGAAGCGTTGCACCGGTACTCACAGTAAACACGCATAGCAGACATGAAGAAGAGACAAAAGCTATGATATTTCCCATACTCCCGCGACCGATAATCTCGCTATGTACCTCGCTATGAATAATGCAAAACATCAAACATTGCCAATGACAATCATAAATCGTAACTTGTTCGCATCCCTCACAGGAATCTCTGCTTCAGGGTTAATCTCATCACCGAGCATACCATCATCAAGCATCAATGTACTGCTCTTCCATCCCCAACTCTGGCTAAAGTTGAATGTGTCTGGTGCGCTCTCGTAAACACTCAACATACGTCCACCTTTGCTGGGTGAATATATCTTGAAATATGTCTTGATTGTTGGTCGACTGTCGACATATGGTGGTAGAGTCGACACGCGAACGCTGCGTGTGAGCTTTGCAATTTCAGGATCTTCGTCTTCAAAGTCCGAGTCTTGTTCGTCGTAATATGCAGGTTTGGTTGGAAAGTTGGACAAGACATCCAACTCACTGCTCTTACGGTATCCACCGAGACCTCGAGATCTTGGGTTCGTTTCAGCACCGGCAGGTCCTCCATCCGGATCAGTATCGCCACTGCTATCGGCATTGTCTGGATCTGCAATATCACCACTACGTCTGCGGGCTAGTAAACGCCTTCGTTCTTCAGCTCTGCGATCAGCGCGCAGAATCATTTCGCGTTCAAGATGTCCGATCCTCTCATCAACGCGAGTGTTCGGCACCGTCTGTCCACCAGCCGCCAGTGTCTCATCCGTCTCTCGCTCTTTGGCACGATGAAGGTATACTCCAAGCTGAGGGTTCTTACCCCTCCGGACCTTCTGAATGTACAGGTTCCACCAAGAGCCCGAGTAGAAGATAGTACGACTGTACACGCGCTTCTTCTCTTTGAGCAGTCGAGGACTCGGAAACTCGACAGCGAATCTGAATGGCGGAAAATGAGAATAGCTGACGGGACGCAACTCGGATGTGGTCGAATCAGCAGCAGAGTCGGGTCGAATGATTTGAGGGATTGATCGAGTGTCTGATGGGTTTGCAGCAAAGTCAGAAGCCCACTGCACATCTTCCGGCTGGATAGTAGCAGAGAGACGATTGGACTGTGTGTTTGCGGCAGACATCATTGCAGGATCAGTCGCTCCTCCCATGACAATGTTACAGTCTGCTGATGGAATCCAGAACTTGCGAGGCTTGCCGTTGCCATCCCAAGAATTTGAAGCAATGTCCTCGTCGTCAAAGTCGTCAAACTCATCAGAGGCCTCGACTTTNTGTTTCCCTTTGACCGAAGGCTCTGTCAAAGATGCTGCCCTCAAATGAGGACTTCTTAGCTCACTGACTCCTTCGCTCAATCCAAGCTCCATCTCACCATCCTTGGCGTTCAGGACTTTCTGACGTAATTCCATCTGCATCCAGAGCGCATTCGATATCACCTTGTCGGGCATCATGGGAAGACCAAGTATGTCGCGAGCCCGACGGATGTACTGCAGTTGCTCGAAGTCGAGGTGGATGTAGTGTATGCCCTCATCCAGCAGAACCAGTAAAGGCTCGATATCTGGATGAGTGTAGAGGCTGATCCATCTGTGCAAACCATCTGGAGCTGCACCGGCAGCCATAGCGTTTTTGCGATAGACTGAGTCAAATCGCACGGCCATGAGATTGGCAGTTTCGGGAGCCTTTCGTACTTTCGACCAAGAGACGGGATCAACCAGTCCGGCCTCAACAGCAAGTGTTTTGAGATGGCGATCCAGAAGACGCTTGGCAAGGACCCATCTGTCCCATTCACCATTGATGAAAAAGCCATCACCACCGACAATCTCGCGAATGATGTCGCCAGGAATGCCGTCCCAAAACTTGGTCGACATCTTCCAACCATCACGACACAACATAGCCTTGGCCGACGCAAGAATCTTGTCTCCAGACCGGCCGTAGTAGTTGCTTGTGACAAGTTTGATTAGAGGCGCCAGGGTAGCAGTCGACATCTGTCGTAGCATAGACTCAATACTGGAGTCGATAAGATCAGGCATCTCCAACCAACATGCGGTAGCAAACAAGCTTACTGCTTCAGCATCTTCTTCCTCGGGTACAGCAGCACCATATAGACGTTTCAAGGCCAGCTCGAACGAGACTTGAGTGATGTTGGTGTCGATATCCTCTGGATGTAGGGTGATGTCGCTTGCCTTGCTTTCGAGCCATGGACCAGATAGAGCAGAAGCGAAGAAAGTAGCTTGATCGAGAATGAGGCGGTGAAGCTTATAAGGGTAGCCAAAAACATGAACAGTAATGTCAGAGTGTCGACCACTCAAAAGACCTCGATTGTAGAGATGAGCAGGTAAAAGCGCAGTGTCACGAGCAGCGACAGCTGANGACTAGTCAGTACAAGGTACTTCAAGTGTAGGTCATGAGACAAGAGGCAAGTGATAAGACATACATGGAATAGGTTGACCATTTGGAAGTTGAGAGTCGGACAAGGGACGATAGTCAGGAGGAGAAGTTACCGACTGGACAGCGAACAGACGACTAAGAGTGGTGAGGGTAGTGCTCTGCTGCCTGTTGACCGAGTAGCGGCTTGACGAAACCGGGTCGCTGGGATCATCGACGTCTTTCTCGACACGAGGTATTCTCCGGCGGTTGATAGTAGCACGGACATGGTCCTCTGGAGATGATGGAGAATCCAGACTTGTGCTTGAGTCGCGTGCGATAGCGCGCGACGAGTCCAAGGTGAGAAGAGCGGGGGCAGGAGTGGGGGTAGACGGAGTGGGAACGAAATGGTTAGGCGAGGAGTTGAAGAGCGAACGGCGTGGGATATTGGAGCGAGAATTAGAAGAGATATTCTGATGTAGAGACGAATTTGACGAGGCATCGAAAAATTGGTTATCGTCGGCCATGATGTCAAGGTCACTTGGAGAGATATGTGCACTGATCTTGAGGAATGAGGCGGATGCACGCTACACAGGCTCTACCTCATGCGTGATAGCTCGGCGGGCGCAGACAGGGATCTGTGTACCGTGTTCCTCCAAGCAGGGAAACAGGCGTATCGCTCAAACAAACAGCGTCGAGTGTGCTGAGAAGCTCTGTCGGAATTCGAGTGTGATCGACGGAAGATTCAAGGAAAGGAAGGTCTTCAGCGCGAAGGATGACATGGGAAATAATGCTCGAAGATTCGGTAGAAGTTCCATCGAGCATGTGGATGGTCGGTGCTGACTGCCAGACGAAAAAGAAGTTCAAGCCACGCGAGAGAGGGACCCTGTTTTTGTGGAGAGACAAACCAAACCAATCATGGTTAGACCGAGATGCGGCGGCGAGCGGCGGAGGTCAGTGCTTGGCATCACGCCAGATGCTATTGGCTACGGCGTGATTCATGACTTGATCTTTCTACGATTCTACAGTGCCATCTTCGTTCCTTCCACTTCGTACCTGAAAGATGCGCCCACCGTTGGCAGTATTTGGAGCGCTGCGGCGCACACTTCCAGCTTTCAATGCTGCCGAGACATTCGTGTGTCGCAAGAGCGTACACAACAAGGCACAGACTGGAGACAAGTCTGTTCGGCAGACTCCATTCTTGAGTGCCTTCCGTTCTCGTGCTGCTCCGGCAAGACAGCAATCGACAACCGCTCCTTCCACGTCCCCGTTATCCGAGCTCAGCAAGACAATTGGTCAAACTTCTGGTCCCGCCAAAACCACAATTGGTCAAACTTCCGCCCCAGCAAGAAAGAGCTCGTTCCCTGAAACCTCAGACAAGAAGGTTGGCTACTGGTTACTTGCCAGTTCTGCGAGTGTCTTTGGTATTGTCATCTTTGGTGGCCTCACCAGATTGACCGAATCTGGGTATGTGGCAATCTTGTTCCTTCATGACTGTTCAACTGACTGAGTGTGGCGCAGACTGAGTATCACCGAATGGCGCCCCGTCACTGGTTCCCTCCCTCCCATGAACGCTGAGAAGTGGGATTCCGAATTCGCCCTCTACCGTGCCTCACCCGAGTTCAAGCTTCTCAACCCTCGTATGACATTGGAAGAGTTCAAACAAATCTACTGGATGGAATGGATTCACAGACTGTGGGGTCGTTTCATTGGAATCACCTTCCTGCTGCCTACCGCCTACTTCATCGCCCGTCGCCGCGTGTCTGCTGGTATGGCTCTCAAGCTTACCGGTATCTGCGGTTTGATCGGATTCCAGGGTGTCATTGGCTGGTGGATGGTCGCAAGTGGTCTCAAGGATGATCTGTTCGCTCCTGGTAGCCACCCTCGTGTCAGTCAGTACCGTCTCACTGCCCACCTGGGTACTGCCTTCATCTGCTACCTCGCCATGTTCTGGAACGCCTTGTCCATCTTCCGCGAGAACCGCCTTCTGGCCAACCCACAAGAGTCTTCCAAGCTGCTCAAGCAGATGATGGTGCCCGAGCTCAAGTTCTTCCGCCGCAGTGTTGGTGCTCTTCTTGCCCTGGTCTTTGTTACCGCCATGTCTGGAGGTCTTGTCGCTGGTCTGGATGCTGGTCTCATCTACAACGAGTTCCCTTACATGGGTCTTGGTTTGACACCACCCAAGAAAGAGTTGTTCGATACCTTCTACAGCCACGTTCCTGATCACTCTGATCTCTGGTGGCGCAACGTTCTTGAGAACCCTTCTCTCGTCCAGCTTGACCACCGTATCCTGGCAACCACCACATTCACCGCCGTCATGGCTCTGTGGGCCTATACTCGCTTCAACCCTCGCGTTCGTGCTTTCATCACTCCTGGCGCAAAGAAGGGCATGCGCGGTGTCGTCCATCTCGTCTGGCTGCAGGTCGCCCTCGGCATCTCCACTCTGCTCTACATGGTCCCTACTCCCTTAGCTTCTGCCCACCAGGCAGGTGCTTTGGCATTGTTGACCGGAACCATTGCCCTTGGAAGCCGTGTCTGGTTCCCCAAGCGTGCTGCCAAGCTTGTAGCTCAACGACTTGCTGCAGGTGTTCCTCGCTCTTCAGCCATTGGTAAAAGAGGACCTGACGCTATGCTTGCTGCCCGTACAGGTCTGCCAAGTCGCTCGTAGGTCTTGAGCATGTATGATTTCCTTGTTGTCTGTATCAACATTTTCCACTCTGCACAACTGTACAAAAGAAAAATACGTTTATAGGTAGTGTGGTGTTCTTTTTGATTGTTTTATGAAACGCATAGCGAGGTGGTGTACATATTCTTTCCATAGATGCAGGAGTTTTAGCTCCTCCCTTGTATACACTACGAATTCCTTATACTGCTTGTTGGAACCCATCGGCTGTTGCAATGCAGACAGTTTGAGGTTCTTTTTCTTACTCCAGGCTTCTCTCCCTCTCCATATTCGTATTTTTATCATCGCAGTACTTCACGGTCCTTTGACTAGCCTTTCTTGAATCCAAACCTGATTGTGTTTCTCACTACCTAAATATCGAACCGTGCAATGTATTTCGTCCATCAATTTTGTGCCCTGGACGATAAATGATGGATGGATATTCAATGTCGAGAAAGATGAGCAATGCTAGAGATGCCAGTTCCAAATACACCATATCGAATGCAACAGTTCAGAATACTCAACCACTCACGACCACTCAAGCCCTAAACATCATCAATCCAGCCTCTTCCTCATCCTGCCCATCCTGTTCCTCTTGCACCTCCTCATCCTCCTCCTCACCCAACCCCATCCTCTTACCAAACAAACTCCCAAACAACTCATCCGCCGCCCTCTCCCCNCAAACACCCCTATCCTCCGGCGCCATAAAGTTTTGCAACTTTTCATGCACCGTATACCGCATTTTCCTGCCTTTGGAAGCTTTGGTATCGACATTTTTCTTTGTTTTGGCTTCGCGGCGCATTTGGAAGCCGCTGTTGATGGAAATTGTGGAAGAGGCAGAGGCGGCGATGGAGTCGGCGCTGCGTTGTTCGAGGAGTGACTGGAGGAGGAGGCCGTAGAAATCGGCGTCGTCGTAGATAGATGGGGGAGAGTCTGAGGTGGTGCTGGTAGAGGCAGAAGCAAGTTGCAAAGGCGCACAAGAGCGCGGTGTCCTTGCGCGCTTGATGAGGCGATCACCGTGTAATTGCTCTTGCAAGACATCCACGATACTCTGATTTGCCGAGGAGTTGTTCAACTTGTTCTTGGGGGTAATAGCGGAAGCGCCTCTGGCTTTTTGATTCCACTTTTCGAGAATGGAGACGCGGGTGCTATTGGCAGAGAGTTCTTGGCTGCGCATATGGGACCAGAGGTCTTCTGTTGGTGTATCCAGGTCGAAAGTGGCGTGTTTGCGTTTATGGCCTGTGCGGTTGGACTCGAGGGTTTCACGCAGCGAGTTTAGGGTAGACCAGAGGGTAAAGGCGGCAGTTTCGGCAGCGCGGAAGGCATCTTCGGTGTCTTCTGTGGGAGTTGTGTCGGAGATGATGCCGGTGAGGGTGTTTGTGCCAATCAGAGCTTTTTGAAGCTTGATGCGTGTGTTGAGGAGGGAGTCGAAGGTTGTGCGTTGGGTCTTGACTGCGCGACCTTTTTCGGCGTCTTGCTTTGCCGCTTGCGACAGGCTGGCGGCCACGGTTTTCTGCTCTTCGGCCATCATTTTGCGCAGCTCGGTCTTGTCTTCGGCGTCTTCGTTGTCGTCGTCCTCTTCGTCATCCTCGTCGCTCATGTCGGTAGCGGGGCTCTCGTCGCCGTCTTGCATGTCTTCATCCTCGTCACTGACATCTTGGTCATCATTTTCGCCCTCAGAGGCAGACATCTCAGCAACATCCTCAACATCATCCTCACTCTCTTCTTCGTCAAAGCCCTTGCTGAACGGATCATCCTCGCCGTCGTCTTCTCCAGTGGCAGCATCTCTGCTGATCTGAGCTCCTTCGTATCTGGATCCAAGAGGCACGACATCGCGCTTGCGTAGCTTGCTCTTGCCGACATCGACGTAGTGTTCTCTCGCAGCGGCGGCATTGTCATTATCCGAGGCGTCCTCGTCGCTGTCGTCCTGTGGCGGCTCCTCTTCCGGGTCGAAGTCTGGAAGTGCTTGTCAGAGATTGTTATGAACTGGGTGGAAGAGTTCCACGCATACCCTTNNAGGAGCAGGGTTGTCGAGCTCGGCGAGCTGCTCAGCCAATGTCTTTGTTCTGCGTGCCATGATTGTTTATTTTGTTGTTCGAGAAAAAAGTTGGTTGTCGCAAAAGTTTCTTGAGACGCCCGAAAGATCAGCGGAAGTCCCTGCCGACGACCTTCCGCTGCGGCGGAGCCTCATGTCTTGGCATTGGACGTCTTGAGCATCAACATCTTCACTTGATCACTGTTGACCTTGCACAAGACTATTGCGAAGGCGATGCTGTGTTGTTCGTCCATAGTAGCTATTACCCCATACTTTCATATCTTCTCGATGCTGAGATTCCATCTCGTCCCAGCAATGTGTTCCCTTTGACGCTTTCCATAACAATTAACATAGCAAACAATTCTCATCTTTCTCCAGTACCGATATCGTAGCTCTCACCACCACCTCCCTGATAATAGCATTCAGAAAACTCCCATCCACATATCGTTGTATTAACTTCAAATCCACCAGATCCATGTGTCCAACAAGAGCAACACATCGAGTCGCTCGGGGTTGATCGCGTCATACTCGGCAACGTGGTCGAATCTGCGCCATGGGAATTTCTTGCGAAGAAACGCGTACTCTGCCCTGTTCATTGTACCATCCATCCTGGCGTACCAACCAACCACATCAACCAATCGGTACTCGGCCCTTTTGACATCACGGGCTAGAGCTGGTACGTAGCCTCTTTTGATCTCTTGATTGTAAAGAATCTTGAGCTGGTTGACAGCTCCCCTGACACGCTTCGAACGAATGCCAAAGTGTGCTCCGGTAGGATTGTTGACGAACGGATGGAAGTGAGATGGATGCCTGCCGTTACAGGCTTGGGTCACCAAGTCCATGACGAGGTCCACAATGTCTCTTCCTTCTCCAGTCAGACGATCCCTCTCAAGCGCTTCCCATGCAACCTCGCACACTCTGAGCAGCTCATTCATGTCCAGTCTTCTCACGGAGTGACGCTGTACCGATTCAGCGAAGCAGTCGATCAAGACAGCAATCACGTCGTCACCACGGTCCGCGGCCTTTGCCATGGCGTTGCGAGTGTTGCGGTGAGTCCTCATGACCTCGATGCCTGATGGCTTGAGACCAAAGGGCTGGTCGCGAACCGGCTCCTGTCTGTAGCGTGCCTTTCGTGCTTTACGTACCTTATATGCCTTTCGTCCCGCTCTTGCTGCTGCTTGCGGTGCGCGCATTGGGACAGGTTGCGGGGCGGTCCTGCCTTGAGGTACAGGCTTCGGAGGTTCCAAATGGCTGAGGACATCTACTACATGTCAGTGACGCTCGAGTCGGGAGCTTGACCAACAAACTGTGTTCCTGGACGTATCTTCGCTTGAGTCAGCTCGATTTCTGCTTTATGATAACCAGGACTGCGCATACCTGTTGGGGTGCAAGCTCGGCAAGTAGCAATACTCCCAGTACTTGAGTACGTCGACGGGCTGTGCATAGGTGGCCATGGTGAGCAAAAGGACCTGACTGTCATCAAGACGAAGATCAGAGTGATACGCCTGGGTTAGTTTCCAAACTATCTCGTCCAACCGACCTAGAAGTTTCAGGCATTGGCCAATGTCAGTGATGTGCTCGTAAAGCTCGGGGTCGTGAGAATGGTGCTCCAAAGAGATGGGATGAACAGGAATCTGATCATCTTCTGGAGCCGGAAGAGCNCTGCCGAGATAAGTGAGAAACGTGGACACCCAAGAGCTGTAAGTACTCACGCCATCAACATATCTTGCAGGGCGCAAGTAACCCTTGACGAAGAACAGATATGCTTGGAGGGGAGGAAGAGTGTTGAGTTGGTGGCACCAAGTCGGACAAGCCTTCAAGAGACCTGGGTGTCTCTTGAGAAAGTCGTCAATGTCGTTTAAGAAGTGAAACGAGATCTTGCGCTTCTGCAGGTAGTCCAGCAAGTCTTGGTCTGCCCTGCGAGCAAGTGAGGGCATGAACTCCAACTTGATCTCGGATCTATCTTCAAGACGAGGCTTGAACTTTTGGACGAGATCGTTGGTTGCGGGCTGCTGTGCAAGAGACTCCTTGATCGGGTGTGCGTGTGTTATCGGGTCCTCGTGGCAGTGGAGTGGTTTGGAGACGTTAGCAGCGTATGACTGCGAGTAGGGATCGCCACGAGGAACTGGGCCTCCGTCGGCAAAGCTGTATGCGCCTTCCATGGCGGCGGAACAGGCGAGCAGTGAGGAAATCGAAGCAGTGAACAAGAATCTCACAAAAGAAGAGCTGTCGAGTATTGATGCGGTTGATGGTTGACTACACGCTCGGCGCGTCGTGGCTTTGACACCGTGTTGGAAGGTTCTTGAGGCAGTAGCAACCCGACGCGTGCCTGCTGGTTGAAAGGAGAGCAAGCCAGACGCTGATGTCAAACAAGACGTTGGGTCAGTGCCATTCACGTCTAATCTAGGAGAAGAGAGCTGCCTTTGAGAAGAGCTTGAGACACACTACATTTCCTAGTAGATGGCATAGAGTGATGTATCAACTATGAACAAGCATGATTGTTCCAGGTCAGACATGTACCCCCTAGCCATTGAGAGTTGATGCAAGGTCGCATTTCGGTAAATACTGGCCCGCTCTTCAAAGCAATGGTCCATCTGTCGACTATGGAGATTTGAGCACACGAAGGACAAATGATCTGTTTTCCATAATGGGACAATGATTACAACGGCAACCTACTGGTTCCTCTCGAGGGGAAAAGAATATGTGGATCGGTTGCATGCATTTTGTACTTGGAACAAAGTCTAGAAAGCGCCCACCGAGACCAAGAAAAACAATCGATATGAACAAAATCTTACGCTAACATATGGGTATGAACGCCGGGGAAGAAACAAGAATTAGGGACGACAGTTACAAGCAACTTAGAAGACGCTGATGTAGTTGCCGATCCTGTCCTTCTGGTTCTGAGCAATGCACTCGGATATCCAAGTGATGTTGCGGATTTCCTGNCATTTTCGTTAGCAGGACTCGTGAGGATGAAAAGAACACAAACGTACCTGCTCTCTCAGCTTCACCCATGAATAGACAACAGAATAGGTGAATTGACGGGTGAAAGCAAGCTTTGAGAGTTCCATCTCCTTCTGGTAGAACAGATCTTCCAAGCTCTTGCCCTCATCAGAGCCACCAGCCATGTTGCCAACATTGGAGCCTGAACCCATGCCAGTCTGGTCGAAGAAAGTGCGGTAGTCGTGCACACCATCAACAGCAATTCTGACAGCCTCAGGATCATCTGCTCTTGACAACATTAACGTGCCTTCGGGGTGCAACTTTCCGAAGCCGGGGTACAACTTTTGTCTGTCTGCCTTCGAAAGGTCGGTACCGAAGGAGTTGAGTGTGATGTTGATGCTTCTGCGGTCGGCCTCGAATTCAAGAATCTCGGTCATGACTTCGGCCGTCGGGCTGCCAGCAACGCCAGAGTGGGTGTTGATCCAGTTGTGGAAGTCCTCGAGGTAGTTCTTGTAAAGGGTGTTGCGAATGATTTCGATGTTGAGCTCGTCGAGGTCTTGGTGGCTGAGAGAGCCCTTGAAGTAAGGAGCGAGGGGAGTCTCGATAAGGACACTGTTGTACAACTCTTCGATGTTTGTGGCGACGCAAAGGGCGGGCATGGTCTCGAACCAGCCAAGGGGGTGGCATCGGTCGAGCAGTTCGCGTGTGTCTCTCTCGTGGAGAGTTCCAGTGATGAGAAGGGCGACGTTGTCGATCATGTATCCGTAGGTCAAGAACTCCATAAACTTGGACAGAGCACCGGTAGCGTTGGCTTGGACATAGCGGAACTCGGAGACGAGCTTGTCCAGTAACTTGTCGGCAAGAGCACTCGTTGAGGGATTCGGGGGNAGGTCGGCGAGGAAGTCGCCATATGCTGGGCCCAGTTGAAGCTTCACATCTGGTGGTTGGTTAGTGGGAGCTCATGATCAGGCAAGGCGACGCGGAGAGAGCATACCATCAATGGTCTCGCATTGGGCCAGGTTGCTGTATTGTTGACCTGTCAACAACGTGTTCCGGTAGCCGCGTACGACACCCTCGATATAGCCGGTCGTGACGTTGAAAAAGAGACCCTCGGACATGGTTGCGCTGCTCGATATTGAACTGTGTCGGCGTCCCTCAATCGTCGCCTGCCCTCTAGAGTTCCATTACGCTTGACGTTGGCGCTGCTAGCTTGCCAAGCCCGACCACGTCATCTTGGCGGGCCGCCGATTTATTCTTTTATTCTTGCTCGGATTATTTATCCACGTCCACACAAACTTCTCACCCACTGTGCACCCAGGCGATTGACAACTCTGTGTTCAATCATAGCACTCTGCAACATTGTCAGAACCCCGCAGCTTGCTCTCATCTGTCCTCAATTGAAATCATGCTTTCCACAATCTGGAGATTGATTGTTCCCTCGAAAACATTAGGGCAGATACCACAAGCCCTTCGCTATCTCTCCCTCTCTTGCCATAGGAACCAAACAAGCTCGAGTGATGACAACAAAACTACGATGCCATTCTTGAGAAAGTTGAAAGAGTATCCGGAGCTGTATGAAATGCACCGGGCCTCGCGATACAGAGCAACCAAGGAGTTCTGGGCCAGGATGCGTGCAGAGCCAGAATTATTTAGACTGTACCAACAAGACCACAGTCGTAGAATGGAGCGGCTATATGCTCAGGCCGAGTACCGCGTCTTGAATAATCAAAGGAGCTTGGCTGACTATTACGCTCACAAACATGATGAACGCTTCGCTAGGATCAGGAGTGTCCACTATTGGAGTTTCAGGCTACCCAACAACGCATGGAGTGTTTGGGTACGCGAGTGTTTGCCCTGGAAAACTCATCGACCAGTTAAATATCTGGCAAAGACTGAATGCTATTGTGCGTGCTGTGGGATACCGCGCCAATTGAAGGCAGTGGTAAGTGCTGCTTTTCTACAATCCTATATCCCCGTGTGCTGGAGTATGTAACGTGTGCAGCTATGGAAATGCACAACGCTATGAAGAAACAAGATATTATTCATCAAGAGCCAACATCCCAGCGGTTCTGTTTGGCTCCTCTGCTTGAAAACAAAAAGAATTGTGCCGTTTTACAGTGCATACTCCGCTTCACGCTCTTTTCCGCGAAGAGTGAAGTCTCATATTTTAGCACACGGCCAGGTGGTTGACAAAGCCTTGTGACCTCCCAGGATTCGTCCACTCACAACAACCTCAACAAGACTTCTGTTAACATGTTTCCGGTCAGTGGCAATCAACAACAGACCCAAGCGTTCTCATGTGCAACAAGCACTATGCAGAGCGTGGCTGGCCCGAGGCAATGCCCAAAGGCTACGAAGACATCAGGACATTCGGAGATCTACGTGCACGATATGACGAACTGAACGGCTCCATGGCCAGCCGATTCGCCTACGATAAAATCAAGCAGAGATCATCAGAGACTTCTCCGTCATCCAAGACATCTTGAGCAGTATCCTCAAATCAAAATCTCGGCTTGCCCTCACAAGTCTCGGCAATCTCTATCTCTGTCTCTGGCTCTGTTCTTCGGTCCTCGACAACAACCACACCTTTTTCATGTCCGAAAAACAGCCACGTACAAACAGTATCACTCGCTAGAGAACTGAACGATCAGAGGATCGTGCTCGTCACTAGCGATCAAGGAGAGAACGACAAGCCTCATCTGCTTGCCTTAGATTGGAAGCGACGATGACTAAGGAACTCGGCATCTCTTCCGCTACCAGCAAGCTATTCTCTTCTGTCGAGCAGATATCGATCAAGCACCTGAGGCAGCAGGCCTCTGGCGCGTCCTCGGGAGCAAGCCGCCTACCTATAGTGCAGCAAGTCATCATCATCTCCGCTGATATCGATATCGAGAGAAAATAAAATGAAGCTCCTCCGCGCATCCAGACACATAAACGTATATACCCATAATACTGCACAAAGATCTCGAGAAAACATAGAGTAACCACAGAGAGGCACTCCCAATCGACTCTCTTTGGCTACATCTCTGAGGGAAAGGGCATTGTGCCTTTGTCTGGTCAAAGCTCTACACTATCGAGTCGAGAGGAGGTCAAGGTTTACAGACTTTAACACATAGGGGAGATGCTAGAGATCAGGAGGTGGAAGCGTCGAGAATTTTTGGTTCAGGGGTATCTATCCTACAAATGCAAACGCGAAGAATGGGGCTACACTAAGACCGGTCCTCTTTTCACAGCTCAATCAGACTTTCCTCGACCTTTGGCTGGACTGGAACGTTCCGCGGTGCTTGAGGGAAGCTCTCTTGGCCGTAGCCGTTGTGCGTCGAAGGTGCTTGAGGCCACTGTTGCTGCTGAGGTTGAGGTGGGGCTTGTTGTTGGTAAGGTTGTTGATATTGAGGTGGGGCCTGTTGATGCTGTTGGGCGGGCTGAGAATATGACTCTGGGCTCACAGGTTGAGGGGCGGATGGCTCAGAGTAAGACTGCTGATGCTCAGGAGGAGAGACGGGATTTTGTTGTTGAGGAGGAGCGTATTGTTGAGGTGGTTGTGAGTACGATTGTTGTTGTTGTAGATGAGGTGTACTCGGGGCTTGTTGCTGGGGAGGGTACTGAGAGTATTGTTGTTGGTAGGCAGCTTCGGGAGGGGCTTGCTGAGAGTAGGACTGTTGAGCATAGTTTTGGTGTTGGTTGAACGTAGGGTAAGGGCTCTGATTGTAGGCGTGCGAGTCCATACTTGGTGCTGAACTGTTATAGTAGCTCTCCACTCCACCCATAGGAGCAGTGGGTGGTGCTCCAACCCCGGCAGACAAAGACGGGTACATGCCAGACTGAGGTCGAGGAGCTCCGTAGCGCGACTGGTTATATGTACTGGACAGGCGCTCCTCCAGCATACGGTCGTAGTATCTCACAACAGTCGCCAGTTTAGAGTGAAGGTCAAGAAGTGTGTCATGCTTGCTCATCGTCTCTCCATATGTCCTTGCGAGCTTTGGTCTTAGCGAACCGATGCTCTCGTATAGCTCTTGGAGTTGAGGTTCGCGTAGGATGGCGCCTGGAGGCTGATGTTGCAGGCGATCAACCAGAGTAGCGAATAGGTTGATGTTCTCGGCTTCGACAGGTGTAAGCTCGTTATTGGTCTTTGGTACATAAACACTGGGTGTGCTGGATCTTTGCTGTTGTTGCTTGAAGTTGGCTGTGTGTTTCTTCTTTTGCTCCTCCATGTCTGCCAAAGATGCAGCAATTGCGGCTGCCAGTTCTGGATCATCCTCTTCATCTTTCTTTGGCGTCGGTGCCTTCTGAACTGGCTTGGGTGTGGCCATCTGTGATTGCGGCACGTATCCAGCACCAGATTGCCCCTTTGATTCTTCCAAGCTCATTTCAAGTGCTCGCTTCAAGTCGGCGTCGAACGAGTCTTCGGCAACACGAGGATCGCGGGCCTGCATACGACCGGAGTTCGGAGGCTTCATGGCGTTGATGTAGGAAGGTACTGGAGTGGCGCGCGACTTTTCGGTAAGTCTGGCGAAACAGCCGTCGTCGACACGGACGGGCTGAAGGATGCCAAGGTGAGGCAGGGGTATCGACTTGGATGAACATTGACCGCAGAAGACGTTTCCACAGTTTCGGCAATGGTGCTTGCGGTTGGTAAAGGTGAAGCGTTCTCGGCAGCGCATACAGACATCGGAGTCGGCCCACTCGGGTGGCTGGACAGGGTGTCAGTAGTGGGTCTAGTCAGGAGAGGAGAGAACATACAGCGCTACTGTCGAACATGGTTGCAGCGACCTCGGTCTTGGGAGGGAAACTGAAGCCTTCCCTCTGTAAGGAGCGATATGTCTCGTCAATGTAGCCAAGAGAGGAGCGGCCTGTAGCAGCGGTGGCCCAAGACTGAATCAGATCGAGGATCCTCGTCTTGACCTCGTCGTTCAGCGGAGTGTTGAGGAACGAGACGAGGTTGTCCATAAACTCTCGCGAGGCAATCTCCTGGATGAAGTGCTCTCCACCGTTCTTTACACACGTGTCGGTCAAGTTGAGAGCGGCCAGTTGGATGTTTGGGTTCTTGTTGGCGATCCTTCGCTTGAGCGAGCGCATTGCCTCCTTGGGCGGGATGGTCTTGCTTCGGATCAGGTCTGTGATTTCCAGATTGAGGGCAATGTCCTCCAAGCTGCTCGAAGTGGCTCTCTCGACCTGTTCGTCCATTGCCGACGTGCCGGCACCGAACCACGACGCCATCTTGCTTGTTAATCTCTTGAGGGTGTGCTGTTCAGCTGGGTATCGTGTGCAGAGAGGAGCTGGGAGCAATCCGGAAGTGGTGAGAAGGTCGGGAGATGAGTTGGTCTGGAGTGTCGGAGCTATTTGGTGTTGCCTAACGGTGGGTCTCGGGTGCTTCAGCTTGGGAAGGCGCGACGCACCGAGCGTGGCGGGACACCAAGACGTCACCCGGCCGCGCCTTCTCTGGGGAAATGCCATTACCAGAACAAGCACAACAGACGCCTGCCTAACATCCTACTTTTCCAGTGACTTCTGCCGCCGTGTCCCTCCACGATATGCTTGTCCCCGTGTCGCGCCGTCCGACTCAGTCATGAGCCCACCGTACCCCATCTCTCCCACCAACATGGCCATTCCCGACTCCAGCTCCGCCGCCACGCCGAACAGACCATACCCGCACATTGATGATCTGAAAGAGAGGGCAAAGATCAGCTCCGTCGACAAGAACCAATCTCTCAACCACTTGCTCGCCGAAGCCGCAACCGCCGTCAAACAAGCCGAAAGTCTTGTCGAGTACCGCCGCCCCGATCTTGCCTATGTCGAATACCTACGAGCCTTTGAGATTGCTGTCGCCATTATACCCCAACATGAACAGTACCCTATCCTGAGCAGCCGCCGAGGCTCTCAGTTCAACCAGCACCAGTCCATCCTCCGCAAGATTAGTCAACTTGCCGACCGCTTCGACAAGATCAAGGAAATCATCATCAACGACAACAGGCGGAATGCCACGCAAAAGGCCTCTGACCTGCCTGTCCGTCGCTCCTCGGTCCAATCCTCACATCCTGCCGTTACCAATGGCAATGCTGCCCTCGCCGATCGCTTCGCCAAATTGCGCATGCAACCCGCTTCGGTAGACACTTCTCTTGCGAGCAGACGACTCGACTCACGCGCCTCTCTCACCTCAAGCAACGGTTCCATCACTTCACCCACTTCCTATAGTAATCGCTCCTCGATCGACTTCTCCAACTCCCCGTTCGCAAATGGCTCCTCAGTCAGGCCTGTTGGTCCGCGGCAGATGCCCAACGGTGCCCCAGGTCACCCGTTCGCGAATCGCATGACACTCGACACATCCGTCCACGATGCTCTACCCATGGCTCCACCCACTGCCTATAGTCCAGCACGCAACATGAACACACCAAGTCACATCGACCCTCCAAGGACCACTGCCCGTAGTATGGTCGGATCGGGTGGAAGGAACAACTCCGTCGCTTCGACCGCCTCCTCTTACGCCCCAGGAAACGAAGGTGAAGAATCTGCAGGCTACTTTCCTCGCATGTCACAAGATCGACCACCGGCAGGTCCTCCTCGACGGAAGTCTATACACCGTCCGACAGAATTGCGCATTGGACCCGAACGCCTATACGATTACCTCAAAATGCACAGCGTCTTGTTGATCGACGTCCGAAACCGACAAGATTTTGACGAAGGCCACATATACGCTCAATCTATCATCTGTATTGAGCCAGCTGCACTTGAGCCCAACATGTCTGCTGAGCAGCTCGAGGACGCACTCGTCCTATCTCCGGATGTCGAGCAGACCATGTTCTACAACCGCCACAAGTACGACATCGTTGTTTACTACGATCACGACATCTCGTCAGAAAGCTTCATCCACCGTCCAACGTCAGAAAGAGAAAGATATTTGAAGTACTTATACGACGCCCTCTACGAGTTCAACTCGGAAAAGCCTTTGCAGCGACCACCAATCTTGTTGATGGGTGGTATTGAAGGCTGGGCAGAGTTGGTCGGCGATCAAGCATTGAAAAGAACCAACACTGTTGCGCAACAAAAATCTGGCCGTCCAATCAGAAGGGTACCAGTCGCCAGCAAGGAGTCCAGATTATACGTCCCCAAGAAGCGCTTACGAGATTACAATCCCCTGGACGCTGAAGAAGAGAGGAAATGGCACGAGAGAGCTCGCGTCGAGAGCGTGGTTGTCGAACGGAAACCATCTCTCGACGAAGGAGACGAGTCATGGCAGGCCGAAAATGGCACACCGTCCTATCAGTCTATTGAGGAGTTCGTCCGTCGGTTTCCTGAAGCCGGTACGCTCGAGCAGCGATACGGAGTTCAAGAACATCCTGCGTCATTACTACCGGCACGACCACAGCAAGTACCGTCATACCCAACACCTCCTCCGAAATCAGCCATGCCCTCAATCCCATCTAGACCGGTTCCTGCTGCAGCTCGTGTGTCATATAGCGGTGTTAGTGATCACCGTGCTGTGTCGGCTCAGAGCACTGGTTCTACATCTACAGATCTACCACCATACATCCCTCCGAAGTACTTGCCCTCCAACTTGCGACTACCACGGACAGGTCTTGTCAACTTTGGCGTCACCTGTTATATGAATGCGACAATCCAAGCTCTTTCGGCGACCACCNCTCTTACCCTCTTCTTCCTTGACGACAGGTTCAAGACTTTGGTGCAGCGAGACAACTGGAAAGGCAGCAAGGGTGTGTTACCCGAGCTATACGCAAACTTGATAAGGAGCATTTGGAAAGGAGATGTCGAGGCTATTCGGCCAAGTACATTACGGTCGTTCTGTGCTCGTCTCAACAGCGAGTGGGGTATCGATCGCCAGCAAGACGCAAAAGAGTTCTTCGATTTCTTGCTCGATTGTCTGCATGAAGACTTGAACAAGAACTGGTCCAAAACACCGCTGAAAGCTCTGACAGCAGACCAAGAAGCTACACGTGAGAAAATGCCCAAGCCGATAGTCTGCCGAACCGAATGGGGAAGATATACACATCGCGAGCAATCTTACCTTACACAACTCTTCGGCGGTCAACATGCTTCCCGCCTGCGATGCACAACCTGTCACTTCACATCCACCACATACGAGGCATTTTACAGCATTTCAGTCGAAATTCCACGCTCTGGCGTTTCTAGCATTCAAGACTGTCTGAGGTCGTACTGCGCAGAAGAAAGACTTTCCGGCGATGAAGTCTGGAAATGCCCACGTTGCAATCGTGAACGCGAGGCCACAAAACAAATAACCATAACCCGCGCGCCCCAATTCCTGGTCGTCCACTTCAAACGATTTTCTGCTGGTAGAGGCGAGTCTGCTCGCAAAGTCCGTACGCCCATCGATTTCCCTCTCAAGAACTTGGATATGTCGCCGTATATGCTCCCTTCACCCACAGAACAAGATTCTCATCTCATCTCCAAGCAATACGGAGTTGATGCTCTGAAGTCCGATCCAACCATGCAGTCGCCGTATTTGTATGACGCCTACGCAGTCATGAGACACATTGGCACCACCCTCACTTCTGGCCATTATACGTGTCTTGCCAAAGATCGAGCGAGGAATTGCTGGAGACAGTTCAACGATACTTGGGTTGGTGACTTTGATCCCGAAAGGTTGAGTGAGAGGGATCGGTTGCAGAACGAGATGGCGTATATAATATTCTTTGAGCGAAAATCGGGTAGTTGATGGTAGTGGGCGAGCCTTACTGCTCGTTTTAAACTTGGATATCAAGGTTTAACAGAGCTTTTCTTTGTGCATCTTCTGTTGCTGTTGCTGGTGCTGTTGCTGCTCTTGTTGCTGCTCTTATTGCAACTGCTACCAATGCTGCTATTGCTGGTGCTGCTGCTTCTGCTCGTCGGGCTTCTTCAACGTGCCGCGCGACAAGCTCGGCGTGCTGGTATGCCCTAATGGGCTGGCGGTACAGCCACGCTTCCAGTCGCCCATACTATCTGGCGGCATGGACTTCGGCGGCCACCCGGGGAACCTGCTCATGAAGCAACAGGTGAGGACGGCGACGGCGACGGCGTATAGCAAACATGCTATAAAGCCTACAAAGATGTTCCAGAGAGTCTACATCCAGTCGGTGACGGCCGCGGGAGGGTGGTACACGATCGCGGTCGCGGTGACCGTGACCGTGACGGTGGTGGAGGTGGTGGAGGGCCGTAGTGGCCGTGATGGTGGTGGTGACGAGGGACGTAATCCATCGAGTTGCCGTGACGGCGAGCGAAGACAGGTTGCCAATAGGCATTTGAGAGAAGCCGACACGTGCCATCTTGATGGTATCTACAGTTTATGGTATACGAGAAGAAGACTTTACGAAGACGGACAAGACGAAGTTGCAAGGTACAGCGCGCGGTCTTGTTTATACATGAATTGCAAACACGCGTTCTCACGGGACTTACCTAGTGCACTAGATCGAATGGGTTTGGAGCTTCGGACGTCAAGATGTAGGGCTGGTATTGTATTTTAGCGTTTCCCTTATTGAGATGGTGGGGGATAGGGCTTTGAGATTGGTGGGCATGGCGTATGGACCAATCCCAGTGCCTTCTCTTTGTGCTGGTCGCTCGACTTCTGGTGTGTTGTGACAACCTCCGGCTTTCCAGACTCTCGAAATACCATGTCATAATTGGCCCATCCGACAGAGCCACAGATGACAGTTGCTGGCAGAAGACTTTTGTACTCTCGCCAATTACGCAAGCAGAATCCGGGTTGCTGGTCAAAGTCCACATCTGTCTTGAAGTAAGACCAGTCGACTTCGTACATGGTCGATGAGGTAAGAGTAGGATCCATCAAGGCAGCGCAGGGACGCAGGCATTTCCTATACAGCAACTCTGTCTCTTTCCAGCGGCCAATTTGCGTGTCTTGTTTGCAGTATATGTCGGCTGCTCTTGTTTTGACGGACTGGTCTATACAGATTCTTACTGGGTCCAGTAGCCAGGAAAAGTTGTTTTTGTGCAGTCTTGCGCATTCGGCTTTGAGTTTGTTGGCGAAGATGGCCTCTGGGGCCACGAGATCGATGAGGATTCTGGAATCGAGAACAAGACGTATAAGCATCATCTCGTTTCGAAAGTAGCTGATGCGTTTGTGAGGAGCATATACTATTGCCCGCCGGATCGAGAACAAGAAGAACTCGAGAAGATCTGAGGTTTTTAGCAGGTTAGTATGGTGGTGTCCGATAAGCAAAAACGAGGCAGGTAGATATGTCGAGTTGATGAAGACATTCACAAGCTGCTCTTCCTGATCATCGACAAAAGAAACGGAGCTTCAGCGACTACTTACTCTTTTCNNAATACCGATAGGTTCAGCTGGCTTGAACATGTGTTCTTCGATGCGGTCTTCCATGTTCTTGGTGTCGTCCGANCGCATAGCGATCGGCCAGCAAAAGCCAAAGATCTCGCAGTTTTTCTCGAAGGTCGAGTATTCCAAGTCGCTTGGTCTTTCGAGCTCCGAGACATGGTGTTGCAAGTCCCAATCAATAGCCATGCGCCAGATCAGACAACGTTTAAGACAAAGGACCTCATGATTTTGGAGGGTATATCTGGGAAGACTGGTATCAGGCTCCGCTTGTTGGTGTCGCTCGTATGGAGGTGGTAGAGTATCTGGGACATCCTCTTTCTTGCGAGCGACCTCATTGTTTGGGACTGTCGGACAGAAGAGGGTTTTGAAGGGGTTGCGCATTCTGTTCTCGACGGCAGGATAAAGCTGCAAGGAGAGAAGATGTGAAGTGATGGAAGAGCGTAGGATTTCAGCAGGACATCGAAGAAATGATGGATGACTGTATGGCGCAGAGTAAATTTGAGTAAGTTTAGAAGAGCTGAGTACCATGAAGTCTTGGCTGTACAATCCTCAAGCCAGGCTAATTCAGACTGATTGACATGTCGCAGTTTTGATAGACGCTGTCTTCGTTTTGAGTTCTGTCGAGCTGTCAATCGTGGCTGTTGACGAAGCTCATCCAGCAATCGGGTCGCGCCCACATCGCTTTTGCCTTATCTGATGAAATCTGTTTGGCTCCTCCATTAGGTCATGATAAAGACCGGACTTGAATGTCTCCAAGAGCTGTCAGAGGGTCGCTCTTGCCATGAGCTGAGGCTTGACCTTCGCAACCACGAGACGACGTCGCGACACGATTGCGATACCGTCGCACCGACCTGCGCTCCTTTTCACTGTAGGTCAACTGCCATCCTTACTGCCGACAAGCAAAGCAAACGTCCTGTCCATGGTCGTCCTTCAATATCTTCTTGCTGTCTCTCGTATTTCGTGGCTGAGAAGAGAGATCCAACTCTGTGCTCAGCCAAGAACAAGTCAATGCCACCACATCCAAAGTTTGTCACACACGTCTTTGCTCGCGAGGATAAAGGTTTAATCTCTGGACTCTGTGATCACCGATGTGGTCGAGTTTTGTGGTAGTTGATAATTAGGAAAATCATCAAGCTCCATTCATCCATCTACCATTGCATGCTTCAACTATACCCTCAATCCTTCACTCTTGTTTTCTATATCCCCTTCTTCCACAACATCCACGCATTCCTTGGCATAATATATGCAAGCACTCAGCTTCATTTCTCCTCCCACCAAACCCAGGCTTCACTCCCACACCCACCAAAACATCCCTCAACCCTCCCTACACGCTTGGATGCACAAACAATGCTACAAAGGTCCAAAAAAAGAAAAGATAAAAGATAGAATAGGGTCTCGCCGGGAATCGAACCCGGGACCACTCGCAATCGGCTTAGAGTTTTCAAGGTCGCAACCAACCTCCCTAAGCGAGTATCATACCGCTAGACCACGAGACCTGATGTCGAACGTTGATTGGTTGACAAATTTCACGCCAGCTTTTGATATTTATGTACACTGTTGGCGAAGCATTTTGAGCGGATGACGGCCTGATAGAGCAGAAAGAGGACCAGTGGTATAGCGGAAAGACATCACGATAGGTTGAGGTAGTGATTCATGATCTTTCGAAGTCATCTAGGGCTCGACATGCTCAAGTCACCTTCAAGACATCTTCGTCAACAAAGACAGCCCCTAATCCCGTTGTTCATCACCCGTCTTTCCGCGTTCTATCATCCAAAATATCATATTTCCTCAGAAAACTATCAAACCTACCACTATACTCGTAGAACTCCTATGCTCCGTATCTTGCACCTACAAGCTACCCAAAAGCTGCCTAACATGACTACAATATACATAAGACCGTCATAATCGTGCAATACAAGAAAAAAGACTTGAGATTTGTTGTAGGAGGTATGACCCTGGTCTTTCATATGCATATGCAACGGAGAAACTCCAACCAGCGAAATTTGCAACCTTTTGTGTCTTCTCTCAAAGCCGCGCATCATGACCCTTATACTTGTAGAAACGCATGATAGTCTTCACATTAGAGCCAAATCCATGTAAGAGCCATGTTATTGGTATATCTCTGTGGACTATGCCCCTTTGCTGAGAACATCGTGTATCTCTACAGTTCCTTTGATTGCAGCAGGTGACATTGGGAAAAGGGCATACATGGTGGATAATGGCAAGGCTAGGAAATGGATAACTCTCACAGTCGGTCTGCAATAGTCCTTTAACCATGAAAATGCACAGTGCCTTTCTTCCGGAGAGCTATCCTAGAGAGAGCCCCTACAACCACCTCTCCCCTTAAAACAACCCTGCACTGCAACAAACTAATAATTTTCCGGCAACCCCATAGCTCCGTAATCAGGAACACTCCCGCACTTGAACGTCCTCTCCCAAGTCTTTTGCGGCAAAACGCCCGCAGCCAATCCATCTTTATAGCTCCACTGCGTGGCCGTCTCCGTCTTCCACGTCCAGTAAAACCAACCCCACCCCTGCTCAAAACTAAACATTTGCGCTTCTGCAAAGTCAAGAAGAAACTGCTTGTAGCCGTCTGAGTAGGACGAGGCAGCAGCGTTTGCGTTTGAGCAAGAGCAGCGTGGGGAATTGGAGGTTGGACAGGTGGGTGAGAGAACACTGCCAGAGAGCGAGCCGCCCGGAGTGGAAACCATGTTCAAAGTGCCTTCCCAGCGAGACCCTACGCCCACATTGTTGAGGTAGGTGGCACAATCTGTGTCTGCTTGCGACCATTCGCCACATAATGTGGCACCAAACCCAGTGGCTTTGTTGCTGCTGCGAAGGGTCTGGTTTGTCCAGCCCCCACAAGCAAAAGAAACTTTGTCGCTGTGGTCTAGAGCGATTTGTTGGTTGTTGAAGATGACGTATTGGTGTACGTCTAACAGCAAGTTGTCAAAGTCTTGTAACTCGCCTTGCCAGTTGTCGAGGCCGCGGAAGCCGTCTCCAAAGGTTATTATGGAGGTGAGGTTGTTGGCGCGGATTTTTTGGATGGCGGATTTTGTCCAGGTGAGCACGGTGTCGACGTCTAGATATGTCATTTTGGGCTCGTTGACAAGGCCGTAGATAGTGATGATATTCTTATAACGGGGTTGGGCGAAGAAAGTGGAGAGTTGGGAGTGGATGTCTAGGGTGCGTTGGCCATTGAGTGTGCCATCGGTGCCATTCAACCAATTTATGGCGCCTTGGTGTCCGCTGTGGTTCCATCCATTTTGAGAACCTGGGGCGCCGTGCAAGTCGAGATTGATGCGTAATCCGTATTTGCGAGCCCATTCGATTGCTCTGAGTAAGTAGCGCCAGGATATTTTGGCTACATAGGGATCGTTGTCGTAGGTTGTTACCGCCCAGTAAGAAAACGGCATGCGTACGTGATCAAATCCAGCTGCTTGGATACCCACAAAATCTGCTTCGGTGATGAAGGTAGCATAGTGTTTTTCCAGTGTTGATTGAGCTCTGCTTGATCCTAATTTGCTGCACAATGTCCATTCGTCAATGACTCCATCGCTGGTTTTGAAATCAGAGAAGAGGGATGGTGTAATGACTGGTTCGATGCTGAGCCAGCCGCCAACATTGACGCCTCTGATGGGCATCTTACCGTATTCCCAAGATTCATTGAGGGCAGGCACATTGTCGTTTGCTTTTGTCGAGTCGTCCCAGGTGTCGTTGAGTCCCATTATGGAGAGCCCGCCTATGGTTGCTGCTGTGTATGTGACGTTGAAATCTGTGGTGTCGTACCAGGTGAAAGGATCCAAGACTGTTCCTTGGGCTTCCTTTGGTATGTCTGACTCTGACATGCCATCCNNAAGTTCTTGTTTGATGGTGAGCTTGATGACGTTGATGAGTCGCTGGCTGTATGTGCGGGAGAAGAGGACTTGTTCTTGTTGGACAAGACAACACCCACTGGTATCGCAATCGCCAATATGACTATCAAGATGATACCGATGACACCTGCAAAACTCATCAGAACGAAAATGTCGAGCTTTGCGCAAACCAAACTTACCAATCCTCTTCCGTTTCCGCCTTCGTGCTTCGTCTTCTACAGACAGCTCACTAACAGCACCACCTCTCATGCGTCCTTGCTGATCCACCAAAACAGCTTTTTCGTCGTAAGGCTCAGCACCGCGTTCAAGATATGTCCCACTGACAACTCTTGATTGCTTTCTTTTCTCCCTATGTCGATCTCCGCCTTGCTGTTCCCTCTGCCTTTTCCTTCTCTCTCTTCTTTCCCTTCTTTCTGCTCGCTCTGCCTCTTCCTCAACACTTCTGTATCTTCTCGCATCTTTGGTTCCGCCATTGCTATTCCATGCCACGTCTTTTGCATTCGATGTGTTGAAGTGCGCTAATGCGTCTGCACTCAATGTATTACTATTGCCTTTACTGCTGTTGTTGCTGTATTCATCTTCAGGATATTGATATCGTTTTTTTCTTGGTCGTTCCTTTCTTGGGCTCTGTGATTCTGACTCGCGTCTTCTGTGTTGTGATTCTGAGTCTCGTCTTTTGTGGTGGTGTTTTGGAGATGAAGACAATAATTCGCTTGTGCTGTCGTTGTAGCGGTGGCCTTTGCGTCGCTGATGTCGTTGATGTCGTTCACTGCGTTCATGTCTTCTTTCGTCTTCTGAAGGCATTGTTGAGTTTATGCCGTTTGCTGTTCTGGAATGTCGCGAAACGGCGCAGAGGAAATTGTAGAATGTTGCATCATGCAGTGCTTGCTCACCCCCACGGGTGCTGTCAACAATTGGTTGGTGTGGAAACGCGGCGGGAGACATTGTGCGGGGATTTCTGAAACATCGTGCTCCCCATGTGCGATAGACGGTCACAGTTTAGTTATAGAGATCCACAAGTCTTTCCAGATCAGTGAGAGATCCAAGGAGAGCTAGTGTAATAACGGCTTTCAGTGAACACTATTTTCTCCTGAAAAGTATCGTGCATGTCTACAGCTTACAATGTTACTGTGTCTCACAGTGAAGCCCGATGCTCGTGTTCAAGCCCCAAGGTTGTGGAAGAGGCGCTCAACAGGCTTTTGCAAATCCTGGTTAAATTTGTGCATCACAATCTTTGACAGAATCAGGAATGATTACGAGGTATCGATGTGGTACAGTAATATTACGAATCTGTCATTGTTCGAGGATCTGCTCACACCAGTGAGCGACATGCCGCAAATCATGCGTTTGACCCAACGACCATAGACGTAAAGCATCGGGCTGTCTGTGATGTATCTGGCGCTCAGCAAGCATATATGCAGCTTCTTTTGCCATGTCATCTCCTTCAGCCTCTACAGTCTTGATCTCCTGTGACACGATACTTTTCTGTATCAGTCGAGCAAATTCATCAGCCTGGTCTGACAGTGGACTAGTCACTGCGGACGAGATGCGCATCTGAGGTATCCTTAACCCGCTGCCTGCATTGGGCCATCTTCGGTGGGATTTCCGGGGTTTCTTTGCTTCTGCAGTGTCCTCTTCCTGCTTGTCTGGATTTTGCAACCTGTATGACAGTGAGCTCATCTTCATCTGCTGCCGATGGAAATCATCACGCTCGAACAGAGCAAGTTCGGCAAATTCGTCGGCGGGAGTTTTGGGATGTGGTGGTGGTACAGGAACTCCCGGAGTGCGGAAGTTGAAGATTGGCGATGCAAATGTGTCAAAGTAATCCTCAGGACGTCTGAACAAATTGTGTCTTGCTTTGAGCAATGTACTGGCGTTGAGGATGCCGTTCTCTCCAGATGTCGAGAAACTCGTCTGCCGAGATTTTGATTTTGACCTCGGTTTTCGGCCTTGGATATATGAGGCAAGACGGTCGACAGAGGTTTCGCGTTCGATTTCTTCGTCTTCGGGAAAGACCCAATCTAGAATGGGTTCATTGATGGCAGCAGCGGCGACGTATGGCCCTTGAAGACGGCATTCGGTCAATGTGAGCATGGCAGCAAGACTGCCACCGATGAGCTCACCACATACTGCTAGCTTGATTCTATGGTTCGCAGACCGGCCGGGACGATAGAATGATCTGCTAGGAACGAGATGTTCCAAAACCCAGTCATAGCCCGTCAAGACATCATGAATGGGAGTAGGATATCGATGTTCTTGCGAGCAACGATAGTTGATTTGCACGACAGTAGCCGACGTCACTGACGAAAGCGCAGCGCCAACATCAACAGTGGGCAAGGCAGCAGGCAGCAAAGGGCCGGGAGGAAGATACAAGATGATGGAGGGCGCGGGGCCCGAAGCAAGACGAGGGTGGAAAAGACTNTTTGGGAAATTAGAGTCAGAAGGATGTGTTACGCAAGTCAACATGGTACCTGATGGAAATACGATGAGGGATATACGGGTCAAAGAGTTGACGACGACGATGACTTGCCTTAGTGTGATGTGGCCATTGGATCTACACGGGATGGTCACTTGCTCTTTGTGCGAGGAAGATAGTGTCGAGTACTGGGTGCGGCTCAGGCAGCGATGGATCTGTGAGAGAGACGTTTGTTGGGTGCGTCTGAGAAAAAGCATGGAGAACGACACAGGCGCGGCACGACGAGCAGACCAAGGCCCAAGGGTAGATAAGGGAGATGTCACTCGGGTTGAGCGATTTCAGAATTGTCGAGGAAATTGCGGGTGGCGTCGTCGTCGACAGCGGGTGGTGAATGGAATCGGCACGTTTTTGCAGCTTTGTGGGGGACACAAACACCTTTGGAAGGTCAAAGAACTCAAGCTTTGATGAGCGGGCGCTAAGAGACCCTGGTCGACGAATGCGGCGTTGATCGACCTGTCTAGTCCTTAGCCATAAACATGGGCGGACTCACAGCCCGTTCTCTCTGTCGCATCCTAGATGCCTCATGTAAACCTCTCGTCCTCCCCACTGTCCTTGTCAAGCTTGATCTTCCCACGTCTTGTGTCTGTCTCACCTAATCACCCGCCTGGCCCTTGTTGTACGAACTCCGGACTCGACCATTGTTATGCGCAGCCAATAACCCACCAAAAATCTCTCATTCGAACGGGTCGTCCTAAAGGCGCTCAGTGATATTCTTCCTGCGACCTCCTGAGATTCAACTTCTACTCCTAAATCCGACCAAGCTACAATGCCTGAAGGTCGAGCTCGCACATGCTTCTCACTCGTTCGGAACCTCTTTCTGGCCCTCATTCTCTACATCTCAATCTATGCCACCATCCATCTAGCACAGGATCCTTCAGCGCGACATAAAGCCCGGCAAAAAGTTGCTCTCCTAACAGACGCCGACACTGTCAAGCAAACAAAGTCTGGCAATGTTCAGATCAAGCTCGCTGGCGCATCCCGCACCGTCACCATCAATCCTCACGCCAATGTCTTCAATCGTCCCTCGAGCGCTGTCGTTCCGCGAGACGACTTCTTTGGTCCCAGACCCCATGTAGACACCGAAGCCGATATCGAAATGCTTGTGAAAGAGTGCAGGGGAACATACGAAGGTGTTGAGAAGATGCGAGATGTATTCAGCTGTTTGGAGTTTCTGTCGGGAGCCGAGGACAAATACTACCTTTTGCCGGAACAGGTCGACCGCGCAAGTGAGCAAGATCCCAGGAGGGCAGAATATTTGAACGCAGATGGCCATGGAAACACACTGAAGAACTACGTCTCGGTCAAGGATGCGAAAGCCCCTTCAAAGACGAATCTTGGAACATGTGCTGGTCCCATCATTCCTTACCACGTCTACTGGGCCGGCCCCGCGACATGGCGTCTCGAAGCCTTTGTCAAGTCCTACCTCTACACACAAAACTTGCCCTGCAGTCGACTCTGGCTCTGGGCAGATACCGACAGAGCTCCCGATGCTGTCGACAAGTTACTGAACCACGACGCCCTGTTTGCTCGCTTCCTGCCGCTGGTCGAGCGAGGCGACATCAAAGTCTTGCCCTGGAAATTCCCCACCAGGATGCCTCTACCAAAGGAGTTTGACAATACAGATGGAGTGGGCTACTACAAGACCAAGGGTAAGCCAAACGCTCAGGGCGAAGTTGCTATTGCAGATGGTCTCATCGAGGACGTCAATGGCCAGCAATGGATCACTCTCACACCCAAGCAAATGACCTTCTTCNCCCAAGCAATCTCCGACACGGTACGATTTATCATCTTGCATCAGCATGGAGGTGTTTACCTGGACATGGATGCCCTGATGCTCCGCGACATGCGACCTTTGCTCATTCCCAAAAAGCACGACTTTGCTGAGCGATGGGGAGCCCACAACAATCCAGGAGACTACAACACAGCCATCATGTCTCTGTCTGCCAACACCTCTCTTTCCAGCTACTTGTTACGAGGCGGCGTTCGTATGGGTCTCAACTTTCATCCTCGAGTCATTGGCCGCATGATCTGGAAACAGGGCCGTGATCTCGAGTTTCCCATGCTCGAAACCGCCGCCTTCGACCCCATCTGGACTGAGTTCAACTGGGACCGTCAGGGCCGTTGCACAGTCCCTTGTCTTCGCGACTACAGCGCCGTCTTCAAAGGCAAACCAAACGCCCTGAAAGATGAATGGGAAAGCTACGATGGCCCCCAACTCGACCACTTGAACCTCAACACAACATCTTCACCCAAANAAGGGATTCTATCTCAGGTATCGCAATCTCTCAAGTCTGCAAAGTTCCCTCGCAATGTCGCTCCCATGGATACCGCAACTTCGTCCAACCACATCAATATCACACCCATGCCTGGCCCCATGGACTCCTTCACCTCCTCTGCCTCTGAGATTGCAGCTCTGCGCAAAGCAGGCATCGTCAAAGACTACCGCCTCAATGAAGATAAATACCCACCCAACAACCGCACGCTCGAAAACTTCTTCCGCGGGGCCTGGACATATCATATCCATAACCAATGGCTCAAAGAGCCGGAACCCAGTTCATGGCTTGATATCTTGCAGTCCGCCCACGACGGCTTTTTCGCCGGTGAAAGAGTCAATCCTTATGGGGAAAATTGGCAAGGGCCGGAAATCAAGGCTTATAATGAGTGGAGTGACATGGTGTAATGTGGCTTTTGTTTCTTTTTCTCTATACATGATCATGACTAGACGGATCCTTATTCCAATCTCCAATCCCAGCAAAGCGACTGGAAGGTACTGTAATAATGCACAATGTTTTCGAGGTTTGGAGCGCACCCACTGAGAGCGCATGAGTTCACGCCCTCTCCTTGGCCATCTCCCTATCTTTGACTCTATCGTGCATTCTTACAGTCATAATAGTCTGGTCAGTTGAAGCAGGGTTATCCAATGGATCACGAGACCTGCCTTCCTCTACCTCCAATCGCTACGACAGACATCCCAATGTCTTTATTCCCGTAACCGAACACGATTATCGTATAATCATGCACCTACCCAAACCATACTAGCAATCCTTAGTGCTCGTATCCAAGCCTTTTCGACAGGGGGGAATAAGCCTTTGTCAAGCCTCGTCAAGCTCTTTAGTGCTAATCCTTAGCTTTCTATGGCTGGGAAAGGACGCGCGTCCTGCTATCGGCTTTCGGCTGTATGCGAGCAAAGGGGTTCTCCATGATTATCGCTCTGTTTTAGGAAAAACAGTATTGTTGCATTTGCTATAGCGAACACTGTGATTGAACGATTGCAACATATGGGGCGAGAGTTGCAAGGGTAGAAATCTAACAAGATGTGGGTATCTCTGATTCTTCTCTGTTGAGAATATGCTTGCTATGGAAACATTAAAAAAAAAAAAAAAAAACGCCCCCGCCCTCATTCAGTGTCTGTGGTCTGTATCTACATCTCCAAAGTTCCTCAATTCATGCTATGCAAAAAGAACCCCTCATACCAAAGAATATCAAACTCTGCACTCTCCACCCTTTCATCTTCATCCCTCAACTACTTCATAGGCAACTCCCCAAACACCCGCTTGAAGATATCCTTACTCTTGTACAAATTCGTCAATCTCAATCTCTCGTTATCCAAATGTGCAGAATCTGAGGCCTGGCCGCAGGGGAAATGCGCAGCCGGCGCCCCAAATTCCTTTTCCAAAAACCTGATTGCGGGAATGGAACCNCCTTCTCTAATATACAGAGGTTTGGTACGCGGTTTCTTTGCAGATAGCTGTGGGAGAGGTAGAGATATGGGATCATTGGTGATGTCTGATAATGCAGAGGTATTGGGACCGCCGTTTGCGAGCACGGAAGATGTGGTGGGTGAGGGTTTGGACGCGTGTGAGTTTTGCACTTCTTCCTTTTTGGGAATGGTGACTTTGAGGGCGTTTTCCTTGATTACAGCGAGCGAGGACTTTCTGCGATGTTGAGGGACTTCGGGGATGGGGCCCCAGACGTCCATGATGGCTTTGTCGAGGGTTTGGAAGATTTGGTTGTTAAAGTCGCCGAGCCAGGGTTCGGCTTGGTGGTCGATGGTGACGGTCATGCGGTTGTGTGAGCCGAGCTTGTTGAATTCTGATTGTAGGTATTTGGTTAGTGCTTCGCCGACAGTGTCTGCTTCTTGGTTTGGCACCAGACGAAGTGATAGTGCTGCTTGTGCGAGTCTAGGGATGATGGTTGCGTTTGCGGGACCAGAGGTTTGGAAACGATGAACTGTCAACGAAGCCTCTCGCCAGCGACGCATCAGGGAAAGCGCAAGGTCGCGTGGATCACCAAGATCTGGATTCCTGGCGACCAAGGCTTGTGTGATGTCTTCATACAAGATCTCTTCTTCCTTGCTCAACTCTGGGATAGGGTCGTAGAAGCTAGGAATCTTGACTTTGCCATGAGTGCCCGTCAGGGTAGACAGCAACATGACAAGATCCTTCAACGGCTCGTCAAGCTGCGAACTTCCGTCAACACCACTGTGCAAATCAGGGTGATCACTTTCAACTTGGACAGTAGCGTGAATAACGCCGCGAAGACCGTAGGTGACGCAGGGTATCGAGTCGTCCAGCCAATAACTGTTAGCAAGCAGGATCCAGTCGACATCTCCGATGCTCTTNTTGTGCTGTTTGACGGCATTTGCAAATCCGCGCGAACCACTTTCTTCTTCACCTTCGATGAGGAAAATGACGTCTGAGCCAAGGGCCCGTTCAGACATGAGTTCGGCGCAGGCGAAGATGGCAGCCATGATCGGACCCTTGTTGTCTGAAGTGCCTCTTCCGTAGAGATAACCGTCCAAGCCCTCCATGACAAAAGGATCAGTAGCCCACTTGCCTTGCTCGTTGTCGGCAGCCACGACATCGTAGTGACCGTAGAACAAAATCTTNTTCCTAGTTGCTGCAGTAGCTGGGTTTCCTCTGAAGCGAGCGAAGATGACGGGATTGGAGCCGTCTTCGGTTGGCAGCATCTCAGTGACAGCACCAAAGCTCTTGAAGACTTGTCGCAGGTATGAGGCGCCACGACGGCAATCACCCTTGTACTTGGGATCAGAAGAGACGGTGCGGTAGGCGATGAAGCGTTTGAGATGGTCAAGCATTTGCTCGTCTGTGGTCCTCTTGACAGCAGTGGGAGACATGATGCAATCGCTGACATCCCAAACAGCGACGGTGTTGTCATTGGCACCAGTCACGTACAAAGGTTTGCCCTTGTGATATGTGAAGGCCGATGTCAGAATCTGACCCTCGTGAGCGCGAAGTCTGCTGGCGCATTGGTATTGGCGATCGAATTTCNNTGTTGCAGGTTAGAATAATGTCAATGTATCAGAAGACGATCTACTCACCCTGACATAACCAGTTACGGCGGCCGAGAACATATAGCCGCCGCCAATACAGATTGACAGGACGTCGTCTCTATGAGCCTTCAAGCTTCGAACGAGCTGTCTCGTCTCCAAGTCCCAGACGTTGACCTCACCACCAGTTCGACCAGAGTAAAGGAAGGTAGCGTCAATGGCGATGGACAAGATAGACTGGCCTTCCTCCCTGCCATCGTCAAGCGTGTAGAGCAGATCGATAGCACCTCCACGATTCGCATCCATGGTCCACAGATTGATGACGCCGTCTCCGCCAGCAGAAATCAAGACCTGATCACCGGGAGCATCAGGCACAACACCCTTTGCCAACATCATACAGTAGACATAGCCATAGTGCGCAAAGTGCTTGATATTGTCCCGATCAATCTCCAAGACATCACCTCCAGCAGCATGCCTCGCAGGAAGACCTTGATCTGCCGGTCTAGGAGTCCTGACACCACCAGGCCCCCGCGAGTCAAAGAAGGGATCTTCCCTTAACGACGGATGATCGTTCAACTTTGGCTTCGGTCTATGATCCTTCTCTTTCAAGTCATACCACTGGATACTGGTGTTCTGTGCGCCGAGGTAGACGGTCCGCAGCAGAGACGAGTAAGCAACGCAAAAGACATCGCCGGTATCGTAGCGCGAGTATAGCGAGTAGACGTGTTGGTAGGTGTCCAGGTCCCAGACGTTTGTGATGCGGTCGGCGGCGGTGGAGAAGAGCAGGTTTTCGTCGGGGCAGATGCAGAGGTCGAGGACGCTGCTCTTGTGCGCTTCGAGCAGGGCGATGCGGTCGTATGTGTCGAGCGAGTAGACGAGGATCTCGCCGCGCTGAGTGCCGGCAAAGACGGCATTGTCAGAGAGGGCGAGGGCGAGGATGGAAGCATCGTGGCGTAGTCGGTGGGAGAGGGTGGGAAGGTTGTGCGGTTGTTGCTGCGTCTCGGTGTCTTGGGGGTAGCTGCCCTTTCTGTCACCGGGAAATGACGGTCGTTGCGGAAGGAGCTGCTCATCCGTTTCTGAGCCTGCGTTGGACGAATCCACCGTCAGCGACAAGCGTAATCGAGACCGCGACGACATGGTGCAGCTATCCAAGAAGGAAGGTTGCTTATCGCAGCTTCAGGCCATCTCCAGTCGCGTGCTGCATCTTGGTCCAACTCGTGCTTGACTCACCACTAGCAACACCATTTTCTGGCGACGGCGCTTCAAACACCGGCCACGCTCCACCACAATTCATCTTTGCAATAGTCAATTCACAACCTGTAGCTATCTGGAAAGTGTATTATTGCCGTTTCGACAACTTTTTGGCTCGCCCTGACCCTGACAGCCCGCACGTCATCCCCGCCAAACTTTGCGACATCGGCACCACTTTCCACACTCTCTCTATTACATCTTCTGATCCAGCTTCCTCAGAAACCTCCCCACCCCCTTCTCCGTCTTCTTCAGCCTTTCCTCAAATCCTCCAGGTTTCGGTGGTTGCGCCGCTACTTTGGGCCCGTGTCCATGCGCTGCCTCCTGCTCTGTCGGTCTGTACGATTGACTGTGTACCGCATATGCTTCTGTCGGCAACGTTGGCTGCGACGACTGTGATCCATATGTATAATTTGAGAAGCCTCCATGAGGAGCATGAGCTAGTCCTGGGGATTGAGGTGTATGTTGTGGTGTAAATCCTGGTGACTGTAGAGGTGTGTGTATGCCATATGCGGGTGGCTGGCTGGGTGTGTTTGGGATTCCTGGCGACTGCAGCGGTGTGTGCATTTGGAAGCCTGGAGATTGTGGGTAGTGTGCCGACTGGTGTTGCGGGTAAGAGGCATATTGTGCTTGAGCATGCTGCTGCTGAGGCGTACTGCTTTGTGAACTGCTCGGAGGTCCTGCAAATGAATGCGCCGTCTGCAGGCCAGGGTGCGGAGAGTGTGCAGCGAGAGGCGGCGGAGGCGGAAAAGAGCCTATACTTGTCGCTCGCTGTGGTGGACCAGGAAATGTGTTTTGTGGCATAGCTTGGTGATACTGAGCACCAGCTGTGGTGAAAGCACCAGGCTGCTCGTGAGTCGCCGCAGCCGCAAGACCTGTCCCACCGCCTGCATCAATAGGTGGTGGCGTCTTTTCACGATGAGCAATTGGCTCAGGAGCTGCAGGTGCCGCGGGGTTGTATGGCGCCAACTGAGCTGCCGACAAAGGTGCAGATGCCAGAGCTGACTGTAGAGACACCGCCCTCTGACCTTCAGGTGTATGGCCATGTCGACTCTGACTAGATAGGTTTGACGCGGTGCTTGGTGCTCGAGCATGAGGAGGAGTATGGATAGCCATGTTCTCTAGCTGTTGCACCACTGGACTCATGCTGCCATCGTGGTCCGGAGGTGGTGCTGCCTCGGTGATGTCGAGGTGTTGATGAGGCATGATGCGCTTTATCAGATCCAGCAACTTCATGGCATCATTGGCAGTCCACAGGTAGAGGTCCAGCGTGTGTATCTTGTACAGATACTTGTGCTCATGTGTAAGGCCAAAAGCTGGGAGGTGCCAATGCGAGTGGTCTGCAGGACGTGGTGAAGTCCCACCATGCTTGATACCTTCGACAGCTATGGTGAACAGGTTAGGATGCTTGTATGTGTTGGTCAACATGGCATGATCCAAGTCTGCAAAATTCGGTCAGCCAACCGCGCGGAATGGAGATACGATAAGACTCAGACATACANNGCCATTGAAGGCATCCTGATCGGGAGTGCCAGCCGAATTGGCTATCTCAAGACGTGCCCGACGCTGGGTCGAGTTGTAGTAGAGATACAGATACGAGCCCTTGTCAAAGCGATGATGCACAGGCTTCGACGAAGGCTGGTTGAAGTAGGTATGTACATCTGTAAAGNNCTTTGTCGAGTTAGACACGAGAAAAGAGTAAGAGGAGCGTTCAACCTACATGTTGAGCAGTAAAGTCTCTCCTGGCAAGGGAGGCATATTCACGGACGAGTCTGACGTTCTCTCTGCAATCTCTCTCGGTGTGGTTGATATCTCACGACGTCAACAACATGAATATAAGCCTCGACAAACTCGACCAGATGGGCGACGTAATCAGTGCAGAGGTAATTGAATATGTATTCAATGGAAAAGGCCGTGGGAAACTTGAGCAGCAGGCCCAGCAGTAGGAGAACGAGCGGAGACATGTGGATAGTGGGGGTGAGGGGCTGAATATATAGATGGCATCACTTGTAATCGCCTTGGTCTTTGAGATGCAATTGGTGGCAGCAGATATGGCTGCAAGCAATCGGGCGCTTACTGTGTTGCAAACAGGATTGGATGGTTGATGTGGTGAGAGCGACACGCCGCACGTTGATTGGCCGCTTTTAAGGACTTATGCCCGGCGCCAAGACTTGCAACAGAATGTGAGAAAGTCGGTCGCAGCGGAGGTCCATGAATTAATTATCACCATCTGCCTATACCAACTACACATTCACTCCAGCCACGCGCATTCACTTCTGGTCCACACATCTTCCAGGCGACCCAGGGTTTCTACAAACAAATCCAACACCCACCACACCCGCGCCGAGAGGGCGACACCCAACACCACCACCATGTCTCTCGTCAACCTCGCCCACGTCTGCTCACACATGCAAAACGCCTCCCTCGCCCGCCTCGGCCTCACCTCCGTCCCCCTCTCCAAACTCCACCTCTCGCTCTCCCTGCTGCTCCAAAAGCAAGGCTTCCTCTCCACCGTCACCCTCGGCGGCCCCACACCACCCGCAAAACTACTCCCACCCACCCACTCCGACGACGCACCTTCTGCTTCATCAACAACCGTCCAAGAAGCCGAGCACGTCACACAGCAAAACCGTGCCAGCAGGCGTCTATGGCTGGGCATGAAGTACTGGGATGGCGAGCCCGTGTTGCGCAAGATGCAGTTGTTGTCAAAGCCCACCAAGCGCATTTGGCTGAGCAGCAATGAGTTGGGCGAGATTGTGAGGGGTAAAGACTGCAAATTTGTTAGGGGTTTGAGACAAGTTGGCGAATGCATTTTCGTCAGCACCGACAAGGGCATCATGGAGGCAAGAGAGTGTGTCGAGAGAAAGATTGGTGGTCAAGTTTTGTGCCGTGTTTGGTAATGCATATCAGGAAGATCAAGTCTGTACGAATATTGATGGCACCTCGACAAGGTGTCTATGGAAGGCGCACATCCGTATTTTGTTGTGCAAAAATCTCAAAGTTTTTCCAGATCTGTCGCATGTGCACGCGACCATCCTGGTCATCTGAAGACGGAGCAGGAAACTGTTCTTGAGATGGACGGATATACTCCTCTGCTCAGGGGTTACCACGTCTCCCATAACTTACCTGCATCTAAGATGACTATAAAATGCACAACCTAGTTCAGTATACAGACGAGTCCACTGAGGTAGCTTGTAAAAGGAGAGTTCTCACTGGAGACAGTATGATTTACGAAAACATTTGTGACCTTTAACAGCCTATTGAGAAAATCTCCTAAATTCTCCATTCGTCTCCAAAAACTCAAAGAACGCTATCAAACCCTCCTCAACCCTTCCCATCTTCCGAGCGCCTCTGATTTGAAACAAACTCCTTCTGATGCTCCACTTCAAGGCTGTACCCCATCACTCCCTAACAGCAAGGACACTCTGACCCCCATCAACACCGATCCTCTTCCTCGTCTTGAACAACACACTCTTGACCCCTGATTTCTTCCCCATGCCCTGCTCATCCACATCCAAAACAGCAGAAGGCACAAACAGCAGACTGTCTTCGACATCCAAGTCCACATTCCTCTCAAACAGCTTCTTTGCCCCCTGCTTTGCTCCATCACCATCATCACCACCCACAAGATCACAAGCACCAGCAAAATGTCCCTCAACGTGCTCAACCAATCCGGACTCGTGAAGCGATGCACAAAGTCATGGAACACAAATCCAGAAGCTTGGGCGAGATGGTAAGTTCCTGTGTAGCGATAACGATGCGACAAGCAAGCTGTGTCTTTCGAAGAGGTAAAGTTGAAACGAGATTTGGTCTTGGGTTGTGTGGACTCAGGCTTGAAGCTCAACACAGAGGATGATTTACTCCTGATTCCCGTCTCGGGTTCTGAGGACAGACCAAAGAAAGATCTTGACGCACTGGTGTCAACCTTGGAAGTCGGAGCAGGCACCGGTTCGATCGCAGGAGCTGATTGGGTGTCTGCTGTCTCTGTTGTTTGGCGAGTCTCAATCGAAGACGAGTTCTCAATCTTCACTGGCACTTCAGCGAATTCCTTCGAGCGGCGATTACTTCTCCTCGATCGTCTCACTCTTTGAAGGTTGTGAGCGGGGCAACGACGTCGATTGTGCGGTTTGAGTCTTCTTGTGTGGTTTCACACCAAAGCTGAGTGTGTGCAATCGCTGCGAGTCCATCACCGGCTCCTCCATGTCCTTGGGCTGGAAAGCAGTAGGCGCAGCGGATAGATCACAGTCTGTGCTCGATGTGTTATATGTTCCGTTCAGCTGGTTGTGATCGGCTAATCTTAGCTCCTCGAAGGAGAAACGTTTGAGCGATTTCTCGAAGGTGATTGATTGATAGTGTTTTTCCACATCATCATGAAGCTGTTTCTCGATCAGGGGTGTAAACTTCCTGCCAATGGTGCCCCTTGCGGTTCGTGACCGGGAACGACTCGACAACAGTCGTACTCTCGAAGCCTCACGGCTTACTCTAGGAGCATATTCGTCTTCGCTGTCGTCAACGTAGCCATCGTCATCTGCACGTTCGTCTCGTGTATGTCGTCTGCGCGCATGTCCTTTCATACGGGCTGGGTGAACCATGTCAGCTGTATGTAATCGTAGTCAAAGCAACCTTCTTGGTGGCATGGAAGAATATACCTCTGATCTCGCATGTTCTGTCGGCTAGCTTTTGTATTTCGTCTTCGGTCAAGACGCGCAGTATGATTACGCAATCCCAGCGCTCTACAAAGCGTTCCTGCGCTTCTTTGAGGGCTTGTCGGTTGACGAGGCGGCGGTCTATTTGGGTCCAACGAGCTTCTGAGAAGATGCTGGTGATCTGTAGAGGAGACTGGTAAGAAGGATGTTTTTGCCGCCTTGTTGCGACCAACTTACCTCTTGTGATGCTTCAGCACCTTGACGTATCAGGTCTAGGTCTTCGGGAAACTCTTGTGTGTGGCTCATTGAATGCAGAGGTGACGACTCCTGGAGACGACAAACTCTCCGCGCAATCCTCTTCGCGTTGCTCTCCCAGTTCCATGCCGAATGGATTGCGAGATCGATATCTGCGCCCCTCCTTACAAGTAGCTTCATGGTTGACTCTTGTCTGCCAGCGGCAGCTGAAGTCAAGGCGCAGCTGCCTTCGCTCGTGTCGTTGATTTTAACGCCACTGTGTAAAAGCAGGCGTACCATCGCTTGCCGGCCATGGAAAGCAGCAGTTGGCAAGGGTTTCCACCTTACGAATCGAAAGCCGCCCCCGATGCTGGTTTCGTACCGGAAGACAGATGATTCGCTGACATTGGCCCCGTGTTTGAGAAACAGGTGGACAATATCTCTACGCCCTGTCTGCACGGCATAGTAGAGGGCTAGTATCAAGTCATTGGTGGTCAGAGCACCCTGTTCCAGAAGCAGACGTATCGCCTCAATGTTGTTGCAGCCGAGATACTCCGCGTCCTTTGCGATGGCCGAAGCAAGTCTTCGTTTGGACTTGAAGCTCTCTCCGTAACCAAAAGAGGTTCAACGACTCGTACGTTACTGTCTGCGTGGATTTCCTCTGGGACTAATGTGGCTGCGTGCACACCACACTTCTGAATTGCCTCCACGATGTATGTTCGACCCATATAAGCAGCAAGTTGGAGTGGTGAATATCGTCCCCTTTGTTGACATCTGCTCCATTGTCAACTAGTAGTTTGACGGCTTGCAGTGAGCCTTTGATCACCGCGATCCGTAACGGGCTCAGGACCCTGGAGAGAATCGGTGCTTTCTTCAAACACTCGTAGTCGTCATGCTGTCGTCTCAGTCGAGTCTCCCCATACCCACATAGAGATCGAAGCCAAAGTCTTTCTGAGGATTCCCTAGCGAATTGATAAGCATCAATCGGAAGGGGTGCACTGCCTTCATCCCGATTTACATCTGCGCCACCTTGGATCAGAAGTCTCATGATCCCGAGGTGTTCTCCATCGGTAGCAATCTGCAGTGGAGTTCTGAATTCCTCGTCGTGTGCGTCGACCACAGCTCCCTGCTCGAGCAGTATCTTGACAAGCGTCTCAAGGTTGTTTTTAGCGGCCTGATGTAGAGCAGTGCCAAGCGGACCCGATTTGTTTATCTGCACTCCACGATCCAGAATCTTCAGTACGACATCCATGTGGCCGCTGCCAGCAGCAGCCAGTAGTGGAGCGTGCCACTTATGTTCGCTTACGTCTGCACCGTGGTCTAGTAGAACATCCACCATATCAGATCTTCCAGACGCTGCGGCTACTGTCAAAGCATTACCATCTGGCCCTAAGGCATCTATGAGTGCACCACGTTCCAGCAAGATTTCCACAATGATCTTCTCACACGACTGCGTGGCCCTATGTAGTGTTGTTCGGCCCTTGAGGTCTTTTTTCTTCCATATCGGCACCGTTGTCTATCAACAATTGAACCATTTCCAGGTCTCGCTGGCGTGCGGCTATCATCAATGGAGTAATATCGTCCGATTCGAAGATGTTCGTATGATGCCATGGTCTTCTGGCCCTCGAAAATATTCTTTCGGATTCGTTCATCGTTGGTAAATAGTCAACAGGTCGGCCACCCATATTAGCACCAGCGGATATCAGAGCCCGAACCACAGCCGCATGACCGCGTCTCACAGCAGCCCTGAGGGGCGACCAACCACAACAAGGGAGGTCAGCGTCAGCGTGTCTGGCAAGGATCATCTTCACGATCTCAAGATGCCCGGACTCTGAGGCCTCGTATAAAGCAGTCGTAGCAAGTGGTCCTTCCTTGTAATCGACACCAGCGCCTCCTTCGATCAACAGTCGAACTATTTCGACATGGCCTTGTTTCGAAGCTAGTTGCAGAGCGGTATACTTTTCGGCATAATAAGAGCAACTATACCCATCAGGACGAGCGCCTGCATCAAGCAAGTCTCGAACGATATTCTCGTAACCATTCGAAACTGCTGCCACCAGTGAAGCATCGAGGTGTGTTTGGGGAACACCAAGACGTTGTCTCGTCTTTGTTGCCGCTGAGTACCTGGACGGAGACTCATCGTGCCTACCAGTCGTTTCAGCGGAACGAATCTCGGATTCAGGGTGTGGCTCTGAGTCCCAGGCGTCGAGCTCGGTATGTATGAGTCGCATGCATAAGGCCCGGAGCCCCATAAGAGCCGCAAGATATAACAGATAGCATTGCGATCTGTCAGAACCAGGGAAGAATTTGATGCTGTATCGAAAGAATTGCTTGAAAGACGTCAGGCCGTGCCGCAAGAAGTCGAGTACAGAGCCCAGCACCTCATCGTTCGCCCGTTCTAGAAACCTGGCATGTTCTGACCACGTGGATGCGGCCCATTGCGCAAAGGGAAATGCTTGATCAATTTTCTTGTGGTGGGTGCCCATGTTGATCCAGTCGACACAGCGGAGATATGTATGACATATACGCAAAATATCTGACCTCGCAACTTCCTCTCTGAAACACCACTGTAAAGGCTTGATGATCTTTTCAGACGACAGGTAATCTTTCACTGAAGCATGAGTGAGACGTAGATGTTGAATTTCACGGTTGCCTGAGCTGGACCAAACTGTTGTTGCCACGAAACCAGAACAGATATTGATAACATCGGAGAGAACAAAGAACCGGTCTTTCGTGGAGAAGCCAGGGCTTTTCCCTGGTTGCACGCTAATTGCATCGTTACACGCCTCGAGCGTAAGGTGCTGGTTGGACCATACCAACATCTGTAGAATGAGAGTGATTTCTCGGCAGTGTGGACTAGCTGATATCAGAGTCATCGTACGCGCATATGTATCGTCCAATGTTATAGGCAAGTCTCGAAGAGCTTTCTCGATGGCTGGTCGATTGTGACATCTCTTCAGGGTGTCCAGTTGCAGCGCTGCCCAACGGAACCTGAGTGACATGTCAGTACGCCCTGGACGTTAGAGAGGATACACTCACATGCCCCCAGCTCCATTGCCTATCGTTACCTCGACCTCATCCCGGAGGGTTTGTTGAGTTTTCCAGTTCTTAAATTCCTCACTATGAAGCCTAGCCCGAGCATAGGATTTGATGTCATTGCTGATTTTGTCCCGTTGGATGGGAATCACATTCCCTGAATGAGACCAGCTCACAACCTGCGATCGAGATGTAACAAGCAAACGCACATTCAAAGCCTCAGAACTATGAGGGCTCCGGAACCACTGCACAATTTCGCTTGCCGACTGGGCTTCGTCAAGTGCATCAAGAACAACTCTCACACCGGGCGATTGCTCTAATATAGACCTCAGTGTGTCTTCCAGCTGTTGCAGACCTATTTGCCGGTTTCCTTGTCTGTGGAAACTGTAGCATTCTTGTATGATGGATGGAGCTATAGGCAATTCGTAGTAGAGCTGTGACAACAATGATCGGAGCATGTCTTCGAAATGCTGTTTACTTGTATCACTGAAGTCGAAGTAGAAGTAAATTGTTGGTGGGTGTTGTTCCTCGAGAAGACGCCGAACGATTGCAGCGCTCAGAACCGTTTTGCCACACCCAGACAAGCCATGAATCCAGAGGAAAGAGTTGGGATGTTCTTTCCATTCTTGAAATGCATCACTGCCAAGAAACCATTCGCCCGTGCCTGGATGGTGCGCTTGGATTGCTCTGTTGAAGTTAACAGAAGGGTCCGCAGCTTTCAGCCATCGGATGACTGCATTCGATTGATTAGAGGTTTTGATGCTTTCCAGTGAGGTAGCCACGGTATGAACATCGCTTGATACNTGGATTCTGTGAGACTAGCACTACGAGGCTCCGAATGTACAGTATCACTCACGTCTCTCGATCGCCACGGCAAGGCGTTCTTCCTTTTCAATCGCATTACACGGGATTTCCATCAGAAGTTCCTTGGTGTATGCAGCTGCGGTCATCGCTGCATATCCCTGCCACTCTTTGTTCTTGTGACTATCACAGTAGTCACAGATGCCGCGAACGATCAGACAAGGAAAGCGGTTCATGATCCCAGCAGCCTCCATCTCAAAACAAATGACACCCCGTTCTCGAGCAAGCTTGTCTCTCAAGGTGGCATCCTTGATGACCTTGTTTCCCGAACCTATAAGTCCGTAGTGGATGGCGGGATTATCGTCTTCGTCATCTCTGGGGCGCCGGATAATCAACTTGGTTACATCATTTCCACAACAGTCGGCACAGCTCTCCTCGGGAGTAGGATGTACTATGTCGGCCTTGTACAACCAGTCCTGTTCTGGACCTGGGCAGGCATAGCCCCTTTTTCTAAGGCGTGAATTCTTCATCAGGGCATTCTCGATGTTCTGGTTGATGTAATGTCCTTTGAGTGTGTGTCTTGCTTCGAGCGCAGAGACTGCATTACGAACCACAGTCGGAGGCTGGTCTAGGAAGCCGGTCTGTTTGTAACCGAGCTCCTGAAACTCCTTGCCAAAATCATAGTGATATACTCCTCCATGGCCGTCTTTGGGTGAACTGACAACGACATCGCCCAGGCGAATATCATTTGCTTTCGTAGGGGCACCGCCACCGATCCCAACCATCAGCCCGATCCTGATGTTATGAAATGATCGAAGGATATGAGTGATGACACTTGCAGCAGAGCCTACGCCATACTCTCCCTTGGGCAATACTGCAAGCACTACTCTGTGGCCGGCAATTCGTCCTAAGGTATAGGCGTTTGTGTCGCTGATTGATATTGTACCAGCTTCGGGTCTGGGGTCCTCTTGGTCAAGAAAGGTTTGCGCAGCTACATACTCAATCGTGAGTGCGCAGATCCAGAGGACGGTGTAATCACTTGGACTCGACATTGCGAAAGATCAGAGAAGTTGTGATGGGCGAAAATGTCCTTGGAGGTGTCTCTCGAGAACTCGGGCGCTTATCATCCTTATTTGCGGTCCTCAAGCCACGCCATGCGCCTTGTCTTATGTGGGCGTGTGGGTAAGCACAGCCTGACGAATAACAGACAAAAGCAGCCCCTCGAGCCTTGCATGGAAGCGATGGCGTGTAAGATCGCTTGTACCTTACGCCGTCTCCTGTCAGACCGGCATATCCATCTTACTCAAAGTCGTCGATTTTGATGCTTCACATAACACGGCTGTATCCTCTGTCACATTCTGTTGCAGCGTGCTTGTGTTTGCTCGAAGAAACACCCGCGCGAGGGGAGGGCGTTGGGAGGTGCGAAGATTGTTCTCAACATGTAGACATTGGATCGACATCAACGTCACGTCCCGAGCGAAGGCAAGCGACAGCCCCTAGATGTTTAAGATTGACATAACTTATTGTAGTAAAGAAATGCATGATACTGTCTGGAAAAATGCGGCATCCACAGAGAAAACAGTACTTGTCGCGTCGTCGCGTCGGCAAGCAATGCCAAGACCTATGACGAGTGTTATATCGACAGGGTTGCACGAGTAACCATTGAGTATAACAGAAAATCATATATTGTCGGCGATACAGTGAGCCAAAAGATCTGCTATCTACCGAGAGTACTTAATGAGCAAGTCAGGTTACTGGCTGCTGGTCTTGTCTTGTCAAGTCTCGATTCGCGTGTGCGAAAGGCGGTTTTTGTTTTTGCTTCTCGCATCCACAAAGGCTCACTCATACTCATCATGTCTTTTGTACAACAACTCACATCGCAACAACTCTATCAAGCATAAAGTAGATTGACATACGAGATGCCGAAAAATACTTTACTGCTCAAGTATGTACATCGTGTCGACAAACAGATCCTTGGTTCTTTTGGGAGGAGATGTGTAGAGAGATACTGCCTCCATCTGCGAAGCTTCAATCCGCAAGGGAAGCCGAGTAACACGATGAGCAAGAAAAAAAGCTAAAAGAGACTGTCAAGTAAGATGAGCACACCTTTGAACTCTAGTCATGGCTGGAAGGATGCAAAAATGGAGTAGCTGGGAATCGAACCCAGAACCTTCTCCACTCAGTAATACTCGCAAGAGCAATGCTAAGAAGATGTCATACCACTAGACCACAACCCCAATTGATGAAGCTCTTTTTGAGTATGTTTGATTATAAATTAGCACAAACAGCTGAATTCCAGAACGCCATCATCTTGCATGTGAACAGAGACCCTGAATAGCTTCTCCCCACCAGCGGTGAAGCCCCTCAAGCTCCTGACACTTTCCACACCATCACCATCCATCCACATCGCTACCCACCCCTCACCATGGACTTTGCCTACGACCAAATCCAAGAAGAGTCCCTGCCCTCCGACCGCGAAGGCCAACAAAACACCACCGACCGCCCTCCCACCGACCTCAACACCGAGTTTCAACAAGCCTTCAAAGCCGTCTCGTCATCACCCTGGGGAGCAAAACTCGGCGGCTTCTGGTCGCAAGCAAAGAAGCAGGGCGAGAGTTTATATTCCGATGCGCAAAAGGAATATGCCAGCCGCAGTGAACAAGCCGCAAAAGTGGCAGGGGGAGCTGCAGAAGAGCATTGTCGAGAGCACGAGGAACATATCCATAAACCCTGATGCCGGGGCTGCAAACACGTCTTTCTCAGACCCTACGTTTGCGTTGCCAGAAGGCGCAGAGGTTAAAGAGAAGGAAGCAGTTACAGACACACAACCGGGAGCTGCAGCAACAAGACCAGACTCGCTCCCCGCCGACATTGTCAAAGAAGCCACTTCCCTCGTCTCCCTCCTACGTTCCAAAGCCACGGCCGCAACGGCGAACCTCAATCTCCAAAAGATACAGCAAGCAGAAGACGCAGCAGACGAAGCACTTCTAAAGTTCGGAACCGGCATAAAGTCCTTCCTCCGCGATGCTGTTACCGTAACCGCTCCTTCTGCCTCAGGCAGTACAGAAGTGCTCTTCGAAACCAACGACGCAGAAGGCAAAAGAGTTATTCATTCCAGCAGATTTGATGCACAGTTGCATGTTATACATACCTCAGCTCAGAGCTTCACAAGCGATCCCGATAGTCCCGAGTACGGCCAATTTACAGAAGACTTCGACATTTCGGCAAAGACAGACGCTATAGCTGCAGATCTCGAAAAGTACCCAGAGCTGCGGAGAGCAATGGAGAAACTCGTGCCCGAGAAAGTCGAGTACGCAATCTTCTGGACACGCTACTACTTTTTGCGCAAAGTCATCCAAGAAGAAGAAGTCAGAAGACGAGAAGTCCTCAAGGGTATGTATTTCCCACCATTCACCATACATTCTCAGTCACTGATAAGGTTCAACAACAGGAGCATCACAATCCACAGACGAAGACCTCACCTGGGGCTCCGACGACTCTGACGACGAAGAAGACAAAGCACCCACACCCACAAAGAAAAGACTCCTGTTCCTGCCACCACTGCCACACCCACTGCCTCCTCTACCGCACCTACACAACCCACCACATCAACAACAAAGGCCGAACCACAACACCACGAAGAAGAAACAAAATCCGTCTCCTCCAGCGACGCCTCCTACGACATTGTCTCGGGCACAACCAGCCGCGCAACCGGCTCGCCCAAAGACGAAAAGAGCGAGGTCAAAGCAGCGGCGAAGATTGACGAAGAAAGCGACGAGGAAGATTGGGAATAGACTTGGACTGATTTATTCATTTGCTGTGTGTTGGTTTTGTCATTTACTGGTGTTTGGGAGATGCGGGGTTGGTTTTTGTAGGAGTGTTTAGGGTGGGTAGGGCAATGGTTGAATTTCGTGCTTGGTTGGAGCAGAGAAGGCAGGGAAGGGGTTGGATGTGGGTGGCCCTTTGAAAGCAAAGACGAGGTCAAGGAATCGCTATGCTATGCTGATGCTGTTCTATGCTATGCTATGCTATGCTATGCTGACGCTGTTGCTGATGCTATACATTTGATGCGAAATGCTTTCTTCTTCTTTCTCTGTCCTCCTTGCAGCCATGCTTACTCACGAACTCGGACTCTGTCTTCCAAGCGGACTTTTAGGCATCTCTTCCCTCTTCCTCAAAACACCTTTCCTGCCTTTCTGCTCCGGCGCCCCAGGACTCTGACTTGCCTTCTCCCTCGAAGGCGTAACTCCTCTAGGTGAAGGACTAGACGGCATACTACTCGAACTCCTCTGTCCCGAAAAGTACCCAGGATACTCTATACTCTGCCTCACCTCCCCACTCCACCCTAACCCCTCACTCGCCTCCCTGTATCCCCTCTCATACTCGCTTTCCCCCTCTGCTGCAAAGGTTCTTGCTGGTGTATTGCCACTCCGAGGATGTTGCAAGTATTCCTCTCCGCGTCTTTTGATTGGGCTTTCGTCGTAGGGATCGAAGCCTACTCTGCGACGCGCATCTCTGCGCACGCGTTGACGGTACTCGGCATTAGAGCCTGCGCCGGTGGTTGCGCTGTCTTCGAGGAAAAAGTTTAGGAGTTCGTCTTCGATGGTTAGGTGTGAGGACTGGCGGAATTGTTGGAGGGCAGTGAGGCGGATGAGCATTTCGAGCAAAGACAAGGATGTGCGGATGGTGGTTTGGGGTGTTGAGGGNGAAGGGGATGGGAGAAGAAGTTGCTGGTTTGAAGGTGTGGTTGGCGAGGAGGACTGCAGATTCAGGGAGGAGAGACCGTTGGTGAGAGAGGGGTCTAGGGAGGCTTGACGAGGCCGAGGTGTGGTGGTAGGGCCTGGAGTTGATGTGTCTTCTTCATCTTCATCGTCGGAGGGAGGTTCTTCGGTGTAGACTTCAAAGGCTATCCATTCTGGGTCTAGATCTGGAGGAAGCCGCCAGTGAGCATCAGGGTCGTGTTGTGCTGTTGCCTCTTCCATTTCGCTTCGAAGCTGTGATGTTGAGTCTTGCAGGAGCTGGGCATTGATTTGTGCTTGTTCGTCCAAGTCTGTATCGTCACTCTCTTGTGTTTGTGGTCGTTCATCTTCCTCGTCATCGTCATAGTAATCTTGATCTTCGGTGTATCGTCTCTCCATCATGCGTCTCGGTGGTTCTGCATGGATGTCGCGTTTGAGAAGGAGGATGGGGTTGTTGGTCTCGCCTTCAGAGCCAATGTTGAGAATCTTGCCAGTATCCGCGTAGAATATCTTGGAGATCTCGTGGATGGGAATGACATCTCGAATGCCTGCAAGAGCGACTTCTTCGAANGGACCAGGTTGAGGTTCGTCTTCTTCGAAGGTGTGTACTCTGTCGTCGTCCAAGTCCTCAATCACAACCAGCTGGTAGGCATACTCAACTGATGAGTTATCAGATGGTAACTCCCTAGGAAAGTAGCGTGCCCCGCTCGGGGTTGTCAAGTTCCCGGGCAAGTTGTACAGACTGTCCAGTGGTACACGCACCAGCTTGACTCTGGCTTTGTGAATGACCTCCTTCCATGTAGCTTCGCGGGCAGTTTCCTCATCATGCGGTCTATTGGTGTGACTGGCGAAGAGCATGTATACAGAAAGTGTATAGACTGGACCGACTTGAACATTTTGTCCAAGAGCTGCAGTATACTGTGAGTCTGCTGCTGTGAGAAAAGTGCTGGCTTGCAAGAGGCGAGATGGCGAAACTGTAGCGGGNAGATTTGTGGACAAGTTAACTCCGGAAGTGGTGATGGCAAGATTGATCAGTGGCACAGCATCTTCGATGCGAGCAAGCAACTTTCTGACATCCGAAACAATGAGTTGTAGCTCAAGCTCATTCTGCTCTTTTGACTTTGCCCGTGAACTCTTCCGCCGATACAACTCTTCCTCGTTGGCGGCATTAGCAAGACGAATTCCCAGCGCCTGAATTTCCCAGCGCAAATCTTTGGTCAGAGTGACGGCAGATTCCAGAGAAGTGTTTCCACGAGCCGCAATCAACTCTATCATATCGATGGCTGGTGAGATGATTCTGATTTTGCTTTCCAGTCGCACTTGGAGGTTGAGCAGCTCTTCCCGCTTGCCTCCTCTGGGTGCCGTTTTGACCAGTCTTGTGCACTGTCGAATGGCATATGTGCTTGTGATTGCGATGCCAGAACGAATAGCATAGTTCATAGCCTGCTGGGTGACTTTGGCCAGTAAGATGTCCATGATTGCTGCAGTAGAGATGGTCGTCTGACGAGTGAGAGACTTGGACTGCAGTAGTTGGACCAGAGATGAATGTTCCAAGTTCTTCCCTGATCAAAGATCAGGCTGCAATGGCGTTTGTTTCACGCGGAGAAGGTGTTTGTTTCATGTGTTTACCCTCGTCATTGGCTCCTGCACGTCTGGTTACGGCTCGGCCCGCAGCTGTGCGTGTTTATGCAGAGTCGCGTGTGCAAATTGATGTCCTCTCCGAATCGCGTCTCCTGGGTCGCACCTTCCATTCCACGCGACTGACGGTGGCAAAACATCTCGCAATCGCCAAACCTACGCGTCCCATGCGCCGAACGAATCGAACATGATATTGAAGACCTCGACTTGTCTCGCGCATCCTCCCGACACAGGTCCGTCATGGTGCTCTGCCGTGTCCGACTGAACTGTCTGGACCACTATCAAGCATATCCTGGACCGCTCGACCCTCCACTATGGGGTGATCCTTCATTGCTGTCGCAGAGGAACCTCCCTCAAGTTCCTGTAGTCAGAGTTTTCGGCGCAACCGAGACTGGTCAGAAAGTGTGCCTACACATTCACGGCGCATTTCCGTACCTCTACATCGAATACACCGGCCCACTCGACCGCACCTCTGTCGACGAGTACATCGCAGCCCTTCGGCTATCCATCGATCATGCCCTCGCGGTATCATATAGAAGAAACATGGCAGATGCCAAAGCCGTCTTTGTCGCCCATATTAGCCTCGTCAAGGGTGTTCCATACTTCGGCTACCATGTCGGCTTCAAATACTTCCTGAAGGTCTATCTTCTCAATCCTTCCAACATGACCCGTCTCTCCGATCTGCTTCACCAAGGTGCTATCTTGAAGCAAGTCTTCCAGCCCTACGAGAGTCATCTGCAGTTTCTTGCCCAGTGGATGTGCGACTTCAACCTGTACGGCTGCAACTATATTGACACGAATAACCCATTCTTCCGCGATCCAGTTCCAGATGTGGCAGATCTTGTCAATCCCTACCACGAATGGCACGACAGATCCATTCCAGACTCGCAACGTCTCAATGTGGACCAATTTCAACGCCAGAGCCATTGTAGTGTTGAGATCGACATCCGTGTACAAGACATCTTGAACAGACACGAAGTCAAGGATAGGTCGCTACATCACGACTTTGTCGAACGTCTGAACCATTTGGCACCCGAGGAAAAGTTTGTGCAGTCTATGGCTGGTCTGTGGAGGGATGAAACAATCAGACGGAAGAAACGCATGGGCATCACAGATCCTGGCAGCAGCCCATTTCCACCAGAAGTTCTCGTCTCCATGTCGCATGATCCACGTAATACTGAAAACGGCGGCTGGATACACGAGGAAGAGTTTCGCAAGATGGTAGAAGAGCTTGCCAAGGACGAGCGACACAGGATGGGCGGAAGCGCTCCGTCATTCGACACTTTCGTCAAGCCTCGTGAAGAAGAGTTCCCGGTACAGACTACCCTCGAAAGCATTGAAGAGCTCTTCCACGAAAAGTGGCAATTCGCGTCAGTTGATACGCCCAAAAACCTGACGCAAAGACTCGCTGACGAAGGACTTGACNTCGGGGATGCTCTTGTGAACGAGTCTAGCATCCTGCAGCTCGCATCGGACGACCAGTCGTATGAGTCTGATGAGGAACTTGCTCGCGAAATTGCCTTGACCCAAGCCCAGAAACCCAATCTTAATGCTGCACCAGACGCTGGAGGTGATGATGAGACTCGTCCTGATGGCGATGACTATGCTCAGCAATATCTTGATCCCNCCGACTCTATTTCTACAGCTTCCCTACCTCGAACCTCCCAGCCGACAAACAACGGAGAATTGCCTGTCCCTGCACAAATAGCACTGGCTGTCGAAGCTCAACATGGCAAGAAGCGTCAGTTGATTGATGGAGAAGCATCTGTCAAACGTCGAAAAGTGGTCGGCTTTGCGGAGAGTCCTCAAGCACCACCACCTGATGAGGCTGGACAATCTAGACGCAAGAACTTCAAAGTCAAGGATTGTGTGACTACTTCTCAGACCATGGCGGACGTTGCGGCTGATCAGGGAAGTGATTTGCTTCATGATCTTCCTCCTGCGTCTACACAACTACCGAACAGTCAAGAACATAACAGGAGGAGAATTTCACAGTCTTATCCGGCTGTGAAGAATCCTCATGATCCTGATACTATGCTGCGTCTCAGTCAGAGAGACGATATGCCTGGGCAAAGAAATCCGACTACGCCTGCTAAGTCAAGCCAGCTCCAGCGTCATGACTTTTCTTCCTCGTCTTGGACTAGATCAAAGTACACAGCCAATGCTACTCCATCGAAACAGACTATCATCTCTCCAGCCGCGAGGAAGCTAGCAAACAACTATTGCAAGGGGTTTGGGGATGGCGCTAATGGCGTTGTCGTTCTTGGTCAGACACCGCCGAAACGCGCAGAAGTCTCGGGTACAATGATTGAGCACGGGATGCCACCAGTAATCTACCAAGATGCGTACTACAGCGATGAACAAGACGTGCCTGAGCGTTTGAGAGAGTATGCTGGTCAAGAGTTCAAGCTTGAGAGCAATACTGTCCCCTTCCTGCCTGACTTTGATCCTACTGGTAATTCAGATGCTTCGAGAGGAGCCAAGGTTCCAATAGTCCTTGACAAAGCGAAAGAAGATTTGGAACATCAAGCTCGACGAAAAGACTGTTTCCTACAACGCTGGGAGATTGAAGCTCGTCCCCCATCTTTCTTAGAAGTACAGTACTGGCTTCGGGCGAAGTGTCCGACTGTCGAGGATGTTCCTGGAGACGACGGCGAAGTTGATCATCCTCTGTCTCAGCAAGACTTCCTCCAGCGAACGAAACCCATGTTGTCGCAGATAGAAGGTCCAACTCAGAGGAACAAACATGGCTTCAAGTTCTCTCAGAAGAAGAAGTCGACAAGTGTGCGTCATGAAGTACAATACATGTCTATTATGAGTCTTGAGGTGCATGTCAACTCTCGAGGTGATCTAGCTCCTGACCCTGAGCATGATGAGATCTCGTACATCATCTGGTCGTTGAAGGCCGACGACACTGATCTTGTTGGTAACGCTGGACATGATGATAAATATGTGGGAGTCATCGTGCTGTCTACTGAAGGAGATTTGACTGAACGTATGCGAAAGTCAGTCGGTGTCGATGTCGAGGAAGAGGACAACGAGCTCGATGTTCTGAATCGGCTGGTTGATATTGTTCGTGAATATGATCCGGACATTCTCACTGGTTACGAAGTACACAACTCTTCGTGGGGCTACCTGATCGAACGTGCTCGCCTCCAGTACGAGTTCAATCTATGCGAAGAGCTATCTCGTGTCAAGTCTCAATCTCATGGTCGCTTTGGTAAAGATGCCGACAAGTGGGGCTTTGAGCATACATCGACAATCCGTATTACTGGCAGACACATGATCAACATTTGGCGCGCTATGCGAGGTGAACTCAACCTGTTACAATACACCATGGAGAATGTCGTGTTTCATCTTCTCCACAAACGTATTCCTCACTACTCGTTTGCAGATCTGACAACATGGTACAAGAGTGCAAAGCCTCGAGATCTAGCCAAAGCATTGGATTACTTCATCACCCGTGTCCAACTTGATTTGGAGATTCTGGACGCCAATGAACTTGTGCCTCGCACGTCTGAACAAGCTCGGTTACTCGGTGTTGACTTTTTCAGTGTCTTTAGTCGGGGCTCTCAGTTCAAAGTTGAGTCGCTCATGTTCCGTATCGCCAAGCCAGAGTCTTTCGTCCTGGTCTCGCCTAGTCGCAAACAAGTTGGTCAACAGAATGCTCTTGAATGTTTGCCGCTGGTCATGGAGCCACAAAGTGCTTTCTACAATAGCCCGCTGCTTGTACTCGACTTCCAAAGTCTGTATCCGAGTGTTATGATTGCATACAACTATTGCTACTCCACATGTCTTGGTCGGATCACACCGTGGCGAGGTCAAAACAAGATGGGCTTTACGGACTTCAAGCGTGATCCTGGCTTGCTTGATCTCGTCAAAGACAAGCTGAACATTTCTCCAAACGGCATGATGTACGTTAAGCCAGAGATGCGTAAATCGCTACTCGCTAAGATGCTAGGCGAGATTCTGGAAACGAGAGTCATGGTCAAGTCAGGCATGAAAGTAGACAAAGACGACAAGACACTGCAACAACTGCTCAACAATAGACAACTCGCCCTGAAGTTGATTGCAAACGTGACTTACGGATACACCTCTGCCTCTTTTTCTGGCCGCATGCCGTGTTCCGAAATCGCAGACTCAATCGTCCAAACCGGCAGAGAAACTCTCGAGAAAGCCATCGCACTCATCCACGCAACCTCAAAATGGGGTGCTGAAGTCGTCTACGGAGACACAGATTCCTTATTCGTGTACCTCAAAGGCCGCAGCAAAGACGAAGCCTTCGTCATCGGCGACGAAATCGCAAAGGCAATCACAGACATGAATCCTCGGCCCATCAAACTCAAGTTTGAGAAAATATACCATCCCTGCGTGCTTTTGGCCAAGAAACGCTACGTGGGCTTCAAATATGAGCATCCTTCTCAGACCGAACCAGACTTTGACGCCAAAGGCATAGAGACAGTCCGCAGAGATGGCACACCCGCCGAGCAGAAGATCGAGGAAAAAGCACTGAAGCTACTATTCCGCACTTCTGACCTCTCGCAAGTAAAAGCCTACTTTCAATCTCAATGCCACAAGATCATGACTGGCAAATTCAGCATCCAGGACTTTTGCTTTGCGAGAGAGGTCAAGTTGGGAACGTATTCAGACAAAGGACCTGCTCCTCCCGGCGCACTCATAGCCACCAAACGCATGCTCAAAGACGCGCGTCAGGAACCTCAATACGGAGAACGTGTTCCCTACGTGGTCATCGCCGGCGGCCCTGGCGCGAGACTCTTCGAACGCTGTGTCGAGCCCGAACGTCTCCTTTTCGACGAACACGCAGAACTGGATGCCGAGTACTATATCAGTAAAAACTTGATTCCGCCACTCGAGCGCATCTTCAACTTAGTGGGTGCAAACGTGCGCGCGTGGTACGATGAGATGCCTAAAGTCCAACGAGTGCGCAGTATCGGTGCTGGAGGTGCTGCCACAAAAGGCATCTACAAGACTATGGAGAGCTACATGCAAGTTTCTACTTGCGTAGTGTGCAGAATCAAACTCTCGCAGCCGGCACCGGGAACAGTGGCATTGCCTTTGTGTGCGAAGTGTGCGGCTACACCTTCGCTTACCCTCCTTGATCTTCGCAACAGGTTACGCGCCGCTCACACGAAGAAAGCGGATATGGATCGTGTGTGTAGGAGTTGTGCTGATGTGCCCAATGATGATGAAGTCAGATGCGACAGTAGAGATTGTCCGGTCTTTTACAGTAGGGTCAAAGCTAGTGCAAAGTGGGGTGTTGAGAAGGAAAGACTAGAGGGTGTTGTTGAGGCTTTGGAGAAGCTGGAGGAGAAGAGAGTGAGAGAGTTGTTCGAATGGTGAGCGAGGAAAAGTGTGGATAATGCAAGCTGGCATAGTAATCTGTGCATTGTCGAAGAGATCTAGCTCTTCCTCTAGGACTGGCCTCTGTAGCCTGATGTAAGGAGATCGATACAAGCGAACATCAAAGCCATCCATCCTTTATCCTTGTTCGTCTATGCTACCTCAACCTCGCCAACTTGAGAATATCATGCCGGTAAAAGAACTCCCTATTCCTCTTCCCCAACACATACATGGGAATCCCCAGCAAACAGATCCCCACCTCAATACTTCCAAACACCACAAACATACGCTGAAACCCCTTTTCCAACACCCACGAATAAGCATAATAAGCCAACACAAACGAAAACAAATTCTTGAATATAATCAAGCAAGTAAAGGTTTCAATGGCGATATCGCGATGGGCATCTAGGAGGTATTGAGCAGAAGCTGTAGCACCCATGACCATGGAAATGGTTATGCAGGCCAAGAACACTTCCACCACTATCCAGCCATATTTCTCGATATCTGAGGCTGCGATGCCGAATCCGTAGAGTCCGACGCCGGAAAACAGGAGCGTGGGAATTACCAGCGCGATCCGGAATTCTGGCTCATATTGGCCATTGTTGCGGAGGATGAGGAAGCGAGTAACGTATTCGGTGTATATGCCTGCGAGCACAAGTCCAATCACCGAGCCGATGAACGCTGCAGTGTACATTTTNCCTGCCTGCTCTTCTGTAAAGAATAGCGGTGGACCCAGAAAGATCAGCGCGAGGATCACGCCAACAATGACTGTCCAGCCAATAATCACGCCTTGCATCAGACAACCCCAAGCCACTGCTGGTTGCAAAAACAGCGGAAAGGGCCGAAACAGCAACTTTACAAAGCTTTCGTCTGTTTTGCGGCCACTAAAGGGAGAAAGGCGATACAGAAAAGAGTATTTTGACGGTGGCGGGATGGGGTCGTGGGGNGTGACTGGGCCGACGTCAATGTCGAGTTGGAGGTAGCGAGGTCGTTGGTATGCTGTTTCTGGGAGAAAGAGGAAGAGGAGGATGAAGCCGGCGCCCATGAAGATTGAGAGGAAGTAGAAGGACCATTGCCAGCCGAGTGAGTTGTCGGTTGTTATGAAGCCGACTGATATTGATTAGCGAGCAATTGTAGGGCAGCGAAGAATGATGCGCTTACCACAGACTGGTGTCAGGAAAGCAGCTCCGAATAAACAGACATTGGTGAATGCCATGCGAAAGCCTCGTTCGTGTACAAAATACAAGTCGCCAACCACATCGTTGACCAGCGACTCAAAGGGTGCCAGTGCGATGCCTTGAAAGATCCTCGCCCAGATGAGACTCTTGTAATTCAAGTTCTTCTGTGTCGAGCCACCCCAAGCTGATGATGCGACCATGAGCAGAGCACCGAAAAGGAAGACATGTCGTTTTCCCCATACCCTGGCTAGCGGCACGAATAGCCAGCTGGCAACACCAACACCGCAAAGGTGATATGCGGTCAATAGTGCAGCTTCCTGAAACTTGACTTTGAAAACAACAGCCAGGACGACTGAGTTGGCAGCGACTAATGGTGATGCTGTTGTTGCAATGGCGGCGACGACACAAAGGAGCAGTAGCATCAGATCTCTTTGCCATAAGGGCCAGTTCNNTGCGGCAATCTGTCAGCTCAAGTTCAGCAGGATCCTTCTTGTCAAATGTACCAGAGGATCGTTCGGATCTTCACTGGGTTGTGGCACAAGGATGATGTTGCCAGTCTTGTCTCGTTTCAACGTCGGATCCCATTTCCATTCTTGATCCAATACATTCGCCGTTCCGGGTACTTTCTTTGCTCTAGGCTCGAGGATCCCTAGAGGCATGATGATATCGACATGGAGATATGGATTGGTGAGGAGAAGCGACGTAAGTCAGTTGTAGTCGTTGAGGAGTACTGGAGACTGTGGGTGAAACACAACAAGCTATGAAGCAAGGGGAGAAGAGGTATGCTTAGCAACGAGACTGAAGGTATGCTGATTACCAAATGGTTGCATGGCCACGTGTGGCGAACAAAGCCACGATAATACGGGATACGGTTGCAATGCAACCTCTGACGACGTGAGGTTCGAGATAAAGAAGGTCGACCAATGCGGTGACGATCGAGTAGAAAAGGTATTTGGATATACAGGGTGAACGGATCAGTGAAGGGGCCGAATTCGCAGCATTGAAGAGCCCGGATTTCGTCGTCCAGTATTGTGCTCAGGTGAGGGGATACACCACAATGATGATTCGAGATTTCGCAGCTCAAGGATGGCACCGGTAACATTTCACAAGTCAGAGGAGAATTCGACATAGCCCAAGGAGAACAGCTGCCCTTGAAGAAGGAACGCATAGCGTAGCCGGCTGGGTAGTAAGCAGTAGAGCCTCGCCAGAGCGTGCGGCGGAAGGCACGTTGGGGCTACGTGGATGGAGCGCGGCTCATTCTAAGCTGACGAATCGAGTCACGATTGACGTGCTTCTTCGTGGCTCTCTCCCAGGCATCAATTACGATCCTTCAAAGTGTGTTGATGTGCGTCAAGTTACTCAGTCGCGACAACGGATATCGGAGCTGTGCGCCCAAGAATTGCCGGGCGGTCAGTCGAGGGGTTTCTTCCACCGACCTTTGCATCATCGTGCTGCTCTTGTCATCCCATCTTTTCGACCGCATCATACCGTCGTGGTCGAACAGCCTGATTCGATGAAGATTCCAACATGAACAAGTCCAGATTATGTGCGTCTATGCGACTATGTTTCCACTGCGCATCCTACAGGAGACCGGTCAAGCAATATGCACAGCCTTGGCCTAAGCCACGGTCAGGATTAGACACAGCTGCAGGATGCCGTCTGAGTCTATAAGGCGTGCCAGCTCCATTGTATTTTGTTTTTCGCTTAAGTCGCTTCCACATATATAAGACATGCTCATCACCTAGATCTTACCACGGTTCATCATGACTCCGATACGCGAGAAGACTGGTCATGTTCCATCACCGTCGCCTTCATTGCTCCCAAACACCACAAGGCATGACACCGAAACGCCCTTGATTCCCACCGAGCACGTAAACGACCACGAAGTGTTCGAGATTTCCCAAGGAGAGCAAGACGCGAAATTTACACCTGAGCCTGAAGTGTTTCATGAATGGCTGCCCCTCACATTAAGGCCATCGTATCTGACCTTTATTGTTGGTGTTTCTCTCAGCCTTAGTGCTATTGTCTTCTACCTTACAGCCAAATCGTCAATCAACCATGGCATTTGCGAGAACAATGATTCAGCCGTTATCTTCTTTGGTTGGAGGTTCTTACCGACACTAGTGGCCACGATCTATTCACTGCTCATTGCAATCATGGTCAACGATGTGCGTAGGACAGAGGTCTTTGCGCGACTGTCGAGACCGAGAGGTGCCTCTGCATCAGACACCATATGCATGCCCACAAGATCATGGTGGAACGACCCCTTTGACGCCTGGAGTAAACCAAGAAACGGCGGAAAACGCAGTTGGGCTTTGCTGTCCGCCTCCATGTCGAATCTCTTGGCCCTCCTTGTGATATCTCCTTTGTCAGCAATTTATCTGTTTCCAGCAGATTCTCATTCTACCATACCGACGACGTTCAGCAAAGGGCGCGAGGCTCAGGAATTTATTGGGACTCAAGCCGGATCCGAAATGATCACCTTTCGAACAGCTATTGCGGCTGTGCTCAACCAGACTACTTCTGCTTGGATCTCAACCGATTATGCAGTCGCTCCCTTTTGGCCCTCGGCCCTCAATGAGCCACCTCTAGGGTCCATATTTACGGGACTTTCGCCTCAGAACTGGTCGAGTCGGACTACGGTATATCAGGCCGAGTTGAACTGCGTCCCAATGTCACTCGCCCAGACCGGCAATTATACTTGGGTGGCGCCATTCGCTCCAAACACAACTGAGACATATAGCAATCTTACGTTCGAGGCCACTTCCGACGATGGATGTTCGATAGTATTTTCTGGGACTCCTGGTATCAACAAAGTATTGAGCAACAGCGGTGGCTGGTGGGCGCCTTTCCCATACACGAAGCTCTCCCCAGGTCTCAAAACGAACAACGCGACATTGTCGGCATGCGCGAATCGTAGTATGTTACTTGTCGGCATTGCGAAGAACATGGTGACAGGTAATTGTCATGGTTACTGTTATGGCGAAGATGCGCCATACTTTGACACAAAGATACAGCTCTGTTCGAGTCAATATTTCTCGGGCTCAGCCGACGCAACTGTACTGATCAACCAAACCTCAACGACAGTCGTCTTCGATGTCGAAGACTACAAAAGGAAGCGAAAGCTTATGCCCGATACTGAGTACAACTCGAGCACAATGGAGAGTGCTTTCTTCAGCTCCAGCTGGTCTGACAAGTTTGGACGCAATGATGGTATACTGTACAACAATGGTGATGAGCCTTGGTACGGCGGTCCTTTGTCAGTCATTTCTGCAGGACCAAAGTATGACACGGACTCCCATAGGATTTACAACAGTACAAGCCTGTTAAGAGACGCCAAAAATCTACTGCAGCAGTTCCTCGGCGAGATGCTCATGGACAAATGGAAGCAACGAGCAAACGAAGATACAGCTACCTCCACTGCTGAGGTAACTACCTCCAAGTCTAGAGTTGTGGCAAACAAGGATGTTGGAATCACTCTCGCAATCTTGCTTCTTCTATCTGGGATGGCAATTCTCCACGCTTTCTACACAACTCGGGTGGCGCAGAGACCCCTTGGTTTGTACCAAGATCCCGGCAAAATAGAGGCTGTTGCCACGTTGATTCTAGGAGATTCGGTCCTGAGGGAACAACTGTCAGACACCGATGTACTTTCCCAAGAGTGCATCTCATTGAGGCTCGAAGGATACGTGCTCAGCATGATTCGAGGAAGATTGCAAATCCTGAGACACGAAGATGATCGTTCTTGTAGTGGTAAGTTATCTTTCCGTGCCTGTATGCAAGAGTATGTGACACGTGTAGCTATAACAATGCACGATAGTATCGAGAGATAGGGCAGTATCCTTGGAGAGCGACGTCTTCTGAATTCTCCTTGGTCACATCTCCGAGTCTAGAACAATCGTGCATTGTTATATATGACACATCGCTTCGTGATGTTGAGGGAGAAGGATAAAAACAGACTTCCGTATCTGGAGAAATTACTGATATCACTGCTGACATGAGCTCAGACAAGACTCCACCAACACTCATCCCAACTGTCGGTGACCCTCGACCAGCAGTTCTGAGACTTCGAGTTGGGATCCCATTAGTGTGCTTCCTATTGCTTCTTCTTGTGGGCTTGGCGGTACTGTACAACCTGTCCTCCAAAACAGGCTTGTACCAGACGTCTCTAGTCTACCAGATCCATATAGATCTTGCCCATGCCTCTGCGACGCTTGCCCCGTATTCGGTCATTCCGACCTTCCTCGCTATCGGTGCTAAACTATGGTTCGCAATGGCTAGTGACACTGTTCAACGATACCAACCTTTCCTTGCGATGATCAAAACGCCAACAGAGCTATCCAAATCTGTTTCAGTAGAGTACCTAAACACGCCTACCGCCTTGGTGTCCTTAAAGGCTCTCAGGAGTTCACATTGGCTACTCGCGTTGTTAGGGGCTGGAACGCTGGCCACCGAAGCATGTACGTTCCAATAGGTCTTCGCATGGTATCCTAATATGCTAACATTGAAAGTCACTGTGAGCATGTCTGCTCTCTGGTACAGAGAGGTGCGAGGCATCGTCTATGCACTCAATGCAACCACACCCCTTATCCTTCGGGAAACACCAAATACACAGAATGCCACGCTCAATGACGAATCCTACCTCCTGAGTGCAAATGAGACTCGCAAGCTGTTCATATCAGATTTATACCATATCTCGTTGCAAAACTGGCTTTACGGTGCTACAATCGAGATTACGCAATCGGCGGCTACACCGGCGTGGAGCAAGGATGTTTGGAGCTTCTTGCCTCGGAGCACAACAAATAGCATGAATTCAGCAAGGCTACATACAATCGACGCACATACCCGCAATATCACAATGCCAACAACCGCTCTGAGAGCTAGTTTAACCTGTCGTCCGGAGACCTATCCAGCTGATCCATCTCTCTGGCTTACCAAAATCGACTTTCAGCATTCGGATAGGGACAATGAGACCGGAAATCCTCTGTGGAACAAGACAAACAGTCCGTCTGATCTTGAATATGGCTACATCCTGAAGAACGTGTCTGGCGCGACATTCAACCTTGAATCGATTGATTGCTGTGCCAACCAGACCTTGGGAGGCACAGGCAGTGCTAATGTTGGGTATTGGTCGAACGCGAACGGACCAATTCTGACTTCCACATGGATCGATGGTAGCCCAATCGAAGGTCACTACACACCTTACTACACTGAGAACAATAATATCGATACACTACCCGAAGCCGCGAACAAAGATCCGGTCGCTATAGTTGGGCCATTGAAACCCGAGCTATTCGTTTGGCAAGAGCCTCCCAGAATGGTTGCCATCAGTTGTGAGCCACGAATTGAGGAAGCGGAAGCAATGATAACTGTGGAAATCGGAACCGGTCTGATCAGAGACTACGAGATTACGAGCACGTTGCGAACTGCCACCGGGGCCTGGACATACCCCTATACTCAAGAGAATCTCACTAGGACAAGCATCACCTGGGAATCTGATTACGACGATCGGCAGGAGTACGAAGAAACACTTACCAGGGTCAATGCCAGGTAAGTCCAACGTGCTCTGACATGGATGGATATGATGTTTGCTAATACTTGTCAAGTTGGGGCTACATCTTCTTGGATGCACTTGTCAACTCAGGTCAAAAAGATGAATGGTTTCGCTTCCAAGATCGAGGTCTCAATGTCGATTTGATGTCATACTCCATGTCAAGTCTTGCGAACAACGATCAAGAAGCACTCTTAGATCCCAAGACACTCATGGAAAAAGCCGACAGAACCTTCGCCATCTTCTTCAAGCACTTTGCATGCTTCAACGTTACGGAACACAAAGGAGGATATGTCTATGTACCCATGGACTTCAACTCACAAGATACTTCGGATCTAGCCAATGCAATCCTCAGTATGCCTGTCGAAGAACTACGCATGTCTCCAGCTGCGGCAATCTTGAGCATGTCAATTTTGGTGTTCTTGATTATCATCACGATTATCATGTATACTACCAACCGCAAAGGATATAGAGCGATACCCAGAGATGTCAGTACTTTGGCTAGCACACTCGGCTGGATCTATGCTAGCGACAGACTTTTGGCTTGGTCCGAACAGGCACCACCTTCCCAGCCCTGGTATAGAGCCTTGTTCTCGAGACGATCGACCTTCGAAGCGCAACACAGAGCGAAGATGGGACCTTTACAGACTCTAGTGGTACTAAGCGCTGGGGAATCGAACTGGTGGACGTTACTGCGGTGCATATCATGACTGATGAGACGGGAAAAGATACAAAGCATGATGAGGTCACTGCCGGCGAGTGGCTAGAGCTGTACGAGATAAGACATTCGGCTACTGATGACATCAGAGAAGATCCAGCTCCGGGTGCTCACGAGAGGTTGCTGCAATCTTCTGACACCGAGAATGAGGCGGTCGGCAGTGGCGAAGAATGTCTGAAAGCTCCTGAGCCTGGAAACAGTTCGGAGGATAATCACATACGCATGATGAGATCATCAAGTTCAGATACTGGAAGCACTAGTCCTCATCTATGACTCTAGACAACACGACTCGGTAGCCAGTCTCCAAACAATCTCCCTACGCCCTGCCAGTCACCCTCCATAGTCTCCACTTTGTCATCATCAACGAATTCAGCATTATTCATGCCACCAAAATCAATCACCCAAGCATTCAAATCCTGATCGATAGCCACATTACATGGATTCACATCACCCCAGACCAACTCATGTGCATGCAGCGTTTTCACAGTAACACAAACCTGCTCGTCCCATTTCACATGCAGATCAACACAGTCTCGAAACCCGGGACTCATCAAATGAGACTCCGTATCTGAAGGCACGATCGATTGCATGAGTATGCCAATGACCACTTCTTCTCCTTTGCCGGCCACCACAAGACTATCGAGAACTGGTAATCTGTAGCGAGTGCCTGCAAGACCTGCTTCTTTTATACGACTCATGACCTGAACTTCGCGCAGAAACTCGGTCTCGCGTCCTGCTTCACGCGGTTTGAAGTATTTGTAGCTCCCCTCTGCAGTTCTGACTTTTCCCTGCACACTTTTCAGGAGGTTCATTTCCTCCAATGACCGTACCATAACCAGATCTTTGGCTTGTGTCTTTGGTATGGAATTCCACTCTAGTGTGGAGGATACAGGTAGTGGCGCAATATCGTAAGTTGATGTATATGAACAGGCTTCCTCCCCTCGAACACTCAATTCCCCATCGTCGGTACCGAAAACGCTCAGATGGTATGTAGGCGCATAAGCAAAATTTTCGATGGTCAACCCGTAGACTGAGATTTGTGGAGCCAGTTTGGTGAGCAGCGGTAGAAAGTGCATACAGATGAGGCCAAGAGCTGTGTCATAGGCCTCATGTCGTGGCGCTCGAGGTTTAGGTACGCAGTGGTTAGGTAGAGGAATTTCTGTCCTAGAGACGTGTTCTGGATGGGAGTTGAGGGAATAGTGAGATAAAATTGAGTGTTGCCGCGCATGAGTCCTATGCGGCATAGGGTCTTGCTAAGGGAGCTTTCGCGGATGTAATAGGGTCGTTCCATGGTAGGGTTGTAGAGAAGATATGTGCACCCAACATGCGAGACCTAGTGACACGAAAGAAAGCGGGAGCATGAGGGACCTCTAAAGTTCTGATGGATACGATTATGACGACAAGGATCGACAGATCGGCAAACATACAGGCAGCAACATAGAGACTTCTCGAGAGGATCAACTGTCATGTATCCAACTATCTGGTCTTTGGACCACATCTGATTTGGAAGAGTTTGCTCGTGTTCACCTGCGGCTTCGCGCAAACGAGTAGCCAAGCGAGAAGCAGCCGTTCCCTTTCTGTTGGTGTTCGGCCACGTTGGGCAATCATGAAACTTCCAGATCGTGGCCTGAATCTTACCATTCCGTATGCGGTAGGCATTCACAGTGTATCATAAAAATGCACAATCCTTTCTACAATAGAGGGAAATCCACGGAGAGAACGTTGTATCCGAGCATCTCTATGGTAAAACCTCAATTTATAGAAAACTGTGCATTGTTATAGCTTATGATAACACAATCGGTTAGCAATGGACAGGGATCGATCGCAGGGGCGTGACTATCTTTCGCATACGGAGAGGTAGTAACATGATACTCGATGGCAGACATTAGATATCAACCAGCCACTTTTGCTTTTCAGAGAGCTTCGAAGCAGAGCGCAGCGTACCNCTCAAAGTCTGGATCTCGTTCTGAGTGAGACCAACGTGTTGCAGATATTGTTCAATCCCACCATGTCTGTTTTGTATGTGCTGTTCTAGACAGTTGACAAAGGGGAGGAAAGGTTCCACAAAAGTGTCATCGGAATATCCCATCGCTCTGTTCTCCTCGAGTCGTTCTTGTTTGAGGTTGGCCAGATCCTCGAAAGTCTGCATATAATCGCGGTGTATGCTTTCCGTATCTGCAGTCAAGAGAAACAAGACCAGACAAACGATCAGCGAAACAAGCTCGGAGCCATACTTGTTCAAAATCAGAACAGGGTATGACGACGGATCTATCAATACCTTAAAAACAGCTTTGATCTGTGGATGAGAGTAATCGATGATGATCTCGTGCACGGTCATTCGATTCTTGGATATCCTGCCATTGATGTATTTCTTCCACTTCTCGGTACCGCTGGCTGGCGAGTAGGCAATCTCGGCGAATGCTTTCGCCTTGGACCAGAAGCCTATTTGACTCGCTACATGTCGGCCAAATTGTGGACCAGCAAGACCAATATAGTGCAGGTGAAGACCAAGTATACTCGTGCTGGCTATCTGGTTAGGGTACTGCTGTGTATAGTCGAACTCATGTTTGCCTGGCAATCCAACTGTAGAGACCATCGGCCATGGCTGCCTGGAATCAATGAACATGAGTCGGATGTGGACTGGCCAGGACATATCTCACATGCCACGCAGATCTATCACCGATCGTAACTTGTGTCGCTCACGTAGAACGTCAAGATCTTCTCGACTGGAATTGTCTGAGGCACATCATCAGCTACAAGTTTGAACTCTAAAATCACGTACAAGACACTCACCGATATGTGCACTTCGATACAAGAGTCCTGGTTTGACGTCCTTCACCAAGCCGGCGACGTCACGAAAGTTGAGAACAGTCGTTAGAGGTGGTAGTTTTTCATCTTGGTAATCATTCATGTTGAGAGCCACTATGTGCGGCCAGCTGCAGCAGCAGCGACAGCGCTCTTATATGCCTGTGGTGCAGCACCATCCTTCCGCGGAATCTTATAGCAATGCCCAGTTGCTATGTGGAGGGCTAATTGGCTCACGAAGGTCTGATGATGTTCTTGCGGAAATAGAGCGGGTGCAACGGACGGCGGGCCCGCTGCCAAGCATGGAGCTCTGCTGAGTCAGCGATGCGTTCATCTTGGCAGATCTAGTTCCTAAGTTCTTTCGATACTTGCATCTTGCGCATTGAAGTGATACCTTCAACTGAGTGTGTCATTGCTCAACGACTAAGCTAGACACAGTCCCGACTCTGATACGAATCGACGATAACCCGGACTGAATACTTGGAGTCGGTGGATGACACGAAGTTTCCTGTGCTGTCTCCAGCTAGTCACGTCGAGAAGTTTTGTTCGCATGGCCAAAATCTTACTCCACTGCACGTAGGTCCTGGGACGCAAGTTTCACCGTCTTGTATCGCTGGAACGCTGTCTTCTGCCTCTTATCTTCTGGACAAGATTTCGCGATGGAGTTACAAAAGGGTAAACCCCAGTGGCACAATCGTCCAGACGGGTTAGGCGAACAATATTTCGTGTTCTTGCTCATGTATGACCGCAGCTTCTCAAGCTACAAGTGCCACATGAATGTCAGCAAGCGGGGTCGAGCATTATCATATATCAGCATCTCAACCCTGCTTGTCCTGAACGCAACCTTTACAATTAAGAAACCCCTTGGACTCCAGATATGGCTCACTCACCAATTGAAAAGGCTACTGGCAAAATTACCCGTTTCAAAGTGCACATTCCCGATGCCCACCTCGAGGAACTTGACTTACTTCGCATGGACCGAGGAAGATCCACCTGTCTCTCTGATCTTGGAATAAATCAGCTTGTATTGGCTCACGCGATGTGCAGCCACATGTCTCTGGCCTTACCGTATCGTTAGTGCATCTTCCTCGCTTTTCTCTGTTATCACTCACAGTCGTCTCCTGCAGTTCTACACCCCTAGTGTCAACGGCAATCCACATGGTATGTCTGAGTACAAGATCCTCAAAACCAAGCCATTCGGTTACTCTTACTATCCATACGAGTTGTATCCGGTCCCCGAGGCATGGGCTGCTACCACTGGCAACTTGACTCTCTCCCGAGCTCATGACAAAGGGGGCATTTTGCGGCTATTGAACAGACTGAGACATTCCTGGAGGACCTTGAGGAATGTGTGAAGGAAAATCGTACAGCTGTGTTGAGTCGAGCTCCCGAAGGTACTGCTGTCGAGATAGAGTAACTTTAGCCGGGGTTGGCGCGCGGGTGCTTCAGTCAATCTTCACACCGTCCGTCTCCTCCGTGTGCAAAAGAAAGTCACAGCCTATAATCGGCCCCTTTCCCTTACTAACCCATTATGCCATTATAAGCCATAAAAATGCATATTTGAATTTTAAGATAGGGGTGCTACCATGGAGATGCCTGAATATAACCTTCTCTCCGTGGATATGGCTCTGCTATATAAGAAATTGTGCATTTCTATGACTGCACTGTGACTGTCTATCGCACATGGGGATGGTGGACATTGTCTGGCGAAATTCTCGTTCTCTTGAGTATACCGCCCTGGAAACAGCAGGCTCCATCCTGTCAACCATTCCTTACTACTTTATGCCTTGAGGATCAACGTCCGAGATAGGTGATAAGCGCTGAGCACGGATCTCTTATATCATGCAGGTCAATATATACTGCGATCAGTGCATGGATCCTTCCGACTCCTTCGACTGTGTTGACTTTTCTTTGTTGTTCTCTACTCATGCCCACAACTCTTTCCTTATCGCAGACTGCTTCTTCGAGCCATAACAGGCCATGCAGGAAATCTACGATCTGGTTGTAATTGGAGCAGGTGAGTCAAACACAATATAAGTTGCAGATGATCATGTTTACTGAACCCTTGTAGGATGGTATGGTCTCGCCGTCGCCGCAACGTATCTACAAGTACACCCTTCTGCTCACCTCCTCGTTCTCGAGGCACAATCTACTGTTGGCGGAGTATGGAGTCAAGAGCGCCAATACCCGGACCTCAAATCCAACAACATGCTCGGAACATACGAATACCCTGACTATCCCATGGACACTGAGACTTATGGCGTCAAAGCTGGTGAACATATTCCTGGGCATGTCATCCATCGATACCTTGGCGATTACGCAAAGAAGACTGGAGTCTTTTCTCGTATTAGATTCGACATCACAGTAATGGAAGTCTCCAAAGCATCCGGCGGTGGAGGCTGGACGCTGAACACCGACAACGATGACTTGACCAATCTGTCCACAAGAGAACTGGTAATAGCTACAGGTCTAACCTCTACACCTTTCATTCCCACCTTTGCTGGATCAGTGATCTTCGAGAAGTCTGGCTTGCTTATTCACTCCCGCGATTTTCCTCAACATACTGAAGCACTCTTCTCCAAAACATCTGCGATCACTGTTCTTGGTGGCTCAAAATCAGCTTGGGATGTCGCTTACGCTTGCGCAACTCGTGATGTACTTGTCAACCTTGTTGTCCGTTCTTCAGGCCAAGGACCAACGTGGATGGCTCCACCCAACGTAACTCCCGTCAAGGCGTGGTTGGAAAAACTCGTCCATCGACGCTTTCTCACTTGGCTATCTCCTTGTATCTGGGGTGATGAGGATGGCTTTTCCTCGACAAGAAACTTTTTGCATGGCTCTTGGCTAGGCAGGAAGATTGTAGATGCGTTTTGGTGGGTGCTTAGTACGGATGCAAGTGCATTGATGGGTTACGATAAGCATCCTGAGACGGCAAAATTGAAGCCATGGCATTCAGCTNTTTGGACTGGGAGTGGCCTGGGCATTCTGAACTTTGAGAGTGATTTCTTGGGGTTGGTGTGGGAGGGAAAGGTCAAAGTGTACATTGCGGATGTGGTGGAATTGGGAGAAAACACTATATCGCTCAGTGATGGCACTCAACTAATCACTGATGCAATTGTTTGCGCCACAGGCTGGAAAGCACGACCACCGATGAGGTTCCTGCCCCAAGGACTAGACGCTGCACTCGGACTTCCAAGCAGTGAACCCCTATCTCCGTCCTCGACAGCCGACTTCGAAGCAGCAGACAAAGAGGTTCTGTCGCGCTTCCCTCGTCTGCAACAACAGCCTAGCACACCTATACCCGGTGACGACACTACCGCCGACGCAACGTCACAGCCATTCACACTATACCGCTTCGTGGCTCCTCCTTCTTCCATTCTCTCAGACCCTTCTATCGCCTTCGCAGGCATGACAACAACAATCTCTACGCCCCTCTGCGCTTCCCTCCAAGCTCTATGGATAATCGCCTACCTCTCCTCTTCCCTCTCCCGCGTTCCTTCTTCTCCCTCTGATGCCCAGAAAACAGCACTACTCCACTCGCGTTTTGGGAGATGGAGATATCCTTGCGGCTACGGCGGCAGATTTCCCGATTTTGTGTTTGACGCTGTGCCGTATTTGGATATGTTGCTGAAGGATTTGGGATTGGAGTATAGAAGAAAGAGAGGGTGGTTGAAGGAGGTGTTTGAGGCGTATGGGCCTGAAGATTATGCTGGTGTTGTCGAGGAGTGGATGGACAAGAAGGAGATATAGAAATGGGTTACGGAAGAAGTATTCTGTATACCAACCACTACGATGAAGATCAAGATACCTTTCGACCATCGGTACAAAGTGTCAATGTAGAGCGATTTATGTGAGCGAGGTGAAAATTATATTACCCAGGAGAAGAATGAATCAAAAAGATAAACTTTATTACTGATTATGAGGAGAACAAATTTCTCTTAAAATGCCCAAGACGAAACAACAAAAAAGCTATGCATAGACAAAAGAGATAAACTAAGTCTCCTTGCCGAATGCAGGGAACGCCTTACCGTTGGTACTATCACAAGGGAACATAACAACATCCGCATTCATACTTCCCGAATTGCTGTTCGCCGTACTCTGCAAGATCTGCGCACCATCCGGAGCCAACATAGTGAACCGCAAGCCTCCGACACCACCTCCATTTGCAAACCACAAACGCACAGGCGTATATGTGTTCGCAGTCAAGTAGAAACCAAGGGTTGCAACCGTGGGCACACTCCAACTTTGAATCAACTGTGCGTTGGCGCGAGTGTAGCCGGAAAGTGCATTAGGGCCAATCCAGAACAATGCCACGTCGTCGGCGGCGGGGATGTTGATGTAGTAGTACCCGGTACCGTGGCCTGCGAAGACGTAGAAGACGTGGTTGAGGGCGATGGTGGAGAGTTGGTTGTTGGTCTGTGATTTGCCGTAGATGGTGGCACCGTTCGAAGCGTCGTTGTACTCGCCGATGTACGAGACAGCGGTGGCTGTTGCAGTGGGCGTGCTGGTCTTGAGCTGTTCGGGCACGAAGGCTGGGTACGCCGAAGTACCTTGATAGCCGGGGACTGGGTTGCTGTAGAAACCGACTGCGGCACCCTTGTTACCACATGTGGTGACTGCAGTCGGGTAAATGATTGAGACAGTGCCGGTGAAGCCTTTAGTAGGCGCAATGGTCTGTGTTGCAATAGTCGTTGCGGTGCCTTGATCGGCTGTGACTGTGACATAGGTCGTGGTTGTTGCCGCTGGGACCGAGCCTGAGGTCTTGACGAGAACGGTTCCAGCAAGACCATTGATCGTGGTAATAGTGGTGCTTCCAGGGCCGGCCCAAACAGTAGTGCTGGTGGTGTAGCTGACAGTTCCAGGGACGGTGTAAGCATTGAAGCCAGCGTACGAAGGCAGCCAAGCCATGTCAACATTGTAGTTGTTCAACTGTGGTGTGCGAGAAGTACCGGCCAAGTTCTTGAAGTAACAAGTGTTGCCGAGGTAGGCAAAACCAGAGCAGCCAGGATAAGCGCCACTATCGCAAATAGCGAAGCAAGAGTAAAAGTCAGGAGTGGTCTGGTTGCCGATATCAGCTGCATACTGAACGTCATATCCACACCCAAGAGTGTAGGTGACACCATTGTAGTCCACGTAAGAATCACCAGCATTTCCAAGCGATGAGCAGGTGGCGTTTTTACCAGTAGGCGCAGCAGTCCAGGTGACACTGGTCAAACCCTTGTCCTGAGGGTACAGCGCATAGCCATATGAGTTGGTGAGGTTGTAGACTGTACCGCTGCTGGAGTCCGTTGCTGTTTTGTAGGTGTCGTAATTTGCTGCATTCGACGTGCTGAAGAGGTAGCAACCCATCAGCTGGGGCTGTCCGTTCAGGGTGAGATTGAAGACATTGAAGTAGTTGCAAGGAGTGTAGGTCGAAGACTTGCTGCTTTGTGCATTAGCCTTGCTGTTGGCTGTGTATGTGTTGCACAAAGAACTGCACTGAGTCACATCGTAACTAGAGAAGTACTTCTGGCCGAGATAAATGTTGGAGCTGTAAGCAACCGCGTCGAGGGCATTAGGACCCTGGAAAGTCGAGATCGATGCCGGCGCAGGGTTGAGGTTGTATCCATTGGATCCTTGAATGACGACCATGAAGTCCTTGCGGTACTGCCCGATGTTGGTAGCTTGAGATGAGCTGACATAACTACCATAGAGTGCACAGGTGATCTGAGCAGCGCCACTGGGGTTGGGACAAGAGTTGTCAGGGATGAACGTAGGAGTGCGCTGAATGTAGATGTTAAAAGCATTACAATCAGAGCGGGCGTTGCAGTAAGCTGCACATGCACTAGTATTGTAAGAAGACAGCTGTTGGTATCCAAGATAGTTCGGTGCAAAGAGACCTGCCAATTGGCTAGTGAAGCTGGTGCTGTATCCAGCAGGGGGATACCACTGAGCAGCAGCCAAGCCGGCTAGAGTCGTGTCGACCAGGAACTGTGTGGGCGTGTCTGGGTTGGAGACGTATGAGTACAAAATGTTGTTGGGATTGCTGCATGTCGTCGCAGTGGCACGCTTGACCTTGGTCGAGCTTGTCTTCTTGGTCGAAGTAGATGTCGATGCTTTGACGGAGGTTGATGTGACCTTCTTGGTCGAGGTGCTGGTCTTGGCAGAGGATGACGAGGTCTTGGATGACTTCAAGAACCCTGCAACGTAGTTCTTGCCAGCGGCAATGGCGCTACCAGCAGAGTTCTTCATCCAACACGTGCCACTACCACTACCAAGATCGCCGCCGACGTATGAGAACGCGACACATCCCGATGTAGTGTCGCAAGCAGTCATGCAGTCGGCGTACGAATTGGTGGCTGCTTTGTTTGTGAAAGATCCGACGTTGGTGTCAGAACTGCACTTGATGGTGTAGACCTTGCCCTTGGAATCGGTAATGTCCTTGTTGTTGATGGCGGGGCATAGATTACTGGCAGCAGCAGCAGACGAAGAGGTCTTCTGGGTCGACGAAGTGGATTGCTTGGTCGATGATGTTGCCTTCTTGGTGCTCAAAGTTGTAGGCAGCTTGCTTGAGGAAGAAGACTTGCTTGACGACTTGCTTGACGACTTGCTTGACGACTTGCTTGACGACTTGCTCGAAGCACTCTGTGTAGTCTTCGATGATTGCTTTGAAGACGTTGTGGCAGAAGATTTGGAAGTGCTGCTCGACTTGGCGGAGCTCGACGACTTTTTCGAAGACGAGACCGTCGAGGTTGTTGAGGCCGAGCTGACCATGGTTGCCGCATGCTGAGAGCTCAACACCGAGACAATGGACGACGCGACAGAGGAGGTCTTCACTGACGAAGTCGAGGATACAGTGTTACTCGCTGACTTGAGTTGCGGCTTGACTGAATAGACTTTGCCAAAATCGACATTTTGGGCTTCCACAAGGGTGGACAAACCAGCCAAGAGGGGGATAGCAGCGTCGACGATACGCATCTTGGATGTGGTAGAGTTTCAGAGCGGTCGCTCTTTGACATGGCCCTGCATGGCGAAGCTGACTTATATAGCATGACCGAGTGTGGCTTGACCAGAACGATCGAATGTTTCAGCGAAGAAACTGATAGTGCAATGCCGCTTTCACCGGTCGTACTGTCATGGCACTTGAACCAGTTCCTCGTTTCGATCGTTGAAGAATCGTGCTGTACCACTTGACTGGGTGTTGAAGTGAATGGCCAAGCTAATCGAAGTCGAGCTCTGGAAGACCGTTGGATTGTGGCGTCAAATTTCTACATATCACCGTTTAGCCCTGCACAACGTCCTACCCTTTAGAGGTTGTCCACCTTACACTTGTGTCATTTCAAAGGCAGTGCAAAGTACCTCACATCTCGCACCAGCATGATCATGATCATGATCTTTGTGTTGATACTTTTGAGAAAATAATGGCGTTCGTTGCGAAGAGAAACAAGACGATGATGTGGTTTTAGGCAATACCGCACGCAAATCGAGATACAAGCACAAATAGGACTCGAGTAACGACTCCTTCAAACAAAGTTTGTCCCCCTGGTTACCTGTCCTTGAAGGGACCCCACGAGGGACTCGTCAAGAAAAAGGGTCTGCTTTTATCGAAGCCTAGAGCATTTGAACCGTTATGAAGTCTTACCTGCAGATCTCGCTCACATCCGGCATATAACCGTCGCAGAATCATGGTCCTTGCTGTTCAACAACTGGACGGTTCCTCGGCATGTTGAGTTGTACGAACTTGCTGAGACATCGAGCCATTCCTCCTGGGGTCCCTATGACGCCGTGCTTGCTTTACAACAGCTCAGACCGGGAGATGTGGAGATAGAGTATATCCTGGACATGTTTCAGTCAATCTGCGTCCGTGGCCCAGGCACACGTCGCTTCTGGTAGGCTGGTATTTATGACCTTGCTCTTTCTCCTTCTGCTTCTGGCACACGTCCCCTGGCACATCGGTATGGCTCATTCATGTCACAAATAAAGCCCCATGAATTGGAGAAACGCGCATGTTGAGAAGCTCTAAAAGACGTGTGCGACGTGTCCGTTGGGCTCGACGGCAGGATAGGTCGCAAGTTTGCGATTGTCGGTGGCCGAGTATCCCAAATACGATGTCGCGATGGTCGGAAAACGACATGGTTTCGATGCTCGAGGTATTGTCTATTGGTTCGACTTGGTTGTTCGTCTCTGAGGAGACGAGAAGAGAGAAGGCCGGAAGATTCTTGCGATACCGCGACCCGAAGAACAGCCGAGCCCCTTTGAAGACTCCACCTCCAACTCCATCTTGATACACCACTTTCGAATACGGTCGATTTGGCAAACCTTTCTCAGAATTGGCCCCGTAACACTCGAGTTCCTCTTGAGCCATTTCCACCAGGGGCTCCATATACGACGTCCGTCGTGATAGCCACACCATGGGTGAAGTCTGTTGCGCCCAACATGACTGTCGTGTTTCATTATCCGTTATATACGTCGTATCGAATACGCAATACGTGACTAACTACAATCTCGGTAGGTAGCTCTTGGGCATCCTGCTCTATCTTGAGAACACGGCGATACGACGTGTACACATAGGGCCACCAGTAAGTGTCTGTGTGCTTGAACACGCCGCTGGCGATATATGCTCCTCTACCTTGCCTCTCTCGACAATCTTTCTTCTGACACTCATTTGGTTCCTTGTCCACTTTGAACGCTTTCGATACTGCTTCACCACTCTTTCTATTCTAAGAGCTGTCACATCAGCATGGCTTTCTCATACTACGAATACCTACCGTCCAAAGCAGCGGCCGCGATTGCTTGCCTCGTCTTCGTCGTCCTCACTCTCGTTCACTCCTGGCAACTCTTCCGCACGCGGACTTGGTTCTTCATCCCCTTCGTCATCGGCGGTNTTCTGTCCGTACACACAAATCCCGTATCCTCCAGTACCTAGAGGCTAACATCTTGTCCAGTCGAAGTGATCGGATACGCTGCCCGAGCAAAGTCTGCAGGCCAACATCCGGATTACACCTTGATGCCATACATTCTCCAATCCCTCTTTNTGCTCCTCGCACCCACTCTCTTCGCAGCAAGCATATACATGGAACTTGGCCGCATCCTCGACCTCACAGAAGGAGAATCCCGCTCTTTGATCAGGCGAAAACTGCTCACCAAGATTTTCGTTCTGGGAGATGTGCTTTCGTTCTTCGCACAGAGCGCTGGCGGTGGTATGCTTGCTCAAGGCATGTCCTCTGGAAACAAAATCATCATTGGAGGATTGGTGCTCCAACTGTTGTTCTTCGGCTTCTTCATGATATCGGCTGTGGTGTTCCATCGTCGCATGTCAAGCAATCCGACGGTGAAAGTCAAGAGTATGCCTTTGCCTTGGAAGAAACACCTTCTTGCGCTGTATGCTGGAAGTATCATGATCTTGGTTCGCTCACTCTATCGGCTGGTGGAGTATGTTCAGGGTGGTAGCAGTGGGTACATTGTTGAGCATGAGTGGACGTTGTACGTCTTTGATGCTGTTCTCATGCTGGGTACTATGATGGTCTTCTTTTGGGTTCATCCGAGCGAGATCAGAGCGCTTATGCGTGGTGGGCGCGCACTCCAGGGTTGGATGCCTTTGAGAGTGCTTGCGCCGCTACACACTCCGGTGTAAGAAAGCAGCTGATATCTGGACATGCTCTCCAAGCCTCGCAGAGACGGAGAAATGTACATATCTAGTATTCTTTGGCGGGTTTCTGAGTGTTGGGTGGTGTCTTGACCAGTGTTGCAGAATACAGATCTTTGTGAATTCCAATTTAGATTTCCAAGTCCTGACTACAATTGTTCCGGAAGCCGTGAGATCATGTTGGATAACATAGAGACCCTGTAGCAAGGTCTTCGTTGGGCTGATGTAAATTCTTGTGGTAGAGAAAAGGGGGTGTCGGCAGAGACGAATACGCCAAGACCAGACCCACTCTCGTCGCGAGGACGCGACTGCCGTTTCTCGACCAACTCGTTTTCCATCAGTTTTCTGATATACCGTCGTCACAGATTATCATGGTGTAAGAGGCACAGTCACGTCAAATTGTAATGTCTGGTTCCGGAACCCCACGCTCATTCTTACAGAAAGCCGTCAGTCCATTGTAAAAACGCGACAAGGGTGAGTTGAGACTGACGGCTTTCGCAGNNTGTGAGAACTGCCGTCTCAGAAAGATCAAATGTGACAAGCAGATCCCTTGTGCGAGTTGTCAGACGCTGGGTATAGCTTGTCAAGCCGCTGTCACTCGAGCTGCTGAGCATAGGCCTCGTATTGTGGTGACCAGTCAGTATGAGCGACAAATTGCTCTGATACAAGAACGACTGCAGGGCATTGAGACCAGTCTCAAGCAGCTATCGAAGGGCTCTGTTGTCTCGACCTCTCAGGTCAAACCTCTCGCGCCAGGAGTCATTGATTCGTCCGCTCCTTCAACCAAGTCCATCTCTATCTACGAAGGAGAATCATCCTTTAATTGTCAAACAGCAAAGGCAGGTCAAGTCGCCGATGTCACAGCAACAGCAGTCGCCGGAGCGCCCTCGAGCGAGTTGGCTAATGCTCTCTCACTGCTGAAAGACAGCCTGAAGCGACACGAAGCTCTGTCGCGGACCCATGAGACGCACCTCAGCACAAGAGTCAAGTATGACTCTGTAGACCAGCAGGAACTTCCACCTGCCTCGCTTGTGATCGCTTTGATCAAGATAGCAANNAAGGTAGGCGATCTCAAGATTGGACCGCGTTTATCGCGTGCTAATGTGCTGCGTACAGCACGTCCTTCTGTATCATTGGTCGCATTCTCGTATAGAGGAGTAGCACAGCTGGAGGCACTCTGCCAANAAGTCTACTTTCCGCTTGAACCACCTCCACCAGGCTCGATGACCTTCTTCTATGGTTTCTTGTATTTTGTCATTCGTGATTATTGGAGCCAGCAAGATCCAGCGCTTCGCGAGTATGACGCTCAAGCGATCATTGACCTCTGCGAGACGCGGTTCTGCGTCGGACTCGAGAAGTTCGAGACTCTTACTGTGCCAGTGATACCCAACATTCAAGCGTTGCTTCTAGGAGTAAGCAAACATAGTTCACTCAAGTGCGATCAACGCTGACCAGATGTTTAGGCGATCAAGGCTCAGGAAGAATGCAAATTATCCTTGAGCTGGACTTTCCTCTCTGCTGCAGCCACTATGTGCCATACACTCGGCTTCCACCGCAAATCGTCACTTGCTCACGAAGATCGGGAATCTGCGGACATCAAGCGACACTTGTTCTGGCAGCTGTATATGCTGGACAAGAATCTGTCACTGAATCTAGGCCGGGGAACAAATTTTCCAGATTCTGATATAGATGCCGAGTTTTACACACCATCAACAAATCCAGCACAGAGACCGTGGGACTTGATGTCGCTTGATACTATCCTGTTTGCGAGACTTCAGGGACAGGTGTATGACAAGTTATATTCTGCCTCGGCCATCGACTCATCACTTGAAGAACGAAGTCGCGTGGTTGACGAGCTATCGTCGCAGGTCATTACACTTCGAAATCAGCTTCTCTCAGTGAGTCGCATCGGATTCTCAGCTAAGCGCCACAAACTGACGGCAATATAGATTGACTTTACTGGGGCTTACTATCAGGAACGTCTGATAGGGATGGCACACTCTGCTGACTTTGTTTGCTACTCGGTACTGACAGTCATCTACCGCGCTCAACCACTTACAAGCAGCACCACTGAGATCAGTCCAAGATGCTACGAAGCCGCGCGACTCGGCCTTGAGAACCATCTCCGCTGCTTTGCTCAGTTCAGGGATCGTTCGGTGCCGCAACAGGCAGAATATGTGAATTGGTAAGCCTTTCTCGTATCGCTCAGAATCGAACGCGCAGAACTGATCAGATCAGGANTTTTGCTGTATCCATCATTCACGCCCTTCACCGTCGTATTTATTCACGCCATCGCAACATCCAACACTGAGGAGTTGCAGTTACTACAAGAAACAGTGCACTCCTTAGACCACATCAAATTTCTGTCTCCAGCAGCAAAGCGTTTACATGATGTCTGCGCCGCGTTCGCAAAAGTCGCTGCTGCATTTATAACTTCGCAGCGTACACTCAGCGGTTGGCATTGTCGTGGCGATGGCACTCTATCGCTCGCATCTGCGGAGACCAATTACGAAGCTGGTTTGGCAGCTGTAGGACAAGACCAAGACGCGCTATCGGCGTTCTTGTGCAGTCTTGCCGGACAGAATCGACCCTTGACGGACTTCTTGCATACGGATTTGATGGATGCTGATTTGGGCATTGGAGAGTTTTTCCCTTCTACCCAATGATCAGGTCGAAAGCACAAAAGGGGGTCGGAGGAATATGGTGATGCGTGGTCGGCAACGATTGACGAACCAAGATTCGGCCGCATGCGATGATTTGTCTAGATGGGCAATTGCAGCCGAGTCATGGTCATACAGCCAAGGTCGCATGTTACAGAAGAGCAGGGTAGCGAGGTGTCGAGAGTCGGAAAAGAAGCAGGATGTCATATAACGAAGGATACTCGGAGGACAGTCAATGTAGCTATTGTTTGCTAATGCAGGGTTGCACCCGCGAGATGCAGACGGCCAGCAAGGCCGAGAGCAGCTGAAGGTCAAGGTGTTGATGTGGGGGTTGGTGGTCCGAGCACATCAGCGGGTGATTGGCGGAGATAATCCATGACCTTGACGGGTTGGTGACCTTCGATTCTCTACACGGTATCTCTGTACAGCACATGTTGCTGGCGGTGACAATGTCATGGACTTTCTCAAGTCGTGCTGGACCAATCTACAAGCTGTAGTGAGTAATCCCTGAGCTCAGGGGCAACGAATTAAGGGGCTGATTGATCTCAAAGNNGAAGGATACTCGTCCATCGACTACCTCATCTATAATCACCCGGACGCGACGCAGGGCCAAAAAAGCGATTGGGATGATCAGGAACAGCGAAATGAACTCTTACTGGGGTTGCGACAGCGGCGGGTGCTGGTGCAGTCAGCCGTGCAGCAGAAGAAGGTCTGCGTCTTTGGAGGCTTCCAGGCCGCAGACGAATACATGAAAGAGCTGGGATGGCAGGGTGAGACTCTGTTTCTTTTGATTAGAATGTGTCGCTGATACGCGACATGCANNGTGCACCAGCGAGGGCGACTCGAGGCGGCCGCCCTGACACGCGCTAACAGCGACCCCAAAGTCGTCATGCAGAACCAACACATCTTCAGCATGTTTCTTGCCGCCGTCGAGGCTTCGCTGTCTATTTCTTTGTCGCAGCTGTGTGGTGCGATCCGTGTTGGCCATATGACGTGGCTCCTCCCGACCGAGGGCGACCACCAACTGCTGTCCCTTCGCGCGCAAATGACCAGCCAGGGCACTCTTGCTCTCCTTCCGCACGCAAACAACACTGGTTTGTCTATTGCATCCGATACCGACGGCGCCAACATCATACTCGCTCCTTCGGGTACCCCTGCCATCGTCGCATCCNCCCTGGACCTTCCAGACTACCATGACGGCGCATCGTCATATCAAGCTCGCAGAGAAGCGCGTATGCGCCTCAGTCGTCGCGCAAAACATGACAACTGGAAGAGCTTGGCCGCGACAAAGTTGGAACAATCAAATCTACCACATGATGATTCTTGGTTGAGAGTTAGTGTGCGTTCATCCACCTCTCAAGATCAGGTTGAATGTTTATGGCCTGGCNCCCTGTGCTTGGAAATACCTTCACGCCAAACGCCACCTTCCATAGATCGGACCGACAGTATGCACTGGTTCGACTCAAAAGACCCGTACCAAAACCCTCTGGACTCTGCTGAAACTTGGTTTCTCGGACAGGAAGAGCGTCTAAACCAGGAACAAAAGACTCGGCAGGCTGAANAAGATAAGGAAACTGCTGCCAACAATCCGCCCGACGAAGTAATACCTGACCATCTGTCTGTTACATCACCCATATACTCTCGCAGCGTGCAAGATCAGATCAGCGTCAATGGCATATATCCGACACCCNCTGACGCCATACCACCAATTATCTGCTCGGACCCATCCATACCTAATGTCATAGTCTCTGACAACCCTATCGAAACATTACCTGGCTTACCCGAGGATACCCAAGACCAAGACCAAGTTCAGGATCAGGATCATGACATGAGAAGAAGTAGCAATACCTCGGATATCGACCTCGACACCGAACATTATCGCAAAGGAAGCACTGATGATCTGTTCGGAGACGCTGACGAAGAGATATTTGAGAATCCTGGTGTGACGGACGCTGACTTTAACTTCTTCGATAATCCCGGAGGAGTCAATGCAATGTCTTCGATCACTGGCCCGCTCGAGGAAATGACAGATGCAATACCTGATCCCACGCCAAAACCCGAAGCTGTTGTGCTCCAACCACAATCTGATGTTGTAGAGCCCGAGGAGGACGTGCCGTTGGAGCTCGCCGGAAATCAGGAAACGGAGAAAGAGGATCCAGATGTCAAGATAGAAGACGTGACCGAAGAGATTGTCTCGACTCCACCTCTGAATCCATTAAAGATCAAGCAAAGACTTTTGCCAGAAGAGCAAGGAGAAACGAATGTTCCTGGCTTGCGACGCGACAGCACGTTCTTGCCTGTGGTATTCAAAGGCGATCTCTCCAATTTTGACGCCAAATACAGAGCCCTTGGCAAATTCGACAGTCGATTCAGCAAGAAGGAAGGTACTACCATCAGATCTAACAGCATCGCACTTCCTGAAAAGCCTCTCAGAACACGCACCTTTAACCCGCTGTCTCGAAGGCGAGCCACGGTGGCTGAGGCCAAATTTACGCCTCGGGATGACGATATGTCGCAGCGAGATTCTGAGTCTGAGACCAGCCAGAATTCAGACTCGGAGAGTATGTCGTCTGTGGAAGGGAGTCTTCGGTCGCTTGACATCAGAAAAAGGAAGCGGGGTTCTGCTGATGAAGGTCCAACTCCGAGATTGCTTGCTGAATCCGTTGTTGAGAGCGACGTGGAAAGCGTCATGTCTGACGCAACAGCCATGGCTGATCCTGGACCCGTCATTGATCAATTGGTTGCCGCGAGAGAGTCGCAGAACCGTGTCACAGAGCAGCAGCACAAGTTCTCTGACAACCTTACAATCTGGAGGACACCATGCAAATCTTTACCACCAAGTCAAGATTTGAGCATCTGGCCTGTCCTCGACTTTACCGCAGACAATCTGGTTGATATAGCTCAACTTGTTGCTGAACAGAGCACATTCGCTGAGACTTCCAAGCTTGATTCTCCGGATGGTCCCACAGTTGCTTCTCCTGTCTACTCTACCGCTCAAGATGCGCTGCGACAAGTGTTCGAAAAGGCCCAAGACTGTGACTTTGCCAGAGTCGGTGCAATGGCTGCTCATCATGCCGAACAAGCCATTGCAGCTGCTGCGAAAACTCAGCAACGTCCTGTGCCGCGGCGGCCTGGCGGCGTCAACTCTGTCATCACGATACCCGCGCCAGCCGTCCACGTCCGTCGAGCAGGACAAGGATGGGAGCTACAGCCGACTGCCATCAACTTCTGGGACACCCTCGGTCTAGAACCTGCAAATGGACCAAAAGATATCGCAGCCTTTGCTCTATATCCCGACAGTGGTGTCATGGGTGAAGCTGTCGCCGACTTCCTCCAAGACATTCGTCTGGCGTACGAAACTCGCAAGTTTGGCAAGCACTATATCGGTGGCGAGACTGGAGAACATGAAGATGGGCTGATGCCATACCGCTCACATGGCGAGGCATCGGTTGTCAATGTGTTGCAAGGCATGCAGACGGCTTGCAACGCGCTTGGCGACTTGCTCCACGATGCCGATCTTGAAGACACCATTGTCATCTACATGATCAACCCCTTCCAAAACGAGACCATGGTCAAATATTTGTGTGGCTGCTTTCAAGCATTGCTCATAGCCTACTTTTCGGATCGCGAAGACCCGCCTCCACTGATCTTGCAGATTGTCCCTATGAGCTGTATTGCATGTCCAACTGCAATGATCGTGCCAGACCAGACTTGGCTAAACTCGCTTGCCTCTTTTGTCTACGACAGAGTGCCTCTAGACCACAGCACCAATCACAATTCCCTCTGGCCTGCAAACCCGTCTCCCAGTATCCACCTCGTCACCCCTCCAAGCCGCAAGATTAACTTTGCACTCTCAGAACGCACGCCGCGGAATCTGCTGGAGGAAGCTCAGGTCTTGCATGTCGCTTATGCGATTAATGCAGACAACAGCTGGTTAAGCGCCGCATGGACAAACAACACAGGCACACACCACCACAAAGCATCCTACTGCCTCAGCAACACGGACGGCAGAATCATTCTCACAGAAGTGCGCGATACGACATTGAGTCTATGCCGCAATTCCCCTCATCGCATCTTTGTCGCCCGCGCGGGCGTCATGCGCGACTGGGAAAAACGCATATGGCGCGAGAAACCTGCTGAACAGTGGAGTATTGCTTTGTTGGATGTAGATGTGTGTCCTGCATTGCAGGTGTGCGCCAACAACGATGGCAATGCGTTTGGGGTACAAGGATTCATGACGCCAGCACCTACACCCCAAGCTTCCACTTTTACGTCCCCAGAAGCGGGGGATACCAAACCTTCTACCCCTGCTGGCGAAACACCGAATCCTGAGTTGCAGCTGCAGACCACAGATCCTGATGCTTTCCTCGTCGACTCCACAGACGAGACTTGGGGTATCTTGATGCCGTTTTCGTGTACACGGTCTTCTACCCTTTCTCGCCCTCTAGCTTCTGGTTTGTTACTTGAACGCGGTGCTGCAGATTCGTTGCACAATCTTCCGGCTTTGGCGGTGGATCTTATGGATGTGGTGCCCCCGCGCATCCCCGATGGAGTGGTTTCTTGGTTAGGACAAAGGGCGCCAGAGACTGTCCTTAAAGAGACTATGGTGTGGTTTAGGGGACTGGGTTTGCTTGGGAAGTTGAGAGGTGTTGGGAATGGGCAGGGGAACGGGAACATACCTTGGCATTTGAGGATTGCGATGATGGGTGCTGATGCGCTGCAAGGGTTCTTGGAGTAGGTGTTGTGTGTGTATAGCAGTATCAGTATCAGTACGATGTTTTGTGTTGGGTATGAGGGGTCTGGGATATGAGCACTAGGAGCCCCTGGATATATCAACACTCGGATGCTCCTCTTTTGCATTGCGATCTCAAGGATTGAGAGGTGATCGTACAGCATTCTACGACTTTGCAACTTGTTTCTCGTCAACTTTTCCCCCATATCCTCTTTTCCCCTCCCTCATTCTCCTCCTGGGTCAATTCGATTATGACGAAGTGGGTGCGATCTCGAGGTATCTCTAAGTTTTGCAAACGATATCGTAAGCTGATGTTTGAACTGCAGTTGTTCAAGAATTAGACCCATTAGTGTCTGCGACACACATTGTATGTTGAGTTTCGCTTGAAGTTATGCTTGAACCAGATATTCGTTATCCAGTCACCACAACATTTCTATCCCTCGAGAGAAACATGTAGGGTGACATCCAGCTATATCTCGAAGTGACAGCAGTGCATCGCAGAAACGTCCTTTGCATATCGTGCTATATGCCCAAAAGAGTCGCAGAACATCGTCAAGGGGGACACCCTACCTAGCATCGAGTGTATGATGCAATCTTTGGGACATCTGCCCTTGCGAGAGCGATGCCTCGATGATCCAGACATGTAAACTTTTGGTCTGCACAGTGGACTGTGTTTTCTTCTTCTATTCACCACATCGTGTGTTCAGATTTCAGACGCACGGTTGGGAGGTATGTTTGCCTTGCAAAGCCATGTAAAGCTCTATGAACGTCTTCTGCCCTCGCAGGAAAACATATAAGCTTTCACAAAGATAAGAGCAGGAGATGGAATTTACCAGAACTGTTGATTGAATTTTAGACTCTTCTTATAAACAGCTATAGAGGTATGCTTGCTACCTTGTATGTAGACGCTGTGTGTGGATTTGCTACATGATCCCGACTATGCTAGAACCGATCGGCGGACGAGTATCTCGAAGCCATCTCTCCTTGCCCGGATTAGCAGAAGCAGTGACCCCCTATAGCAAGTATTTGCTAGTGATTGTTTGCTTCGATGCCGGACGAAGTTGATGTCAACATTTCGCATGCGCCGCGTTGCTGCTATAGGTGTCCAGAACGAAGGTGCGTGAACGTCGCTTCCAGACTTCAGAGATCGCAGTATTGATCATTGTTGCGTTCTAGGCAATTCAGTTCGAGCATCGAGTAGCTTGGATATTAATGTTGTTGATTGACGCAATGGCTGTACAAAGTATCTCAACCAATAAAAGTGCCCGTTCTTTGAGGGGCCGCAGCAAGCTTCGAGTTGATACCTTGAGCGACGAGATTCATGCGTGTTTCTTCGACTGCACGCAACTCATCTTCCCATTTCGACTCCTTATCCTCTGTCTGGCTACTAGAAAACCAGCTAGACCATGAAGAGGACGTAACGGGCTTGGAATGAGACTCTCTCAACAGCTTTGCGACCATGGCGCCCCAGTTTGCGATACCAGTTTCGAGACATGCCTTGCACTTGTCGCGGTTCTCGGGCAGGACGTCGTTCGAAGATGAGCCTTGTTCGGCAATGGCGACTGCTTGCTTGGTCCAGCCGAGACCTTCGTCTTCACGACCGGACGAGGCGGTTGCGAAGAGGATCTCACCAATGTAGAGCATAAGCTCAGCTTCGGCGCAGTCAGGGATGGATGCTGGTTGGCGCAGGAATGGTTCATCGCCGGATGGAGGTTCAGCAGGGTAAGTAGGAGGAGTGAAAAGAGACTTGACAATGTGAATGAAGGAGCCGATGTCAGTGTTTGTAGGGTCAGAGACGTAGAAAGGTGTGTAATTCGATCTGGTGGCAGGAGCAATGTCGATTGGAGAGGCGTGGCGAGCACGCAGGACAGACAAGAAGATAGGAAGAGCAGAAGTGACGTTGCCGGAACGGGCACGATGCGTAGCGAGAGCAGTTGCAGCGCGGAGCAGGTTGGGGCTGGGAGGGGTTGCCTCCTGAACACGGAGGATAGAAGTGTCTTTGTCGATGACGGCATCCTGTGCGGGGAGAGCAGAAGCAGCAATGTCGACGGCCCATTTGTATGTCTCATCGGCCGAGTCGGTCAAGCCCTTGATCTCGAGCCAATTGGCGTATGCCAGAGCAGCCTCCATCCTCTGACGGCTGGAGAAACCAAGACCAGTCAAGACCTTGAGGTAAAAGGTCTCTGGTGGCGCATATGCCCTCTCGCAATCCTCCTCACGTGGAGCAGACTCGGCGCCAGGAGGACAAGGACGAGGGTTGGGGTTTGAAGGACCAATAACAACATCTTTGGGAAAGACGATCTTGCGAGAAGTGTCGAGAACCATGTTGTCGATATGTTCCGAAGCACGGGCACACTGCATGACGACCTGGAAATAGCCCTCCTTCCAAGCATATGACTTATCCGAGATGTCGAAAGCTGATGGGTTGATTCCGCGAATGTCGTCCAGTCCAGGGGCGAGAGGNGTGGTGCCCTTGCCATCAATGTCAGGATTCTCGAGTCTTTCCAGGCATCTCCTGAACTCAGTCGCGACTTGGGCCCAGTCGGTGTATTCGTGATCGGGTTTTACGGCAGCGTTGGCGCATCGGAAGTGGTTGCGCGAGAAGAAAGACCATTCGTCAGGGGAAGGCGTCTTGCGTTCCAGCACTTCCTGGTTGATGCCGTAGAGAGCGACGACTCCAAGGAAGAAGAAGGACCATCCTACGGCGGACCATTTGGCAGCCAGCCAGACCTGCTCCTTGACATAATTCTTATTTTCAGTCGTCAAGAAACGCGCTGTTTGTCTTGAGGCGAAAGCGGCTCGTGAAGGTTGCGACAGATATGGAAGTTGCGGTCGCGGTGACGATGTGCGTGTGATGAGAAGGAGCGGGTGGTTTTGGGTGAAGAGTCGCAACGACGACTGGTTCGGTAGTCGCTTGAGTCGCAGTGGCCGTAGCAACGACGGCGGCCGTGATATCAAGACCATTTTGTTATTGACTGAACAAAGGTCAAACATCGGTTCCATCATCGAATCTCTAAATGCCAAGACTTTGGAGCTCCCATCTCGTAGCGTCTCCTCTGTGATTGGCCGTCATCCTGTTTCTTCCTGTATACCATCAACACCCTGAATCGACACAATGGCACACGAGGAGGAGGTTCCGTCTGAACTCAGTGTGGATGAGCTTCGCGACCAACTGGATACGCTGTGGGAGAAACACCTCGCCCTCTTGAACTCATATCACCAAGCCCAACAACAGATTGCCCGTCATTTCTCCTCGGGCTTCTTCGATCTCGCTCAAGCTACTTTCAAGTCGACTACTCGTGTTCGTTATGGCCAGGAGTACTATGACGACCGTATGCAGGCAACCACTTGCTTCCATGCTTCCGTCGATGCCAACGACACTCCACGTTTCGCCCTGAAAATCAACGATACGACAGCAACGACCAAGGATTCGCACAAAGGCGCGAGTAACAAGTCGGATGTAGAGACCGGAGATACGCAAGAAGATACACCTACTCAACAGCCCACACCACCGTCAACACCCCTGCGGGAGTCTGGAGAGAAGGAGACCAAGGAACATAGCCAGAAAGAGAATTCTGAGACGGCAGACGACAAAGGAGCAACACCAAAGAAACCTCGCGACCCACTTCACTGGTACGGCATCTTGGTACCTCCTTCTTTGCGTTCGTCTCAAAAGTCCTTCCAATTTGCCATCAACGACCCTGTCGTAGACGCTGTCAATTCGGCACAAGCTCTTCGTCGCATCGACATGGAGATTCGCAAACTGCGCAAAGACATCAAAAAGGCTGAGAAACGTGTCGCATAATACTCAATCTTTATCAAATCAGTACTTTATCAAATCAGTACGAATATCTGAACCGAGGATTCTCAAAGTCTGTCAAATCCTCAATCGCTTCCTCGCTGGTGTCAATCTCAGACACCGGTCCAAACTCTGCATCTCTCTTCTTGTTGCGGTGTATCAACAGCGCTCGCAACGCAAACACGAGCACTATTTGTATGGCTGCGCATGCAATGATGAATTTGCATCCTGTTTGGTAGACAGGTGCTTCTGCTGCCAGGAACGCATGAGGTCCGCAGATGTTGCCAATACAATATGCCAGGAACACAAATGCTGTCGACGTCACTCTCTTGGTGTATCCTGCTACATTGTTGGCAGGCATTTGCAGCGCCAGCACGAGGGATGCGACAAAGGATCCGATCTGTGTCATTGTCAGTTTTGCAAACCCAATGTTGACTCCGTGGCACATACCAAGNTAGTAGGACACCAACAGACCATTCGAATTGTCTCTTGGCAGTTTCCAAACAAGACTCGTTCCGACAATGGTTGGTAGAAGGTACAGTGCCATGATATATGTTCGAATGTTCTTGAACTTGGAAGCCAAAAATGGTCCAGTAAAGACGAAAAAGACTTGGAACGCTCCCGAAGGAATGCCATATGCCGTCGTCTTGAGTGCATCGCCATGAGCAATGCCTTTGACGATTAACTTGCCGAAGTTGGCGAAACCTNNGTCTAAGTCAGCATCTGCTCCCAGAAACAGCAACATCATTCCATTACCTCCATTGATGCCCTCATTGCACAGGACGAACAAAAACAGTATCCATATTTGGGGATCCAGCAACGCCTCTTTGACCTGTGAGAACTTGATCTTCTGATTGTATACTCCAGTCCGGTTCGTCTGACTGCGTGCAATGAGGAGCGCTTTCTCTTTCATCGAGAAGAATCTGGCCGTCATGATGTTGCTGGGAAGGAGGAAGAACAAAACGATGCCCCAGACGATGGTCAAACCTCCACAGAGCAAGAAGATGACTCCTGAGAGTTGTTAGCTTTGTTCTCGCGTTCTGATCGAGAGAACATCGACTCACTCNCAGACTGGGAAGCCCTTTAATTGACCAACACCATAGAAAAGGATGCCTCCGACCATACTGCCAACTCCGTTGAAGCAGTAGAAAATGCCAGCACGAGCAGGTTGTTCTTTTCGTGTGAACCACATGCCGACGATCAGCATAAAGCAAGGCGTCTGTTTGAAAAGTCAGTGCATTAAACGACAGCGAACGACAGCACCACTCACGATAGGAGCCTCGAGGCAGCCAAGAATAAATCTGCAGACAGCCAGACCAGTAAAGCTCGAACACGCCGCTGTCAACATCAAGACCGACCCCCATGTAACGACAAAACAACTCAACACCTTCCCGGTAGGAAGATGCTGTGCCAAATAACTACTCGGCCATTCAGAAACTAAGTATCCAAAGTAGAAGATACTCGTCAACCAGCCATACTCAGCCGACGTCGTTCCTGTGGAGGTGAACAGATCAAACACGGCGCCATAACTCAATGCTTGCTTGTCGATGTATTGGAGCATGTAAGTTCCACAGAGGAGTGGCATGAGCGTCCAGTTGACCTTGCGGACCAGCTTTTTGCAAGCGGCTTCGTCTTGAAGCAGTTCGTGCAAGTAGGTGTGGGAGAGATTGTTGTCACGCAGGAAGATCTCAGCAGCGTCGAGGTCCCCAATTACTTCGCCGGCTTTGAGGTCCATTTCTGTGGCCTCTGGGGTGGCGAGAGACTTCTCTCTGATGGACATGTCGTCGACATGAGGAGGTTGCTTTGACTTTTTTCTTCTTGAGTGGGTGGAGACATAGTCGGCCTGATCGCAAGAGACACTGGAGGTATGAGATGGAATTGACTGAGCTGTGCAGATCTGCTCGGTGGACTTTTGTATACCTTTGTCGCCAAGAGAACGTGGTGGTCAGGAGATAAGCTATCTTCCCCTCTATCTGTACGGACTAGGGCTAGAGCATAACTTACATGGTCTCAGGCCTATCATCAGACTCCAGATGAGGGAGTATTGATGCCTTGAGTTTGTGTCTAGTTCTTGTCCAATCATGAAGTTGAATTCAAGGTCTATGGGTAGCGTTCAGCAGACTGACTCCGACAAATCGTGCTTCAACCTCAAGACACAACCATCTTGTCAATGTCAACATTTCTCGAGTCAGTCTTCGCGTCTTCCTTGATTCATCTGAAGATCTTATCTTTCTCGACAAGCAGGCCTTCTCTCCGCTGTACTTTGTTTTTCGCTGGCCGAAGGCTTTCCCGCGATAGGCCATCTGCCCTATCGATAACAAAGTACCAAAGTACCTAACACCCCTCCCTCTTCTTACCTATCTGCACGTCGACCATTAGCAAAAGACCTCAAAAGCATAGTCGGATTGCCCGCTCTGCCACTGACCCATATTTATGGTCAGAGAGTAAGCTCCGATGTCGTGCTAGCCATCTGCTCGTTTCAACAAAAAGACTCCATTATTCGTTACACGCCGCGACCTTGATTCCTTTATTCAAACAAACACTCGCTATGCCTCCTTCAAATCCATCAAGGCACTTTGCCTTTGCTTTAATCGTACCTCTGGTACTTGCAGTAGCGAGCTTTGCTTCAGTTCAGCAACAGATCTTAGGCTCTGTTCAACGAATCCTTGGCTTCGAGACTGCAGAGCTACCCATCGTTACCATATCACAGGCTTCACTTACTGGTACAATCATCGGAGAAGACTTTCCTGTTCCCGTGGAGGCCTGGCTGGGAGTTCCGTATGCTCAATCTCCAATTGGCTCTCTCCGCTTCGCGAGACCGCAGCCTGTGGCTCCTGGCAATGAGAGCTTCTTGGCCAACGCTTTCGGCCCAAGATGTCCTGGCAAACAGCTTCTCTCTCCAGGCGGTGGTCCAGACATCTGGTCTGAAGATTGCTTGACCGCGAATGTGTTCCGTCCCGCCAATATACCCAAACACGGAAAGGTGCCCGTTATGGTGTATGTGCATGGAGGAGCTTTCAACCGTGGCACTGCAAAAATGCACAACACAGCTAGTATGGTTGGGTGGGCTTCCCAGCCTNTTGTGGCTGTGAGCTTCAATTATCGCATTGGCGCGCTCGGGTTCTTGAATTCGGAATTGACACACGATGAGGGATTGCTCAATCTTGGGTTATGGGATCAGGTGTTGTTGCTTGAGTGGGTCAGAGACAATATTGGTGCATTTGGTGGCGATGTTGGAGATGTAACGTTGGTTGGTTTGAGTGCTGGTGCGCATTCGGTAAGTGTTTGTTTCCTTCCTTGCTGCGCAAGTTAACCTACTAATGGCAGAAATGCAGNNATCGGACATCACATCATGAATATCAACACACCAGCACCTCTTTTCCACAAAGCCGTCATTGAATCCGGAGGTCCGACGTCTCGCGCTCTTCACCCCTACAATTCAGCACTCCACGAGACCCAATTCGAGCATCTACTCAAAGAGACTGGATGCAACGATATCCTGAGCTCTTCAATCCTCCCTTGTCTGCGCAACGTCTCCGAAGCTTCTATCGTCTCTGCCTCCAACACTGTTTTCGCGCATTGGAATCCTTCGGTGAGATGGGCATGGCAACCCGTCATTGATGGCGAACTCATCCCCAGAAGACCACTAGACGCCTGGACCTCTAACCACTGGAACAAAGTCCCCATTCTCACTGGGTTCAACCACAACGAAGGAACCATGTACGTTCCCAAAAACGTCGCTACATCATCAGAATTCCGCTCTTTTTGGTCGACTCTGTTGCCACAATTGTCAGAAGCAGACTTGGATGAGATAGATGCACTATACCCTGACCCGGCTTTGTTTCCTGATTCGCCGTATACGGAGACAAGAGCATTGGATGTGGGGGCACAGTATAAACGCCTGGAAGCCGCGTATGGACATTACGCATACGTGTGTCCTGTGCGACAAACCGCTGTCCACGCGTCCTCTGCAGAAAACCCGCCTGTGTATATCTATCACTGGGCGACCAACCGCACAGTACTAGGAGGAGCAAACCACGGCGATCAAATGTGGTATGAGACTTTTGATCCTTCCGTCACTGGCATCTCAGATACGCAACGAAACATCGCAGGTGTGGTTCACGATTATATTGTTAGCTTTGTGTTGACGGGGGATCCGAATGCGGTGGAAGGGAGATGGAAAAGACCAGTTTGGAAGGCGTGGGCTGATGAGGAAAAGACTATGCTCTTTGGTGCTGGTAATGATGAAAGAGCTGGTGGTGGACATATGGGCACTGTTGCTCAACTTGTCGAGGACACTTGGGCGAGCAAGGAGTGTGAGTTTTGGTGGAGGCAGACATCTAATGTTGAAGACTAGCCATTTCGCGTACAAGGATATCTGGCTGTCTGTTCAGGGAATCAGAGCTATCATCGTCTCAGTGGTTTTACACCTTTGTATACTAGACCTGTTTCTCACACGATTCTCTCGAAAGTTGGTCGTTATATGTTTATCCATGCTAAAGCACCACTACAAGCGATTGATCCAAGTCTGTGCGGCATCTGCGTTGCTTCCGAAGTGACCAATCACCTTTGAAGTCACTTCTGAGCCTAACTTTAATTCGACTTATTATTGTTCCCAGCGACTCTACATAATATATCTCTACTTTCAAACATCAAAGTCTGTGTGAAATCCCATACCTCTCTTCCACGACTCGCAAACCACGACCCGCAAACCACAGCATCAAACATGATTCAAACCGACTCCCACATCAGCAAATACTTTGCACCCGCGAATTCCACCCCATATCCCGATATTGAAACATTTCTATCCTCCACCTCAATCACAGCATTCCAAAAAGTGCGCATCTCTCGATCTTTCGCCTTTTCCTCTAGTTTCTGGTACTAACATCACCACTAGCGCGTTTATACCCGTCTCCTCTGCATCCCCTCCGGCACAGTAACTTCCTACGCCATCCTTGCAGGCCAGCTAAACACGTCTCCCCGCGCCATCGGAGGAGCATTACGAAACAACCCTTTTGCACCACGCGTACCTTGTCATCGCGGTATTGCTGCCAATGGATTTGTTGGCGGCTTTATGGGCGATTGGAGCAAAGCGCCTAGTGGAGTTATTCAAAGCAAANAACTTGAGTTGTTGAAGGAGGAAGGTGTGGAGTTCAGCGATGAGGGGCATTTGGTGGTTAGGGATGGGGTGTGGTTTGAAGGACCTCGGGGTGTGTAGTTTGGGGGTATGGAAGTGGGTAACTTGAGGAAGAGAGGGCTTGGTGGTTAACGGACTAGTCTATCATGAGGTTTCACACCAAACTATGATAGAATCGCTAATGTCCATGCAGCGGCGGGCGTGAAGTAATTATATTGCTGTAGAATTGTCCTCTTATGTGATGAGCCATCACGGGCAGCGCAGATGGCCGAATGCTCTGAATTGGCTAAAGAGGTCGACAATTCCACAGGGTGTCAGAAAGCGTTCAGAAGCCCAATCGCCACCACATACAGCATCATGTAGTAGAAGCCTCCAGAATGCAGAAGATGTTGTTCTTGGAATGCCAAACGATGCTGACAAAGCGTATGGTTGAGTGGAGTCAGTTGTTGTGGGGAATTGCTTTGGATGTGACTAATCAGATGCCTTGGACAAACCCCGCCGTCAACATCGAGTGATAACATAACTTGCCGAACATTTCTTGCTCCTAAACTGACCACACAACATGTACCCAATATACAGGTATATACAGGTATCACAGGTTGTCGGAAGCTTGAATCCTTCTTCAAGGTTTAGAAGGGTTCTGTTGAGCTAGCGGTCTTGACACTCGACAGATCCGGTCATCAACGGATTGATGGTCACAAGAATCACGAGACATTTGAACATCACAGTAGCTGAAACATCTTCCAGCCATGCAAATGTTCAGGACATCTGCATTTCGCTGGCAGGCTCTGGTAGCTCACGAACCTACAGCTGATGGTGCCTTTGTTTATTGCGTTCGCACCACAGGCATCTACTGTCGACCCATCTGCAAAGCGCGACTTGCCCGCAGAGCCAATGTTGAGTTCTACGCCACGCCATTCGAGGCCGAGGGCGCCGGTTATACATCCTGCAAGCGCTGTAGACCCGAGCTGCCCATGCACTCTCCGGAAAGCGACAAGATCGATGCAATCTGCCAACATCTCCAGGACTTGGAACCTGAGCAGCCGTTACCTACACTGGAAGATATGGCTACGCTTGCTGGCTTGACAAAGTCCCGTTTCCATCGAAGCTTCAAGCGCGTGGTGGGTCTTACGCCCAAGGTATCCCTATCGATCGTCGCGCAGCAAAGGAACGATGCGTCCACGGTCCCATCATCAATTCCGACAGATCAAACCCCGACAGATTGTTGCGAGCCGATCATGGCATCGGATCTCGTTCTCGGCTCAATGGATCGCATATCTTGGGGATGTTCTCACAGCACACCATCATCTTTGCCAGCTGAGAACCTCTTACGAACATCGAAGATGTGCCCCGGACCATAAGTAATACAAGTCATCTTGGAGTTCAACATCTAGTCGACCGTCCCCAACCGATCACTGTCCATCATATGATCACATCGACTATGTTTATCGCTCTCTCTCTGGCCTTTTACAGAGGCGATTTCCGCATGATGGATCTCTGTGATACACCAAAAGCGGCACTGACCGTATTAAAGCGTTCTTTCGAGATGCCCCTGCACAATCTGCTTCCGCTCGATATCGTGAACGTTCAGGACGTCCCAAAACATGAGCTGATGACCAAGAAGGTCAAAGATGTTGTTGAAGCGCGAGAGTGCCTAAGTGGAAAGACCATGCACTTGCCATATCACATGGTTGTTACAGGCACAGATGGTTGATACCACGCGAACGGACTTATGTAGCGGGACTAGCTCAACGTGATCTGAACTACCAGAAGGCCAAACCTTGTTCACATGCGGGGGGCCCCGGGCCGAAAAACCGGCAAGAGTATTCGGCAATGACTTACTCCGAGTAGGACTTGGCGTGAGTGGCAGCTCTTGTGTTGAAGCGTGAAGGCATGTGCGCTCTATATCCTGTTTGGAGCGCAAGACCTTCTTGCACTCAGTTTAATACCTTTTCTTCCTCCCTCACCACCGCTCTGACATCAAATCTTCAACCCAGGCATATGGCGTCTTCAACCATCAGACCAATCACGTTTGCCATCATTGGAGTCGGAGGAATCGGACCTCGCCATGCTCAAAGCGTTGTCAAGTCGAGTAATGCAGCACTGGTGGCCATCTGTGATCCCTTCCCCAATGGAGCAACACTAGCTACAGAGCTAGGTGTTCACCACTTCAAAACAATCTCGGAAATGCTTAAGTCTGCTCATAAGCCCGAAGCAGCCATAATCTGCACGCCAAACCATACCCACGTTCCCATTGCCAAAGAACTTTCGAGTGCAGGTGTGCATGTACTTATCGAAAAGCCATTCAGCTCTGATATGCAAAGCGGCAAAGAACTTTTGGCACACCTCGAAGCTTCAGGGGTAAAGTCTTTGGTTGGCCATCATCGCCGGTTTAACCCTTACATGGTTGCTGCCAAAGACATCATCGCTTCAGGGACTCTAGGCGACATTATCGCTATCAATGGTTTATGGACCACATTCAAGCCACAAGAATACTTTGACGCTCCTGCCGAGTGGCGGCGTGGTGAGACCGGTGGTGTGGTGTTGATCAATCTAGTCCACGAGATTGACCTACTGCATTATATGTTTGGCCCCATCGCGCGCGTGCATGCCGAAAAAACAACTTCGAGACGTGGGTTTGCGGCCGAGGAGGGCGCAGCATTGACTCTACGATTCACGTCAGGCGTCGTTGGCACATTTATTTTATCCGATCACTCTCCATCGCCCTACAACTTCGAAGCCGGCACGGGCGAGAATCCTCTGATACCGCAGTCTGGAATGGACTTCTACCGCGTGTTTGGCTCAGAAGCTTCTCTCAGTGTGCCTGACATGGCAATATGGTCATATCGAGGTACTACAAAATCGTGGCATTCGGAGATGACCAAGAATTCTGTTGCCGTGGCCGATGGTATCCCGTTTGAACTTCAATTGCAACATTTTGTCAATGTCATTGGTGGTGTGGAAACGCCTAGGTGCTCGGCTCAGGCGGGATTGGCGACTCTGATCGTTTGCAGTGCGATCAAAAAAGCGTTGGAGAACAATTCGACGGTGGATATAGAAACATATGGCCTGTAAATCCAGGAAGGATAAAGAAAGAGAACCAATTCTCGTAGACTAGTATTGATGATGGAGTTCTCCCCATGGCGACAAAAAAAACCTCACTGCCGCTCTTCCTCTCACCATCGCTGTTCATATGCCACTATGGCTTCATCCTTCCACATGCATACCACCTCCGGGACGAATACCAAAGTACTTCTTCTCGACTGCGTTGATTACTTTCTGGTCGGTGCGGGAAGCGAAAGTGTCAGATGTGCCGCGTTCTCACCAGCTGCAGCTGGAGTAGAAACAGCAGTCGTCTCTCCTACTGCCGTAACAATGCTCCCACTGTCCCAAGCATCAATATCTGCAGTCTTGGTGCTGCTGCTGGTTGCAACACCGGCTCCCGGTATGCCGAAACTGGGATCAAGTAGTAAAGCTTCCACGTCGTGCTGTGCAATCTCCTCACGGCAGTCGGCAGTAGTGCATCTCCGCAGATTGAAATACTCTGCAAGATCATTTTCGGTCGCACGGCGGGTGTTGTTGCCGTCGTCGAGCAGGATACTCTCTGGACGGAAGGGCTTCGCGCCGCTCGGGACACCTTGGCTAGAGGCAGCACGCCCGTACTGCGAGACAATGTCTGCGTCACGCTTCTGATAGCCAGCCCGATACTTGCCTTGAGTCGCAGCTAGAGGGGGAAGCTTGGAGTAGAGGCCTCTCGACGTGGTGTACTGTGGGTTGACTGATTGTGCGCCGTCGTATTAGCCATCGTTGCCGCATTCAAAAGTAGATAAAAGTACTCACTAATGTACCAGGGGTCGTCTGTTTGGCACAAAAGATCAATCAGCGTTTGTTCCATACAACGAGAATTATTCAGTCGCAGATCTTACCTGCTCGCATTGCGAATCCCGGATCATCCACGACTGTCTTGGGCCAGCAGGGATTCTCGGTCACTCCATAGTCTGGATATGCCCCCGTACCGATGAAGTCAAGTGCCAGGGTACTCAAGGTGACTGTAAGGTCCAGAGTCTCGACGATGGTCTTTCGATTGGCAACGATGAACTCACGGTCGGACCTCAGATTTCTCGTCGACCTGGGCGGGAGACCGTCCTTGTTGCCGTAGCCACAGACGAAAGCCTGGTTACCGAACAGACTGCTACCAGCGCCAGTGTTCTGTGTTCCAGGAATCAGGCGAATCATCACGTCATCATCGTCGCGATCCCACCAGAAAACTGCTGGGGGATATTCGTCTTTTTGACAATTCTGACCAGCCTCCTGAATGTAGCCTTGCCACCTGTTGATTCGCAGGTATCAGTATCAAGCATTCATCATTCACAGCACGGTCACTTACCACCCAGGGTTATGCTGGTCTGTCCATTTCTGAGTGATGTGTGGTGGATTGTTATTATATCTCGTGGCGCAAGTGAGAGGATGTACTCCCGGAGTAAACGCTGCATGTGTTTCAATGACGCTCGCATAGTGAAGACAAGCCTGTCCATATACCGCAACGTCACAAACCTTAGGGCCGCGAGGGTTATGGGGATCTAGAATTTTCTGTCAGATGATCTTTCTTGCTATAGCTCGGTGTCGATTGCATACGCTCTGTTCTGACGGGTTGGTTCGTCTCTGTTGATGTTATGGCACGCATGCATCTGCCGCCATCCGCTCGTTTACTGTTGCATGCCGAGCTCGTTTTTTCGGGCTCGTGGCTCGACTTGGGCGGTCTTGTTTCCGGAGCTTTCTACATGGATCACGTCAGTATGAAACTTTTAATGGTTAGAGCTTGCTAAATACTGGTGGAGGCTCGTCTGAGGACCTGTCAGTGACATTCTACAGCAACGTGACATCAACACAAACCTAAGGTGAGGCTATGCTTCTTGCCGAAGACTTTGAACTCTGCTTTCCCGGTCTTTTCAAGCTCGTCCGTGCATAGCTTTATGAGTGCGGGCGTGGCTGCTATCTCGGCGAGGTCTGCAATTTCACCTGCAAGGTCAAAAGGTCAGCACAGAAAGTTCACGTCCCTATACCATGACCCGTACCGAAAATTGGAATCAGATCCTCGAGTAGCTCGAGAGGTGCGAGAAGCGCTGGGACCGCCACGCGGCAGAACGCCTTCGCAGCTACGTCAAGAGCAAGCTGCTGTGCTGCGGCTTCTGCCGCGCTCTTCGCTGCGTCCGCTGCATCTTTGCCGAGACTTTGCAATGATGGTGGAGCTTTGAAGTTTGAGCAACAGAAGGACTGGAGACCTCCGTTGCATGTCTGGTCCTTTTTGCCAACGTGATTGTTGGTCTGTATTGCCGGAGTTAGCTTGAACTGATATGAGCTATTCTGAAGCGATACTGCTTACATCAGTAGTGAGCTCGGTCTCGCCTGAACATCGTCAGCAAATCTGTGCACGCCAGGCTCGAAGTTCGGGATCACACACCATCTGAGCACCCTTGTATACATGACATCCCGGACCCTCGGAACCCTCGCCATGTACATTTACCAGTAGTAGTACCATCAGCACAGCACAAGCTGCGGTACTGCTTCGCTGGACATCGGTCACTACAGGGCTATTAGCAACACTCTTGCCACTACCACACGACTGCCTCCTTACCGTGTTGAGACCTGGCCCGGCTGCCCATTCATCTGTGCGACTTGATTGGTGCCGCTTTTACATTTCTGGTTGCAATCGGTGACATAGCAGCTTGTCTTCGCAGCATTATCGCGGGAGAGAGACTGAGCATCAGACTGGTCCGCGGCAGAGACGCCGTTGTTCAAATTTCCACTGCTGCTCTGATCCTTTTGATCTAGTGCCCAGACCATGAGGCCGCCCAGACAGCGCTTCTCGGCAAATTCCTGCAGCAGAAATCAGACACCATATCGTGAGGGTTACGTGGATACTCACACGTTTCTGATTGAATGTATCGTCATCATCGTAGGAAACCCACTGGTTGCTATCCCAGGTGATCCACTTAACACCAGCGGTCTTGTCCCATACGGGCTGTAAGTTGTTCTTCGTGATGATGTCCTGAATCTCCTGGTCGTCAAGGATGCCAGATGTAGCGGAGCAAGGTCCTGGGTTGGCACCCCCGCTGAACTCACACACACCTGTTTGGCACTTGAGATTCTGCGCACGGTGAAAACCCTAGGTGGAAGCAACGTACCATTGGGAGTATTGCAAGAAGGATTGGTGAGGGTGAATGAACGGCCGTACTAACAAATAAAGTAAGTGAATGCTGGATGCAGTAGTGGTTGTAAACTGACCCATCCTTGGCCAAGAACAACTTTGTCTGCCGACACTCCTGCACGCCAGAGAAGATCAAGGCCTAAGTCGATCTCCGTGAGATTTGTGTGCGGAGCAATGTAAGGCCCGACAAACTTGGACTCTTTGTCCCATGTTCCGTGCACTAAAGATCGAAAGGTCAGCTGTTGTCAGCGCAGTCTTAGTCTAGCTCAGCTCTTGGCATTCACTCACAGTCGTATGCCATGAAGTTGAACCAATCAACCGAGTCCTGCAAGCCTTTGACATCGATATGTTGCAGATACCAAAAACTGGTCGGCAGGGTCAAGCTGATACCCTTGTTTCCGAGAGCGCTTCGTAGCTGCTTAGCAAAGGTCACGTAGTTTACCTTGTCACCTTCTTGACCGCCTCTGTCATCGGCTTGAGGATACTCCCAGTCTAAGTCGACGCCATCAAAGTTGTACGTGTTCATGAACTGGATGAGACCATCGATAAAAGCCTGGCGGTTGCTTGCAGTGCTTACCTATGTTCGTACGTGTTAGCCTGCAACATTTCAAAAGCTGTACACAAGTGCTAACCATGTTTGAGAATGCCTCTTGCGTTGGTCCTGGATCTGTGAAAGACCAGCCACCGACAGAGATCCAAACCTCTAAGCCCGGCCATTTGTTCTTCAGGGCTGTGGTGCGCCCGTATAGCGAAGCTGAATTGCCGTCCATAGGTGTTATCTGGAACGAATCCGGGTCGAAAGAAGCAAAAGCAAAGTTGAGATGGGAGAAGCCTGCCAAGTTCAAGTCCTCGGGGCTGACCTGTAGACTTGATATGAGCTTGTACACAGTGAGATAGCGAGTTCGAACATACCGGTTGGCATTGACGGGTATTAGCCCAAGACTCGTAGTAACCGATGTTACGCTTCCCAACTTGTGATCCTCCACATGGCGGCGTAGGCGGCGGACCGCAACCTCCAAAGCCTTCTTGACAGCCATCACCACAGAAGTCGTCTGTCGAGCCGCAGAAGCTTCAGGGCGTTAGAAGATGAACATGAAGCTTTCCTTCCCTGGGGTAGTGGAATTCGGATCTGAGACTTACCCGAACTTCGAACAGCAGACATTCAAAGGACAAGTCTGGGATCCTGGTGTGCCATACTGGCCACACGCAGCTTTTGCGTCGCAGTTGGACGCACAGCCAGTGCCGCATTCAAGAGGCGAGTAACCGCAAAGGCCATTACTTCCACCTTGACGTTGTTAGATCAATCAACTAAAGTAGACATTTGACTTACAGCATGCTCCATTGGGGCATGGTGTCGAAGGGTTGCAAGTACCGATGGGCAAGTCTCGTCTGTGAAGTGTACGGAGTCCAGCTTTGGGACTCGGAGACTGGTTCGGGTCTGTGAGATCTCGTGGTAGTGCTAGAACAACGCTCAAAAGGCCCAAGAGCAGTGAAAAATGCATCTTAGGCCAAAGTATCAGCGCTGGCAAGTGGAAAAGGTTACTACAAGGCGATGGAATCCGTGGAAAGGGCACATTAAAAGTGTGGCTATAGCTGGTGACTTGATGGCTGGAGGCGGGTTCCTGCGTAACTCTCGATCTCTTCTAACCCTTTCAGCATTGTTGCTCATCAGTCCCTTGTGACATGTCATGCAGAACTTTGCGTTGATCCATATGTATTACTCCGAGTAAGAGGCTAAGGCAATGCAAGCTGCGGTCCTGCAGGATGCATTCTTAACGAGGACCGCCTGTCCTGATAGGTCTATGTTGAGATGAGGCTAGGGTTAGAATCCTTCAACTATAGCAGCTGATCTCATATTCGAAGACCAGATATGCTCGGCTTGCGGTAAATTATCGCTCTTTGCTTTTGTTGGTCAATCAGGCTGCACCGGCGTTCCTTCTCCGCATCGGTTAGGGAATATGGTGCTGCTGCGCAATAAAAATCGTATTGCTTACTGCATTAAAGTCTGTCGGAGACGTCATGAGACAGCCAAGGTTGTGAGCAAGCCCTGTCGCATGAAACAAGCCACACTGAAGGTCAATATACATAAGCAACAAAGGCTTATGTGGAGTAAGCTTGCCGCCTTGGCCTGATCAAGCTTTACCCGGTCGCATGGAGGAATTGTGCCGTGTGGCGGCCTCTTCCAAGCCAATCACGACATAGCTTGAATGTATCTTGTACCGGTGAAGACTGCAAGCCAGACAACTAACTGCACATGCAGATTAATTGCCATGGGTGGGCCTTAGACCTTCAGCCTATGCAGAGCATCCCTTTGGACGTCTCATGACTGGATAGCCTGATCATGAAGATTACAAGGAGTGATAACGGGCGTGGCGATCGGCCGCAGACATACTGATACGAAAGGTTTGCGTGATTGCCGCTTGACGGGAATCACTGCAAGTGCAGAATCGGGCGACGAGTGCGAGCTTCCTTCATCAGCGACTTACATCCTCATTCTCTTCTGTCCGTTGATTCAATTCCAGCTTAGATACAATGAGATCGCTTTGGCTGTGGCAGACGGCACTGCCATCGTTGACCATGGCACAAACATTCAATATGTGGCCTCTGGTGGACACTGTGTTTATGGCGAACGCTCTGAATGTCTCGGAATCATGTGTTACCGCTCTGTGGGTAGATTGATTAACCTCGCAAAGACTGAACTGATATCTTGAAGAAATGCCACAGTGGGTTGCGACCCGACGACTTTCCGAATGGCGGGTCAGATCGACCTTTACTTCTGGGAGAACGACAACATTACTACATTGTGCACGGCGGATTGTACGATAGACTGGTACGCCTGCTTTTGTACGTAGAATGCTAACATGCTTCCAGGTATGAGCTCCGCTACGACGTGGATTAATGGGGTCTACGACAATTGTGATCCCACGGACACCATCTACATTGACACAAACCTCGTCCCGATTGATACTGTGGCTATCCGTTACACGGACGGCTTAGGCCTAGCATGTCTGACGGACCAGTACGGTTACCACTTCTCAATCGGATCCAAACTTCAGATGCTGATGCTTCGCACAGGCAAATTACCATCACATCGACCATACCACCAGACTTACCAGAGAACGATACTGACACTTCCTCGTCAACACTTGAGTCCGCGTCAATCGCGGCTTCCGCCACCACGACCACAGTAGCTGGTGATCCTGGCTCTGATACAAATGTGGGTTTCAAGCCGAACCGTTGGCAATGCCGATATTGGCATCAAGCTGATTCATTATGCTCTCCACGCAGGGCACGTACGAGTACAACTATTCTCCTCCACCAAACTTCTGTTTCAACCAGTCGCAAAGCTGGGTCAGATGCCTGCCCAATTCTCCCGTGTATCGTCTAGCTGATTTGGGTTTCAGGTGGGCGTAGACATCCCTGATTGCAATCTTGACCCAGATAACTCGCTCTGTGCTAATGCTACAGAGGGCATGAGGATCGTGAGTACGTCAGATATGCTTGTTTATAACCCGACTAACTCGCATACAGGCCAATTACTACAACGACACCTTTGTGTGTATATCGCCAGATCTCTCTACCAGTCATCACGCTTACATGTCTGCAGCTTTGTGATCCGTGCTATCTGAGTGTGTTTTGGTGGAGAGTCAACTCGCCCTTCCTGCCGGACAGCGACTATTCGGACTATCTCGTCGACCAGTTCCAAGACATCCAGGACATCTGCAACGTTACAGTATCAGATACTCTCCTTCGGATCAGCCCACCAGGCTATGCTGTTGGCATGACCCCGAACTACACCTTGCCGGGCAGTGCGCCCCCAGCGAGACATCAACCTCTTCCACGTGCCTGGGACAGACGCTGTTGTCTGGTAGTACCCCTTGTGATGTTTTATCCACTACTTACGGAGTGACTACCGGAGATCTCCAACAAATCACTGACTCAACCACATGTGCCTTCTTCGGCAGTATCTGCGTGCCGAACAAATGTACCTTGTCTCATGTCGGCACCAATGTATCTTGGTAAGCCTTCAGTCGACGTACGTGGCATTCGAGGCTAACAAGTTAGCGATTCGTTGGCGGCAAGCTTGACAACAAGCACGCTCAATGTTACTGACACTCTACTCCTGTCATGGAATCCGAACATCCAAGGCCTTTGCGATTCGTTGACTCAGGGACAGTATATCTGCACTGGGTGAGCATGCATACCCCTTGTCAGCGCTCAACATAGCTGATAGAAGACTACTAGGCCACCAGGAGGTACTTACAACCTGCCAGCACCAATTGGCGGTGACACTACAGCAGCCGGCCAGCAACGTGGTGGGCAAGGCAGTGGCGCCAACCCTGATGGTCCTCTTGGCGCCACAGGCCCTACGGTGAATAGCACGTCGCAAGCTCCGACACAGGATGGCATCAACTCAAATTGCACGCTGTTCGCTTACGCGACCGCAAGTACGTTTGACCTGCTCAACAATCCGAGGCATGCACTAATGATCATCTGCCGCAGACGACACTTGCTATGACTTTACAGTCGACTTTGGCATCACGATGAAGGACTTTACAACCTGGAACCCGATTCTGGGGTACCCTGATGGGTCGAACTGCACCATCAAGTTCTGGAGTGGTTATGACTACTGTACGTTGCCTTCGAGGGCCGGGCCGAGGAGTAGCTGACAGCAAAACCAGGTGTCCAAGTCAATGGATCAAGTACCACCACCACGTCCACTTCCAGTCAAACAACAAGTACCAAAGCAGTGACCTCACTGCCATACCCAACTCAGAGCGGCATCACACCATTGTGCAATAAGTTTGCTGAAGCCGTGGCAGGGGACTACTGCTACCTTTTCGCTCAAGAGCATAACATTACGACCGATGAACTGTATGCGTGGAATCAGGTCCTAGGACCAAATGGTGCCGATTGCTCCGCCCAGTTCCAGGCCGGTGTAGATTACTGTGTAAGGATCTTCCATTGAAACGGTAACAACACAGGTGATTAATTTTGCAAAACAGGTGGGTGTCTCATCAACGTCGACGAATCGGACAACAACGTCAAAGACTCCGACAGGCACAACATTGACTTCAACGCCGATACCCACGCAGAGTGGCCTGGCATCCAACTGCATAAAGGTTGTGGAAGCGAAGAGTGGAGACTATTGCTATGAGTTTGCACAGAATAATGGTAGGTCCTCCTCTCAATCTTTGTTCGGCCGCAGCTGACAATTTTGCAGGTATCACTACAACTCAGCTCTACACTTGGAATCCTGTCCTGGGGTCTGATGGTGCCAACTGTAGCAAAGAGTTTCAGGCTGGAGTTGGATATTGTGTGGCTGTGAGCAGCTAATTGCTCGCTGGTGTTCAGTCTTGGTTTCTGCACGATTTTCAGTCTCTGTCATTCCATGATGGGTGATACAGTACTTATTCGCCGCTTTGTATTTGGAGACAATCTATCGGTTCTCCTAGCTCTGCTGTTCGGCCAAACTCTTTCTTTCCTTGATCATCTTGAGTTGCTCTGGAGTCAATCTCTTCATAAAGTCCTCTTTCTTCTTCTGGCTTTTCGCGTCTGATTCTGCCTTTTGCACTCTGTCCCATTCATCTTGGAGCACAGTAAGCTCTGTCTGACACTTTTCCACATCGAAGTGGTTGTGTGGCCATCCATTCTGCTTGTACACTTCGTAGACTTTCTGCATCGTGCGTTAGCGAATGCGCTTTATCTTCTTGATAGCAATGACAATCATAGCATATTACTCACCTTTGTCTTTTCTGGCAATGGCTTGAGTTCTGGCTTCTCCAGTGGTGGAGCTGGTTGGTATTCTGCTTGCTCAGCATCGTGGTGCAGCCATTCCATCTCGTCGTCGGGAATCTCGTCTTCTGCCTCATCTTCCATCGAATCTTCGTCACCACTTAGCGTCAAGTCTTCCAAGTCCATCGCGTCTTTCTCGTCATCGTTCTGGGTATCGATGTAGTCCTCATCAACTTCATGCTCCGCATCAAACTCATCTTCAACTGCAAGCAGCGCTGCTTCCTCCGCAGGCCACTCAGCGCGAAAGTGAAAACTAGGATCTCTTCCATGACAAGGCACAGGCATATAAACCAAACACCTCAAACGAATAGCCTCCCTTTCGAAGAACTCCTTGAGAGGCAGGGTTGGATGAACCTTCCATTTCTGCTCTGGTGCAAGGACTTCGTAGTCCTCAAAAGTCAGGTTTGGCGGCGCAAAGTCGCCACCGTAGTTAGGGTAGCTGATTATGTTTCCGAGCTGCGTGTCTAGTAAGAGGTAGTGCGTTGCTGCGTTGTAGCCTTGACCTATGTAGATGACGTGGGGTGGTAGATAGGGCGGCTTGGGTTGATTTGTGTCTGAAGTGCGTGAGAGATAGAATTCATTCATTGGTTGATCGAAAGGCACTGCCGTCGAACTCGAGGTCTGGAGACATGATGTCAGTGAGATCGTTTGGGGAAAGTACGTTGTGAGATGAGCAAAGGGGGTAGTTTCCATGGTGAAATAGAAAACTTGATGCCAGGAACCACAATCAGACGGCAGCACTCACAATCCAAGCGTGTTGGGCATCATATAACCCAGGCGCTAGAAACGGAAGATGGCGAGTGAATTCTGCAGCTTCATGTGACCAGCCTTGCTTCCTCATGTCTTGAGCATGAGTCCCAGACCAGCCTTGCGCAGGAGGCACACGCAAACAATCTGGCTTCAGATGAGGCATTCGACAGAGCAAAGTGTAGTAGTCCGTCATTGCGTCCCTGGCTTCCTGTAGGACGACTTGGCGATCCATGATTTCGGTCGACATCCCGACTGGAGCGGTGAACGAGTTCGAAAGCGTCACTGGGTAAGTGATGAGACAATGTTGGGTATAAATGGAAGAGCGGTCGGGCTTCTATTACCGATCCAAATCCCGACAGTGTGGTTCCAAGTCAGCTGTCAAAAATCCCCGCTTTCGGTCACCAAATAAACAAGCATGTTCATACAAGCGGCCGGCTATCTCTATTAATCATGCTGTTATGTATATGTTTTCATATTCTCGCAATTAGCCCTTTCTACAGTACTAATGACAGCTTTTCTCAATATTCATTCTCCGTCATTTTTGTCCTCATTCCATCTCGTATCTCGTATATCGACTCAGACCACGTACGGGATAAACAACCAAGGAACTCTTTTCTCATATTCTGTCCATGCGTCCCCGTACTTAGCCCTGCACTTTTGAATATCTCTGATTGCTCTGTGCACAATCATGCAAGCAAANAACACAGGGTAAAACCAAGGGAACGGCGAGTTGAAGCCTGTGATGGCGCCCCACGAGAGCGCAAAGAAGAGATCGCAGGTATAGTGAATCTTGCGAGCTTTACCATCTGCCNNATATATTAGTCTGACTGCAAGGACGAAAGATAGGCCAAGAAAGGAAGGAGAAAGAAACTTACACCACCCATCACAAAGGATCGAATCACCGGTCCTCGTCTTGATGCTCACAGGATTCTCCACTGCTTTCCAAGGCAACTGCGGGAATGTTTTTCTGTTCAGTGCAACGCCTCTTTCCTGTGCTCTGAACATGTTCTTTTGCGAATTTGCAGTATCCCAGATCCAATAGACGAACAGATAAGTGATAAAGAGGAGAGTCAGCAGGTAAGGGTTCCAGTGGTACTCAGAGGGGTCATGGTTGGCGATGTACAAAGTGCAGTGACAGTAGGATAGAGGTACGCCAGCGAGGTTCCAGAAAATCAGCATGAAGCCCCATTTCTCAAAGTACATGTCCCTGTAAGAGAGACATTTCATTAGCGTCTTGAATTCTGGTGATCGCGGGTCTCAGGAAGAGATAACTTACCAACTTGTGATGATCAACTCCTCGCCTTTAGAACATGCATTCGCATACAAGAAATGCGCCATCAACAAGAACCAAGCCTCGCCAGATACATAGCCATAGTTTTCGTATTGTCTGGCGCAAGCACCAAGCGTAGTCAAGAAGAGAATGTACCAAGGAATTCTGACTTCAAAGAACATCTTAAAGTCCAGCCAGGTAAACAGTCTAGGGTTCAACTCTGCCCCCATGAAGAAGTCATAGATAGGGGAGCCAGTCATACGGTGTTGAGCTCCCCTCGCCAAAGCAGACCAGTATGCGATAACGGAGACCAAGAATCCGGAAATGATGGCTACACTCATGATGGAGCCAAACTCATCAATGATGGTGTATAGAGGGAAGAGACCAGAGACGTGGAGAATGATTGCGAGAATGATGGTCGTGTACCAACTCCACACCGCAGAGCAATAATATTCCAATTGCTTGCCGTTCAGACTGGGCAACCTTTTGCCTTTGCCATAAACACCAGGCATGTACAAATAGCAAGCTCCCTCGAAGATCAAAAAGGTCCAGTAGATGGTCCAGGCTTTGGCATGAGGGAAAGCGTGCTCATAGCACAGAGTCCAGAGATGCTGGGAGAACGCACTCCAGGATTGTCCGGGAGAGCGCGAAGGCAAGTGTCCAGAGTAGAAAGTCGCGCCAATCCACATGTAGTACATGAGAAGAGGGAAGCCGATCATCATACAACTTACTCCCACCGCACCACCAAACTCCCGTTCCCCGCTGCCATCGATACGGTGGTCTTCGAGTTGCTCTGTAGTGTCGGCCACAGAGACCAGAGGGCTGCGTTCATCATGAATGGGTTTACTCAATCCGTCCTGACCAATGCTGAACTTGCTGTCAGAACCCACATGATGACCTCGCATAAACACAGGGGTGACCAGTCAAAAACGTACCTGTGAGAAAATGTGTCGGCCATGATGCAGACACAACACCGACAGAACAGCAATACCAGCAAGTCCGAAGATAAACTCAATCACTGTGAGGATCATCTTTGCAGGAAGGTTACCGTTCATTATAAGGGAAAGGGGAAACTTTGTGATGGTTCCTGGAAGGGAAAGCCACGGGGACCGCGGTTTCCGGCTGGGGGAAATTGGGCATTTGCGAACTCGAAACACGCCACATTGCTTTGGCAGCAAGGTCTATTATTCTTTTCTGATAATGATATCTGTAAATTTGATCAGCGTTCTGATTCGCTTTACTCAGCTCTGGATCTTGGTGATTGTTGAGATGTCTCAGGTCGTGGTGGTACAGACTGATTTGCGCAAGTCTGGATGCGGTAGATCCAACCCTGTCTTACATTTGACACATTTGCAAAATCGCTCCGGAAATATCAATCGATATACAATATACAGGGTACGCGAACGAATAGTCAATCCAAGACTTCTCCCAAGTATAATGAGAAATGGAGGAAAACAATTCGAGACACAGTCGCAAGGAAAATCCGAGATACCATGTGAACAAGCACTGAATCTCTCGAAGCTTCAACGAGAGATTATGTGCTGCAAAAAAGTTGTCATGCTTTCATTAAAGGTATTATCTGTTTTCTACCGTCTACTCGTGGCCAATAGGCTTGGCCAACTTCTGCCATGCAATGGAAGCAGAAGCAGCGAGCAAGAAGTTACCCTGTCCAGAGATAGCAGGGTTCTCTCCAATAAAGTTGTTCGGGAAACCAATATCGAAAGGCCTGACATCCTCCAACTTCTTGATCTGCGCATCGGACAACTTGATAGTCAAAGCCTTGATATTGTCGTGGAGATGCTCGACCTTGCGGCCACCGACAAGAGGAAAGACATTGATGGTCTTGGACATGACGTAGGCGAGAGCAACAGCAGTAACGGTGACATTGTGCTCGTTGGCGACTTCTTCGAGGGCGGCGCTCATCTTGACTTCGTCTTCGTTTTGGTCGCTGCTGCCCATCATGCTGCGAAGGCCTTCGTTCTTCTTCTTGCGCTCTTCGATGGCGGCCTTGGACTGGAACTTGCCGCCGCCGAGGACATCCCAGGGGGCGAGTGCCATGCCAAAGTGGCGGGCCATGGGGATAATCTCACGCTCGAAATCGCGGAGCATGATATTCCAGCGGCCCTGGTAGATGGAGAAGGGNGTCTTGCCGTGGGCTTTGGCGTAGTAGTTTGCGGCCGAGACGACCCAGGCGGGCGAGTCGCTGATACCGAGGTACATGACCTTCCCTTGCTCGACGAGGATGTGTAGGCTGTCCATTATTTCTTCAATCGAGGTGGTGTGGTCCCACCAGTGCAGGTAGAGGACGTCGATAAAGTCGGTCTGGAGCTTCTTGAGCGAGTCGCGCACGCTCATGAACAGACTGCGCTTGTGGTTACCGCAATGGTTGGCTGCCTTGCCCTTGCCTAGAGCGTAGCCCTTGTAGTCGGTCNNTAGATGGGACGAGTCAGGATGGTTCACCAGAAGCAGAAGAGTGTTTCAACATACAGTAAACTTTGTGGCAATGACCATCTGGTCACGGTTTCCACGCTCTTGCATCCACTCGCCGAGCCATTGCTCAGACTGTTCGTTCTGGTAGTTGTTGGCAGTGTCGATAAAGTTACCTCCAGCTGCAACAAAGGCGTCAAGAAGCTCAAAAGACTGCTTCTTGTCCATGCTGCCCATGAAGCTGGACCAAGCATCTCCAATTGACATGGCACCGAGCTGCAGAGGGGAAACACGGACACCAGCAGTAGAAGACAGGATGCGCAGTCTGCCGAGCTCGGTAGCTGGCTCAGGAGCGGGTTCGAAGAAAGACATGATGATGTATCTCGTTGGAAGATTGACACAGATGCGATGGTAGAGGTGATTGCAGAGACAAATCCGGGTCAGTCGGCAGGGAAAGCTGTTGACATTTATACCATCGAGGTCCGGAGGTAACAGCTGTAGCTACCCATTAAGCTCCGCCTCGCATTAGATCATCGTCGGACTTAAGTATGATTCGTCCGGGCTGCATCTTTTCCAGCCGGTCGTCGGAGGAACTCGTCTCGCACAAGCTGTCTTGCTAGACTACTAGTCAGAACTCAGAAGATCGAAGATGAGGCCACAAGATCTGCGCCAGATCGCGGAAGCTACAAGAACATCTTGCGAACATGAAGAGCGACCAGAAGTTAAGAACTCTCCAAGAGAAGCTCTGGTGGAATGCGAAAGCGTGGGGCCCTGAGGCTTGGCGGCTTTAGAGCGATCTCTTCCCTGCCGAACCAACCCAACCACATCATCCTTGAACACGTCGCAACCATCGTGATTGGAGAGGATATTCGAATGGCAACGAGAAATTCTCTGGAGCTGACATGCGATTGACGAGGCAGTACAATCGATGAGTGAACCACAGCCCACCAAGGGCCCAGGGGCTCGCAACAATCCCCTGCCCGACCTCGACGACTAGCCAAAAGTGCCCACAATCGCGACCACTTCTACGCATTCACGCCTGTGCGCTGAAGCCAATCAATCCGCGAGATGACCGTCCTTCTGTGAAAGAGCTCGGGGGTTGAGGCGCCATGCCAGGCCACGTCGCGTCGCGACCGAAGGAACAAGGGGTCTCCCGAAGAAAGAGCTGGGGTTTTATGGTCTGGGACATACGATTACACGGATGCTTCGGAGACAACGGTGGCCTTGATCTACATGGAGCAGGAGTTTGTCGCTTGCAGAAACAATTCTCAAAATATCTCAACGACCACTACCTGGGGTCGCCTGCACCGCGCTGTCGCGCTCTGAAGTGGGGAGAATGCACTCGGTTCTCTGATTCCAATCTATGTCATTATCGTAAAACGAGCGTAAGCAGCACAACTCAAAACGGTCACCTTTACCAGCCATCGACTTCATCCTCTCAAACCTCACATCACTCAATCCTCCAACTCGGCATAATAACTATAAGGCTGGTTGAGCTTATAGAAAGCCTCAGGCTCAGTCTGCCCAGCCCCACCAATCCAAACCGGAGTAGGCAATTCCTCAAGCGTGTCAGTCCTCATCTCATTCTGGAAAACATACTCGAACGTCTTTGCCCATTGCACACGATTGTTGAGTCCTTCCAACTCCCACAGGTTTTGGAGGAAGTGCAGGAAGGAGGTGTGGGTGTAGGCTGAGTTGGTTGCATATGAGGTGCCTTGATCATGGATGAGGGTGTTTGGAGCGATCCAGGGNGAGATGACGAAGGCTGGGACANNCTGTGGAGGTGTCAGCAAGAGTGAGATTTTCCTGGGAAGTAGCAGTACTTACCGGACTCCAAGGCGGGTGAAGTCGTAAGTCACGTTGTGGGCGTCGCTCATGCCGCTGAAGGCCATGCCATCCTCGGGAGCGGGAATGTTGACGGGCGGACCGACGTGGTCAGCGAAACCGCCGTGTTCGTCGAAGTTGATGATGATCAATNNCTACACAAAGTTCAATAAGTTGTTGACCATGGAAGGTAGGGTGATTACTGACGTGTCATTCCAGTACTTGGATTGTCTTACAGCATCGTACAGATGCTTGATGAGCTGTTCACCGGCTGCCATGTTGCTCGATGGGTGCATGGAGTCAATAGTGCAGCACTCAGGGTTGATGTACGAGAACTCAGGCAAAGTACCATCCTCGAGATCGGTATAGAACTGATCGGCATGGACAAGATTATCCATTGCATTGTCTTGGACCCACTTGTACATCCAGGCATCGATGATATCAGTTTCGTAGTAGTTCTTCCAGGTAATGTTCTTATCGGACAACGACTCAAAGATTGATTTGGCACAGGTAGTTCCAGTGACATTGGCAAACCAACCCGAGGCTTGATCAGTGTTATCCACCATACCACAGGTTGAACCGCTAGTCGCAAACTGTCTGTTGGGATTGGTAGGACCAGGATGCTCGGCATGATACGAGTCCCAGAAACCATAGTTCTGAGCCAGTGTTGCAAGGACTTGAGACTTTTCTTGAGAGTAGGCTTTGATGACAAACGACGCGTCTCCAGGAGTTTCGCTGTACTTCTCGGATTGACGCTCAATGAAGCCTCCCATGTTGGGTGTGTCATTCTTGGAAGGATACCAAGTGCGGTAGATCTCGTACGAGGTGCCGGCGAAGTTGTGGTCGGGATCCTTCAGGGGAACTTCGTCTTCGTAGGGGCCGGCGCAGATGTCGATGGGTTCATTCCAGACAGTCCCTNNGAATGGATGGTAAGCGCGATGTTGATGCTTCAGGATCACAAACCTACAGTTTGGGTTAGTGTATTGGTTGCAGTAGGTAATGTTGCGGAGGTTATCGATGTCCGGATGGAAGTCCCAGTACCCGGCAATGTTGTCGAAGCTGTGGTTCTCCATCATGAGATACACGACGTGCTTGATCNNTGCGTATTGTGTCAGCTGCCGTCAGGTATATTGGGATTGCTTGAATACACTGACCTTTCCTCTAAGGTCGGTCCATGTCGAGTTGTCGGAAGTCATCTGCTGCCTCATCTTCAAAGGGCCAGGGCCCATGTAGGGCAATGCAGAGGCAAGGCCCGAAAGGGAAGAGGCAACGGCCAATGCTGTGGTTGTCTTCATTACTGAGTGTTCAGAAGCTTGAGTGAGCTGTTTATCAAAGGCATTGTCGAAGCATGTTTGACGTCCGTTTTATACTCCCAGTTACATGGCATGCACAACAGACCTGCCTTCAATGGCATCAGGTATTTTTCCACGTGTATCACTTTGGTCGCCTCCACGGACTGACCCTTGTGGACATGAGCCCTACCTCCCATCTCAAGTGGAGTTGCAGATTGTTGAGCGTACTAGTCCGCATGAGCAAATACTGTCTAGACACTGACCGATAGCGGTGAACACGGAAGCATAGGTAGAGTAAAAACCTTTGGACCAGTAGGTGAACGTGAGCGAAGCACGAACGTGTTGACAAAGTTGCCCTGTATACCACCACCCCACGTAGGTGCTCTAAGTAGGTGGGGCAGGATCGTCAGCGGCGACACAACTATTGCGGGAGGTGAACAATCAAGTCGCGAACGATAGGTCAACCCATCAAACGCCTCATGTGCCGAGACCCGTGCCTGAACGGCAAGTTCGGCAAGCATTTGAACAAGCTCAGACCCTGCATGTATCTCCCTTGATGATCGTCAAAAAGTTTTTGTACATGCCGCATGCTTGTCGAGAAATATACCGGAGCGTGTTGGCACGTTGCTTGACTGATAGGTCAGCGACTGCTTTCATGAAGCTGCGCAACTCTCAACAGACGGGATGGCCGTGGCAAAGCAATCCGTCCTAACCAACATGTCTCTACACAAACACAAAGATATAGAAAAGAATGTTTGCTCGCATGAACAATCAAGAAAACAGCACTATCTCTACAGAACGAATGCGAACTCCTCCAAGTCAGCAAAGCCAGACAGAAAAATCGCAAGCTTTCTTCCAAGCAACTTTTCCAGAGCTCATCTTTCCCCTGCCTCCTTTCAACATGTCTTTGACATGGGTCAAGAACCTGTTGGAATCTTCAGAAGCGCTTTCTGAAAAGCCATATGCCCAGTTGAGAACATCTTCTGATATCGAGTCGCTTGCTTCGACGCAAGTCAACAGTCTACTCGACACAGAGTCACCCAAGCGCAAGACTATGATTGACGCTCGAGTCATCTCAGATGCGATCATCGGTCTATCTGATGGTATGACTGTGCCCTTCGCCCTGACAGCGTACGTATACTTCTATCTACACGTGAACAGTTTATGAGACTGACTCATGTTGGCGTGTAGGGGCTTATCTGCTCTGGGCGACTCACGGGTGGTGATTCTCGGTGGTGTCGCTGAGTTGATTTCCGGTGCCATCTCCATGGGTCTCGGAGGATATCTGGGTGCAAGGAGTGAAGAGTGAGTCCTTTGCTTTCTATACTCTTATACAAGCTGACGCCTATCACAGANNGAATCCTATCGAGCTACTTTATCTGCCACCCGCACACGAGTGGAAGAAACACCATCCGCTGCTGCAAGCTCAGTCTCAACTATTCTCGAGTCCTTTGAGTTACCGGAACACCTCGTAACCGAACTCAGCTCTCATCTTACCAAATCACCACATCTACTTGGCTTCCTCATGCGATTTGAACACATGCAACCAGAGCCAGCCAGCTCGCGAGCAATCACCTGTGCAATCACTATTGCTCTCGGATATCTGATTGGTGGGCTGCTTCCATTGATCCCGTATTTCTTTGTCCCACGGGAAGAGGTTGTATTGGCTTTGTATTGGTCTTTTGGCGTCATGCTGAGCTGTTTGTTCTGCTTCGGCTATTGTAAAACGTGCTTTGTGGCTGGATGGAGGGGAAAGGTGTGGCAGGGTGTGGTAGGTGGGGTGCAGATGATGCTTGTTGGTGGTGTTGCTGCTGGTTGTGCGATGGGGATTATCAGATTGTTCCACCATCTTGCTTCGGATTGAGAGTTTCATGGGGGTCTTGATACGTTTTCAGAGTTCAAAGATACACGCGATAATGTCAACGGTAAGATCTCTGATTCTATCAAAGAGTTTTTCCAGGCAATCTCAGTAAGATCACAAGCTGAAGCGATGTATAAAGGCTTGATCAAACAAGACCATCGCCATTGACAGCATTTCTCCGTGAACATCGTTCTTGCCTGGAAGAGAACGTCTCTCCAACACTATCCGTCTCATCTTTGTTACATCTGCTTCTTGATCAATGCAGCACTTGAGGAGAAACCGATACGGACTTGGGAATGGTACAGATACGCAATTTAATAGAGTGAAAGAACTGGTCGTTTAAACGTCTATATACAAAGTGCCACGGCTACCCTTAGTGGTTTGAGCAACTGGAGTGCCAACGCTACCCTCGGTGGTATGTTTAGAAAACTACAGTGCATAAGCTACCCTCAGTGATATGCGAGAAACTGGAGTGCTAAAGCTACACTCAGTGGTATGGGGAAAGATACTGGAGTGCCGAAGCTATCCTCAGTAGTATAAAGAAAGAGGCCGGGGTGCTGAAGTTACCCTCAGTGGTTTGGCAAAAGAAAAGCTGGAGCGCTGAAGCTACTCTCAGCGGTATGAGAATATACGAGAGACTGCGGTGCTGGTGCTACGGTCAGTGCAATAAAGAGATGACAGAGGAGAGGCGGTGAGGAAGACGACCAACGTCAGTGGTCAACAATGTTGTCAGTCGCTGTATCATCGTCATCAGCACCATCCAACATGGCTCCGCCCACCGCGTCCTCATCAGAATCCTCCTCGTCAGAGCTGAATGGAAGTCTTTGTCCCCTCGTAGTTTTGGGCACCCCACGAGCACGCCACAAGCTCGGATCATGCTTTGCGAGGAGGGACTCACTGGTCCGACATTCTCAGCCTTGCTTGACACGATAAGGCAGCATTGGTTTACGCTTCACGAGCTCCTCGATCCTCTCTGGTATCAGAATGATATTGTACGATGAATACTCTTCTCGTTGCTCGCTCAATATGATGTCAACGGCCGCGGCATTATCGGCGTTGTCCACTGCGAGCGTGCAGGAACGTCTTGTTCCTCCAAGGCGGCGACACTCCGAGCAAGCGTCGAGCGGATCATCGATATCGCGCTGAGGCTTGTCACACTGTACCAAGTTAGAACAGGGGTTGTCAAGATCCATGTGTTGGGTAAAGTACTTCTCTGAAGTTGTCAAGGTAGTTCTGACAAAAGTCTGACAGTTTGTAGATTCTGGGCACATAGATGTCCAGTGCCGGGTCGGGGCGTGCACCAGAGTCTCTTGCGCCTTTTATGTCGTTGTTGTTGCTGCGAGAATCCATCTTTGCTGCGTTTGCTTGTTATGGTGGTGATCTTGTTATGAATGTGTTGGTGGTGAGTGTGCGCCAAAGAAAGTTGCGAAAGGAGGTGACAAAGCGAAAAAGAAACAAGGAGCTCAATCCACAAGATCAATGCGCTTTTAAAGCCCCATCACTTTCTTCATTGACTGGAGCAAACATAAATGCAAACACAGACAAAACATTTTTGGGCTTCCTCACATTGTCTGTTCGATCTTACTATCCTAATCTTCCGTTGCAAACCCTGACACAAACACAGACATGTTCTTTTGCTTGCAAATACTGTTCTTATTGCCATCATCTTCCTTGTTTGGCAAAAAAATGTCCATATCCAGGATGGAGGGCAAAAGACAAAGTAGCACTTTCTATTCCAGACTATTAGGGGTCAAGTAGCGGAGAGGTGTTTATCGAAACACTTGTATTACAACTAGGAAAGCTAGACAAGATGAATGTATTGTGGCATACAAAAAGACTGAAGCAACGAAACAGCAGTGGCAATGGAGCAGACAAAGGAAAATGTGCAAGGGTGTGGAGCTAGAGGCAACAGCTTTAAGGGTCGTCAGGTCGTAATCTCTTACGTGACTGCTGCTCATCCTAGGCAGCTTCGGGTCTTCTGAGTAGCGAGTTGTAGGCTTGCGAGGTCGGGAATGCTTGTCTGGTAGCCTGTCCTATGAATCAGCAACATGGTACTGGACAAGACACGTGTGTTAGTTACTGCAGTAAATGAGCGTTAGGGATCAGGTTGTTGGAATGTAGGAGATTAGTAGGCGAAGGTCGGGAAGGTAGGGCGTGAGTACTACGGCAGAGGGTGGATAGCTGTGATGGAGTTCCGTCCTCGTACACATGTTGATACTGACCAGTCTCCCAGAAGGATTTTGCCTGCAAGACTCTGCCGTGTCTTGGGTCTGGTAGAGGTCTTGGGAACGGCGGTGGTGGCATTGCTGACACTGGCAGCGTCGGAGGCATTGATGGAGGCAGGAATGGAGGTTGTGCGGATGTCTGCCACGGTGTGAAAGCCGGCGACATCGGAGGAAGCATCTGTCGAAGAGCAGATCCGGATTGCACAGATGCATGTGGTGTGCCAGAGCGTAGTAGAGACTGCGAGACCAGGAGCGTCGGTTGGTATAGCTCGGGGCGAGCTGCGCGATGAGAGTGTTTCTTTGCTTGCTGATGGGTTTCGGCTGGAGGTACAAGGAAAGCTCTTGGGCAGTCACGTATTTTCGATGAGTTCCTCTCTACTTCGATCCTTCCAGTTGCTCTTGACACGAGTAGCCGGTATTGGCAGTCTTGGACCTTCTTTGCCCAGCTCCGGAGTTCTGGAAGGAGGAAGAGTGTAATCGTGGCCATCGCCCCTGACCACCAGTGTCTTTTGATAGACGCTATCGTTGTAGCTGCCGCTCGAAATCTTGCATATGCGGTTCTCGCTTCCAAGATGACGGCACTCTGAGCATGGGTCGCGCTCGTCTGTGACATCGCGCTCCAACTTGTCGCACTGTGCCACGTCAGATTACGGGTAGTCAACACGGACTGGAGGGATGGCAATATTACCTCTCTGAGATTGTCTAGGCAAGACTGACAAGCTACGCCAGGTTCATTGGGCACCATGTAGCCTTTGAGGGCTCTGATGCCAACAAGGGCTGGGTTGGGATTCTCATGGTGATCAAACTCGCAGTCTCGATTGCGGCAACTGTCGTCAGCTGCAAAGCGCTTACAAGGTTTCTTTCTGGTTTGCATGATGTTGTCGCCGCTCTACAAAGTCATCTCTTCGTTGTGTGTGTCTCTGTCTTGGTGATGAAGTTCCGTTGTGTGTTGGTGATTCGATTTGATGCGAAGTCAAACAAACAAAGCCAAAAGATCAAACACGACAAACGTACCGCCAGCACTGACGAGGTAGTGTAAGACGTGACCAGAAAATTACGTCGTGAGTGGAAGTCGTGATTTAAAACACTGAACGCAACTCCTGAGCATCGCGTCAACCTCTTCTCCATAACATACACGCCGCTAACCCCTTCGTAGACTCGCATTACAGCTATAGAGATAGCTTCTCAATACTCCACCGAGCGAAGCGAGCTTTGTGGTTATGACTCTAGGCGAGTCGGTTGCCTATCGTGCAAGCAATAACAGTCCATCCGCCACTACGTCGAGGCATCTCGTTCCATTATGAATCTAAAAGACATTAAGCTAATCATCTTCAGGTTAAAGAAGAGTTAGAGCGGGCTAAAGACTTGGTAGCTACTCTTAAAGCTCGTGTCTCGGAAGAGCCATTAGAAGTTAGACGTAAAGACATGAGACAGGAATTGAAGAAGTCGCAAGAGCGTCAAGATACTCTAATAGCCGTGGTGTCGTCGAGCTTCGAGTTGCGTGACTCCGTCATTAACAAAGTTAAGAACATATGCGCTAGTAAGCAAACATAATCAAGCCAACCATCATTTAAACTAACGCTAGCAGAAACTCCTTCTACGAGTCTCGCAGCAGCATTCGAAGAAGATGCCGCCAAGGAGGAGCAGAGGCTGCACAACACCTAGAGAGAGATTATAGGAAAGGAACCCATGAAATGGGTCACAGAGAATCCCAACTATCAGCCCCGTCCTAAGTCATCCTTCAAAGGCCTGAGCCTTCACGAGATCCCAGCCACCCCCGACTCCCTCCTCGACAGCCCTAACAGAATGGCAATCTTTCTAAGATCAGCCAACGGCAGAAACCCATGGTTAAGAATCGGCTCGTCATCTGGACCCAGTTCATTCATAAGCTACAGACGCGCTCTTGCCATGTTCGGCGAGCCCGCAACCCATACCGAATCCACACCCAAGACCGAACGCGAGTGGTGTGAGAAGAACACCGTCTACACTGTCCCAATTCTGTCCGAAGAAGAACAGTGGGCTCTCTTCAGTGAGGACATATGTCTGCCTTACACCGAGCTGCTCGTTTCCGAATACTCCAGACGCGCAAAAGCCAAGGCCAACGACCAGAAGATTGACACAACACAACGGGTTCGTCTAACAAGAAAGGAGCGAGCATTGGAGGATGGCCAGACGTTGAAGGCCACGACTTCGCTGGTCTGACCAACTGGATCCATAGATGTATGGAGACAGACAAGAAGTTCCTGGAGGTCACGCTCCCATCATGGAAGAAGGAAAGGGAGGATCATCGCGCCACCACGATTGAGAAGCTGTCGAAGTTGAGCCTCAAGCATCATGGTCCTTCGGGATAAGACCGCCCGAGCAAACTCTACTCAGGAACGAAGTATCTCGTCGACATCGAATTGGAGAAGATAGATCTCGAGCGCGTTCGCAAGATGGCCGCAACATTTGTTCTTCATTCATCGCCAACCAACCCTCAGGGTTTCTTACGCAGCTCGATTTCCTACAACAACTTCTTCTGACACTGTCGATTGACTCTCGTAATGAATTTTCATCCACTGTCGATTCATTTCCGCAGTTTCTCCCCTGCTCCTATCGAACAACTTCCGCAATCTTTACGTACTTAGAACAAACTCGTACCAGCTTTTTCTCGCTACAGAATGTCCCCAGCCCACTCTTACCTTCCTCGATCCTTTAAAAGTGTGTCGAGCTCGAGATACCTCGCCACTGAGCTTATCTCTGGAAGTTTCCCTTCGAAAACAAGATGGAGCCGGTTTCTCTGCCATCTGAGGCAGCAGGCTTCCCTCAGCTTCAAGCTCTACAACCGATAGTGGCAGGCTATCCAGCAGTTGAGACCATTGCATCGTTAGTCGTGTTGCTCTTGGCGTTGCTCCAGAGCCATCAGCTTCAGGCTGGATGTCGCCATTAGCATATATCTCCTTGTCAGGCTGAGTTGCCTGCTTCACGCTGGGTTTGGAGGATCCAGTTCCTTGTTTCTTCGAGAAGCACGATGGGGTTGAGCGATGCTGTTCTTCTCTGCGACCCCGGGAGGTTCCCGTATGAGCATGAGAGAGTTCGTCGGTGTGCATTGACTGGAGGCGCGCGGAGGAGAAGGTGTTAAACAGATGCATTCCATAAATGGGTAAGATGGACGTGCGAAAGGAAGCGTACAACGGATGAAGTGTTAGTATCGTTCTGACTCTTGATCTCAAGCCGAGTTACCTGCCGCATCTTTGGCAGAGGATGTCATGAAGCATAAAAATAGGACAATATACAATGTTGATATGTTGCAAGATATGCAGAAAAGCACACTTTTTCCTTCATTTGGTCATAATATACATATATGCCTGGTATCAATCGTGATTTCTTTACTCCATACCGGAGTGGTTGCCAGAGTCGCTGTACTGGCGGTCGCTGCCTTTGTTTCTTCTGAGAGGTCCAAGCATCTCGTTCCACTGGCTGGTGTTGGTAGGGATAGTGATAGGAAATATGTGTATGGTTCGATATGGAACGCATGAGTATTGATGTAACTTACGAAGCTGTTAGGAGGGTCGAGGAAGGTAGCCTCGTAGGCATCGATGGCAGGGCGTTCCCAGACAAGGTCGGTGGTCATGGGCTTCTGAAGCTTGGTCTTCTTCAGGACCTTCAGAACGTAAACAAGACGGGTGCGAGCAAAACCTAGACAATTATTAGCTTTCTGAAAACGCCATCTGCAAGATTATCGACTTGCATAGTGTAATAAATGAAGAAGTTATCGACCGACCACGGTGCGAAACTGGTATAGCCGTAGCAGGTGACGATCATAATCATCCAGGCAAGTCCGATGTATGCGGACCATGGCTGGAACCAACCACAGTATGGAAGCAGCTTTCTGTCAACACCCTGAGCCTTCATAGCACGCCAGAAGAAGATGTATGTGATAGTCATAACGATGTAATTAATGATACCTGCAAGGCAAGATTAGTAAGGTTGATTTTCGGTGGTGGAGTTTGGGGGTGGGGTGAGAATTTAGGGGTAAGAACACCACAATCTTGCGGGCGCCCCCGCTCTGCGACGTCGAGATGAAATCGACTTGAGCTTTTTCAAGGCACCAAAAACAACCATGATGTTCTCATCTTGAGATGTTGACTTACCACCTGCGGTGATCAAGTTGACCAACCAAGTCAAAACCTTGTTCGAGCCGCTGCTGACCTGGAGGAAGGACAGACAGGGGAACAGCATGACAAACGCGAAACAGAAGATCGGGACACCGTTCTTGGTCGTCTTCTTGAAGATTCCAGGGGCACGGCCTTCAACAGCCATGCCGTGAAGAGAGCGAGTAGCACAGTAGGTGTAGGTGTTACCAGCGGAGAAGATGGAAGTAACGAGCAGAGCGTTGACGAAGTGAGGAAGTCCGGTAATTCCCATATTCTTCATGGCAATGACATAGGGCGATGCGGCGGCAGTACCACCTCAGACTTGGTTCCGCTGACAATGGCGACAAGCTCGGGATCCTTGGAGGCGACGATGATACCAGCAGCGAGAGCACCACCAATGAAGAAGATACCGAAACGGTAGTAGACGGTCTTGAATGCGGTCTTGATATAGATACGGGGTCGCTTGGCTTCGGCGGAGACCATGGAGATGTACTCTGGGCCGACGATACAGAAAGATGCAGACCAGAGGGCGGCAAGAAATCCTTCGAATTGGCCAAGGGAACCTTTAGATCTATATTCTTGGAATGCTTCGCCATGCTTCCAGTTTCTGTTTCAAAAGTTAGATGGACGCTCATATCAATACTCTATAAAACGTACCTGAATCCGTAGGCGTCATGATTAGGGTTTCCACCAACCATGGTGACGAATGTGAAAGAAGAGCAAGAAGATCAAGATGACCTTTCCTCCGGACAGCCAGAACTCAGCCTCACCGTAGGCTTTCACTGCGAGGACGTTGAGAAGACTAGGGAACATGTCAGCTAGAAACTTTTGGAGAGCCCGGGTAGGCTCAAGCGCTGAATGTTGCTTTGGGCGCAAGTCGCGATGGAGACAAGGAAAGTTCACGATATGAAAAGTCGCAAGGGCGGTAAGATAAACCGGTCTTTCTTGGGCGCAAGGAAACAGGGTGCAAGGCAAAGAAATAGGTGCGAGGGTATTCTCCAGTAAAGAAAAGGGCGTTTGGCAGGAAAGTCGCAAGGGAAGGAAAATCGGGGAGAGTCGCAAGGGAGGAGTTTGTCGCGTAGGAAGTCTTACCCATATAGGACCTGGAAAATTGTCAGCTATCTTTCGACCAAGCTTTACAACAACTCGATTTTGCCTACGATACAACAAATGGGAATCGCGTAACCAGGGATGTTGTCACTCCAGAAACCGAGGACGGTAGTCAAAGCGGTAATCTCGAATGGAATGAGCAAAGCTTCATATAGGAAAAATTCCAACCGGCCATAAAACCGAAGGCCTCATCCACGAATTTGCCAGCAAGACGGATGAAGCCACCCTCTACTGGGTAGAGAATGGTCATCTCGGCTATGCAGTTATTTATTAATCAAGAAGCAGGTCAGTCAGGGTACAGGCAATGAGAACAGTGAATCTGAGCCATACCCGAGGAAGCACGAATAGATCGTATAAGCCAGGAAGAGTGATGCGGGACCACCTCTCTCGAGACCACCACCGATTGACACGAACAGAGCTGTACCGATAGAACCTCCGATGGCAATCAATTGGATTTGTCTGTTACCAAGACGGCGCTGGAGGTGATCGGTACTGCTGTGGACGACACCCTCGGCGTGAGACTCGGTTCGATACACGCGGTCCGACGGGGCCTGCGAGACCACATCGCTCGTCTTCTCGTTCTTGTCCCAGAACGGCATGATGGGCGAATAAATAGGAAACCTGGGGAAAAGTGAAGTTTGTTGTATACAAAACGGACCTGCGAGCGAGTCAAAACTCGGGCAGGCACACGATACATATACCAAGATTGAAGAGGCAAGCCGGTAGAAAAATACTGTCGGGGCCTCTACTGATCCAGGCGCGGCGCTTGGCTACTTGGATGCAAGGATTCAGACTCGTAAAAACGCTACTTGATGGGGCGAAAAAACCCACCCACTCAAACCAGTTCAGGATGCTTGGTTCGCTAGCTCGCGGTGTGTATGTTTTACCGAACCTTGCTAAACCCAAATTGCTTCATGGCAGTTTGCTTGGAGGATTCGGTTTGTTACGCCGAGGAATTGGCTGTTATCAGTGGGCGGTGATAAGCCAGAGGAAACCCTTACCTCATGTAGACAGCTATCAGCCAGTTCCAGCCCTTGGACAGCTATTTCATTTTTACGATGCTGAAAATACAGGATCCAACAAATTTGTCTATTCGCCTCACGAAGTGGACCACACACGGCTGGTGGGAATAATGAGATTGCTTCGATTCAACACGCCCTTTGGATACGCTCTTGGCCGCTAAGCCTGGAAGGGCGTACCGTTTACTTCAGTATGTGCGACATTGCGGTGCAAATGTAGCGCACGGCCGCCTCCACACACATCATTCACGACATCTCTGGACGGCCATGGTTTGAAGGCACCTCGTGCCCACAGTCTTGTCAGCTCAAGGCGCAGTTGAAACCGGAGCTGCAAGAGGCAACAAGATCCAGCTCGAGAAGAGCACCTTGTCTTGGGTACCTCCACGCTCCACGTGCCGGCAGCTGCGGGGCTCCAGAAATGGTAAGGACGCGGCTTGGCCCAACAGTTTGACGTCGGCGGCTGCCGTCAAACTGGTCGGGAGGCTGGGCGGATGCCCGTTGACGTGGGTGAACCACTCTCCACGGAGATCCCCGATGTAATCGTGTTCATTGGCCAGTGGTGCGAACTTGGATGACCGATCTGATGAGATGGAGGTGTTGGAGATCGTTGAAATAAAGTCATCTGCAGCGGTCGAGATGAAAGAGAAAATTTGCGAAATCTGCAAGGTATCTTTGCAAGGTATCAAGGAAAATCCCCGGCCGCGGGGTTGACCCTGGAAATCGGCAACACATTCACTTCTGCAAACAACAGCAAACATGGCCGCCTCACGATTTGACACGACTCGTCTCTTACGTCGAAACATGGCGGCGTCGCTACGAAACCAAGGAAATCGCCAGAACGCTGGCGTCGCGACCAATGGCAGACCATCAAAGCCACGCCCAAGCAATCAATCAATTGTTGTCGATGCACCGAAGCGACACTCACCATTTCATTTCGTCATGGCCAACTTGCCGCCCAGTACACAATACAAACATCTCCGTATGCTCTGCCATGATAATGTCTCGACATCTTGAGCATGACACTATTGTTGAGCAACAAGACAAGTGTCAAACATCCGAGCGACAGGTAAAAGCTGAATCTCGTTGATATCTCCTTCATGCATCTTGATCCAATTTCATCCATCTGTACCTCTGTTCATACTGACTCGTCCGTACTCGACCGCTTGATAGCAAGTCATCTGCCCTGTAAGACACAAACTTGCATCCCTCGCAAGACTCCACCTCTTTGTCGTCCCGCTTCTGAGATGTCTGAATTTCGTGTGTTTGTCGTAGTACACTCATCTCTCAGCGCCAGTTTGTCGCAACATGCGCATCTCTCAGAGCCGGTTCCTCTTGGGACGGGGTGGACCTCTCAAGCTCTGATTGAGCAGCTCTGGGCATCTGGGAACACCGACCTATTTTCAGTGATGGACTTCGCAAAGGCTTACGCATTGTGGAAATATGGTTACCAGACATGACCTGAAGATGACAATGCTCGTAACATCATGGCAGGAACACTATGTTCTCCACTGGAACACCACTCTTGCATAAGTAGCTTCCAACGGGCTCGGGACTCCTCGTGCATGAACTCAGTCCGAAGTGTTGTCTGACAAGGCCATTCCAAGAGTGCTCATCGCGGCCAGACTCCTCAGAATATGCCGGAAAGCTGATCAATTGACCATATCGCAGCCTTCCGAGGAACCTGCACGAAACCATTGCGGAACGATATTGCTTCTTAAGGCTCACACTCGACACGTTACGTACACGTACTGGGACCACCCTGATTTGATAGGGCACCAAACTATCTATACCACATTCAGCTAGACAATGAGAGACACATCCTCCAATGCCGGAGGAGGATGCGGAAGGTTGCGATGGTCTAGAGCCTGTGAGGCAGTGATCAGACTGGGAGTGATTGCAGCCGTTCCTGCAGACTACGGCGTTGTCGGGGAGGCATTCATTGGCCAGGATTAGGGTCCTGCAAGCATGACCCAGGTTGAGGAATGATTGCTTCTGTGATGGTTTCAACCGAGACCTTGCTCAAGAGCTGTGTGACGGGACCTTCCATGTCCGAGTTTTAGAAGAGACATGCAGCATCTTTTTGTGGAAGAGTAGTCCGCCCTTCTCTCAGAACGTTCTTTGCACTCAAACAGAGGTTAACAATGCCAGACCTCCTGATCTTGGGGAGAAGCGATGCATTGGACTACCCCTTGCCGAGCAACGGCATTCTGACCCATTGCGATACCATCAGGCCACGCTCCTTGATCTTCTCAGGCGCAGTTGAGGCGCTTGGCTATCCACGATTCCTTTCGCTGCAAACTCGAAGAATCAAGCACATCTGGTCGGAATAATAGCACCTAATCTGGAACTATGGCTGTGGTGGCCATTTGATTACTGCGCTGTGGCTGTCAATTTGCGACAGAGGTCTGCAAGGACGGCTCGCAGCTACATCTCACTGCGTTCATTGCGTATCGGGTAGGCCTACGAGCATGTTGACAACTTCATTGCCTGTATGAGGCTATGGCTGCAGTGCAGAGCCGCCATGTGTCAACAAGAAGAACATGCAACAATCTCAACTCGCAGTGCTAATACATGAACGTCAACAAGTATCGTTTTGGCGTTTCGCATACTGTCGTGTTCTCGGACATGCTTCGGGCGGCTGGTTTGGTATCCTCGCGTTGACGGACCAGAAACGGCAATGTCTTGCCGTGCAATCAGTCGTGTACAGTCGAATGGTTTATCAGAGCCACGATAGATGAACGGACTCTGCGAGGTCAAAGACATCATGTATGTCTGTGATATTTGCGGCTCACTATGGTGTGTTCTCTTGCTCTGTTTGTTTTATCCTTGCCCGACAACACTGAGTGACCAGCCTGGAGAGAGATGTACATCTTCCAGGCTTCAGCAAGACTTCAACAGGATACAGTCCGTTTCGACGAACACAGATTCGGATTCCTTGACCTTTGTGGGTTGTCGTTCCCTGGTCAGATATCACGTCGACCATCTGAGTGAGTTGGCCTTCTCATGGATCCAATTGTTTCCTTGGAAGCGGATGGCAGCATCCATCACATTCACAAATCTCTCATGTGTGTTCGCTGTCCTCTGCAGCAGGGACACATGACTGCACGTGGTCATACAGCTCTCCTGATGCCATCTGAGGAACCCGCCTTGAATATCGTCCTTGTCCATCAGGCTGCCTGCAAAGGATACTATCCCGCCACGGTGGTGATCGCATGTTCCTCCGATCTCTGCCCACAAATGGAATGCTTTGTCTCTTCTGATACTGCTAGGCCCATCTCTAGTTCAGATACTCAGCTGACACGCTATAGGCATACAACCTTCTACTGGACCCACGATCACTACTCTTGATCTCCTTTCCACCTAACGATTCCAGCTGACCTGGATACGATCCCTACCTCGGTATTCATTGCGGATACTACTGGACAGCAATCATCTTCTTCCCATGCTGTCTTGCTTGCCACTCGTGTTACATTGATCTTCAAAGACTCTTCATCCTTCTACAACTCTTGCAGCCGCTCGATGGCGTCCGAATACAATCATGGCCTGGTATCGTCAACAAGCCCTTTGGTAGTGGACGCAGAACTCGAGTCTTCCTTCCTTTCTGAATATTCTCCGCAATATCTGTAGATGCTATACTACCTTGTGTCCACATTGATCATCGACTCATCGACAGCTTCTCCGACTTTATATACCCTTTGACTACGTCTTTGCCAATAAGAAATGTAGAGCAACAGGCTTAGTGTTCAACACTACAAGCACGACAGCAGAAAGGATGACACATGAATCACAACAAATGGCATAGAAAGAGGAGGCAGAACGGGACATTCAATGGAAAGATCCCCAGAGATGATCGCCAATCCACAACAATGTCAAAAGGTTCAAGGTCGAATTACTGTGTTACTAAGATGATCATGATTACTACAGACCATGATACATCGTTGTAAGGGTTTGAAAATAAATCAGGTAAAGAACAAAGAGACTTTCAGGTCCACCATTAACAAATCTGCCATTGATGGACACGAAGACAGTTGTTTTGACAGAACCAGTTTTCGAGAAGGAACAGGCTTACAATATAGAGCTGCATGTAAAGTTGATCTCTATCCTGCCTCGTCTTCTCTTGACACCATGAACAATAAACACGCTGCACGGCTTTGTTGTCATTTCAATCTATTCAGGCTTTATCCACGCACGCATGTTTCTTTCTCCCAACACCCGCAAGAACCAAGAGAAAGATAGACAGCAAGTATTTCCTGTGTCTTCCTCTGTGCTCTTTGTAGCGTAAAGGATGCTACAAAGGCAAACAGGGTCTTGCGGCTTTACTCCCACACTCACCAAGATCACTCCTGTACTTTATGGACTCAGGAATGCATACCCCAGCGAGCAAAAGAAAAGTTTGGGGTCTCGCCGGGAATCGAACCCGGGACCACTCGCAATTGGCTTAGAGTTTTCAAGGTTGCAAGCAACCTCCTAAGCGAGTATCATACCGCTAGACCACGAGACCTGATCAATTGATGTGCTTGATGAGGAAGTCTGCTTCTGCACTGTATATATAGTATTTTGCACTATGAGTATGTCCGAGAGCGCAGCGAGAGCAAACACAAGTCTTTTTGTGGCTGCACCGCTGGTTTCGCAATTTCACGTGCTCGCTTTTTGGCTTTTGTGCGAACACAAACGGCTGCGTAGCCGAAGCGGCAGAGGGAGCGGGGTGGTGGGAACTGCGCAAGTGCCACATCGCCAATGCAGCGAGGCCATGTGCTTTGCGACTGCACGCGAAAGAAGGCGGTGAGATGCAGTCGCGGTTTCATGGACAGGCAGAACCGAGAGAGTGTTTCTCGAAAGCCTCTTGTCTGCACGAGTCCAGCGACAAGGAGCGCATCTGCTGACCATGTTGCGGTTCTTGGGATTTGCGAGAAGGTTAAACCGAGATTAGCAAAGCATCCATGAGTTTACCAACGGGATCTTTCTAGATCTTCTTTATATATCCTTTCTGTCGCAGAGCTCTCTTCTGCAAATATAACAACAGTGTCGGAGACATGCAAAGTGTTTGGACAACAAGGTTAGGAAAGGACCTTCTCTCTCCAATCGAGCGACTGAAGAAGGACGCGAAGCGGGGCACTTCCGGGGCCTCTGTATGAGTACAGTATGGAGTCGGTGGCATGTCGGCGGTGTCGACGTTATCATGCGAGACTTGCTAGAAACAGGTGTCACGTTTTTGATGGTAGAATAGTTATTGGGATTAGTTAGGGCGTGTTTAGGGCTCGAGGTGAAGCGGATCTCAAGAGACGAGCGAGAAGCCCAAAGAACATACGGGACGGTCCCGTGGTCGGTCGGCACCGAACAGCGAGCAGTTCGGCCTTTTGGCGAAGGCAGTTCACGTGGATTGCGTGGCAGACGAGTCATCCTTCATGAACATGAAGGGCATCAAAGAGGAGAGGCTTGCAACAGTCCAGGTCTGTGTTCAAGCGGCTTGAAACAAATGCGACAGTTTAAATGTTGCTCGCTGGTTGGTTTGGGATCGGTCATCTGAGCAAGCAACCTCGGTAGCAATCTCCAGATGGAGGGACGCACAGCTCATGTGGCTTGCCTCTGCCCCGCAGCTCGTGTACAAGGAGGGTTCGAGGCGGTCCAGAAAGTTAGACCAGGTCATTGCGGGGCGGGGCCGGGGGAAGAGGAGAGAGACAGAGACAGAAGACGTGATTTCGAATCGTTTCTCCAGATGCTGTGTTTTCCAACCAATCCTCTCACAAAATGATGACCCACGAGGAGCCTTACAAGATGCCGACGCCGCCCGACACGATAACACACAGGCACGACGTGAGCCACAGTCCTGGAGAAGAGTCGACATCGCCGGNNGGCTGCAAGCGAGACGGCCCGCTGGACGACGAGGCCGAGAGANGCAAGAAGCGGCGCATCACTCGAGCCTGCGACTTGTGCAACAAACGTCGAGTCAAGTGCGACGGGCAGCAGCCATGTTCGAGGTGTGCAGGACACGACGTGTGCGAATACCAGAGAGCAGTCTACAAGCGGNGGAAGCCCAGTCGTTCGGCCCTGCTGGAGCGACAGAACGGACACAAGCAGGAAGCCGCGCCCGCACCCCCGTACCTGCCCCCGCCCTGCCCCGGCGCAGCAACAACACACGCAACCTCCGCCCCCGCCCACCGTAGCCNNATCACTGCCAACTCGACCATCACAGACCAGACACAGCAGTCCTCAGCATATGCCCGACACAGCTCCTTTGGTACCGATCGTGGCATGCAACCATTCATGCATCGCCCGAGCCTGGGAGAACGCCACGCTTCGACCGTTACCTTGGACAACACAAACATGTGGAATGGCCGATATTCGATTGACCTGGGAACTGCTGCTTTCAATGCATCAATGTCGGCCCCGGTTTTTGGTGCTGAAGACGGTGCCTCAGAGACAAACTCAGGGNGTGCTGGACATCCCAAATATCCTGTCCTCGTGCCACTCTTGCCATATGTCGCGTCCATCTTGACCGAGGCTCAAGCTGCGAGCCTGCTCGAACTATACTTCACCAGCCAATTCAACACATTCATGCACCCCGTGTGTCGCCATATACATGCCTTTGTCTTCCGAAAAGCTTCGGTAATGAGCAAGGAGAATCCTCGAAGTTGTAGTCCGGCGCTCCTCGCAAGTATGCTGTGGGCAGCTGCCGAAACAGGAGGCCCGGAAACTCTGTCCTGGTCACACTCCAAACGCATCAACATTTGCAGGAAACTGCGACTGGTTACGATTCGCTTGCTCCACCCCTTGGTCCACTCGGATATTGGCTGTGTCCATGAGTTGACCGACGGTCCCACCAGAAAACTCCAAGAATCAAGTTCGGGCACGCTCGACGATGTCATAACATATATTCATATTGCTGCTATCACGTCTGCTAGCGAGGAAAAGGCCATGAGCATGCGATGGTGGCACGCAGCTTTCGCTCTTGCGCGAGAACTTGGTCTGAACAAGGAGCCCATCTCCGGTTCATCCATTCCAGGTGTATCACCAACCGCCAACAATCAGAGCATGATCGAATTTGAGAGCGACCCCTGGCTGGGACTGAACTCGTTCGACTTCGACAATGGTCTTGCGCAGTACATGGATGCTGCAGATACCGCACAGCCCGAAGTGGATCAAGAGACGCTGGAAGAGAGGAGGAGAACTTGGTGGTTGCTCTACATTCAGGATCGTCATCTGGCTCTCTGCTACAACCGACAAAATGCCTTGCTGGATGCTGAGTGCGAAGATCTCCTATTGCCCCTGGACGAAGCATCATGGCAGTCTGGCACTTTCTCATCACTCACGCAACGCCCACAATTTCCTTCTTTCGAATGCACTGGTCACAACATCTACGGCTGGTTCCTGCCGCTGATGACAATTGTCGGCACGATACTCGACTACAACCATTTGAAGAACCATCATACTCTTGGAAAGCTCTACACAGATGGTCAACGCGTGCAATCTCAAGTTCTGTTGCAGCTCGACAACTACGCGCAAAGTCTTGTTCGATTCGAGCAACAAGCATCAGCACTCGATTACCAGGATATTCATCACACAAAAACCGTCGTCGCGTATGCCAATCTTGTCATTCAAGTTTCGCGGGTTTTGCTAGCAGGAAAATGGGACCCCATGTCTCTCTTCGACGACCGAGATCTCTTCATGGCTACCCCTTCATTCACCACAACCATTGCAAATGCCATTGCAGCTGCCGACAACGTCTCGCACATCCTGGACGTCGACCCAGATCTCGGCTTCGTACCCTACTTCCTCGGCATCCAACTATTGCAAGGCAGTCTCCCTCTTCTCTTGATCGTAGATCGACTACAGACAGAAACAGATCCGAAGATAATAAACGCATGCGAAGTCATCATTCGAGCGACTGAGGCTTGCGTTTCGACACNNCTGGATACAGAGTACCAGGTAATATCCTCTTCTACTCCTTGCTCTATCATCACAGTACTGACATTCCTTCCCANNCAGCGCAATTATCGCCAAATCCTCCGCTCCGCAGTCACACAAGCACGAGGCCGCTACGTACCGCAAAAAGAAACACAATACCGACGACACACCGTACTCGCACTATACCGCTGGACAAAGAACGGCACTGGCATTGCGCTACGATGAAAAAGAAAGAGCACATGGGAACATAAACACAATCTTGGGGTCGGGGACAGACACGAAATTATCATGACATCTGGGGCGTTCATAACTTCGTTTTGGGGAGTTGGGGAGGACAGCATAACTGCTGCTTGGAAGCACATATATTATTGGAGGACTCAGCTGCGGTATTCTGGCTGGAGCAGCTGTTTTTTGTTATACATACCCTCGTTTCGACATTCTAATGTACATCTTTTGGACGCATGCCAGTCGTTCTAAACTAATGTTTGGGATTGTTTGATACGATTTGTGCATTCGAGCTTGTCTCGAACAGCCAACTCCACTCTGTTTGGCACGTCGGTCAGATCTCGTCGTTCTCAACCTTGGACTTCTGGCCAGGGTGCTACCATTAACAAGGCTTTTGCACGTTGTCGACGACATTGGTCGACCACCAGGGATATTTTGTACTATCTGCAGTGCTTAGAAGCATTCTTGTTGGTTTAGGTGTGCTATGGGATGATGTAGAAGTGGTTCCTATCCGTCGTCGTCGCGTAAATATCAAATTCAACTTTTTGATTCTGCTTTTCGAAAAGCTGCACTCGTTTCCAAGCATTGCCTATCCAGTGTTTACTCAGAATCTAGACATCGATCAAAACGACCGAGTCCTGTCAGCAAGACCTTATACGCATTATGAATCGAACAAGAAAGCAGAGCGCACAAGGTAGTTACTGGAAAATTTCGAAAAGACATCATTTGTAGCCTTCTCATTTCTCACCACACAAAACCATATAGGTACACCTGTAAAAGCAATGGCTGCGCCCGCGCTTTGAGCTACAGTGAGTGATGACCCACTAGACTGCAGAACCATAGAAAGACATTCTTTGATTAGCAGAGCCCGCAGTGACAGCGGTCGCGGGAACCACAGAAGCGAAGACTTATCAGAGCTAAACACTGGCGAAGCTTGTAGAATGTCGCACCTGAGTTGAGCACAAGTGCAAAGTGTTTTTTAGTGCTCCCTACTGGACATCTGTCGGCCGAACTCACCCATTGACTTGCTCACTCATCTGCGCCCTTTCAGCGCTGGACGAATGATGCACATGCTTATGGAGTCATCAACGGACAGAGATGGATCCTGCAGTTATGACATGCCATCGGCGGTGCTTCGGGCAGAATGTTGCAGGCACGGTAGTTGTCACAGGAACAAGCCAAACATCACAAGAAGACTTTGAACAGGTGGAACAGGTGGCCTGGCGACAGGACAGGTGTCCCTGAAGCTCAGACAATCCGCTGTGAAAGACCATCGAGTGTCAGGACCGAGAAAACCGCATGGCAGACCTGTGTTGTCGAGAAGAAAAAGAATAAAGGATAAAAATCATTACATGACGCGGTCAAGTTCTTCTGCCGAGGTTCATCTTTGCGTGGGGTAACCATGACGATGAGCAAAGCACTCAAAGTCGACAGACAAGCAAGATCACACCCCAGCAGACCTCAATATGTCAAGCTCGCCAATTGAAGTGCTCATCTTCGGCGCCGGCGCCGTAGGAGCTTTCTACGGTTCCAGACTCGCTCAAGCGCCAAACGTCAAGGTCTCGTGTGTGTGTCGCTCAAACTACAAGGCCGTCTCTAGCAATGGCTTTGCAGTGAGCTCGCCGCAATATGGCGACTACAAGTGGATGCCCACACGTGTGTTTGCCAATCCGAAAGAGGCTGAGCAGAGTGGTGTCAAGTGGGAGTATCNNGTGGTCAGCACAAAGGCGTTGCCGGATGTCAGCGACGACTCCAAATCGCTGGAGGGACTCGTGCATGAGGGGACGGCGGTCGTGCTGATACAGAATGGCTTGGGGGTTGAAGAGGCGTATGCGAAACGCTTCCCTTCGGCATGCATTCTCAGCGCCGTCACGGTCGTTTCAGCAGCTCAAGAACAACACGGCGAGATCAAGCACAACCGCTGGACTCGCATCAACATTGGTCCTTACCTTCCAGACTCCTCCTCGTCCTCGTCCCACGCCGAACAGCAAAACGACAAGTTCGCACACCTGCTGCAACAAGGCGGTGTTAAAGATGCGGAAGCTTACACACACGCAAAACTCCAGCTCGTGCGCTGGCACAAACTCGCCATCAACGCCTCGATGAACCCATCCAGCGTACTCTCCAACGGCAGCACAAACGCAGCAATGGCCAAAGACCCAGAGCTGTCCCGCCATCTGCACGCAACCATGCTCGAGATCCTGACCACCGCGCCCAAGATCATTGGCCAAGACTTCCCTCCCGATTTCGCATCTGCCGATAAGCTGCTCGCCAGCACGAGAAAGAATACCTCGGGCAGCAGACCCAGCATGTGGCTTGATTGGGAGGCGGGTAAGAAGATGGAGCTGGAAGTCATACTGGGCAACCCCATACGCATTGCAAGGGAGAAGGGCTTTGAGATGCCGAGGCTGCAGACATTGTACGCGTTGTTGAAGATGGCGCAGACGAACAGAGACGAGCAAGCTGCCAAGGCCAAGCTATGAGGTGTTGTAGGTGCTAGTCAGCAATCCTGAGAGGCTTGCAGGAGCAGCCGAGCTGTGTAGAGAGTGACTTGTGGTTCGGCGGTCCACACGCGGCTGAAGAAGAACTTTTTTTCCACCTCCAAGGTTTCCATTGGCGGACTCTTGAAAAGTGTGTTTTCGCTGTAGCCTTCTGGGGTGGCTTTTCGGCGGAACTGTGTCCTCAAGACCCTCAGCTGCAATCTTCTCGTGCGTGTCTTGTACTCTGCTGTTCTCGACTTTGACACCCTGTTCGTCTTACCCGATGGCTCAACCACACTATACCCTTGACCCTTGTAGAATACAGGACTTCTTATGCTTGCGTTCATGCGCGACCGTCAGCCGCACCAAAGGAAAGAGCTGACCCTGCAGCCTCGAACTCTGCCACCTGAACGAATCGAGGTAGCCATACGAGATAGACTTCACTCACACTTTTTGGTTTTGTTGGAAAGAAGCCCCAAGTTGAGCCAAGCCCTAGTTTAAACACAGAATAGGCAAAGTGTTACCAAACAAGACACCAGGCACGTGAAGTCTCTTGTAGAGACAGACTTTGGATCTATCGATAGGACAGATAGTGGATAAGAGATCAATAGCAGGTGGGCGCAGTACAGACGACGAACCGCCGCCGGTCGATGGTGCACCTTGTGTCCCAAAGGAACAATCGCACCACGTTGCCCGCGCACTTCACCGTCCCGTCGGCTGTACCGACTTGTTGGGTCAACTGCGGGATGGCGATGGAACAGTGGACACATGGGACTTTGCTCCAAGTTGCGCAACCCAGCCTGAGGACACGACTCGAGCTCTAGGCAGAAACGCATGTGAAGACACATAAGCGAAAAGTACACACAACGGGTTTTCAGTGGATAGTCTTGTCGGTGATGGAGAAAAGTGGAGGATGTGCCCACTCCATCTTTCGGTAAAGCGTTGGCGAAGAAACTGCTCTCGTTGATGGAGGTCAAGCTCTTCTGTGGCATGGCCAAAAAGGGTTGAAGATGTGCTGCTCTATGTCGCGTGCGCTGTACTTTTCGTTTGGTGTGCAGATGGATCGAGGATCTTCCTGTTGTCATGTCCCGTCCTTGCAGAAAACCCGCTTCGCTACGAGTCGATATCCGAAAGCCAAAACGCTGCAGTTGGGGATGCCAGCGGAAAGGCATGCATGTAACACTCGCGATCCGATGGGTGATGCATCCGTTGCAAAGTCGCAGCTCTGTCGCAAAGTCTCGTTGTCAGTTGAAGATGCAGCTCGTCGTCAGTCGAATTGGTGTCACGCCGTTGAACACAAAAGGCATTTGTTCAACCGAGACATCAAAGACTATTCGATCGCTCTATTGATCTTTCGAGCAAGGTAGCCAGACTTTGAGATCTGTGAGACTAGACTGGTAGATTCAATGATTGAGGTCGATAAGATAGCAGACTATTGAACTTGACCACTCACCCACTTCCCACACGACATCCATGTCTTCGAGCTCCCCATGTGTTGATCTACTGTCATTGTAACCACGTGTGGAAGGTGCGACTGCATGTAAGCGCTGGCTTGCGCCTTGCATATGGTGGTCGATCCGTCATGACCTTGCAAGGCTTGAAGCTTTCATCCCACCACAACTTTCGACCTCGCCAAAAGACTACAAGGTACCCGACTGTCATAATCTGCCCAAATTTCAACAACGCGCGGCTGCTCCAATGATCGATTGACAATTATACTGTCGGCACTTGTTGTTGACAGAAGGGTCCACATACACCAGCAGTCTCTTCTCTTTGTTAATTGTCCGATGCAGGGCGCGTAGAAACAATCGAAGAAGGCCACGGAAGTGGTGGTGTGGTGGATGGGACGGGTCACCGACGGGTGTGTAACAGAGGGCCGAGAAACAAGGTTTGGTACCTGGACACCAGCAAAAGCGTATTCTGCGACATCGTTGGTTCCTGAAAATCCACGACGCCCGTACCTGAGAATTCGGAAGCCCTCTGTACATGGTGCATGTCTGTTGTCTGTTGACGGCCGCTGGCGCTGGAGTTCCTGACCCGATCCCTGTTCGATTCACCAGGTCCACGGCGGCAAGGCTACCGCGCGCGCAGCTCAGCTGCGGGACTTGCCCATGGCCAATCACCCCGGGTACGTAGCGGCAAGGGTGGACCTGGCCGCAGCAAGCAAGGATGGTGACGCGGAACACCAGAGCACAGCGCTTTCTTCACGTTCAGAACTCGAAGCGCTCCGACATCTTCTCGTCGCGAGTCAAAACAACCATCGAAATGTCTGGATACCCTCAGGTACTTCCGTCCAACTAGCCGAATGCTGCCAAAGCCACGAGCTGTGTACGCGGCAGAGCAACGGTCGACGCTTTTCCCCTTTCACTTCCAATTAGCGGGTTCTAGACTGGAGTTCAGTTGCCAGCAGAGCAACAAGCGTTCCGAACATTCAGACAATGGATATTCGGACCTTGTTCTCAATTCCCATTGGCTCGTGGGCCTGAAAGAAAATTGGGGCTCCCGGCCCATGCGGTCCCAGAGCGTATGCAAAGCACAGCTCTTCCACAAAGGCAACAAAGCCAACAAAGCATGGATCTTTGTCTCCAGTCTGGCGCTTTGACGAGGCGCCAAATGATGGGAAACGGCTTGATTACGTCCACTGGGAGGGGGGGCCCACGAATGGATGGGCCCTGCATGGCGGCAACGGCTTGATTAAACACTGATCAATACACAGTGTGGAGGACGCTCAGATTCATAAAGAACGGTAAGCCCATCCCATCCTCACTCTCCTTCTTCCATCAAGTCACTCTCTTTTTCCTTCTTTTGGTTGTATTCCAGTCGACGCCATCGCGGCCACACATTCACTTAACACCACTATCAAACAATAAACCTTCCAAACAACAACCCTTTTTTTCCATCACTACCACCCACAAAACAATCAATCAACCATCAAAATGCGTTTCAACCTCCCCACCGTTCTTCTCGCCAACCTGGCCCTCAGCAGTGCTGCCGCCATTCCTAAGCCCGCCGTCGAGGAGCGCGGTCTTCTTGGTTCCCTCCTCCAGACTCTCGGCTGCCTGACTGGTCAGAACGCCAAGTCTGCCTCTGCTGGCCACGCCTCCTGGATCGGTAACGACGGCGACTATGTCACCGAGTTCAACAACGAGTCCGGCGAGGACCTCGTTCTCGTCATGTGGGGCCCCGTCGGTTCCTGGGTCAACGTTCAGGCTCCCNTGATCACCTACGAAATCGCCAACGGCAGCGCCGTCAACGTTTCCACTGCCACTGGCACCTCCGGCGGCTGGGCCGCCCTCTACGAGGACACCAAGATGGTCAACGGACAAGTCAGCAACACCTGGGGTGAATTCACCTACAACGGCCAGTACTCCACCGTCGACGTCTCTCGCCTTGTCAACATGAACGGCCGCAACATGACCATTGAGGGCGCCCAGTGTGTTTCGGACATGGAGCAGTGCGTCTTCACCTGCGACTCTGGCGATTCTTGCGAATTCGGCTACACCCTTGAGAACTGCTCTTCCCAGCCCGGTGCTCAGTCTGGCATGTACGCCGGTGCTGCCAGCGGTGGCTGCTTCGTTGGCCAGAACAACAACTTTGTCCGCACCACCTTCTCATAGAGTGTCGACAAGCAACAACACCATTTTATGACTTGGATTTTGCCATCTGAACCACAACACAACCAAAACGACCATTTTCTTCTTACAGAGCTTCATGTATATACACCCTTTGTTTCGCTTCTCTGGATATCACTCTTCGAACAAACCCAATTTGAACTTTTTTTCTTATATCGAACTTATTCTTCCATTCCACTATCCTTCGCATTGACAATCGCATGTGATGACATTGTTTTTGATGGTTGTACCCATGTATTGAAAGCCTCTGCCCCCTGAAGCTTCTTTGCTAAGCCTGTCATCAGTCGTTGCACACGTTTCGCGATCGCCATGCAGCGGTTGTCTCATTTCCCCTGTATCGAGAAATCTCTCCAACATTCGCAATCACGCTTAATCACTACAACAACGCGCAGCCACATTGATTGCAACAAGACATCATCTTGTGCCGCTTTTCAAATCTGCACAATATCGATTTCGATAATCTTCCAAATCTGCACGAGTTTATCAAGAAGCTTAGATTCATTCGTCTCAACAGCCGCTGTTGTTGTTTTACTAAATAGGGTCACCTCCTTGTTCTCTTGACACAGCCGTTTCCTCTGACGAGGGTACGAGGTAAGGAACTCCTTCAACGTGCAAAGTGTCTCGAGTCCGAGAGACGCTCAGACAAGGGGCTCTGGTTCATTGCAAGCCTCGAGATTTCTGAAACAATGGGGCTTGCAGTGCAATTGCGAATGTACTTTGCGACAAGTAGCCTCCTATCCTTAGGGGTTGAATATATGCTTACGACGATGCGAGCGAGTGTGATCGATTGGGCGTTGCGCGGCCTGAGAGACTTCCGGAGGGGTAAGGGAAATGGCCATAGGTATTGGCCATGACGAGGAAGGAAGAGGTTTGGAACGCCCGGGATGAGAAAGTGTTGGACATGGATTGGCAACACATCTGAAAGTGTAGTTTTATGAACAACCCTTTGCGCTACATCTGTCGCTTACTCGCTTTCAAGGTAAGTCGACGGCTCGAGTTCACATTGCACCCTGTAGCATGGATCTTTTCAAGCATAACATCCGAGATGTGAATGGCTTCTGGATGTCGACGCGTGTTCTTTCCGATACGTCAGACAAGCATTGCATCAGCATCATCAACCACTTGCATAAACATGCAAAAGTGCAAGCAGATAACTCTCGAGGAAGGTCTGCACTTTACTGGACCTCTGTATTCCGTTCTGAACATTTTAACATGCATAACCGACTCTCTCCTATGCTTTCTTTACCCTCTTCTTAACACTCCCATCTTCATCTCCAACAACATTGACCAAAGTCTTGACGCCCCCATTCACAACACCATTCCTTTCCTTCTCTCCATCCACTACGTCCTTCTCATTCTCTTCAGCCTTTGTTCCGGCGTCAAATCTAACTTTCCTTGCTGCCTTTTCCCTCTTTCTCTGCTCTTTCTGCTTTGCTTCCTGCTGCACCCTCTCCCAGATGTCTTTTCCGACAAGAATGCTGGAGATACTACTTGCTATCGCCACAGTCACAGAAGACACGGGGATCCAACCGACTGCAGAACCAGGAATGGTAATGTCGCAAACGTCGCAGATGAGAGTGGTGTACAAAGCAGTTTTCGCAGGCGAGGAGTGGGAGAAGCCGAAGATGTCGTACAACGTCAAGAGCAGCGAGACACTAATGGCAATAAACCAAGTCTGGAGTGCGTGGTGTTGTAGCGAAGCGATGAAGGGAGAGGTGGTGATGGTCATGGCATTGNNGTCTGTTTTCACCCCTCTTTAGCCATTGCAGTCTTTTGATGTGTTCAAGGTGGGTGGAGGCAAGCTTACTATGCAAAACATCTCCATGAAAAAGTATAGTGCCAGGAGAGCGTTTTTNGCGGTCTTGAGTAGGCGGCGTGAGGAATCGGGTTCAGAGGTCGACTGGAGAGTAAGTTGGCCGAAATCTATCCATTTGAATAGGCGAAGGTAGCGGCGCTGTAGGTGTTTCTGTTAGCAATCTTCTTGTTCAAACCTCTTTATTGGAAATGTCCGGAAAAAAGCAACAAGGGTGGACGGAACCCTTCTTGTCTCGATCCAGAAATCTTCAGGTGGATATGGTCACACAAGATTATGGACACAATAAGAAGAAAGACTAACCNNTAGTGCAAAGTGGCCTCTCGCCATATTCCACATCTTTGCATCTTGCGCTGATGAGGTGGTGCCCGCTGCTATCTGTACAAGCGCTTGCAATAACCTCAAGGACTTTTCTACCGCGGCTGTTTATCACGAAATGTCAGTTTTTCATTCTGCCAGTGAAATTCAATCGTCTGATGGCCGCATTGCCAGAAAAAGCTCTGAGGAATGTAAATGTGAATGGGACAAGAAGAGAGCAATAGGAAGAATGGACAGAGAATCGAGAGAGGTGCTGGAGCAACGAACATCGAGCCCCGAAGCACGACGGAGTAAACAATCTTGCACACACAGTCCTTCGGGGTATGAGAACATCAGAGTTCTCATCTTTCTCATGACACTCCGTCTCTTGCTTTACTCCTGTAGCTCTTGAGTCCATCATGCTGTGTGCAGCAAAGGGCTCGGGAAGAACTCCCCGAACAACGGCGGCGAAACAGGAAAACACAAGGACAACAGAAAAACCACATACCGGCGTCATTAGCATAATTAGCTATCTCCGCAAACATGATTGCAGAGAAAATGTGTCTCGACAATCCCGTCTGTGTATTATTATCACGTTGCCACGAAGATGTTGACACAGTTGGAACAGCGTCGGAGATGGTACGATTTGCGGGTCTCGGCTTAGTCATCCGGCCAATCCTTTGCCCGAACTTGTCTTATCCAAACCATAGCAATGGATATGGAAAACTTGCAAGATTATGATTGATTGTTCTGCACAGCTATGCTTTAGCACTATTGACCGTGTAAACCAGACAAAGGTCTCTCCTCAGACGATGCACTCGGACAATGTTCTTCAGTCCTTTTTCCAACTCGTCGTATCTGTAAGCACTCAGAACGCCCCAAATCGGGATGACCTTTTTGACCTCTGCATGCACTTGGTTGACCTTTTCCTTCTTGTAGGACTCGCAAGCATTCTCAACGTGACTGGCAGTAATTTCCTTCTTGTATCGCTCCCAAAAGACATGCTCCATGATCAACAGTACAACTATGGGGACCATGAGCAGTAGGCGTCCGTACTGCGGTATAGAGGAAGTCTTGATGATAACGGCACCCACAGCGGCAGCGGCGGCGCCTGAGAGTTGCATGACTTGGTACTGCCAGGCTTCAAGCTCCGCCACACTGCAGGGTCTGACTGATCATTTGCACCCCAGTTGCCTTGTAGTTGGCGAACAGAGCGTTGTATATGATCTGCCCAGCAAGATCGGAGCTGCAGAATCCAAAGTCGAATTTCTTCGTGATGCTGGTTGCGATCAAGGCGCCCGCTGTCGTCGAGGCTGCGAGTCCGGAAAACATGACGGGTACCGCGGCGGTCTGTACGGCATGTCCGTAAGGGGTAAGTTTTCTCTGATGGCCGCATCAATCTTGCTCTGCAAGCTCGCCATCTGCGATCCGACGAAAATATCCCTCGTGTCCCAGCGACGAAGGCAGGGAATAATGGTTGAGCGAGGAGCCTCGGCCCATACTTGGTGTCGTATTCCACGTTTTGAATTCCAGGGCCTGAGCCAGACACCGATGTATGTTCTCCTCACAGCAATTTCTTGCTGATGTCATGGTGAAGTCACTCTCCTGTTGGTGCTGTGTGGCCAAAGAGTTTCATGGTCGCTGGAGACTTCGTCTTCGTAACAGGTTATATGAATCTTTTCAAGGGGATTCTGTCTTCATGTTGGTTCTCGTCACCGTTCATGTCGGTGACGACCGACAGGCGGCGCCTGACTGGTCGTGATCCTGGTGTCAATGCTCATCCAGGCGCAGATACCTTTGAGCCTAGGCACATCTGCGTTGTCTGCGAAGCTGGTGACGGACGTGGAGTATGGCGCGATATAGATTCGATCGATGCTTGGGTTAATAAACTTCTCGCTATCCTCGGCCACAATGAATAGACATCAGGCGCATGACCATCTGGGAACGATCCATCAACATTCTCGATCTTGCTCTCCTAGGTATCGCGGTTTCGACACATTAGAAGCTGAATAGACCACTTCTCTTCTTCTTGCGTATAGGGTAAACTAGCAGCGCGCTGATGGATATGCCCACAGTAATGCCGATGGCAATTTCAATCATGGCAAGACCAGCGTTGGTCAGCAGACTGTTACTCTGCGCATCGTTTGACATCCCATCGCTGGGATTGTTCTTTGTGAGCAGATCAGCGTTAGCAACTGCATTGATCAAGCTGCCCGACGCAGCAAAACTTCCAGGTACTTGGATGAAGATCGCAGGATGCAGTAACGCAACAGCAAGTCCTTGACCAAGGCGCGAATAGAGATTGGCTACAAGTCCAATGACAAGGGCACCCAGCATTTGAGCCATCTGAATGTTCGAGCCGAAGCCTTTGGAGATGCGGGTCTTCTTGGAGAATCCTTGAGCAGCATAGTAGTTCACGAGCCAACCGATCATGGAGAGGACCAACATGGCTGGTATCTTCTTCCACTTGCCTTGGTTGATGATGATGTAGCAAAAGGTGAACGGGATGACAAAAGTGACTTGCCACCAGAAAGGCCATGGCGCTTCACAGGTCGTCGCAGAAGTCGCATTGTCGTCGAGCGCACCATACAATGTGCTTCCAACAGTAAAGCCAAAGGCAAGAAAGAGGACAAATATGATGCCGTATACCATTCGTACAGCTCCAGAGATAATGTTCTTTGACTGCAATTCCAAGGCACTGTTTGTGATTATGAATCCAGGCAAAATCAGAACCAGAGATGCTTGCGATATAGCAGAGAAACAGAACAAGCGACCATCGCCATGGTTGATAGAGCCAATGGCACGAGACAGGAAGGTCATCAGGATAGCTGCTGACACTTCGTAGATATGAGCGTACAATTCTGAATTCTCGGCCATGACGAGTTGCATGAACCCAAGTAAGCATCCGAAGACAAAAATGACGGGCAAATCCACGGGCCTTGCACCGTAAGACACTGGTCCAATGCATGCCGAAGCAAAACCAAACATGATGACGCACAGCCAACGGGGATGTTTGTCTTTGCTGTCCATGATCTCGTCGAGTCGCGAAATTGCGTCTTCTATGGCCATCTTGTCATGAATGACATTCTTGTACACCTCGTGTGAGTCGTAAAGCTTGGAAAGGTTGAGAGTCTGCGATGTCTTGACAATGTGGACCTCTGTGCTTCGCCAGATTGTGTTATTGAATGAGATGATCATAATACCTGGGAGGTAGAAAGATTCCAGCCGAAGTCCGATGACTTCTGCGGTCATGTACATGTACTCTTCGAGTCGATGGGTCGGAGCGCCATATGCCATCAGAGCACGACAAACTTTGAGAAGATAGAGCTCGCGTTCACCCATTTGACTCGGGTCTGCTATATCTTGCAGGACCGTTGGCAGTAGCGATTGTGGAAGTGGAGTGTCGGAATCGATTGGCCTGCGACGAATTGGCGTACTAGTGCCAGAACTGAATAGGACGTTTGATGAAGCATAGCGATGCTTGTTGCTTTTGACGGAGGCGGCTTTTCCAGATCCCGTGGCTCTCCCAAGTTCTGTGACTCTTCCAAGTTCCGTGGCTGCTTTCGCAAAGCCCTGATCGCTGCGGGACGGCACAGTCGCGGCTCTTGGCCGGTCAAGCCTCCGCTTGACTGTCATTGAACACTACACTAGAGTCTCAGTAGCTAGATGCGAACGAACAGAGGCCTAGACAATCGAGGGGTTCATGCCATACTCGTAATATGAGTCCAGGAAATTTCGAGCGGGGAAACGTGCGGGGAGATCTCGGCTGCACAGGCGATCACCCGCGGCGGGCCGTTGAGCCACGCTCTGGTCAGGGTGAGCCTGGGAACAAACCCTTCGAGGCGAGGAATGGTGTGTAGTCACCGAAATCAATATTACTCTCAAAGCCCGGTGAGGCAAGTCTCCAAACTCAAGGTTTCGCAGACATAAAAGGCGTGAACAAAGTCACTGCCAGGTTCGTGGAGCTAACTGTGATGATGACCGGAGCTACTAGAAGCATGAGTCTGCACCTCGTCGTCTATCTGTTTGCTTGTCGGTTATCTCTCTTGTTGTGTGCGCCCGCCCTAAGCTTTGACAAAATGCAAGCTTTGACAAAACGCAACAGTGTAAAGTCTCGCGGCGCCTTCACGTTGCTAGAAATAGATAAGCTCGGATGAATTATAGTCATCACCTTGTCTGCCGCATGGATTTTGTTCAAGCACTTCATGTGCAAATCTCATGACACCGCGAGACACATGTTATGCCGGAACAGCTGTTTGACAAGTTTTTAACAACACATATAATAGGCTTGCAGGTAAAATCGCAAATGTGTCTTCTCAAATTGCATAGTGACAGGAGAGCAAAGGGGTTCTTATTTCCACGCCTACAGGTACGTACTCTAGCTCAAAGAAAAGTCCCCTTCATCAATTTCTCTGCCTAAACAGCGTCATGGAATACCTCGCGTCTTGTATATTGCTGCCTGGGTGATACCAAGGGGTACATAAGATAGAGAAGGAACTTGGTCTTCCCAACATCCACAGTCCCGAGTGTTCAATCGCATCAGAAGTCCTGCATCGATATTTCCTACAGCTTGCAAACAAGAATGCCAATACGACCAATTCGTGTTTGGGCTCATTGGGGAGGGCCGAACCCATGGTAGGATGGTTGGGCTACACAATTTTCGGCTTCAGGTACCAAAGCGAAAGTGTGTAGGAAGATCCGAATGATGCTAGATCAACTCAAGATCCTGTATGAAGTCAGCTTGCTTGAGTTGAATCAAACAAAGGAACCTCAATACCTGGAGCTCAATCCCAATGGTCGCCTTCCGAGCATTCGAGATCCGAACACTAGAACCACTGTATGGGAGGTGCCATTGCCCCAAAGCATGACTTGACCTACCAAAAAGCATGATCTGACAAACATTCCTAGTCTGGAGCTATCATACTGTATCTCATCGATCAGTACAATAAAGAAGAAAAGCTCTCGTACTCGAGCGGGCCACAAAAGTAGGCATCCATCCAATGGCTGATGTTCCAGGTGTCAGGTCAGTCTTTCTTCTATATGGGGCTGGCAGTCGTAAGATACTCATCGATCCGCAGGACGGGGCCCGTACTTCGGCCAAGCAACCTGGTTCGCCAGATTCCACCCCGAAAAGCTGCCAACAGCCATTGATCGCTATGTCAATGAGATCGAGCGTGTACTTGGAGTACTCGATACCGCTTTACGTCGTGGGAATACTGCTTGGTTGGTTGGCGACAAATGTACTTACGCTGACATCTCGTTTGTGACTTGGGCTGCCACAGGCGAGGGCCTCTTGCGCGAGCTTGAGAAAGACAAAGGATTGGCGGAGAAACATCCTCACTACAGTACTTGGTTCGCAGCATTGAAAGAGCGGTCTACGATTGGCAAGGCATTACAGGAGATCGCAGCTCAGCGAAAGGCCCATGGTCTACCTTGAGATTTGAATTAGATGAAATCGAGAGTCAAGAGCGATACAGCAACATTCCATGAGCGCTATGGTATCTCTTGTACTTGGAAGCTTGATGAACCATAACTTTCCGAGATCTAAAAACTTCAGTAACATGATACAAATCCTGTATCTGGGAGTAGGATTTGATATTGACCTAAGATTCAGGGCAACTGGATATGTAGAAAAGACAAGTCTTGGTGTCGTTATCAAACGATACACCCATACAATCCTTCCGAGCGCTGCAGAGAGAAATACAATCGCCGATGGATGTTCCGTCAGCCTGCTTGCGAGAAGCAGTGCATGCAGTAGTGGTGGCTGATGTCGTAGTGGCTGATGATGATGTCGTGGTGGTCGGTGATGTACTGGGTCTTCCAGACGCGATAGTAGCGAATACATAACCAGGAGCGTCCACCTTTGAGCCTGGATCCACAGATGTGTAGAAGATACAAGTACCAGAATTCCCTCTATACCTCGTAGCGACACAACCTGTAAGAGCGCCGCAGAGAGAAAGACAGTCATTGATATCTGTGGCATCGGACTGCTGGAGTAAGAGACTTCCTTCGTAGGAGATGTCGGGCTCGACGGTATATGCAAAAGCAAAATCACTGCCAGGAGTAGACGCCTCCGAATCCCTGTCCACAGATGCAAAGAAAGTACAACTGGAAATGTCTGACATAAACAAAACAGCGACGCAGTCTATATGGGCACTGCAGGTTGGGAGGCAGTCATCAATCGCTGTTGGCTGCTGGTAGTTGTACTGGATAGACACGAGACTTCCTTGGTAGGCGATGTCAGTCTGGATACCATACTCGATGGATACAGTGGGGCCAGCTGGAGTCGAAGAGGTAGTGGAGGTGGTCATCGATGTTGTACCATGCGTTGCTGTTGTCGATATCACCAGGGCTGACGAAGCCCTGCTAGTAGTCGATGTCGTAGAGCTGATGGCCGAAGTAGTGTTGTCGATGATTGGAGATGTGCTACTGATTGGTTTGAAAGTGCTGCTAATTGTCGTAAGGTTTATGGTCTCTGGAGTTGTGCTTCTCGCAGTGAAAGACGAGACTGATGAACTTGATAAAGAGAACAAGCTCGAGGATCTTGTCGCGATGTGTGAGACCGATGGGCTCAGTGACAGGCTGTCACTGACAGTGGATGGCCTGGACGTCGACGCGCGGAAGTGGGCAGCGAGGTCGACCTCTCGCTGGCTTTGGAAACCGATGAACTTGTGGCAGTTTGCTTGGCGGCATGTGAAGATGATAGTCTAGTGCTGCTAGAAGAAGATGGCGGCCTAGTGCTCGAGTAGGTTGATGTTCGAGTACTTCCACGCGAGATCAAATAACTCGAACTCGTAGGCTTGGTGCTGCTGCTAGATCGTAAGGAGGTATTGACGAGCGTCTTGCTGCTTGGCTTTGCTGTTGATGTCAACTGTCTTGTGCTGCCTGATCCTGTGGACGATGTTCTGATGATAGACTTCTTTGAGGAAGATGTTGATTTGATCGACTTTGAGTTTGTTCCCTTTGCAGAAGAGCTCGTCAACGTTGAGTGTGAAACAGGTCCTGAGTTCTTCAAGATACAGCTACAGGCATGTCGTACAGAGGGATTGTTTTGATTTGAGATTGGAGAATCCTTTCTTGGCCTAAGCATCAAAATCAGCCAGGTATGGCCTTGACTTCTGACGGGAGAAACTTACGCATATTGCCAGAAGGTACAGAAAGCAGCGACATTTTCAAACTCATTCTTGATGAAGTCTGAAGCTGCAGCGGGACATCCCCCAGGCACGAAACTCTGCGATCTTGCGGATTTGTATATCGCGTCTGTTGCCGTTGACCAAGTCCCCGCGGGAGCAGCATTAATGACACATTTGCATGCACCTAACAATGCGTCTGGACCAAGACCTGGGAGTGGCGAACGAGTCCTCCCANNCTAGTTTCAATTGTCAGCCTTTGTAACTCTTGCTGTAAACAGAAGTAAGATGACTGACTCGCTTAGAAACCACGTGCAGAAGTAGTTAGGATGTTGAACCTGCTGTTTGACTAGAGCAACATCAGAAGAAACGCATGCTCTCTGTTCGAGAACAAAAGCATGTGCCAAAGAAGAACAACAGAGCAAAGTCGTCAGTGCGTGAAAGAGATGCATCTTCCAGTGTGCAAGAAGACTCATAGATGAAGAACACGCAGAGAAGTCGAGTGGGCCATAATTCATCTTATACACTGTACATCATCTCATCTTGATCCATCGCATTATGGTGGAGGTACAACGGTGAGCGAGTTTCAATATCAATCCTTCGACACCGTTGTTCAGCTGGCCCTTGATATGCGACCGAAAGTGCATTCCATGATGGAGACTATGCTGGCAGGTATCGTAGGACTGCGACTTGGCTCCCAGATATGCATAAAAGCGACAGTCAAGTTTCCATAGCTTGAAGACAGGGTGTTGTTGCTGGCAGTTTCTGATGTCAAAGCATGCTTGGTCGGGAACTTCGCTCCGAAAGACGTTGAGCAGTTTTGATCGTTGTTCAGCCGCAAAGGATTTTGTCATTGATCCAGAAGCTGCAGCCGCTTGAGCGGTCAAGCATAAGGAGAAGGAAACGCTGCTCTCAATGCGCCTGCGTAAATAATCACCAATGAATTGGTTTGGTACATGATGTTGGAAACAATTCCTATCGCCGAGGTCAGGAATGAGTGTGGCTGCGATCACACTACAAACCCGTTGGAGACAGAAGTATCCAAACCAGAGAACGCCTGCACCTGCACCGACACTCCACCGCGAGTGAGCGCAAAACCTCAAGCAATATGAAGAGTATGTAAATATCCAGGAAGGAGAAACAGAAAGAACCATTTCGGACGAAGTTCTCAACACGCCAAAGGTGGCTTTGGCCACGGATATCCTACCAAGTACACATGTCAGATGTTGCCTGATTCAGCGACCTAGGAGCGATTCTGAATCAGGGCTTCGGCATGCTGGTTCGTGAGTCGCTGGGGTCAGACTTGCCACAAATAACGATCAGAGGGCTGAACGACCCACGGCTGGTAGCGCAGATGTCGGAGCTTACACTCCTTGGACCCTCCTATTTTCCTATCGGCGAAGCCGTGGCATATGACTGTCGAGAGCGCCATGGCACTATAGCAAGCTTGAAGAAAGCCATCAAAGACTCGAGCGCCATAAGATCCTGGGCAAAGCTAACGAGGACAACCGAAGGATGAACCTGAAGCTACAGCCACAGTAGCAAGTTGGCCCGACTGAATTGATGCGATAGACCGAAAGCTGACTGTACATGATCGAAGAGCCCCTACATACATTGTGGTGGTGTGCATACATTGTGGTGGTGTGCCATCAAGGGAGTTGTCTAGAACGCTTGGAGGAGATGAATCAGCGGAGATTTTTGAGAGAGGTTGCCACCGCCAGGTACAGAATCAGGAACCGAGCGTTTCGCCAAGTACTTGGCAAATTCCTTCGTCCTTGGCGCGTAACAGCCAAAATCTGGATGTGGTGAAACCTGTGCCTGGAATGATTCTACATGCAGGAGGTAGCGAATCTCGAAGCTACCAAGCGGCGGGCCGCTGATAACTTCTTCACATTACTCTCAATCAGGCAACGTCCTCGGCTCCATCGTGCCAGAAGTTGTCTGAAGGTTCCACACATTCATCTGAACCGCATGGCAGCTCAGGTAAACTCCATTCAGGTCTGAATTCTAAAATCTCCCGAACCACGTCTTAGGACGAGACTGACAGGTACGGCTCGTGGCAGCACATGGCTGTTTCAATCACGCAAGATGTTCAAGCCATCTCGACCATCACCCGAAACATTGGGCTGAGAATACGATCACATTCCTCCTTTTCCAGCAAGCTAAGCCCGCTTCTATACGACTAACGGTCTGTTTTAAGCTGTGGCGCTCTCGCACCATGCATTCGACACTTCCGGCTTTCAGCTTGATAATGGATGCTTCAGCTCAACACGCACGAAGAAGCATGTGGTAGGGCTCGGGCTCTTGACTGGAGGTTATATAGGCACGACCATATGCTTCTGGAGCAAGTACGATCGGACACTTGTTGCTCTTGTCAAGATGCTGTCATTCAAAAGACTTGTGGCGATTCTATTCGCATCACTGTTCGTCAGTAATGTCGAATCTCTTGCAAGTACGGATACCATCACCTGGGGCGGTGACAACAGCCGCTCGGGTTATCAAACGTTAGTATCGTCTCCAAAACATACGCTGATGTCTATAAAGACATGTGCTAACGCTCTGCAGCNNAACCACAACATGGATCCCTCAGTTGTTGGGGGCGATTCTTTCGGTCAACTCTGGAGAGCTGCACTACCAGGCAACTTCCAAGGCATCGGCGCCGAACAGATATTTTCCCAACCTCTCGTCTACACTCTGAGTGATGGCATCCAGTACGTCTACATTGCCACCACGCAGAACAATCTCTACAAGATCAATGCAAAAACCGGAGACATCGTTGCTTCGAGAAACATGCATGTGCCATTCTTGACTGCTGATCTTGATGGCTGTGTTGACATCAATCCTACGGTCGGTGTGACAGCTACTGGTGTGATTGACCCTGATACTGGCATCTGGTACCTTACTGCAAAGACCTACAGTGACGCCTTCCAAAATGGCGCATTTTCGAAATCCAGTCCGCCGGGTCGTCTCAACGGTCGCTACTACTTTCACGCCATCAACACCGCCGACTTGTCTGAAGTTGGCGGCTTCCCAAAACTGATCGATGGCCTTCAGTTTCGTAACAACCCCAATCGTATGTTCATCGGTGGTAACCAGCACGCTCGTCCTGGTATGCTTCAGGTTGGAGACTTTATCTACANNGGATGGGCGTCTCACTGTGTCAAGTGGAACTTCACTGGAGCTGTCATCGGTTTCCACCGTACGACTGGTGCCGTTGTCGAAGCTTTTGCCATGGAAGGTGGTCCTGAGCCTAACACAATCCCTGGTGCCGGTGTCTGGATGTCTGGCGGTGGTCTTGCATACGACGGCAAAGGCAGCATGTTCCTCGCTTCTGGCAACGGCTACGCATCGCAACTTAGCGCAACTGGAAATTCCNTTCCCGGCCGTCAGCCTCCTACTTCTCTGGAAGAGGCGGCTGTCAACTTTGCTATCGGTTCGGATGGAAAGCTTACGCCTGTTGATTTCTTCATGCCCTGGGAAAAGACACAGCTCGATGGTGCCGACAAGGACCTGGGAACCAGCCCTCTTGAGCTCTTGCCCACAGACGTTTTCAAGTGCAAGAACGTGGCTCGAATGGGCGTCGTCACTGGCAAATCTGGCAAGACCTACTGGCTGAACCTCGACAATCTTGGAGGTTACCAGATGGGACCCAACAAGCTCGATGCTGCAGTCCAGGTCACACAAAATGAGAATTCGGTGTACGCTGGTGCAGGTGTCATGCCACTCGGTGGTGGTTACATCTACATCAACGTCATTCAGTACCAGACTCATGTCTTCAAGTTCAGTTGCTCGGCTAGCGGCGATCCTCAGTTCACACTCGTCTCGAACACTCCTGAGAAAAACGCTTACGTTCTCGGTGTTGGTCATGGTACTACCACTTCGTTGAACGGACAAGAAGGCACAGGTCTTCTTTGGACCACAGATGTTGAGGGTCTCAACTTGAGAATCTACAACGCAATTCCTCCGTCGGACGGCGGTAACTTGCAGCTCATCAAGTCCTTCAACATCCCTGGTGTCACCAAGTTTTCTCGCCCTGTGTTTGGAAACGGTATTGCCTATGTTGGAACCACTCAAGGCTATCTCTATGCTTTCGGCTCGCCTGTCAACCTCCCTCTCAACTGCTCCTCGCCATACACACTCCCAAACACTGCAATCGGCAATGTCTCCGACCCTGTCACCATTACTTGCAAGGCGAACATTGGCCTCAATGTGAACAGTGTGTCGTTGACTGGTAACGCCAACTTCAAGATTGGCAGTGTGGCCACGCCCNTCACTCTTACTGCTGGTCAGACATTCACCGTCAATGCCACTTTTGCGCCCACACAGGTCGGTCTGTTGTCCAGTGACATCCTAGTCAATACTACGAACAGTGTTGCCAAGTACTCCAGCTCCGTACCCATTACCCTGAAGGGTACCGCAAACTCCAAGAAGCCGCTGCTGGCCATTGCTCCGAACACTGTCTCGTTCAATGTCATCGCTGGCGGACAGGTGGGCGGCACCACTCAATCCTCACTCTTCAGCAATCGCGGAGACGGCAAGTTGACAGTCAACAACATCACTTGGTCTGTCACTAGTGAGACTGGACCTTGGATTCAGCCCAACATCAGTGACAGTGGTGACGTCCAAGTCGGTTTCTTCACCTTCTCCAACGTTCCTACTACGATCGATCCAAACATTGTCGCTACTGTCAATATCAACTACAACCCTGACACTACTGGTAACCACGCCGTCTACGTCAAGGTCAACACGGATGGTGGATCCAGCTTACTCGATGTCGTCGGTCGTGCTGGAAGCAATCCATCCGCATTGATCGAGTTCCAAACTGCCGATGGCTCTGACTGGGTGACTCATCAGCCCGGTGTACCGTTCAGCTTCGGAAACGTTCTCGAAGGCCAAACTCGCAATCTCAAGATGCGCGTCACGAATAATGGCACAGGTTCGGCAGTACCTCTATCATTGACTGTCTCGAAGCCACCATACGGAGTTCCTGGCATCATCCAGGCAGTCAACACAATTGATCTTGCCGAAGGAACGCTTCTTCAAGCGAACGAGAGTCAGACCGCCACGCTTTACTGCTCCGTTCCAAGATCACAAGTCAACATCCCCAGCTACTATGGAAATGCTACTTGGACCATCAACACAGGTGATCCCAACATGGGCAAGCAAATCATCCAATTCGTTTGCACTGCTGCCGCCGAGCAAGTTGGCCCCCTTCTTGCGAATGGCACTGTACAATACAGCTATGTCGGCTGCTTTAAAGAAAACAACCCCGGAAGACAATTGGCAGTGAATCCGCTCACTAGTAAAAACATGACCAACGAGATGTGTCTCACCAAATGTGCCTCTCTGGGATATCTGTTCGCTGCTACTCAGTACATGCAAGAATGTTGGTGTGGAAATGCACGTCCTCTCCAGATGGACCTGAACACCGACTGCAACTTCAATTGCGCTGGCAACGAGAACCAAACTTGTGGTGGCAATGGTTATACCAACCCTGGATCTCACATGTCGCTCTTCGCCGACTCGACGCGCTTCGATGGTAATACCTCGACTCTCGTTACGGCTATCGTTCCCTCGTACAACGGCTACAACTACATGGGCTGTTACGCTGAGACAGGTGGTCGCACAGTCAGCGCCGCGAGCTTGAACACTAATGATATGACTATCGAGAAATGCGGAGCTTACTGTATTGACAAGGGTTACTCCTTGTTTGGTGTCGAATACGCTCAAGAGTGTTACTGTGGTAACACGATCGCCGCCTCTTCGAAGGTCACAGTCGACAGCAAATGCAGTGTGACCTGTAAGGGAAGCAACTCAGAGTACTGTGGTGCTGGATCATTGATGATGCTTTACGGTAAGAATGCAGTCTCCTCAAGCTCTTCCAGCATGATTAGTTCTTCGAGTACGTCCTCGAGCTCTGCGATCTCGTCTTCAGCCTCCACCAGCGTCACAAGCTCTTCGACTATCTCGTCAGCGACCTCGTCACCAACCTCTGCTTTGAGCAACTACACCTACATGGGATGTTACAACGAGACACATGATCGTCGCGCTCTTAACGGAAACAGTCGCTCTGGGTCTACCAACTCTCTAGAATCTTGCGCCGCTTTCTGTGCTGGATATGCCTACTTTGGTGTCGAGTATGGAGCAGAATGCTACTGTGGCTCAACCATCTATACCAACTCTATCCGTCAGAGCGATGAGACCGGTTGCAGTGTGGCTTGTGCTGCCAACGCGTCGCAAAAGTGTGGAGGTGCCGACTTCTTGAATATTTACTATACCAACGTCACATCGTCGACAACAAGTACTACAGCGAGTAGTGCTCTGAGCACTCCGACCGGGCCTGTCGTCGTCAAATCTGTTGGCAGCTATTCATACATAGGATGCTACACAGAGGCTACCAACGGCCGAGCTTTGACTGGCTTGAACAAGGCCAATTCCTCTGTGAGCGTTGATTTCTGTGCTTCGTACTGCTCTGCATACAACTACTTTGGAGTCGAGTACGGTACCGAATGCTACTGTGGAAATGTCGTCCAAGCTGGATCCGGGCCGACCACCGATGGTCGCTGCAAGATGACTTGCGCTGCAAACTCCACTCAGATTTGTGGTGGATCTAGTGGTCTGAACATGTACCAGAAGGTCTTGAGCTCCTCGAGCTCTTCCATCTCAAGCTCTTCAACCACTTCGAGCCCTTCATCCACCTCGAGCGTTGCAAGCACATCTACCCTGGCAAGCTCCGGAAGTTCTACAAGCGCTTCAGTAAGCTCTACCACGGCTTCTTCCTCGAGCAGCGTAAGCGCCTCTAGTACTACATCGACTTCGGCATCGGCCTCTGCGGCGCCTTCTGTCGTTGCTGGTGTCGCTTTTGCTGTTGAGAAGGACACAAAGTACTCCGGCACCGTTGTCAGTAACCTCAGCAGGAAACGAGCAGATTCCGACCTCAGTTCATGCATGACCACATGTGCGAACAGCACAGTCTGTGTCGGCACGGCATTCGACGGCACTATCTGCTCATACTACAGCTCCATCGATGTTACCAGCAAAGTCACCGTGGTTGGAACGACATTTGCTACCGTTCAAGACAGATCTGCCGCTTCTTCAAGTCCAAGTGCAGCTTCGTCATCGACCTCTAGTGGCTCTTCAACTTCGTCAGTTGCGTCATCTACCTCTTCAATAATTTCTTCCATGACCTCCAGCAGCGTTTCCTCAACCGCAAATAGTGTTTCCGCAACCTCTAGCAGCAGTGCATCGGTATCCGTGACACCGACAGGACCTGTCGCCAAGCCTACTGTAGGCAACTACGTCTATCAAGGATGTTGGAAAGAAATTGGCGGTCGTGCTTTGCAAGGCAAGTCATTCTCCAACAGCTCCAACAGCCTGGAATTCTGCGCCAAGTTCTGCGCCGGCTACACTTACTTCGCAACGGAGTATTCTTCCGAATGTTACTGCTCCAATGCTGTCAGCTCACTTTCTGGTCCCGCCACGGATGGCCGCTGCAACATGCTGTGTTCCGCCGACAAGTTCGAATACTGTGGCGGACCCAATGGGCTGAGCTTGTACAAGTACGACGCGACCATCGCGTCCTCCAGCAGCTTGACTTCTACTTCGTCGAGCCAATCCAGCCCGTCGTCAAGTCAATCATCCAGCATCATCTCCTCCAGCAGTACATCGTCGACGAGCTCCTCGATCTCAAGCTCCTCTGTAAGCAGCTCCTCGAGTAGCACGGTAGTGTCGTCTTCGGACGTTACGTCGAGCACATCAAGTTCGTCTAGCGTGAGTTCAACTGCGAGCAGCTCAAGCGTTTCGTCGACCAGCTCGTCCAGCGTGAGTGCAAGTGATTCTTCAACTTCGTCATCGAGCAGCTCCGGTGTTGTGTCTATAACCTCGACATCGGCTTCAACTTCTTCGGCTTCTTCGTCGGCCGATTCATCCTCGTCGACTTCATCGTCGTCAACATCATCCTTGTCAACCTCATCCCCATCCTCATCCTCGTCGGCTTCGTCCTCGTCAACTTCATCGTCGTCGTCATCATCTTCGTCGGCTGATGCAAGCTCAACCATAACGAGTAGTGCTTTGTCGTCAGTTTCTGCCACGACTACCTCCTCATCTTCGACCTCGACCTCACCTACTATCATTCCCACCGTCTCAGGCTACGCAGCCCAAGGTTGTTACGGCGAAGCCTCCAGTGGCCGTGCACTGACTTCTCGCTCCATGGTCAACGCCACCGGCATGACTCCGTCCATGTGTGCCTCCTTCTGCTCGGCTTACGCCTGGTTTGGTGTCGAGTATGGACAAGAATGTTACTGTGGACCCTACCCTCGCGTGGGAAGTACATTGCAACCTGACAACAGCACCTGCAACACGCTATGCACCGGAGACAAGACTGCATACTGTGGTGCTGGCAACAGACTCAACATGTACTACAGCAGCAACTCGACCAAAGCATCCACGGACCCGATGAATCTGAATACCACTGGAAGCTACGCATACTACGCTTGTGTCAAGGATAGTCCTCGCGCTCTGAGTGTCACGGCAGCAAGTGACACCATGTCTGTCGATGCTTGCCAGAAGCTCGCTACCGCTGGAGGATATCTCTGGTTCGGCACCGAGTATGGTCGCGAGTGCTGGATGGGAAACACTCTCGCCGCCGGCACTGCCAACACTACTGCAACTGACTGCAACATGGCGTGCGCTGGTATGCCAGGCCAGCTCTGTGGTGGTGGTTCCAGGCTGTCGCTCTACAAGAGTACTGCCAACTAGCCAGGTCAATTTATCTTCTGTAAATAGACTTTTTTCTCTACAGTCCTTTGGAAGACTATTTTAGATGATTTGGTATGAGGTCAATAGACATCAGGATTTGCGAGTATTTTACAAGGAGTTCTTTTGTTTTGGGTCGACTTTTGTTGGCTAAGAAGGTTTAGAATTATTGAGTTACGAATCATTTGTACCAAGCTGTTCAATACCGAAGATTCTTGAGACGTCCCGCGTGAACAGTAACATGAACATCAATTTCAAAGATCAAGGTCAAACGGAAGCAGAAGACATGCCTCGCCTCGAGGTATCCGCTGTAGACATGAGTCAAGAATCCCGGGCTGGTTCAAGAGCCATCTGTTGCTCAACCGAGTATGGGAAGTGATGTACTAACAGCTCTTGGCATTACTTCATATATCATCCGTATGACGATACTTGAACTCTTCTGACAACAAACGAAGCAAAAGACCATTAGAAGTCATTCTGCAACATGGCATTTACGAAGCAGCTAGAAGACACACTGCATCTACTGATACCCATCACGACTTTTCTGGCGACACTCTGAATAAGCAATGGCCATCCTACTCTCTGGTCGCAGTCTCAGAACAAGATCTCAGCAATCTCGAAAGCGACATCAACAATGCCGAGGACAGTACCAGTAACTGTGTTCTCATCACCACACCCAACTTCTCGCATGGCACTCTTCGTAACATTCATGACCACCACATTCGACTTCGCAACGAAAATGATGAGATTCATCCCACTCTCTTTATTGTGATGGATCAAAGAGACTACCAGGAAAAGGCGTCCTTGTAGTTGATCTGCAAGTCATGACAGACACTCCTCAAAACGTCGTTGGGGTCTTGCACTGTGGATACGACGACGCAGACTTGTACTGTGCCAACCTCGACCTTGGGAACATGAGCTTCATTGACTACAAGGAGGAAGCGCAAAACCTTTGGAGTGGCGATGATCCGTACGGGAACAAGAGATACTTTAGCAAAGAACCAAATTTGTCGGCTTCGTCTTCGGGTGAACAGCATCATGCGTGGTATAGTAATGTCGAGATGGGTATGTTCTTATTCCATCGAGATTATCCAGCAACTACTGACAATACACAGGTGGCCCAATGCAAGAACTGCTAGAGCCAGGCTGGGTTGACATGAGAAAAGGAGAATCCAGACTCCACAAAGCAGGTGGCTGGTTCAATTCTCCTGATCCCTGGCACGAAACCAGACGCGAGTTGGCTCATAGGAGCAATATCGCGGATATCCACCATCTCCGCCCTCTTCTGATTGAACGTTGAGGTGCAACCATCGTAAGAAAGACAAGTCCCGCCACTGTTGCCACAGGACTGGGTGGCCGAATCACTGACACGAGCCTGGCCGGCGGGACGATCACCATCCGTATTACATCCTTGTCCGCAAGAGAATGCGGCTTTGCGCAAACCTTGGTTAGTGGTTCCCTGGTCGTATCGCGTGTCGCAGAAGCAATTAGAAGAACATCCTCCAGTGCCCAGGGTGTTGAGGTTGTAATCATTGCAGCTGGGGCCTCCGGTGCTGCTAAAACACTTTTTAGTAAAAGACTCTCCTATGGCAGACAAAGAGCATGAAACTCACGTAGGAGCGACGAATACGGTGCTCGTCTGAGTCTGGGTGAAGGTTGTCGTGACAGCAGGCGTAGCCATAATAATGCTTGTCTGAGTTATGGTTAGAGTTTGCACGTTGGTCATGGTGGTAGTCACGGTGAGTGAGGTGGTAATGGTTGATGTGGCTGTGTTGGTCTTGCTGACAATCTGGGTACTTGTCGTGCTGATGGTCGGGGTCGCCAAGGTAATGGTAGTGGGAGTAATTCCAGCGCACGAGCACGACGAGCTGAACTGTGCAGTCATATTTCGTGTGCTGGCTGTGCTGGCATAAGCCGAAAGTTTGCTTGGAGTCGTAGACGATGGATTGCAGACGGTGCGCTTATTCTTCGCTGCCGTCTGAGTGACAGTTATAGTCACAGTAGTGTTCGTGGTCTCGCTGCTGGTGGGAGTGACGGTGGTTGGGACAGCCACAGTCGAAGTAATGACTGGACTAGTGACAACGGTGATTGTCGAGGTGACACTTGTAGTGCTTGATACGTTTGTCGAAAGCGTAGACGTTGAAGTGGCTGTGGCGGTCGAGGTGCTTTGAGCTCGCTATCAGTCTGGCAATCGCTACGTTGAATCTGTGATCTCTTATACTGGGCATGGGGAGACGGTGGTGCGAAGGAAAGAGGAACAATCGGCGCTTCCCTGGCACGTGAAGCAAAAACTACAGTGCCGAACAGCTATCAGGCCAAGACATGTCAGCTAGGGTTTCTCAATGGTGATCGTGTTGTCCAGTCCCGAGCCACGATTCGAGAAGCCGAAGGATGACTTACGGCTCGAGAGCAGTCGTCAGCATTGTTACAAACTCCGCGTTTTTCGGGAGCCGCAACTGCCGCACCAAGCAGGAGTGCAGTAGCAAGAAATGACTTCATGTTGATATGAAGATGAAGCACAGGAGGGTAGCAGACACTGTATAGCAGGCAAGTGAGCAAAACGTTAAATCAATCACGGCGTCAAGAAATAGGTTAAGAGCAGTGAGTCGACTTTATACCTTGTTCATCTCCAAGTTCATCTCCAAGTTCAGCTCCAAGTTCAGCTCCAAGTTCAGCTCCAAGTTTAGCTTCAAGTTTAGCTTCAAGTTCAGCTTTGCGTTCCAGTAGACAGTCTCATGTACAATCTCAAGAACTGGGCTGGCTGAGAGACGAGTCTAGCAATTGAAGGCAGCAGGACCTATGTCCAGAGATGGACATGCGCTAACTACTACTCATTTAGCTGGGTTGAAGTGCCACGACTGTTTTAGCTCCAATGACTTTCAGCCGTTAGTATCGTGGCCTGCAGGTCCCGAGACATGCAAAGGATGCAGGTCGAGCTCAAAGTCACATGAGGAAGGCATGCATTTCTACGTGATGCTTACTGGCTCAGGTCAATTCAGCTCAACTCAGCTATGTGCTACTAGTACACGCCACATTAGTTGACCTACTTGACACTCTCCATATTGTGAGGGGTAGATCGGGCACGATGCAAGCAACATGGCGGCGAAGCTTCGTACAATTGGAGGTGTAGGCGTTCAGCTGCATCTTGGCAGACATAAGCCCACGCAAGCGACCACGAGCTACTCGAATACGCAAAATGCCAGTTGGAAGCGAGATGGGCACATCGCACCGAGCTTCAAGAGCATAAAAGATGATAATGCGACCACGCTTAGAACCAATCAGTTCGTCGATTTGAAAGAGCGACGTGAGAACAAGACTTTGGATGGTCTCGAGAAACTCGCAATTTCCACGCTCCGTCCCTGAAAGCTTGTTCTCGCTGTTCCTTGGTACGCGACTGCCTTTGTTTGCGGTACACATGATGGCTGAAATGATGATTCGTCAAACTCGGCAACCTTTCTGTGGGTGGATGAATGGTGACTCGGTGGAATGCTTTCGAGATGGGAAGGGGTTGGCGGCAGGACCAGAGCCAAGTCTCTGCATGAGGTCATGGTATGCTTGACGCATGTATTGGATCTCTGCATCTTGCTGCTGCAGTCTCTGGTGTAGGACATCGTTTTCCTTTTCCAGCGACTCGAGCCTGAGGCTTGGATGCAGAGCTTGGTGGGTGGCAGCAGGAGGTGGGTATGCAGGGGCAGGCTGATGGTCCTGGACAACGGTGGGATCATGAGAGGTAGCGTCGTGTGGAGGATGAAGCTGATGGGCGTGAGTGGGTGGAGGATCACAGTGCTCCTCGGGTGGCGCAGACAAGGCGTCGGGTTGCTCAGTTTGAGGATCGAGGTTGGCAGCGGCGGCGTCTTTGGCGACTTTNGCGGCCAGTCTCTTGCCGGACAGTTTGTAAGGACGATTCTGATACAGAGGGTGACCCTTGGCATAGCGTCGCCTCAATTGAGGGTTCATCTCACGTGCAATGTTGTAAACACGATCTCTTCCGACGATGTTGAGGTGAGGATACTTTTCGCGCAGATATGTGTACAGCTCGCCGCGATGCATTTTGAGGACTTGTTCATTNTTGTACTCGTCGACAAGCAATTCTTTGATGGTGTTTTGCAAGTCTTGCTCGTTCGTTTCTGGACGGATGCGCTTGTGCAGGCCCAACTTCTTCCTGGTCTCCATGACGGTGCGTTGGTTGATGACATGGCCAGCGTCAGTCAGGATCTTGGCAATGGTTTCGTCTGTTAGTCGGGGGCCACGAAAGAGTCTTGTCAGTTCTTCTTGAAGTGCCTCCTTGTCCAGCTTCTTGCGTCTCGAAATGTCCCAGAGGCGGAGATTGCGCTCGAGCGTGCGCTTCTGGCAAACGACATTGTGTTCAGTCTTGAGCTTCTCGATGGCTTGCTTGATGGTCATGTCATCCTCGCAGATCCACTTGCGGAGGTCTTCTTTGCGGGCCTCGAGACCCTCGATGGGCTTCGGCATGCTGAGTCGAGGATGGTTGGCGGATGTCGGTAGGCGGATGTCGGTAGCTCTGGCGAAGTGGAAGGAGCGACGGCTGCAGAGATGAGCGTGCCAAGACTCTTGGGGCTCTGCGGGACAGCCCTCGGCAGCCACGGACCGCGGCGAGCAGCAGAATGCGGGGAAAGCGCGAGGGTTGGAAAAAATGTCAGCGGCAAGTCGCGCCTTCCTCGACATCAACACTCGTTGACAGAAACAGACATGAAGTTGACAAATCCTTCGGCGGTGCCCGTCTACACCATCTCTGGATCAGCGACAGCTCGCCCTCTCCCGGAATGGCTCGCGCGACAGAGAAAGCGCAGTTTGAAGCAAGACCCCGAGTGGGCAAACAGAGTCGAGCTGCTGCAGGACTTTGAGTTTGAAGAGGCCTCGCAGTGCGTGAGAGTCAGCGATGATGGTGAATGGGTCATGAGCACAGGTACGACATGACCAGAACAACAAGGAAGGAGCGGCCTCTCGAAGCAGGCTGCTGCATTTCTCTGGTTCCATGAAGGAAGGAACGGATGAAGATGCTAACTCAAGGCAGGCACATACAAGCCGCAACAACACGTGCACCACCTGCCGCATCTGTCGCTGTCGTATGCGCGCCACACCGACTCGCTCAACCAGACCTTCCTCCTCCTCTCGTCTGACTACTCCAAGTCGCTGCACCTGCAGACGGACCGCACCCTCGAGTTCCACACGCCGGGCGGCATGCACTACCGCACCCGCATCCCTCGCTACGGCCGCGACCTCAAGTACAACAAGCGCGCCGCCGAAGCTCTGATCCCCGCCTCGGGTGTCAACCAGGATGGCATGGGCGAAGTCTACCGTCTGAACCTCGAGCTGGGACGTTACATGAAGGGCTACGAAGTCGATGTCGGCGGCGACGACTGGACCAGCTCGGGCGCCGGTGCTCTGCAAGGTGGAATTAACACGGGCTGCGTCAACACGGCCGCCATTGCCGAAGACTCGCACAACCTCCTCGCCTTTGGCACGAGCATCGGCACCGTCGAGTTCTGGGACTCGCGCTCCCGCAGCCGCGTCGGCCTCCTCCAGTCGCCCACCCATTCGCAAGACCAGCGTCCCCAAGTCACCGCCCTCGAGTTCCACCGCTCCGGCCTCAACCTCGCAACCGGCGACTCTGACGGCATCGTCCACGTCTACGACTTGCGCTCGCCCATGCCGCTCCTCACAAAAGACCAGGGCTACGGCTACGCCATCCAGACGCTCAAGTACATGTCGCCCACTTCGACACAAGTCCAGAGCGAGAAGCTCATGTCGGCCGACAAGCGCATCATCAAGATCTGGGAGGCCTCCAACGGCGACCCCTGGACCAGTGTCGAACCCGCCGTCGACCTCAACCACGTCGAGTGGTGCAAGGATAGCGGCATGCTCCTCACCGCCAACGAGGGCCGCCAGCAACACTCCTTCTTCATCCCCCAGCTGGGTCCTGCCCCCAAGTGGTGCTCCTTCCTCGACAACCTCGTCGAAGAAATGGCCGAAGACGCCCAGGACCCGTCCGCCTTCAACGCCGGTGCACAAGACACGGGCGCCGTCTACGACAACTACAAGTTCTTGTCGACCCAGCAATTGCGCGAACTCAACCTCGAACACCTCGTCGGCACCACCTCCCTCCTCCGCCCTTACATGCACGGTTACTTTGTCGCCCAGAAGCTGTACGAACAGGCCCGCCTCATCAGCAACCCCGACATGTTCGAAGAACAACGCGCCAAGTCCATCGCCGAGAAGATCAACAAGGAGCGCGAGTCTCGCATCCGTGGCAACAAGGCGGCAAAGGTCAAGGTCAACAGGAGATTGGCAGAGAAGATGGCAGCGAGAGAAGAAGCAAACGAGCGTCGCAAGGCCAGACGTGTCTTGCGCCAGGGAGGAGACGAGCCCCAAGTACAGGCAGAAGGAGAAGAAGAGGAGGAAGACGCAGACAAGCCGGCCAGAGGCGTCCTCGGCGACGACCGTTTCGCCTCGCTGTTCCAGGACGAAGATTTCGAGATTGACGAGCAGTCGCGCGAGTTCCAGCTGCACAACCCCTCGACCGTCCCAGTCGCCAAAGATGCCGAGCGCAAGCGTGGTCTCANNGCCGTCGAAGAAGAAGCCAACCAGTCCACTCAAGGCTCCTCCGACGAAGACTCGGAAAGCGACGTCGACGACGCAGCAACAGAACGACAACAACGCGGTGTCCAACGCCGCAACGACCGTGGCGACGACAACACTGTCGACAAGAACCGCATCTCGTCGACCAACTACCGTAAGTCCGGTCACAAGCCAAAGCAACCGCAAATGTCCGTCTCGTCCTCGCAGCCCAAGAACAAGAATGCCAATGCCAACCGTCGGGATCGCTCCTTTGGTTCTCTCGCCCAAAACCTCAAAGATCAGCCCAAGAGCAGCATCAGGCAAGGTGGTGTTGTTGGCGAGAAGGAAGTCACATTTGCACCGCAAAAGGTGCAGAAGAGACCTCAAAGGCCGAGAGAAAGCTTTGGCGGTGATGCCGATGATGGAACCGGCAGAAAGATTCCCAGAGGCAAGGAGAGGAGAAGTGCCTCTGGTAATGTGTTTAGAGGCATGTGAGCTTGCCTGTGTCTTTTCGTATCTACATCTTTCTGAGATATCCTTTTCATGTCACTATACCCTTTTACGTTCTGCATACACGTTCTGTTCAGCTTTCCAACTCCGCTTGTTGAAGTGTGCATACATTGTACCGTCTCTGCCTGTTTGAGAGAGCGACCTCTGGAAGCAGCCTAAAAGAAGGCAAGCAGAATTGTACTCGAGACATTAAATCCAGCACGAGTCAATTACACCACGACTGTGCCGTCGTAGATATGAGCTTTGACGAGGTAAGACAAGCTCGCTGTAGGTCGTACCCTTGGAACCCGTACGATTCACAAAAGGGCAGTAACAGTCGTGGATATTGATGTCGTAACAGGTTCTTGTTGTTAGTTAGCAATATGTGTTGCGCAATGTCAACGGACGCGCCCACACCTGAGGCTTGGCGCGTCTCCAGCTCGGTCGCCTTAGACTGTCGGTTCCTAAGGATACTTAGCACGCGGCTTGGCACCTGTTTCTGTACTGTCACAGCGCCCGACGTGCAAACCAAAATCCGTCATATTTTTCCAAATACTTGTTACGCAGCTCGTCTTTACGTTGCAACTCGCGCCACTCTTCGTCCTAGCTAGACAATCGAAGCGTTACTAACATAACTTGTCTATAATTTTCGTATCCGCATAGTTTTTTAAAGAGCTAGAAATGCTTTTTTTGGTTATATTAGTGTCTTTATCTAGTTTTAGGATTAAAACAGTATAGGTAAGACACTTACCCGCCATACTACGCTACCTATGCGTGTTTAGCTAGTATTGTATATATGCACTAATCCCTTAATTAACTTTATAGGGTTTAGGGTTAGGGTTAGCAGCATTTCGATACGCTTCTATATAAGCTATTCTTGCTTGTCTAACTACTTTCTATATAAAAACAAAGAAAAAGGGTACGATAAAAAGGAAGAGGAAACAAAAGAAAAAAGGAAAAGAAAAAGAAATCTATCTAGTCTATACCATATCCTAGCCAGTTCCTAGCCCGGAGTCTTACTAGAGTGGTAGAGATATACTTATCTAGCCACTCCGAGGTGCTAGGACCAAGGGACTTTGGAATTCTTTGTAGGTTTGTGAGGTCTCCTTTCCTAGAAGGCCTCCTTGGCTAAGGATAAACGGCCAAAAGCTCGGCCTAGGGTTTGGTATTTGAGCTTCTTAGCCCTTTCCGCGGCCGATAGGGTGCTATTAGGGTCCTTCCTAGCGGTTTCCTTACCTAGGAAATGATGGACACATCTAGGTAGGTGGTTCCCTTAGGGTTGTCGATTCTAATGTCTGTCCGGATTCCTCGGTAGTCTTTGGGTTTTAGGGTTAGCAGCATTTCGATACGCTTCTATATAAGCTATTCTTGCTCGTCTAACTACTTTTCTATATAAAAACAAAAGAAAAAGGGTACGATAAAAAGGAAGAGGGAAACAAAAGAAAAAAGGAAAAGAAAAGAAATCTATCTAGTCTATACCATATCCTAGCCAGTTCCTAGCCCGGAGTCTTACTAGAGTGGTAGAGATATACTTATCTAGCCACTCCGAGGTGCTAGGACCAAGGGACTTTGGAATTCTTTGTAGGTTTGTGAGGTCTCCTTTCCTAGAAGGCCTCCTTGGCTAAGGATAAACGGCTTAAAAGCTCGGCCTAGGGTTTGGTATTTGAGCTTCTTAGCCCTTTCCGCGGCCGATAGGGTGCTATTAGGGTCCTTCCTAGCGGTTTCCTTACCTAGGAAATGATGGACACATCTAGGTAGGTGGTTCCCTTAGGGTTGTCGATTCTAATGTCTGTCCGGATTCCTCAGTCTTTGGGTTTTAGGGTTAGCAGCATTTCGATACGCTTCTATATAAGCTATTCTTGCTCGTCTAACTACTTTTCTATATAAAAACAAAGAAAAAGGGTACGATAAAAAGGAAGAGGGAAACAAAAGAAAAAGGAAAAGAAAAAGAAATCTATCTAGTCTATACCATATCCTAGCCAGTTCCTAGCCCGGAGTCTTACTAGAGTGGTAGAGATATACTTATCTAGCCACTCCGAGGTGCTAGGACCAAGGGACTTTTGGAATTCTTTGTAGGTTTGTGAGGTCTCCTTTCCTAGAAGGCCTCCTTGGCTAAGGATAAACGGCTTAAAAGCTCGGCCTAGGGTTTGGTATTTGAGCTTCTTAGCCCTTTCCGCGGCCGATAGGGTGCTATTAGGGTCCTTCCTAGCGGTTTCCTTACCTAGGGAAATGATGGACACATCTAGGTAGGTGGTTCCCTTAGGGTTGTCGATTCTAATGTCTGTCCGGATTCCTCGGTAGTCTCCTTGTGGCTCTAGGGTGACTTTGTTTTGTGGGTCGGTCTGTAGGGCCGTAGTCAACGCCTGGCACACCTTATTATGTTTGACAATTGTCTGTCTAGTCCTAGCACGGCAGGCGTCTTCGTGGGCGAAGGTATAGGCCCTATCACAGTGTCTACAGATGTCCTGGCCTTCTTCAGGGGATGTAAGAAGCCGAATAGAAAGTGCTGCGGCTACGTCCATGTCCGAGAGTAGAAGGGGCTGTGAGGTAGGCATTGCGGATAGCCATCTCCGGCCTAGGAAGGCTGAGTTCTCGATCCGTACGTTCTCTTGCTGTAAAGAGAGCTTCTGCTGTACTCTAGCCAGTCGAGCTCTGTTGAGCTTGTCTATTGCAGCTCGGTAGATGGTTCTAGCAGGGCCAGTACTAGTGGGGTCTAGTTGTTGGTGTTCTAGGGAAAGCTAGGCTGTTGTTGGGTGTCCTGGGCTAGGAGGTAGGATAGGCTTGGTTGTGGTTGTTGGTTTGCTCTATTCCTGCTTCTACCGCGGTCCTGGGAGTGATCCTGTTCCTGTTCTTGTACCTGTTCTTGCTCCTGGCTTCCTAGAGTGGTTTGTTCGTCTAGACCTTGTGTGTCCTCTTCTGTGGCCTTGTCTATGTCCCCTTCTAGGCCGTCCTCTTGTAGGTTGCCTTCTTGGCCTTGTAGGCCTATAGCTAGTCTGGGGGTGGCCTTCCATACTAGTGTTGCTAGGGGCTGGCGAGGGTGCTCGGGGTAGGCGCCAGAAGAGTTTTGGCGGTAGGATCCTCTGTAGGGTGATGTCTGCTATAGCCTGTGAGTTTTGGAAGGCTAGCTCGGCCACTTCCGCGTAGAGAGGTATTCCTAGGCCTCCTAGCCTAGTAGGGAGGGCTACTAGGTCCTGGTCTAGTGGTCTTCTATCCTCTGAGCCTTGAAGGTGTTTTATGGTTTCTAGGAGTCTTGTGTCAATGTCTTGGAATCTTGCCAGGAGTCCTTGTGATCCTATGGTCCTAGGAAGGTGTCGGAGTAGTGTAGAGGTGCTAGCCCTAAGTAGGAGGAGTGCGTGTTGTTTTGGTAGGTCTTTTAGCCTATCTAGCACCGTCTGGAGTTCTTCTATCCTTGTAGCCAGGAATTCGGCCTTCCGTGGCTCTGGCCCTATAAAGGAGCCAAGTATCTTCATTCCCGTGGTCTGTATTGCCGATAGGGGGTGTGTCTTTGTCTTATCTATGTTTAGGGCGATAGGGGCGTCTTCTAGGTAGCCTTCTAGTTGTTGTAGGGTGATCTGTTGCCCTGAGATGATGTAGACGTCGTCTAGGTATGCTAGGACGATAGGAGGGGGTCTGTTATAGCCGGTTGACCTCTGTAGCTGTTGTTGTAGCTGTTGGAGGGTGGTCCGAATGGCTAGGGAGAAGAAGAGGGGCCGAGGGGGTCTCCTTGTCTAACCCCTTCCGAGGAGGTAATTACCGTGCCGTCATACATCACTAGGGCTGCTGGCTCGTTGTAGGCCCATCTAGCTGCCTTGTAGAACTCTGGGGCATAGCTTAGGATCCCGTGGGCTACCGCTGCTCGGGAGACTGAGTTGAAGGCGTTTTTAAAGTCCATAGAGCAGACGTGGGTGTATCCTCTAAGGTTTCCATCTACCGCGTGTCCTAGTAGGTGTATGATTGGCTCTACCCCGCCGGGGCTCTGTACCCCTAGCTGGAAGGGGGCTAGTTGGTCCTTAGAGAACTGTTTTTGGAGGAGGACCTTAGCTACCAGCCTATAGATGAGCTCTCCTACTGCAATTGGCCGGACCCCGCTATCTTCCTTATCTAGGGCTACAAGCCTCGATGCGGTAAGTAGCTGGTTCCCTGGTGCTAGGCCGTTCTGTACCTGCTTGCAGAGGTGGGTAAGAAAGTCTACCACCTGTTTATGCTTACAGGCTTCCCTTAGTAAGGGGACTGACCAGCCGGATAGGCCAGGGGCTGTATCCGGGGCAAATGAGGCCAGGGCTTGTAAGATGTCTTCCGGGAGTGGCCTAGGGCCTGGTCTAGGGCTCGCGGAGGAGCAAAGGGTAGGGCTGCCCTTCCGGGTGTTTTTCTCTTAGTTTGGCTAGTATATCCGCCGAGTTCCTAGCTAGGGTTGAGGGGTCTACTAGTGCCCTTGCAGCTCTGCCTAGATAGCCCTTTTCTACCAGTCTTTGGGCTCTAGAGCGGGGGTATCCCGGCGGTTGTCTGGCTGGCCTAGAAATTCCTGGGCCCTATCGGTTTCTACGCGGCTTGGCGGGGGTAGCATTAGGTCCGGGTAGTGCTGTAGGACGTATTGGGTGCTAAACTCCTCCGATTGGATGCCTAGGGTAAGGCCAGCCTTCGGTAGTAGTAGGAAGTCTAGCAGGTGTTTCTCGGTAGGTTGGCGTGTGTATCTAGAGGCACACCTGGCCGCGGCGGCCACAAAGCTAGCGGCTTGGCTGCCACGGAAGGTGTGGTCCTTTGCCTGTACGTGGTTGTATCCAAATAGCTGTTGTAGATACTTGTTTCGGGGCTGGTAGGTGTTATACCGGTCTTGGCCTAGGCCTATAGGTATGTCTGCAACATCTGGTGGCGGTGGTGTATGTTCGTCTCCGTAGATAGGGCTAGTAGGCCCCTGGGTCCCTAGTGAGTAAGAGGGAGGTGCCGGTGTACTAGGGGAGGAGGGTGTAAGAGAGGAGGGTGTAGGAGAGGAGGGTGTAGGAGAGGAGGGTGTAGGAGAGGAGGGTGTAGGAGAGGAGGGTGTAGGAGAGGAGGGTGTAGGAGAGTAGGCACTACTAGTGTTTCGGGGCCGTCTCGGACGTGGATCTCGCTTTGGGCCGGTGAGCTATGGCCGCTAGGTAGGTTTGAGGCTAGGTCCTCGAGGAGGCCGATGGTGGACTCGTTAGGAGAGCCATAGGAGGTGCCGTTTGGCGAGGGGTAGGAGAGCGGTCTAGTAGGAGGGTAGGTAAAGGGGCTGGTTGGTATGTAGGTCGGCTGTCGGATTGGTTGCCGAGGATTTCCCGTTGTAGGCTACTAAGAGGGGTACTCGGCTGGCTGCCAGATAGAAGGTCTAGTAGCCTGGCGGGTGGGCTATCTAGACGAGGTGGTGTGTTATGGTAGGTATGTGTATTCCTCGCTCTTGGCCTTGCTCTGTTTCTTGCTAGCGATGGTGATCGGGAGGCGCGGCGGCGTTTGTTGGTGTTTATAAGGGCGGTAGCGGTAGATGGGGCTATAGAGGTATTTATAGCGGTAGGGGTCGAAGAGGTGGTAGGCGTCCGGCGGGTAGAGCGAGTAGGAAGGGTCTTTTTAAGCAGCCGGATTTGGACTGGTGGGATTTGATGCCATGTGAGGTTTGGCAGGGCTGGTAGCAGGTAGGGCAGGCGGTGAAGCCCATATGGGCGAGGGTAGAGAGGGGGACATGGAGGTGTAGGTGGTTTTTCTTGACGTGGTCCCATAGGTAGGCGTAGTGGCGGAAGCAGATGCGGCAGGTACCTGGTTTATCTTTTGCCATGGTGAGTAGTGAGTAGCGAGTAGTAACTATTGCGAAGCAACAGTAGGTATTGCGAAGCAACAGTAGGTATTGCGAAGCAACAGTAGGTATTGCGAAGCAACAGTAGGTATTGCGAAGCAACAGTAGGTATTGCGAAGCAACAGTAGGTATTGCGAAGCAACGAGGATAGCAAGGTAGAGAGAGAAGTGAATGAATGAATGGATGGATGGATAGATGGATAGGAAGAGGGAGGAGGAGGAGGAGGAGGGAGGAGGGAGGAGGGAGGAGGGAAGGAGGGAGGGAAGGAGGGAGGGAAGGAGGGAGGAAAAGAAAAAAAAAAAGTAATATATGAAACATAGGGAAAGGGAAGTGGAAAAAACCCGAAGGTGAGGGGTGTAGGGTAGGGGATTGTTAGGGTTAGGGTTAGGGTTAGGGTTAGGGTTAGGGTTAGGGTTAGGGTTAGGGTTAGGGTTAGGGTTAGGGTTAGGGTTAGGGTTAGGGT